CTCGAGTTCCTTGTCGGTAAACAGTTTCTGAGACGCGGCTCATTTCAAATGCTCATTGAGCACGGATTGTTGCTCCACGGCATGTTTTTTTTCGAGACGAAGTGTGAAAACAAACAGCTCTAAGGCGATTGCCGTTGCTTTTGATTGGCGAAGAACAAACTTTTAGAGGTTTTTTCCCCGATCTTTCAATTTCTTCTGATGTCTCACGTTATTTATCATTGTTAAAAAGTCAAAAGAACTACTCTTTCCTTTTTTGACTGGTCCGTTCAAGTCTGTCTTGTTACTAATGAAATAACTCCAAAGTTCAGAAAAAGAATGAAGGGATTTTTTTTTCGACCCGGAAAACAAGCTGTTAAGAAAATAATGAGATTTCGCTTCTCAACTATGAAGCAGCCTTTTCTATCATCTATCCTATCATTTCATGCCTTTTCGCAAAAAAAGTCAAAGACTAAGATTGGCCGTAGAAGGAGAAATCTCGAGCACCTTCCTGTCCTTTTCCCACTCTCAAGCGCCATATTCGCCATTCGAGCCTGTTTCCAGCCTCTCGCCTAAATCCTGACTTTTCTCCGGAGCAAATTAATAGATCTTAATTGTCTTTTTCGAGTTTTCAGTGTTATATTTATACATTTTATGCTTTTCAACACATTTTTTCCGATCGGAATTTTTTCGACACCCCATTCAGAGTGGATTCATGAATAAACTTCAAAGTTTACAACTGGAAATTTTTGGTTGGAAAGGGACGATTCGAGTTTTTCTCCCCTTAATTTAGTGTGCAATAGCCTTTTTTGAAAGTATTCCTCATTTTTTCCCTTTTTCAGTCTATTTCAAGATCAAATTAAGGCCGCAGAGCTGAACAAAACTGGAGGAAGGTCGCCCCGACGCTAAATTACTCCATCAAACGTCGCTTCTTGACATTTTTTTTCTCTGTGATTGTTATATTCTGTCAATTCGAAAAAAAAATTCGAACTTTCCTGAATTTTTTTTCCTCTTTGCAATCAGCCGAAATTTTCATTGAAAAATGTTCAAATGAAAATAAATCTGATTTTTTATTTGGGTTCGAGAATCTTTCTTCCTTACGAGTCAGCTTGGAATTTCAAAAAAGAAAACCTTGAGAACAGCGAATTTTCAAAGTGGCGCCCATAAAAAATCTCATTTTGTCCTTTCTCAGTTTACAACTGTTTTTTTTTTCATGCTTCATTGCGTTTTCAACTGCTAAATGTGACTTCCATTTCACTCTTTTCCATTTTTTTTTATCGGCTCTCAAATCTCTGCGCAAATGTTGCAAAACCAACGCCTTTTTCAGTTTTCTTTGAACGAACCGATTCTTTTTTTCACTTTCAAGATTGCTTTCCAGACCCTCCGTTTACCATAAATTGTTGAAAACGATCTGTTAATCCTTATCCCTGCCGATTTCGACTTTTTTTTTTTACTTTCCATCAAAATTTTTTCAAAAGTGCTGAGAAAATTAAATAAAATTTTCCAGTAAGCGATCGTGACATTTTCTGATTCAATCAGTTTTGATCAATTGAGACAACTTTTAAAGGAATATAAAAGTTGAAATATTATTTTTAGACTAAAAATAGCTGCGAAATCTTGTAAATCAGCAGTGTCACTTATTACTCTGCGGAACTTTTTTTTCCATCAAAAGCTGCATTTCGCATATATCATCTCAAATACATGTTTGTTTTTTTTCTGTTCTTCTGACCGTTGCGAGTACAAGACCGTGTTGATTTCAGAATGTTTGCGCGGCGGCTCCTTCTGGCGTCCTTTTCTCTTTTGGTAGCTCTCCTTTTTTGCCTTCTTTTTGCCCCTTGACGCAGCTCCTTTTCTCAACTCTTTCATTTCAAGTACTCTTTTTCGCAGAACATCAATTTTTCGTGCTTGTTCCTCAAAATAATGTTTAGGTATTTGAGAGAAAGAAGAGAGTTGGATAGACATCATCTTTTGGCGCTTATCATTCTCTGGTGGTATGAAAAAAACACCAGAGAAAAAAATCAAATGGCGACTTTTTCCGATTTTTTTCATATCGCTAGGGGAACTTTCCGACGGCCACCTTTCCGACGAAACTTTTTTTCCGACTTTTTCTCGATAAAATATTGGTTTTAAATTTCCTATATAAAGTAGGTTAAAACACAAAAAAATAGGAAAAAAAATGTAAATAGATGTCTTATAAACCGAAAAATATAAGGGAAAGAAGTCGGAAAAAATTTCGTCGGAAAGGTGGCCGTCGGAAAGTTCCCTAGCGATATGAAAAAATCGGAAAAGTCACCGTTTGAATTTTCGCTGGTGTTTTTTTCATACCACCCATTCTCTCTTCCGAGAACTCTCACTCAATTTCTATTTTTTCTCCGTTCTGCTTTCGTGGTTTCCTTTTTCACGTTTCTTTTTATTGTCTTATTGAGCAATACTTTCAGGTAAGCTGCAAAACCAAGCAAAAAAGGGTCCGAAGACGAAACTTTACGGAACAAACGCGACATGGTGACGCCCTACGAACCTCCGCCAGACTATGTCAGTTTATTTTCTTTTACGATGAAAATTGCGATAAAAAATATATAATTGAGACAAATTAGACATGAGCGTGTGAACTTTAGTGAGCCCAATTTGTTTTGACAACATTGAAAAGTACGGTTGATCCATAAAAAAAAGTTCTTTCGACTTTTTCAAAGAAAATATTCTTCTTTTCTGACGATTCTTTTTTCAATTTCATGTTCGTCAGTTACGAGAAAAAGGTGAGATGAAACCTTAAGACAGAAAAAACAGAATGACGTATTGGTGAGAAAAAAATGGAAATCGACGACATTACTGTTGAAATGTCCCTTTCTTCCGAGTTTTCATTCATCGAAAACCAATTTTTTGAGTTTGACGGAATTTATAGAAAAAAACCTGTCAAGTCCTACATTTTCTACTTTTTCCCAGTTTTTTTTTTCTTTTTGAAAACAAACAAATTTACTTTCGAGAAAACGCCCAGAGGGTCCACTTGACCCAAAAAATTCACCCAAACACTGCTTTCCCAATTTTCCTGCTTCAAAAGCAGTTACTCGGTCGGTAAATCGGGTTCCTTTATGCGCTCTTGTGAGTCAAAAAAGCCAATTTGTTCAGCCATTTTCCATCAATCATTCATTTCTGTTGCAGTTTTCGTTTCAGTTAGCGCGAGGTTCTTTTCTAAAAGAATGGTTTTGAGACTTAGCATATCTTCCTTTGCTCCGAAATTCAGTTGAGTCTGTTTGAACTCGAGAGAAACAACTTTTCCCTCAGTATCTTCAGAAGATAACTTCCTAATTTAATAGCATTTTATTACTAGTTTTTTTCCGAGCAAAATATTACAATTTTTATCTCGAACTTTTCTGTCACACTTACAAATGATTCACGACGTGTGAGACATTTCCACACTCCGTACGTTTTTTTTGCGTTGGAATCTTAAAGTCGTTTTATTTCTTGATCGAACTTGGAGTGTTTGTTACGTTTAGCTTACATAAAATTAAAAAAAAAAACTTGGTTCTGGAAAAGGTTAATTTACTGAATACTTTTCAAATGAGGCAGAAAGATATCTCACAATTAATTTCTTTGCAAAATTACAAGGACGTTATTTCACTCGGAGCTATGAATTTTTTTCGGAAAAAAATGGCTAAAACTCTGGTGAATAACTGTGAATGACTGTGGTGAATAGAACTTTTGAAATTCTTAGTCTGCCCAAAATTTTTTTTTTGGAAAAAAATTTTTCAAACTCTTTTATTGCTTGCTCTTTGAATAGGCTGCCGTTACAAGGCGTCCCTCACTTTGATTCATAATTTTTTCCCTAGCTTTCATCTTTTTATTCAAAGAGAGTTCCAGCCAAGAAATCGCCAGATTTTCATTTTTCTGCATTGCAGCCATATTATCTTTTCTATTTCTTGATTAAAATCAATTAAAAAAAAATGAAACAAAACGAGTAAGTGTTGGCAACTTGATGAAAAGTATAGGAGGTACAGTTGTCCGTTTTTGAAAATAGTCGAGACGAGAGCTTTCTTTCTTTTTGCCAGTGTTTCTTTCAAATATCGGGAAAGCGCGGTGATGTAATCGTAACAATGGCCGACAACGAACAATGGCTTTCTCCTTCGATTTCAGATATTTGCATAAGTCATAAGCGTCGTCGTCGTCGTCGTCGTCGAACCTCGGCAAGAACGCCTTCGACCTTGCCGCTTTTATGCGTTTTCAAATTTCGCGCTTCGCACAATAAAACGCTCCATTTTTGTGTGTTTTGCCCCTTTTAGGCTTCTTCAACTCCTTTCGCTTTCTCTCATCTTTCCGATTCTTCTTTTTACCTTCTGAAAAAAATCTTCATTTATTGAAGACTTTTTTTTCCTTTTGAACTTCGAAAAGTTTTTTTGATGGTTTCGGTGTCTCAAAAAAATTTAAATTTTTTTCTTTTTGAAATGAAGTTAGTTTTTTTTTAAAAAGAAACAAAAAGGGAAGCAAGGCATCATCACGAGTTTTTGCCAGAAGCCACCGGTTAGAGGCGAAATGAACCTGCGGGCGATGCTCCGTGAGCATTTACCTCGTGTTTGTGCAATTCGAGAGCCTTTTGACAGTTTGCCGAGAGGAAAAAATTCTCTTCTTTCTGGTTCTCAACGAGGTGCAAAATTGGTCATCCGACATGCCCTCTACCATTTTTTTGCTTTTATTATTGTCTTTTGAGTTTTTTTTCAAAGTTTATGTTTCAATTCTTTAATGTGAAAGATTTGAACTTCAATAATTATGACAAGAACTTTAACTTTCACATATTAGCTGCTCAACGGGCGCAATCAACAACCCTTAACAATAATCGATGTAAGTCGCATCAAATAGTGTTTTCAAAAAAGTGTCAACTTAATGCAGGCATATTTTTTTCATCTCTTCCCATCGAAAAGATAGGAAACTTTTTGTTTTGTTTACTTTTCAAATTTGTCGACTTTTCTTGTCAACGAAAATCAGGAAAAAGCTTTTAACAAAAGTTCAGGCCTTTCAAATAATTTTCATACTTTTTAAATCGCCATGTGGCCAGGATTTTCTTTATACGACCTTCCCATCGTTTTCCGCCTCATTCCGTTCAACCACTTGTTCCACCACATTACTGTTTCAAAGTTTTTCTGAACAGCTGAAAAATGATTCGATTTATGTATGAAACTTTCTCTTGTATTTCTCACAAACTTTACTGTTTATTTTTCATAAAACTCAGAAACTGTAATGAGACTTCATCAATGGAGACTAAAAGACCTACGACTTTGAATCCTTCAAAGAAAAGGACGCGAACCTCGAACAGGTCGGGTGCAGTCGTTAGGAAGACATTTCCTATGAACTGAGTATATCTGGATGATAACGTCTTCATCTTTGCCAACGTCTTCAGCTTCAGATGAGCCGTTTTTGTAGGCGTTTACGACGTCGCGCAACGACTCACGGCGCCCCGTTTTCCGAATGGCCTGAGGCCAATCACAGAAGCTTCTTCGGTTCATATCGCTTTCCTCTTCTCATTTTCGAGCTTTTGCCATGCGCCAGTGCCGCCTTCATGTCCAAACTTTCCCTATTTCAACGGTTTTTTTCATTGAAATTTAATGAAGGAGAAAAAAGGACAAATAAAATTAATTTTCTGTTATTAGAAACTTCTATCAGCTTTGATTTCTCGTGTTCTCACGAAAAGTGCTGGAGCTTTGTTGACAAGAAGATAGTTTATTGAGAACTAACAGAAGCGCTGAACCATGTACTGAATCTCAAGTGGTGTCACTTGGGTTGCATTCATCACAGAGTGTTCACTTTTCAAATCAAGAAAAAAACTAAACTTTTCATCATCTCTATTGAAAAACTAAATAATGAGTTTTTTAGATTCGAATTTCAGTTTTGGGGTACCAAAGTCTGTAATATGTATTCTTCTTACAGACTTTGGCACTCTTCAAAATTTTTCAGTTTCTGAAAAAGAGCAAAAAAAGGGTCTTTAAAAGCCAATAGGAGATATTCAGGAGACTCGAATTTTTTTCAGAGATTTGATAATTGAAGCCTTTCTGAACGGATGAGTTTCGGTTTTCTTTCCATTTTTTTTTCGATTCGGAGCCATCTTCAGCAAATTTCTTCTGTTTGACCTACGATAACGATAATCGGGTGAAAAGTCGACGGCAGTTCGACCTTTTGCCGGATTTCCGGTCTCAAACTCAAACAAATGATGGAATTAATCGGCGGCTTTTCGCCTCAATTCTCGCTTCGTCTCAAGTGCCTTCCGCCGCGTATTTTTAACTTTTCTGATTTTCTTTTCTTCGGTAGATTCTTTTTGAAACTAATACTTTTTTTCGTAATGTTTTGCTTTTTAACTGGAAACAGAGAATATATTTTTATGAGCTTAAGTTCATCTTGAACGATCCAAAATCAGAAGTTTTTCTTTTTCTAAACCTGCCTAGTTCAAATTCAAAGTTAACATAACGTTTCTGTAGGGTTTTTTGAGCGTTGTAAATTCCAATAAATATTGACTACTGACTTCAGCATATCTTATTCAAAAAGAACGGCTAATAATGGCAAATAAGAACTTGAAGATAAAATGTGAAAAAAAAAGATCGGCGGCGTTTTTTGAACTGTCTCCGCCCCATTGGCTTCGACCCTTGGCCATGATTTCCCCATGGTTTCTTTTTTCTTGAAAATTTTTAAATCGAAATTTTTCCTTCCCTTAAAAAAGTTTTTTTTTAATCATTGAGGTTTGTAAAAGAAAATAGAAAATTTTAATGGAAAGACTCGATCTGAAAGACCGTTTTCAGCGTTTTTTTCAGCTTGTAATGCGTTTGCGACTTTGAGGAAAAAACTAATTGATATTCACAAAAATTTTGTATAAGGCGAATCGCTCAAGTGAAAAAAAAGACATGTCCTGTTCTGAATAAAATAGTGAACTTACTAGGGAACTACTCGGACTCGGGTACGGGTTTCGAGTTGAAACTTTAGGGGTTTATAGATCCAAGTCAGAATACTTGAAAACAAGAGAGAATATCTGCTGAACCCGATAGAGAACTGAGAAAAAATTTGTAGAAAATGTGCAGATTAGGTCGGAAAGTTTTCAGATAACTGCTTTTTACCTTATTTTATATTTTAATACAATCGCCTTAAATGATCCGGCTATGATACACTCTAATAAACTTTTTTCCAGCCAAAAGAAGGAGAAAAGCAGAAATTTGATATTTTTCAAGCCTAAACTGTTCAATTTTAAAAAGCTTTTTCTCAGAAGCCTAAGGAGTTTAGCAGATAATCTCTCTTGTTTCCAAGTACTCTTACCCGGGTCTATAAGCCACCAAAATTTCAACTTTAAACGCGTACTCGAGTCCGAGTAGTTCCCTAGTTAGAATTTTTTTTTTTTTTTCAATAGTAAATAAAAATAACTGCATTACATATAAAAAGAAGTTTATTGACTGTAATATTATTTCTTCATTTCTCAAAGTACTCTTTTTATAGTTCCCTTACAACCTGCGGATTCTTCCGCTGATTGGCCTCATTTACCGGCGTCCGGCTAATTGAATCAGTTTCCTTGAGAAAAGACAAGAAAGCTGAATCTTCTCGAGGGGAATCCAAATATTTTTTCAATTCAAATTTAAATCAAACATTCCTCGCAAAAAAATAGCTTTTTAGCAAAAAAATAGAATTTTAATTTTTCCTTTTTAAATTCTTGCCAGAAAAATTTTGGAACGAGCTCTCGGATATGAACGATCTCAATTCAAAATAAGAAGAAATTGAACCCAAAACTCGAGTAATTTGCACCGAAATGCCAGAAGCCGTCAAGTGGAGGCGAATTGGCGGATATGACTGCCTCGTCTCAAGGGCCATCTAATTTCATATTTCCTCGAATTCGCCCCTCTTTTTAGCCTTTCTGCAGAAATATTTCTTTAGTTGCTTGATTGCGGAAGCATTGAAATTTAATAGTTTGATAGTATCTTTCTGTCTCCTTCTGTTTTGAAGAAAAAGCCTGTGTGCCAAGAAAAAATTTTCGCAAAAGTATTCAATTTAAAAATTTTTCACGGTGAGCTTGCTTAGATTTTTTTCTATCCAAGTTTCAGCAAAAATCAAAAATATGGGATTGATTCCATTTTTTGAGCAGTGCTAGTCGTCAATTTTTACTACTTAAAAAACAGTCAATTTTTCTGAATTGGAATATTGTTTCTAAACTTATTGAACTTCTACATCGCCTCACTTGAATTTTGAGAATATTGGGGCCAAGTCCTGTTAAAATAACAATTCCCATCAATTATCGGCACGATTCGACCGTTTCCCGTGCCTTTTTTCTTACTTTATGTTTTCAAAGGAGGGAATTGGGTCATACATCGCCTTTTCGCGGCTCACTTTTATTTGTGCAATTTAATTTCGTTTCGTTTCAAATTGGGATTTTCTGATTGGAAGTATTTTATTGTTGAAAAAAAGAAAAAAATAATTTTTGAAAAATAAGTTGGGATTTCATATGGGGTTCATGAACCGTTCATTTCATATTTTATTGACTACTGTAACCCGAAAATGGTTGCCATGAAAAGCTTGAAAGATTTTTTGATGTATGGAAAATTTACACTTGTTTGGTGGCGGTCAACGCGTTCCTTTGTCGTGTCGCCGCCCCAAAATTTCTTTTATTGTTTTGTATGTTATTTTTCGCCGACTCTTGTTTCGTTGTAATTGCTTTGTTGCCTCGTTTATGGTCATTTTCTGATTTAATGACGTCTTTCCAGTCTTCTTATTTATTTCTGGCTCATTTCAACATTTTTTTTGTTGAAAAGTTCCTTCATTTCCTGTTGAGATTTCATTTATTATCAAGTTATATTAACATTTTTAGATGTAGACTATAATAATCTAGAGTTTCTGCAAAAAGTTCATATAATAAAATCAAGAAAATAAGAAAAGCCGCTATTTTTTGAAAAGTTTGATATCATTTCACAGACCTATTTCTGAACATCGTGTCTTCAAACTCACCTTTTTCCAAACAGTAGAAATGCATTTACAAGATATAAATGCGATTTCGAAGGTCGTGCATCAGAGAAAGAACGTGTTTGCACGAAGGAAACGTTGCAGTTATTACGGACGTATAGTTTATGATTGTCGAGTATCAAATGGCCGCCGTCTTTGTTTGTCTTTTCACGGTTTCTTGTCCTTCCGCTGCTTCTTCTCCTTCACTGAACTTTCTATCGATAAAAGTCCTGTTCAGATGAAACAGTAGTTTATTTTTGAGAGTCCCTTCGGCTAGTCTAGCAGAAATACTTCGGGAATGAGAGAACAACCACAGGATAATCTTTAAAATGCACCCTCCTATGAACTTCCATTCTTGATGGGTTCACTTGGAAAATTGTGTTGGAATATCTTTTTTTTCTGATTCCCATGGAAGAAGGGCTGAATTTACAGCTGCATGAGAAGTTTCAAGGCCAATTCGCAGCGCTTCATCAAGAACTTTGTGGGCCAAGTTTAATGCGTTTTCGCGGTTTTCAGAGGTCTAATATAAAAATATTCCATTAGGAAGTAGATTCAGAAATTTCTGAGATTGCGTTTTCCGAAAAATTATTTTACAGTAGGCGGAATTTTCTTCCAAACTTTCATTTGATTTTATAAAGCCCTGATGTAAGTTCAATCAGTTTCATTTGATTGATTTTCCTACGAAACCTTAATTTTCTACAATTCCTGAACGCAAATCCCAACACACCGGCCGTCATTTGCATCGTTCATTTTTTCCCCGTGGTTTCGCCGCCTCCTGTATGTTTTGCGATGAGACGAGAAACAATTCAGAAGCGAAAAGCCGCCAAAAACGACAATTTCTACTCGGTTTCCTCCTGTTTCAGATTCGCCAACGCCTTTTTGGTAAGCTTTCGATTCTCCCTGAAATTTTCATTTTTATGTTGAAGTTTTCTTTACTAAAAGTTCTTGTGATAACACTCTGAATAACTTCATAAATCTTCAGCGAATCATAACAAAAACAATATTGTACAGGAATTCCTTTCTTTTCGACACATTCCTTAGGGTGAGACATTCCAATTGATGGTTCTAACAAGGCATTTAGTTTGTTAATTTATTAGCTAAAACTAGATTTTTATAAATCACGTCCTTTAAAACTATCTGAGCAGGTAGCGGCTATCAAGAGTTTACATCTATAATTTTATTGAGTTTTTGAGCAACTTCAAAAATTTCAAACTTCACCTCGAAAACACGTCTCTTGTAAGATTAATTCAATCAAAAAAAAAATCTAGGCTATGATTTTTCGTACATATCCAGGAGAAAAGTTTTCAGCCGTCAAAATTTTGAAAGACTACATTCAGATGGTTTCCCAGATAAGTACAACCACATTTCCAATATTTTTCGGCAGATTTGAATAATCGTCGCGGCTCCGTCCGGTTTTTCCCTTTTTGCATCTTTTTGGTTTTTTTCATTTTTTTCATGTTTTATGAACTGCGGATATAGAAGTTCATAATCGAAATATATTATTTATCTACCTTATATACGTGTAGAACTTTTTACCGCTATAAAGCTTTGAGGAAAAAAAATGTTCAACGTTCAATTTTGTACAACTATCAGTTTGAAAGAAACCGCACTAAAAAGAAAAAAAGTTCGAATTAAATAAAGTTTTCCTATAGCTGCCACTTCTTGAGGAAAGAAGAATTTCTTAGTATGACATTCTTCTTTTTCTACATCTCATTTCATTAAAGTGAACGCCCATAAACCATTTTCTAACATGAGCAATGTATACGGGTTTGGAGGCCGATTTCGATTTGGATCTGCCACGGCAGCTTTTCCATCGACGACGTTCCCTTAAATGGGCTTGTCGGACTGCAAAAAAGGAAATGCAAGAGAAAGTTTTGAACTCTCTGATGTGATTAGCCAAAAGTGGCCTTTGGGTGGTTTCGCTGCGCATCAACTGAACTAAATTTCAGCACATGGTAATCAATAACTCTGAAAGATTGTCTAATGCATTTGCAAAGTATACCTGAAATAGACGATTTTGGTAGAGAGAGTATATTATCTCACCTGAATTCCGAGAAGTCCGCTCAAGTATTTTTTCTGAAGTTTTCTTTTTCTGGGATAATGTTTTTTGAAGTACCAGTTCAATTTTTTTTTCCGATTTGTAATGTAACCAGTAAAAACCAATCTCACTCAAACATGTGTACCTGTTTTTCTTTTCTTTTTTTGCCCTAGCCAAGATGCCGCTGACTTTCGCTTTTCCCTCCTCAACGAACGCTTTTCTCCCTTATCGCCAGACGTTCATCTCATTTTCGCTCAATTAATAATCGTAGCAAAGTCGAATAAACTCGTTGATGCTTCTTCCTTAGAAACTTTTTATTTTCAAGTTTTCGCCAACTTCAAGGCGATTATGTTAAGAAGAGAATTCAGACAACGATCGTTTTGATTTTTCTCAGAAACATTCGGTTTATGTTTTCCAACTCACGTTCGTGCTTAGAATTGTGAGTTTTTGAAATCCGTCTCCCTCGAATAACGAAGGAAACTTCCATAAGAACTTTAAAGAAACTTTGGCATTATATCCAGGTCCCCTTTTCTCCACTGTACTTGTGTAGACTTTGAATGAATCAAGTTGTTCTTTTCTTCTTTTCTTTCAATCAATCACCAATCTAGTCTATTTTCCAATAATCAAATCAAATCGAAAACAGGAAAAACGGCATATAGACAAAAAAGGATTCTCACTGTCCTCTAATTATTCTTCGCTATTATTTTTTTGACCTTTCTCAAGTTCAAGAAACTCCTAGTTTCATTCTTTTTGGATATACTTTTCTATTTGAACGAAAGGTGATAGAAAATTTCTTTCTTTTTATTCAATAAAAAAGAACCCAGTTTAAGCGCTTGATTCAAAAAATGAGTGGGAACTTTTATTTCAAACTCAAAATAAATACGGAATGATCATCATAAATTAAACTAATTCAAGTTTTGATTTAGTTGAACAGGAAATTTTTTCAAAGATTTTTTGTGCGCTTTAACAGATTTTGACGTATTCAAAACAGTTGAGACGTTACCCAAAAATAGACGTCGCAGTTTTTTGACACGACGCCAACCTCGTTGTCGTGTTTGAACATCTGCTTTTGTTGACTTTTGGGATGCGCCATGGATGGAATTCATGCCACCGATCTCCTGGAGCTCATTGATGTTACCTATTTCTAAGATTACATCACTTTTAGTTTTATTATTATTTCAAGACTTGTCTCAATTAACATTTCAAAGTTCCGAACTTCTATTTTAAAGTATTTTTGCTCCAAAATGCTTGGGTGAAACAGCAGATTGTTAACAATCAATCGGAAAACCTTTCCCTATTGATGAAAATATTTTAAAATAACGATTCGTCTATTTTTTATCTTCAAGACAAGAACTTGGTTAATGTATTGTAAAATTGTGGTATATGTTTATAGGATTTCAATGAGATTATAGGGAAATTATTTTAATTTTTTTTTCTTTAAAAAAAGCGTAAAAGCCGTTCAATAGAAATACTTCAAAATTCTAAACTCACAGAGGAGAACAATTTTTTTTTCGTCTTAGCTCCTTTGATTGCAGCCTATGGTAGAGGAGGAATGGCGGCACAAAGAAGATAGTCAGCAGTACCGACGCCCCACCGACTCCCGCAGCTCTCCCGCTCAGAGCGTCTACCTGTCGCATCAGAAGCATTCTCCGCAGCCGAAGTCCTTCCGCCACGAGCCGCCACGACACTCCTCCGTCGACCGAGACCCATACCACAGGTATTTGTCGAATCTGCTAATCACATCTCATCAACCTGCGTTTTGTTTTATCCAGCTATTATCTCGAGAAGTTCATTTTTAAGACTTTAAACAGTTTTCAAATATTTTTAAAATCCTTTGCTTATTTCATTTTTTTTTGAACTTTCATTCATCTAAACTTTGTTCGAAATCAGTGTTATGAATTTAGATGGAACCTCGTGAAATTCTGAACCCCTAAAAAGAACGTTTCCTTACTCTGTGCAAAAAAGTTTAGAAATTTTCCTTCTTTCATTTTTTGACAACTTTGTGTTGCACATCTCTATGTTACATAATGTACATATGGAACTTTCTGAAGACAGTTGTTTTTAAACGTGAAAATTTGAAGACAAGCAGTTTTGATGATTTCCTGACCAGTTTTGACATGATTTTTTCGGTTCCTTTTTTCTCAGAATAACCTACCAATTTTTGATCCGCAAAGTACCCTTTTACATGCAAGTTTTCAACAACGATCTATCTGCAACTAACTTTTTTGAGAACCAGAAATCACCGGGGACGTCGATAAATATCTTTTAAAAAAAACTTGGAACTGAAATTCTTCTTTTTAAAGTCACAAAGTGATAAATGAATGAAAAAAACGGTGCGTTAACAGGAAAGAAAAATTTTGAAAAAATTAATCTTTTCTTTTTCGGATTCTTACTGACACGTGAAAAAAGTTCAACGCGTTGCTTTTTTTCTCAAATTACGGCGTAGAAGTTTTAGTTGAGGAATCAAGTACGTATTACGAAATTCTCTTCTTGCAGATATTCTTACGACCCCTGGAACGATCCCTACTTTGCTGCACACGCGGAAATGCTGCGGACGCGACAATTTCCCGAAGTCAGTCGATTTTTCAATATTTCTTTGAAAACTGAGTTAGTTTTAATGTTGCCCAGCGAATAAATACAATCAGGGCGTCTAGATCGCAAATTAGACGCCAATGTCTAATTTTCTTATCGTTTACAGGTTAAAAACGTCGATAAATTAGTTATAAATCGGGTCAGTATATCAAAGTTATGGAATTGTTTTTCTTCTTCACTCTGACGATCAGAAAAACAAAAGAAAGGTGTTCCAAGTGATTGAGAAGTTCTCGTGTGAGTCGAATCACACTCGGTTCCTATATGAATAGCAGGAAAGGCCTGTTTCCATTGCAGCCAGCGTTTGCTGTACTTCTCGCCGTTCTATTACAGTTTGAACTGCGCCTCGTTAATATTAACTCATACTAATTTGAAGTTTATGTCTTTAATCACGTTCGAACGATGTCGTTTTTCCAGAGTATCATCTCGATTCTCGACTCTAGCTGGCTCAATTTGAGTGAACGTTCTTTCCATTCAGCAGGATTGACGATCATGTTTTTAAAAAAAAAAGAATTTTCAATTTTTCTATTAGGGTTAAAAATTCCAAAAAGGAAATTACAATTGAAAATCTTCAATATTTTAAATCAATGTTCCTACGAACATCAGGTTTTTTTTCTGAATATATTTGTCCAAATTTTCAAATTGATCAAAGTCATCAACACTTCATACCTTTACTCCAATATTTTAGTATTGATGAATCTTTTTTGATCATGAACTCGATTGAGTCTTGATATAAAAAAGATTCAAACTGTTACATCTTCAGTTTTTTATGAACTCTCAGAGGTTCTGCAAATTATTGTAGTTTTTTGGCTTCTTATTCGCATTAAAAGCAATTTTTCAATTTATCTTTTGAGCTTACTCACTTGTAACTTGAATATTTCCTATTGAAAAGTGGTCTTCAAGGATGGCATTCGCCGTGGAGCGAAACGTGTCGGCCGTGTTTCCATTTTAGGCGTTGCTCTCATTGGCCCCGCCTTTTTCGGCCGCCACTTTTGGGCATCTTTCTCCTTTGTAGTGGAAATATCCCGCGCAAATCCGCCATTTCGTTTCTCAAGTCGTTCTGAATGCGCTTTTGTGGATGGATCAATTCATCAGCTTTGTCTTCAAGTTTATTGAATTTTACCTTTGCACAAATTCAAGCGAAAGGAATTGTTTTCGTAAGGTTCGAAGAAATTCCCATCTCACGCAATTTCTTGACGCTTCTAAACTTTTCGAAAGGTTTTCTTTTTCGTTTGGTTGAAGCATATTTTTATTTTCTATTTTAAAATTAGCGAATTACCAAGCTTTTAACTTACAGTAATTTTTTTTTTGCATTTTGTATTTTTGAATTTTTGTATTTGCCACATGCTTTTATTTCACAAATAGTATCGCGAGGAGAAAAATTTCAATTTTGGGAAAAATGAAATCTTTCCGTTTTTGTCAATGGAGACCATTATGAACGGCCTGAAAGCAAACTATGATTTGCCTTTTCCGATTTAATATTTTGCAGCTAGCACACAATTTCTACTACTGTGTTTCAGTAAAGCACGTTCTGTTTGTAATGTTTTTCATTTCTCTCTCACAAAAATTCATTCAAAACATTTCAAAATGCTTCAAAAATGTTGAAATAAATATTTTCCTCATTTGTATATAAATTTTCATCATAACGATAGATCATCTTTTCCATAAACAAAAAGTCAAAACCATAAGGCATGTTGTTTCCCGCCTTTTCTTTCGAAGTATTCTTCAAGCTTTCCAGTTTCAACTATATTTCAATTGTTTACAAGTGTTTGCGTCTACTTGGGAGACGTTCATGAATAGAAATAAAGGTCGCATCGCCACTCTTTCGTTTTCAATCATTTTTCAACTTTGACGGATTTTGGTTTCGACAAAGCTCACGAATCGCTTCATTTCGAACTTTTTAATTATCAGGAAGTTTGTATGTGATAAAATTCAAACTTCGTAATTGAAAACCAATCTCTCCTCACGCACATATTTTAGAATTCCCCATTCCGTTTATTTTTTTTTCGATGATTTTTTGACCTCCAATTTAGAAAATTTAGGATGTTTTGGAGGTTAAGCCTTTCAAGCTCTTCACCATGTGTTTTCGAATAACTTTTGGGACACTTTTTCTCAATGTCTCACGTAAATCAAGGTACTATTATCACAAATCGAACTTCAGGTCGCAGGAATCTACGGGTGCGACGAGCAGCCAGCCTTGCGACGCTTCACTCGCTACAATCAGTCGATCGTCGCGCGCGAATCGAGTCCCTCACTGATGGCTCCGCCGCCGCCGGCCACAGTCTTCTCCAAAAGGTTCATCAGTGGCGTCCATCTCTTAGTAAAGTCATTTCAGACAGTTTGAATTTCCGAGAGAATCATTATACTTTAGTGTATTCGCTAAAAGCTTGAGAATTGATTCTTCAATGGTTTATGGCGGAGTCCTCAAAAAATAGTTTTGTTGAAAACAAAAGTTTCGCGATTCCCTAATTTTTTTTTGCATGTTCTCTAATAGCTTTTCTCGAGAAATCACTGTTGATCGATGTTTCTTACCGGGACAAAAAATAAAAGTTTCAAGAAAAGCTTTGCAGCTCGAAGAAACCGTCATTCTTCATCATGGGCAACTGGACTTTTCGCGACCGAAACAAATCGCGGCCTTCCATCACAGACGGCCTTCTGAGGTTTGTATTCACTTAATCATTCCAGGAAAGAAACTGAAAATTAAGGATTTTGAATCTCCATCGATGCAAAGAAAATGTTTTAAACAAGATGTCTGTCTAAAAAATCTAGTTTTGCCGACATATGAATGTCAATCTTGTTATTTTTGGCATGATGAAAGTGTTGAATTAAAAAATGATCACGTCATCATGTTGACGGTTTCGAACGCGGTTTCAATAATGTTAACAGTTCAAAACGTCAATTATTTCATGAATTATCATTAAAGACTAAATCGCTGCGTCGAGACAGAAATCTTTAAACTTAGGGGAAAAATGTTCTAACTTCAACTGTCAAGCTGAATTTTGAAGTTAATTCGGTCTCTCTTTGGGCAAAACTGGGAATATGAATAATTGTTACGTTCGATTTCATGGGTGATGGGTAAAGATTTGCAATCGGACTTTCTTTTCTCGAGGAATATTATGCTAATCGGGTTAGCGGCAACCATAAAAGAGGTCGGCGACCGTCTTAGGCCCCTTCTGTGGGCTCAGCATTCCCCGAAAAATGTTTCTCATGGAGAACAAAATAGGATTCAGAGATTGTCTTTGGATCCAGAGAAAATGCTCAAAATCAATTTTCACATAAAACCGTTCTGTTACAGTATTTTGAAAATATGAACTTAAGGAAGCAAAAAAAAAACAAACGTTTTTTGTCAAAACCTTCACTTTCCGAGAGATTCAAAAACAAGACACAAAAGAACATGTGCCGCCGACAGGCTTATCTGCCGCGGTTTCGCGACTTTTTCGTTGCCAACCGGTGCGATTTACTCTTGTTTGGCAGTTTTACAAAGAAAAAAGTGCGAGTAGAATGGCAAAAAAAATGTGCAGATAAAACTTTTCCAGTATATTTAAATTATCCTTCAACAAGAATTTTTGAAAAAAAAAGGAACTTCTAGTTTTTTATTGAGAAAAATTTGATAGGGTTATAAATTCATAAGACGTTTCGGTTAGGATAAGCCTTCGATCCAATAGCATCTATTTTTCCTATTTTCACCTCACAAGATTCCGAAAACTCATAACTTTCAATTGAAACGTCAGAAATCTTTCATTCAGACAGGTCATCGATCAAACTGAGATCCCTAGAGGCCAAGATCAGGCGGAAGAAACACACAAAACAAAAGGAGATATTAATCTTCGAAAGGAAAAAAAAACCGGCGGTCCCCGATTTGTCTTCATTTCCGAGGAAAAAAAAAAACCTCGTATCCATTTATCTCTTCCAATTCTGACCCTTTTCTTTTAGTAGTAGTGGATTTCCAATTGGTATTTTGACCTCGTGATTGATGCGCTGCAGTTTTTCAGTTCCAAAGTGTCTTTAAGGCTCCTAATTGAACTTTCGTATCGACTTTTGAAGCAATGTAATTCTTCAACAGAGGAGAGACTCTTTGCAATGCAAATAGTAGACTTTGCTCCATCTGTTCGAATCAGATCTCAAAAAACAAAAAGAAAGTAATTTTTCTTTTTCGTGAACGTTGAAAGTTGAATAATCACTGAGAGTCAAAGAAAAAAACAAATCTCATCGGACCTTTTCAGGATTTTCTATCTCTCTTCAAAAGAAGCTTTGCAGAGAAGACCGACCGGTGAGCATGAACCTGTCGGACATGAGGTCCTCGCGGAGCCGAAGTGAAGCCGCGTCGCGAGCCTCCCCCATGACGTCATCGGCCCATAGTCCGTCGCTGAATGAAGAATTTCCACGACACTCTGAGTTTCGAATTCCAGTCAGAGTTGAGCGTTCTTCGATGGCGAAAAGGTCGCCCAGAAGTCCCGCTCCAGCCGTAGAACCTGACTTCAGAAGTGAGGCTAAGAACCAGGATGGTCAGTATTAAGAGATTTTCAGCAAACATTGCGGTAGACGACGTCGCGATCCTTCGTCCAAAGAAGGAGATCGAGCCCAACAACAACAACGTTAACCATCGGTTCAGCTTCCAGTCTTGGTACCTCTCCTACCTGTCCTGTTATTTAAATAGAGGCCAAGAGAATCCATAATCTTGACTGCCGAAGGAAACATTTGAATATAGACTCACTTCAACTTCTTAAAGTAAAAAAAAGGTTCACTCTATTTACCAAACGGATCGTTTGTCTGAAAGAAAAGGGCGACAAATTTATCAATAAGAATCGGTTTCTGAGACTTTCATTATTTCTTTCACTGTATTCCCATTCATACTTCACTCACTCAAGTGTTCAGCGTGCAAATGCGGAAGTCATGTCCAGATCTCGACACGACCTCCGTCGCCAGCATCGCCAACCTAGAGCAGCACCGCGTCAGCAAGAAGCGCAACAGACGGGCCAAAGAGAAAATGAGTCATGCGGCGTGGCGACGAAAACGGGTGCAGGTTAGTGTTAGTCCTGAAGCGAAAACACTCGAAGCGGTTGGAGGATTGGTCGCTGGACGACGTGCTTTTGTGGCTGCAGTCGTGCCAGCTCGACGAGGTCGCCTCGCTCCTCATCGGCTACGACCTCCGCGGCGAAGACTTGCTCCAATGGAACCACCAGACCCTTGGTGAGCCTTTTCGAAATAATTGTTTGGAAAACAATTTACTTATTTTGTTCATCAATGGATACTAGACCACGTACTTCGAGCAAGGTTGAGAACATGAAGAAAGAAAATCGAGATACAAATTTGACCTAAAAAATTTTCCAACTTACGTATATATTTATAGTCCCTCGAATTTTTCAATCTGATTTATCGAGTTTTGGAAGTACTGGTCATTTTGGCAGACGAATTATTCTCTAGCCTCCGAATTTTTACTTATGAAGAGGCAAAAATGATCAACCATTTTTCCAATTTCAAAGCAGCTCGAAATATTCTTCAAAAAAAGCCACACGAGCTTCGAAACGGCTCGTCTCGTCAAAAGTTTCGTCCTAATTCGACACGTGTTTTTGTCTCGATCTGCGTCGTTTTATGAGCGATCGGCAAAGATGCGCCAACACGATAAAGCAGAAGAACCTTGACTTCGGAGGGGAACCGCGAAAATCTGGAGATTGCAGTACAACTGGGCGTCGGTGACGAAGCGATCAGGGTGAAAATCCTCGACGAACTCGCAGCCATTCTCAAGACAGGTCCTGTTGAAGAAGAAGAGAAGCGAAATCCCCACAAAACACTCTTCGACATCGTCAGACTTACCAGCTATGATCAGGTAAGAATGTCCAACAAAAGCTTTGCGATTCATTTGAATTGAACATCTAAGTTTTCTTTGCCCTCAAAAGGGCAATAAAAGCTGAGAAAAGTTGCAGGTTTCTTTGGGTTGTTCAGAAAAAAAAGCTTATTTTGTCGCGATCGCTTTCTAAGCAACAACTTAAAGGCATATGAGCAGTAAAAAATTGAATTTGAGACAAATACGCCTTCTTGTTGAGCTCCTATTTCGTGTCGAATGGTGTATTTGGAAACGTACAGAACAAAAAAAGTTGCCTAGTTAGAGCATGAAAAACATCGAAAAACTTCGTCCAGTACGAATTTTCTTTTGTTCGAGTTTCAGAAAAACTTTGAATTCCGAGTGAAATCGCCTCCTTTGTTTCCGATTACCCGAACTTCTTCAGGTCCTCGCCGTTGAAACGCCTCTGACCACACGAGACATCACTGTCACACACGGACGCCTTGGCTGCCTACAAATAACCAAAGTCAACGGCGTGAACCTCCCTCTCCGTGAGCAAGACTGGTTAGTTCTTGTTGGGATTGGCCATAGTCAACGACAAGCTTCAGCTTGCTGGAGATCAACGAGCGGCCTGGCGAGCAGTTCAAGTCCGCCCTGATGCTCACAAAACTCATCAGCGACTCCAACGGAACGCCCATCCGATTCGTCGTCCTGCGACGCAAAACCGAGGAAACACTCGATGACAGCATTGTGAGTTTTGAAGCGTGAAAATTTTTTTTTCGAGTCCAAACGAAAAGGATTTCAGAACGAGCGGTCAAGTAGTGGGATCTCATCTTCTCCGCAAACTCCCACGGAATGAATTACTCGCACAAAATGTCTTAAATAAAGTTCTATTTAAAAAAAGTGATGATTAGCACAGGAAAAATAACCCTATCATGAGGAAGCTCTTTTTTCCTATTGTTTTTCAAACGAAGCTACAAGAATATATAATCATATAAAATTCAAAACTTTAACCTTTTTTTAAACTTTCTCCTCCTCTGAATATGAGGATGAGGATTTCTCGAAGTCGCAACCTAAGCTCACTTTTAGTTTAAGAACTTCGAAAGAACTAGCGTTTTGGTTGTAATTTTGATCTTTTTTTTTTTTTAAAATGAACTTTAAAAAAATCATCACTTCAGAATTAACCGGATTCGCGCAGTAATTTCCAGAGAACTATGAGCAATTGGAACGTCCAGATTTTTCGGTCACTTTTAAGGAAATATTAAAACTTCACAATAAAATCATCTCCCTTGCAAGGAATAATGTCTTTCCATTGATCCAATCCTATACGGCTGCACACACCTTTTTCCTTCTGTAAACGCTTCATTACTTGTAGTAAGCGTGCATATGGCGATGATAGATGCAGTGCTTGCCGAGAAGCTGGATGATGTCGTTGTTGTGCGCGGCCTTGAGCTTAGGCAGCGCGTCAAACCACTTGATGACCTGAAGCTGTTGCTCTCGACGTACACAACTTCCGATGCAACCCCCTCTGTCTGCACGTCGAAGTCGTCGACAGCCATCTGGTAGCACACGGCCTTTTTCTCGATCTGCGCCGTAGTCTTCGCCTGTCGGATCTCCATCTTGGCGTTGTCCATCCGCTCGCGAGCCCTGAAAGTCAGCTTGCTGTGATTGGACCGAGGAGGAGATCACGTGTCGAAGGCCTTCTTCTGAGCGCAGAACTTGGGGTAATCGTCGACCGGAAACCTTCGCAGATGCCGCAAAGTGTACCGCTGATCCTTCTGACAACCGATGAAGATTTAAAATTAGAAAAATGAGAGATCCAGCAATATAAGCTTCCGACTATTTTGACCTGTTCAATAAAAAAGAGGAAACAGATGTTTATAAGACACATTCTGAAATATTAGCTCACCTAGACATTCTCTGATCTAAACCCGTTGATATTTCTAGAAGCGTTATTTCGTTAAAACAAATTTGATTGTCATAAGTAAATTCAGGTATTTTTAGAGAAAAAGTTATTACCTGACAAATGCGTTTAATCTTGACGGCTTGAGAAATGTTACTGGCTCTCCTTTCTAATGAAGTTTGTACTTCACCATGGAAATATTTCTGGAGTTGATAAAACAAAAAATCGATAACTGTTCGTTGAAAATAAAACACCTTGTAATCGTGAAGAGCCATGGATAGCTTGTATAGCGGTTCATCTTTGTCAAAAATATTGGGCTGAAACAAGCCTTATTTTTCCAGTCAAAACATTAAAACGGTAATCGATTGAGGAGTCTTTCGAGAAGTAAATGAAGATACTAATGAGACTTTTGGGTTCAGTTTTGATCAGCTTTCTTTCAACTCTTCAATTCTAGAAAGAAGAAAAATCCAAATTTAAAAAACTTCTGTTCGAAAAGTCGATATAGCCCATTCCGCGTCAGCTTTTCACGATTTTCGTTTCCCTCCGAGCTACAGAATCATTCCGTTTTGAGCGCGCGGCCTATTGCTGTGCATGCGCCTTTAATTTGGTTTGAAAAATTTCATTACATTAAAGACGCGTCGAAGAAAAGGGTTTTGTAGCTCAGAAGAAAACGAAAATCGAGAAAAGCTGGCGCGGAATGAGCTAAAAAAAACTCCTCGCGAGTTGTTAAGTTTTTAATATCTGAGAACTACGGTATATAACGTTTTTTCACGCGCTTCGCTTCAAGACCAAAAAACTTTTGCGCTTTCGCTTCTTGGTCTGTGACATACGGTATTTCGGTCAGAAAAAAAAGGGACAAGCTAACGCAGAATGGGCTGCAATTTTTTATAAGTCAACTGTGTACATGAATATTTCTCTCTCGTTGATCAGGATCCTTTCATTCTAATGACTATCTTTATTGAAAGAAAGAACGAACGTCGCGCCCTGGTAAGTAGCAGGCTTCAAGCTGGGCGACAAGCTTTGTAACCGCCTCATCATATGTCGTGTAGTGTTGACAGTCCTGAAGATTTTACTCAACAATAAAAATATTATATCATCGTGAAAACTTTCCTGAAATCTTCTGTCATCTCAGTCTGCTCGCCATCAGTTTTCTTTGCCATCAAAAAGGAAAATTTGAAAAACCTTGCGCCTTCTAAAAAGATGTTTTTCAGACCTTATATGTAAGACGCTGTTTCTGACCTGCAGTAGTGGAAGACGAAGACGGTCCATTTCTTTCCGAAGCAGCCATCTATCAGAGACTCAATTAGAAATAATAACGTTCTTAAAAGTGCCAACCCATTTTTTCTCACGTCTTTTTTTTATACTTATCTTTCTATTTAAATGAATACCGCGTTCTAAATAATTTGGCAAAAAAAAAGATCTCGAGCTGCCCCAAATAATCTTGAATGCTCTTTTCACTCTGCGGCAAAATAAATTTATAACTCGCTGAAAATATTAGGAGCGGCATAAAAAACTTTTAAACTCTCAGTTTTGAAAAGGCCGATCATTTGTAAAGCCGTTAACTGCTGGTGAGATGGAAAAAATAGGGTTTCGAAGTATGGTTTCTAAGTATGGTAAATGAGATTTTTTGCCGTGTTCGAAGTATTTTCGCGTATATTAAAACGGTATTTAACTCTTCAAGTACTCGCTTTTTTCGATGGTATGAAAAAAAAGCCAGCGAATTTTCGAACGGCGACTTTTCCGATTTTGTCATATAGGCCATTCCGCGCCAGCTTGTCACGTTTTTCTTTCGGCCAAAAGACCAGGTCAAATTTTACCAACTTCGCTTCAAGACCTTTGTTTATTGCCGTTATAAAAGCAGAAAATTGATCTAATTTGGTATACGGTCTTTTTGGCGGAAAGAAAAACGTGACAAGCTGGCGCGGAATAGGCTATACTGCTAGGGAACTTTTCGACTGAGATTTTTCCGACGAATCCCTTTCCGACTTTTTTACCCTATATTTTTCAGTTCATAAAACATCTATTAACTTTTTTTTCTATTTTTTGTGTGTTTTAATAATTAATCAACTATCTACTTTATATGAGAAGATTCAAAACGAAAAGTTTTAAAAGTTAGCGATATGAAAAACTCGGAAAGGTCGTCGTTCGAATTTTCGCTGGTCTTTTTTCATACCACCTTTTTTTCTATTTGTGATCGACTTTTAAATTAGTGTGATTACTTCAAAACGGCATTGAAAGCAAGGAAATTTAAATTAAATGGAGTTTTCATCAAAGAAAAAAAAATGGTATATATAGTTGCTCAGAAACACGACAAAATGCTACAAAACTGAGATTAGTACTGTTTTGGAGCAAATTTGAAGCTCCAATAAACACTTTTTCGTGCTTTGAAACATGTTCCATTTTCTGATCGACACGCCATAATAAATAACACCCAATTTTGTGGACTATATCGCAGCGAGAGTAACGCTATACCGCGGGAGGAGCCGCGAGCGATATCGCTCGCCTCTCGCTGCGACCTCGCAAACGTCTTGCGCTATATCGCTCTCTGAAAAATATTTCTTCAAAAATGTTTTTTTTTGAATTTGATTGATTTCATCATAAAAGTCAAAAATAAAGCAAAAAAAAATGTTTTTCAAATTTCAAATTTTTAAGAGGGAGTGATATGACAGCGAGACTTTGACGACGTCGCAGCGACATGTTGACGAGATCGCAGCGAGAAGCCTTGGCTATATCGCGTGCGGCCCGCCGCGATATCGGCAATTATGTTGGGTGAAGAGAATTATTTCTGTTTTCTGTTTTTGAGTCTGTTTTTGTCGGAAAAATTTGCTCTTTCGAGAACTGAAGACGCAAGCCGGATTGCCGCCTTTTTCGTTCCATACAGGACCTTATTTGAAGTTTCTATTTTTTTCAGTTTTTTTTTTTCAATTTTACCTATTTCTATATTATTTTGAAAGGTTATATGGGCCTTATTCAAAGTTTTTTCCGCGAAATGCAAAATTATCTCTGACTCTCCATATTTCAGTCATCTATTCACTCTCTGTCGGGTATTTTGAACTTCGCGGTTTTACTTTAAACACCTAATGTTTTTGATATATAGCCCATTCCACTCTAGCTTGTCCCGTTTTTTTCGCCATAATTACCGTTTACCAAACTTCAATGCCTTAGTTTTTTGCTGTCTTTTTGCCTGTTTTATTAGAAAAAAAAGCACAAAAAACTGTTTTTGCGGTAGCTTTTTTTTTGCAGTTCTTTCGAAACGTGACCGCTTCGCGCGGAAGCAGTATAATATATTTTCTTCTCTTTTTTTGAAAACCCGATTCATGGTTTTGAGCTCCACTAGTCGTAATCGAAAATTTCAATTGAATATTTTCATAGACAAGAGTACACCAGTTCAGACCTATAGGGACTCGTCCGGTTTGCTTTGCGCCGTCTCCGCTGGCCATAATAGATCATTTTTTTGATTACATTTTTTTATTTAATATATATTGGATAGAAAATCACAGAAATTACGATTGTTTACTTACTTAAGACGGATTTTCAAATCTAAGCTATTTTCTAAGATTTGCTGACGATTGAAAAAAATAAACTTGATCTTCAAAACTAAATGTGTATCTTTTTTTAATGTTTTAATTGTGTTTTCCTTCAAATTTCTCTACTTTTTCGTACAAAAAACTCGTTATTAACGAAGATATCGCTCAAAACCCGCTATTGGTGTATGCATAGTTTAAAAATACAGTATGCCGAACCGACGGGCTGAACAGATGCAGGCTAACAGTAATTTTTCATGCACACGGCATGAAAGTAGTAAAATGAAGAGGCTCTGCGCGCAAAAATTCGAAAAAAATTTAAAATTTCCCCAAAAATATATCAAAATGTTTGATTAAAATATTTGATTATCGATAATTCAAATTTAATATTTTTCTTTTTGTTTATCCCGATCTTTTTTTCTTTGTTTTATATTTTTTCCGATATTTTTCTTTCTCCGTTCAATGCGTTTCAAAGTGATTTCGGCGATTTCGAAGTTGACGCGATGTTAAGTAAAAAATGGCTTAACGAAATGAAAAAAATTTGAATTCCGAGAGCCGTTTTAAAAAAAGTCCTACAAGGATATATCGTAATATGCAACTTTTTACGGTGTCTTCTTCTCGCGAACTCCAAATTTTGGAATTATTCGGGAGTTTACAGGAAATGATAAAAAGAAATGATTCCGATTTTATTTGGGCATTTTTAACGAAAAGTTCTCGCGCGTGGAAGTCTTCGTAAAAAGTTATATATTGCGATGCATCGTTGTAAGACCTATGCTTTTACCCGTTTCCGGAATTCTAATTTAGCCAATTCAGCGAAATTCTTTCCAACGAACAACCCGTGAATTTTAAAATTTCTAAAATTTCTTGGAACACGGCATGAAATGAAAAAAAAACTCCGTAAAAACTTTGAGGTCTTACCTTTTTCTTCTGCTTTCAAGGAATGGAAACGTTCACAAATACTTTGTCTTTACTCCAATCAACGGATAATGACGTGCGAAAAAAAGCTGAAGAGCAATACGACAGCTATCCTCCTGCTGAGAAAGTTGGCGCTCTCATGGAGGTGTTTGTCAAGTCAGAAAACGTGGAAGTATGTGATTTTAGAGCTGGTTCTAATAAATGATTTCCCTTTCAGTTTAAGCTGACATCGTTAGTGTATTTGCGACGTGTGATATCTCGAGACTGGGACGACATTTGGGAGGCTCTAAATGACGAAAATAAGCAACGCTCACTGCAAAAGGTTTTGAGTATTTAGTGAGTTTTTCGACTTGTTTCTGTTTCAGGTCTTAGAGCTGGTCATACAACCGAACGATCTCCAAATTCGTAAGCGTCTGGCTGAAGTTGTTGCTGAAATCGCCAGTAACCTCATTGGTACAGGAATACTTCGAAGATTTTTCAATTTTCGTGTATCTCAGAAGATGAAACGGGTAAACAGCAATGGGGTGATCTTCTGGCCTTCATGGATCATTGCGTTTCTACCGAAAATGATGTTCCTCTGTTGTATGTTGGACTTCTGATCATAACGTTAGTCGAGAAAAAAGTTGCTAAAGTAACCTGTTTATATTTTTAGGAACGCTCCCAACTTGTTTGGAACCGCGTTAGCCAAGTATCTGGAGAAAATGAAGGTTTTTACTCTTTCCAAATTTGATATAGTTGATGAAAATGAAAACAATTAAACAAACTCGAGCTCAGGTACTTTTTTCGCGAGGGCTGTCATGCTCCGAGCCTGAAATCCGTGCTCTCGCTGTTAGAGCAGTGGTGAATTTTTCCATCGATAACGAAGAAGAAAAGCACTTGGTGAAAGAAATGGCTACGTTGGTGCCCGCTATCCTGCAGGTTTGTCCGTTACAACTTTCACACAAAGAAAAACGAAGAGATCATAAGGTTTGCTCTTCCTCGTCCTCACAAGAGGATGATACGGAAGGTCCTTTTGGAAGCCTCGCCGAACTTGCTCAACTTTTGCCAAAAATCCTCACGCCACATATCTTCGACGTTTTGTCTCTTTGTATCGCGGTATTTCTTATAATAATATGATATTTAAAAAATTTTTTGTAGACCACCAACAACAAAGATCTTCCTGAAACCGTGCGTCAAAATGCACTGGAGGTTACTGTCGCTTACGCTGAGACTGCGCCGAAGTCTTTAAAGAAACATGCTTCAAGTTTCATCCCGCCTATGAGTAATAATTTAAATTGAACTTTTTACAAAAAAATAAGTTTTTCATATAGTTGAGACTTGCATGATGTTCATGGCTGATTTGGAAGATGATCTTCTTGAGGAGTGGCTTGAAGAAATAGACGAGGACGATCTTGAAGAGTAACTTTCAGATCTCATATAACTTATTTTTTTCTTTTTTCAGAGCTCCGTCGATCGGGGAAAGTTCTCTCGATAGAATTGCTTGTTCTCTTCATGGAAAGGCCGTCTTGCCAACTATTTTACAAATTGTTGAACGATATTTGGGATCTGGTATTGTTTAATGCAGACTGTCGCTTATGAAGTCGATCTATAGCTGATTGGAAAATGAGGCATGCCGGCTTGAGAGCGTTTTCTACTGTTGGTGAAGGATGCAAACGGACAATGGAGCCTCAGATTGAGATTTTTGTGGCGCATATTGCAAAGTTTACCTCGGACGAAGTTTTTTATTCCTCTTTTGTTTTCTATGCGTTGTTTCCAGCATCCTCGAGTCCGTTATTCGGCTTGCAACGCTCTCGGGTTGATGTCTTCAGATTTCTGCCCAACTCTGCAGAAAAAATGTCATAAAGATGTGAGATTTGGAGAAAAAAAAATTTCGAATCAAAAATTCAGGTGATTGCCTCGCTTCTCAAATGCATGGAAGACACTGCTTGTGCGCGCGTCTGTGCCCATGCATGCTCTTCCATCTCCAACTTCTGTGAGGGTTGTCCCAAAACGGTTTGTGCTCCATTAAAAATCGAAAGCAGTTGGATTTCAGATTATCGCGCCGTATCTTTCTTTCTTGTTGGAAGGACTTGAGAAGGCGTTAGAGGCAAGTCTGAAACAGCTCTCAGATAAGAAGTGCAAGCTCATCGTTGAAAACGTTTTCTGTCTCTGCTTTTTTTTCCTACGTAACGTTTGAAGGCGGTTCAAGCCATCTCATCCGTTGCGGAATCGGCCAAGGACTACCTCAAGGACCACTACGCACGTCTCATGACTTCGCTGATCTATATTTTGCAACACAGTGATGTAGAGGACCTGAAGGTTTCCTTTTCCATCCGGATTGATAATTTTGAAATGTTATAATCTACTCGCATGTTGGTGAGTAGCACCCGCGAGTGCTACGGCCGATCACCCGTTTAACCCCAGTCGAGCACCCGAAACGCAACTTTTAGCCGCGAGTAGATTGTCCAGCGGAATTACACAAGCGCCTAATTCGCGTTCCGAGCTCCCGTTTAGGTCCAGGCGATCACCCGAAACGTTAAAAAACACCGCGTGATCGGCAGTAGCAACCGTCGAGCACCCGTTTCGCAAAATTATGACGTATTAGCCCAACGGGTGATTCTCACCAACATGCGAGTTGTTTAAAGATATTTTGAGTAGGAATCTTCGTTTTAGCTTAAAACCATTTGTTTTCGAGAGCACCGCCATAAGTTGCGCTTGATTAGTCGTAAGAGACCAACCTTGGTAGAAACGTATTACAAAGTTTTATACGAACTATTTTTTTTTAGGAATTGCGTGGAAAAACGATCGAATGCATTTCTTTCATTGGACTGGCAGTTGGAAAAGAAGTTTTCGGGGCAGATGCAGTCAACATTCTCAATTTACTTAGTCCAAGTATGACTTCTATGGAGATCGACGATCCGCAATACAGTTTCATGATTTCCAGTTGGAATCGCTTCTGCGAAGTATTACTTACTTTTTCTAATTTTTGAGAAGAATCACTTCAGATTCTGAAAGAAGACTTCATTCCGTTCCTTTCGGTGGTTATGTTACCTGTTATTCGAGCTGCTGAATATCGTCCCAGCTTGTCTGTTTATGATGGTAGTAAAATTCAGTAACCGAAGATGTTTCGATGTATGACGTTGCTTACAGCCGAGGAGAAAGAGAGCGACGATGAAGACAGTGGCTATGACTATCCTGCCCAAGAACCTGAAGATAAAGGAACAATCAGCTTCAGAACGAGCGGACTGGAAGAGAAATCTATTGCATGCGAAATGCTCATCAATTTTGCGCGCGACATGAATAGTTTTGTTAAACTTAGATTCTCAGAAAAACAAAAAAATTTCAGCGGCTTTCTTACCGTGGGTCGACAAAGTGGCAGAAGTTTGCACGACCAACTTGAACTTCCAAATTGACGACAGCGTCCGCCATTCGGCTGCTCAAACTATTCCTCATCTTCTGAATTGCGTTAAAGACCAAGTATTTTGCAATTCCCAAAATAAGAACCCGGTTGATTTCTGCTCAGGGCGCTGCAGCTCAACGTCGATTGTGGTCCACCTTCTTTCCTTTGCTCTGCAACGCTATTCGCGAATCGGAAGTCGAAGCATCTGAATTTTTTGCCAGTATCGCTGACTGCATTACTTCTTTGACCAAAAATGTATGTTTTCCATCACTCATGACATATAACCTTGAATAATGAACTTTTCAAGGGATTGACAAAGGAGGAGTTTATCGAAATTTTCTCTCTTCTCAACAGTGAACTCCCTAAATATGCGAAACGAAAAATGGAAAGACTTTCACGAGATGAAGAGGTTTTTCTGTCTGTTAAATCATTCTTTTGAAAATTTTTTCCAGGAAGAGGGGGAACCTGAAGAGCTCGACGAAGAATCGGAGATGGAAAGTTACTATTTGGATTGCCTATCTGGCCTCGTAAATGTCTTGATGGAGGTTTTTCAGAATGAAACCGTTCAAAACGTTCCATTTTTCTCAGACGACGAAAGGAGAGGCGTATGAGAGTCTTCTACCTATTTTCGGCGCATGCATGGAGCTGGTCAGAAGCGAGAACTGTTTCTTTGAACGTCAGCAGGGAATGTGCATTCTTGACAGCGCCATTGAGTTCGGACCCGAGGCACGCGAAAACTTCGTCGGAACGAGGACTTTTTTGGTTACAGCATTTGGGCAGCCGTTTCGATTACCTTCCTGTCATGATAAAGCTCTTCTCTGACGAGTCTCCGGCTGTACGCCAAGCTACAGCCTACGGCGCTGGAATAATGGCTTTTCGGTGTGCGGAAATTCCAAACTACAAAAACGATGTACTTCAACTGTTGGAACCCCTTGCAGCCATGATTGGAAGGTTCTTCAGAAGTCGTACAGCAAGAAGAATATGCACTTGTTTCAGAGAAGATGCTCGATCCACCGAAGACACAGCAGTTGCAACAGAAAATGCGATTTCGGCTTTTGCCAAAATTCTCATGAACGTCCAGCTTGAAGAATCTATGCTAAACCATGTAAGGATCAAAAAGATTCTATTTTAAATACTTTTTTCAGTTTTAAATTTTTTTCATTGATTTTTAATCATTTCAGGGAATCGACATGTTCGTCAACTGGCTGCCGACTCACGTTGACAAAGTGGAATCCCCGCATGTCTATGGCTTTTTGTGCAAACTGTTCCATGGAAACCACCCTGCTCTGCTTGGGCCAAACGGTGAACGTGTACCACACATCCTGCGCATCGGTATTTTTGACTTATTTTGTGTACATCTTTCGAAACTTCAGCCTTGTCCGCCATCCGTGATGCAGCTTTTGAAGAAGATTCTGAGGAAGGGGTCACAGCCAAGAACGATTTGATTGGTCTTATACGCGAAATAAAGGCCAAAGAACACCATTTCCCGAACCTGATCGAAAAAGCGCAGTTGGACGAATCCTTGGTCGCAATTTACCAAAACTAAAGCATTCTGTTAATAACTGAATTTTATATATCCCATAAAAGTTTGTTGTTTTAAATAAACGTTATACAGTATCGGAATAATATTAATCTGAAAGCCTTGATCGGTGTCTCTCACCAACTATCTTGAAGTTCCGTCCCATTTTCAACTTGATTTCTATTTTTGAATAATGCTTTTTTTTCAGCAAGCATGTCTCAACATACAAAGATTAACAATTCGGTTTGATGCAGACTCACTTTTTCCTCATTCTCATTGTTTTTAGCGCAAAAACGCAGCAAAATCTCAATCGGATATTACGACCGCTCAGGAACAAGAAAAACCGATCGAAACTCTCAAAATGGTAATATTTTTCTCTGCAATTATCTCACTCAGAAATTTAGGAAGATAAAGTGGAGGACAATCTTAAACCAGAAACTCTCCCTACTCAACCAGAAACGTATATTTTTTCTATATCTTCCTCTGGATTTTGCTCGTTGTCCGAAATTTAGAAGTGTTTTTTGTAGGAGAAATCACGTCTTTTTTTTCATTCTTGTATGCAATAAGTTTGAAGGAGCGATGAAAAGAAGAAGCTCGAGACGCGAAAGAGAGGCCGTCCGCCAGGAGTTATTCGCCGTGCTGTGGATAAGGCGAAGCAAAGGAAGAAAAAGAGAAAGAACTCCAATGTCGCTTTCTCCTACTACATACATAAAGTTTTGAAACAAGTTTTTTTTTCTGAAAATTTCAGATCAAATATTTCGCCTGTCTAGGTGCATCCCGATTGCAAAATTTCGGCACGAGCTATGTCCATCATGGATTCAATGGTTAACGACGTCATGGAAATGCTCAGCGATCAGTCTTCCAAACTCACCGAGGTCGCCAAGAGAAACACTGTAACGGCCAGGTTATTTGCTTCTTGGAGCTTTTGATCAAGGCAATTAGCAGAATTTAAAGTTGAAATGAATTGCTAACTTTAGCAAAGTTTTCTAAAAGGTCTTTTTTTCAGAGAAATTCAAACTTCTGCTCGTCTTCTTCTCCCTGGGGAGCTCGCCAAGCATGCTGTTTCGGAAGGAACCAAGGTAATCCTCAAAATATAACTTATGAAGTAGTAATAATTTTTGTAGGCTGTCACGAAGTACATGAGCAGTATTTCTCAATCGGGAAAAACTACTTTCTGAATGGAAGTTCCCACATCTGTCAAATCTGATTTTGTACATGTTTTCTTGATTTTGTTAAGTTTCAAATAAATATATGTTGTTTATGAATAGCTACTTTTCGGATTTTCGATTTAGTCGTCAGTTTGCGCGTATGCACACATCGAGATGGTGTGGCAAGCGCGCTACTCTCGTGATGAGCATTCAAAATTTTCACCTAGCCGTTTTGGAATCTTTTCGTTTTCATGAGCTCGCAATTTTCACTTTAAATTGTCAGCTCAGATAGTTGTCGTTACTCGATTTTTAAAACTGTTTAAATAATTTTTTTAAAACAATTTCTTGAAGAAGTTAACCCAGTAGAACTATGTAATATAATAAAAGCAGCCATCTGTTCATTAGCTAAACTTTTTGATAGAAAGTGGAAATATAGCTGATTTCCAGTTAATGTATTAAATTTTCTCCTTGCGGTTATCAACAATTCTCTCAGAATGTCAATAAATCATGCGGCAATGAACGCGCAAAACGACAGCTTCTGCATTGCTTCTGAAGCCGGTGTCAAAGTTTTTCATTCGTCGCCGCCCGTTTTGAGCCGCGAAATCAAAGCGGAGTGTGAGTTGATCGGGCGGTTCGAACTCAAAAAACTGGGAACCGTTTAGTAGTGGGAAATGCTCGACTGTGCTGCGTCCTGCATCGTTCGAACGTGGTCGCCTTCGTCGGCGGCGGCAGAGGCACGAACTATCCTTCAAACACGGCCATGGTCTGGGATGACGACGCAAAGAAAGTCGCTCTCGAGTATACTGTTCCCGGTTTGTTCGCACTAGATCTCGTTGGGAAAAATATGACCTATTGCTTTAAAAAAATATATATATCGCTGGCGAATGAAGATGAGCAAGGTATATTAAGTTACAGTTTCTTACATTCGTTTTTTTCTTCGTTTTCATTAAAATCTTCATTTTGTGCTCAATTATTTATGATTTTTTTCACTCAAAGTCTATAATTTTTTTTTAGGAGGTCCGATATTGAACCTTTTGATGACGCCAAACCGTCTCATAATCGTACAGGACAAAAAAATTCACTTCTTCATGTTCCCCGATGGTAACAAGCCTATAAGGTAGAATTTTCTCAAGTCAACAATTGAGTTTGTTTTTTTTTAGGTTCGAAGACACGCGTTTCAATCCACACGGCTTGGCTGCAGTCAGCATCGACGAATTAACTGGCCAGCAGCTGGCTTTTCCTGGCTTCAAGGTGATTTTTCTGGTGTTCAAGGCGTATTTATCTTTTTCTTTTCAGATTGGCAGCGTTCGGATCATGAATTTGAACAGTCTGAACGAGTTTGAGACGTTGGCACCGACGACGATCAACGCCCATTTGACAGAAATCGCTCAGATCGCTATGAACAACCAAGGAACTCTGCTGGCTACGGGATCCACGAAAGGAACTGTTATCAGGTTTGAAACAGATCGATTACGAAATTGAAAGTTCATTCCAAAATTAAGCGAAGTGTAGAAACAAGTTCTTTCTAAATTTTGGAGTAAAAAATCAAGAAGATACTGAAAAAAAAGAGATTACAAAATTTATTTTTTCTTACTTTCACTTTTTCACACTTTTTTCTTTTTATTGACTCTCGACTATGCAATTTTGGACACTTGGGATTTTAGGGTGTTCGAAACGAGAACGCAGCGTTTGCTCGTGGAGTTAAGGAGGGGCAACGTGCAGGCGAGCCTTCATTGCTTGTCTTTTTCGCCTTGTTCCACTTTTTTGGCCGCTTCAAGTGACAAGGTGATCAAGTTTTTGAATATCGTAGCGTTGAGTGAACTCTGAAACTTATTTCAAAATTATACGTATGAGGCTATTTGCTACGCAAATATGTAGAAGTTCTATGTCGAACGTTTATTTTTATAACCGGAAATTTCATAGTTTTCATCGATTCACTTTTCAAATTTAGAGTTTGCAAATTTTCAAGGCGAAAAAGTTGTCTCTAAAGTCTCTGTTAAGGGTACCATCCACGTATTTCGGATTCGAGATACTGAAGAATCTTCACAGCGACAGGTCCTTCGACAGGTTTCGTCTTTTTTTTTTTTCTTAAATCTTAAAAATTTATCGAAATTCTAATTTCCAAAGCGCAGTCAGAATTATAGTTCCATGTATAGAAGGAAAAAAAAAATTCAATTTCATTCATTCGATTTTCAAAAGCTTTTCAAATTATAGTGAAAAATGAAAAATATAGGTATTTAATTTTTCAACAGTAGTGAAAGTTCAAAGGTTTTTTTTGGGATATAAAATGAGTTTTAGGTTGGCTTGGTGAAAGGAGCTGCCGATGTGGCGAAAATCTCATTGGAGCCTCGCGTTTTGTGCTGCGGCTTCACTAATGGTGGGTTCTACTCCGTTGTGAAACTTCAAAAGTTGTTTCTTACAGCGACTTCGACGTCTCTCCAATCTCTCGTTGTTATATGCGCCAACGGGACTTATCACAGGTTTTTTGTTGTATAGAAACTGTAACTTTCGATTTTTTTAAGCTGCAGTTCAGTTTAAATGTCTCTCCTTGGTTTTTTTAGTTTTTTTTTCGTTGAATCTGAGATTGTATGCAAAGGTGGAAAATAATTTTCCTGCCTCGAAATTTCCACCGTCGCGTACGCAACGCTTCACTCAAGCCACTCTGCAATTATCTCCTTGCTAGCCGTTTAAAATTGACTATACCAAGCGTTTTCAATTATTTTGTGTAATGATCAATTTTGAAGATATTCGTTCAACGCCGACGGTCACACACAACGAGAAAGCTTCGAGTCGTTGAAACAGCTCGGCGACGAGCAAGACTTCTGGACTTCTATATTTTAGGCCCATTTATCAAATTCTACCGATGGAAACATATTTTCTTTGCTTGCCTTGCCAACTTTTTCATAAATTGTACATCTTGTGCTGTTTATATTGTACGATACGTTGAAATTGTATACTTTGTTTTGTCTTTCAGTGATGTGGCCTTGCTTTTTCTGTTCGTATCTTTTCCTACCAATATTTGATTCATAAGTAATTCGTGAGGTTAGTTTGAATTTATTACTGCATTTGCTCATCCTCGATCAGGGTATTGGAAGCTTTTGTGATATCCGAACTTGTTGCATCTAACCCGCTAACTGCTGGCTTTCTTGAAGTTTTATATATTATTAGAGCTGATATCTTGGCTCGGTTTAAAGCTCCTATTGTGTTGAAATTTTATGAAGAACGTTAATAAAAAAACTTGAAAATTTTTGTGCGTTGGGCTGGTTTCGGTCGCACTCCGTGGAAGACGCTATTTTCATTGAGAAATAATGATCATCGACGTTTCAAGTTATACTTGAAAAGTTACCGTGAAGTGTACATATATTCTTATTTATTGTTGTCACATAATCTGGTGGCTTTCAAAAAATTAGAACATGCTTTTGAAAATGATGCTTATTATTGACAATTGTTGCGTTCTTCTTTCAAAAACAAAAAATTCGGGATCATTTGAATAGTCGAATGGTTTTTTTCTTTCGAAAAAATGATCTAGCTTGTAATTCAATTCAGCGTTTATCTTCGTATGGGACATAAGAAATTCGGACATACGAGTGAATCTCAAGTCACAAATCCCGAGACCGCCGAATTTCAGGTATTTCCTAGAAGTAGAATTTGTCCTGATCGAAGTATATTTGAAGACCTACTCGAGAATGAACCGCGAAGCAGCTGAAAGAGACACAATGTACGACGAGGTGAGTCTGAAGAAGAAAGATATGATTTCTATGATAAATGCAGAATACGCAGAATATAAATGCAGAATATTTTGTGTTTCTCACATTGAAATTTCTTTTTCATCTTTTTTTCATGAAGAAAAAGCTTCAGTTAATGAAATAAATTATCCACGGATAGTTTTCAACAAATAACAACAGAAAAAAACTTTGAGGACGATTTGAACGACCGTGTGGCGCGAATCGCGACGCGAGACAGAGCCTCTGAGAAAATGGGCCAACTTCTTCTCCGCGGCTTCACCATGTTGGACGCCAGTTGCGACACTTGCCATGTCAGCCTTCATCGTCTCTTTTTTCATCAAAGCAAAACTGTCATGGAAGATTCTTTGATTCCAGACAGTACTGATGGAGAAGGGCGGCGTGAGACTGTGTGTCAAGTGTGAGATGGACAGAGAAACGAGTGGCGGCTCTCGGATCGTCAGCGAAGTTCCTCTCGGTGAAAATAATCCGATCCTTGAATCTTCATTTTGCTCTTTTGCAGATGTCGGCTCTTCGAAAAATCCAGTTGCCATTCCGAAACAGACTGTCAGAATAGAGGTTTCCCCATTTCTTTATATTCATTGAAGTTTTTTTTTCAAGTCAATTCAAATTATTTTAAATGTTTATAAGAGAAAGGATTCCGAAGAAAAAAAGGTGATTCCTTATCAATAAGGAACTTAATTTAGAGTAGAAGGAGAATCATCGCTCTCAGGAGAAAAAAGACTTGCCTGAAAGTTTGTCTCATGCCCTTGGATGCGGAATAAAAATGTTCAATTGATCTTGTTATCTGCAACTTCTGAGCCGAGAAACGTATTATTACGTTGAGGCTGTCTGTAAAATCTTATCATTGCAGCCTTCGTTTGAACTGAGCATATATTCTATAGAAGTTTCTTGCTGTTCAAGATACTGCCAAGATATATAGTACTAGTAGAAACGGCCTTTCGTCTCTAGATCCTCATAAAATGCCGATTATAACTTTAAATTTATACTTCGCGTTAAATCGCAAACCGCTACTCCCTGACGTCATCCCTATGACATCATCTTCATTTACAAAAATTCGCACACGCAGCCATATCATTTTATTCATTTTTTTACGTTCCAATTTATAAATTAGATTCGACGTGAAAAACTTTTCCGGTCACATGAGAAGCAGAAAAGATATCACACTTGAAAATCCGCTTTTGATTGGAAACTTTTTTTTTATTCTTCTATTTTCTTATTTTTTTTAGAAACCTTTTGAAGGTTTGGAATATTCCTTGGCCCACGCTTACGCACAGTGTGCTCCTTTAAATTTTTTTTTCTTTTTTTGGGAAATACATTTCACAGATTTTTTCGCTACGCGTATCAAGTTTGCAAATCGTTTAGAGCTACCTGATAGTGTTATTAGTGTCCACGGTTAGAAACTAAATGCCTTCTATGTCAAGTATTCATTTATTTGACGAATTTTTTTCACTGTGGCTCAGTTTTTTTTCGAAGCGAGCCACAGTCGGCTTCGCGCTATGCGCGCTCCGCCTCCGTGTGAAGCCTTAAAAACTAAGCCTATTTTTCTTAAGTAATGCATGAACATGTAGGTGCAGTTTTAATGCAAAGGCGCAATTCAGGCCCTTCCCATTCTTCAATTTTTTCAATTTCAATTTCAATTCAATTCATTCAGTCTTCAGAGTAAGATGAAGAAAAATCTCTGCTGAATCATGGTATAATGGAAGAGTTAGTCGTCGGCGCGGGTTACGGTCCACAATTGTTGTCCAATACGTCCCGGAGTGACAGCTAGCGTTGGGAAATAATTTTTGGCCCGTTAGTAGTACCAGCGAATAAACTGCTTCACCATGTTGGAACAGTACGGCGCCCAGCTTGTCCAGGGCTGACGGGCGTCGGAATATTATCCCATGAGAGAGCGGCAAAGAGACCGACCAGTCGACGTGTTGAAATGAGATAATAATAATCTACTGAATCATGTTCACGTGAATAAAATGAATATATAGCCAAATATTTCAATTACGCTTATTTCTTGTGTTACGAATGATGTCATGAAATGACGTCAGGGAGTAGCGGTTTGCGATTTAACGAAAACTTTTTTGAAATACTCTCACGTGTTTGTCGAAAATTCTCCTGATTTACAAGAAAAGTGTGTGAGGTGAACATCGCATATCTGGTCCAAAGTTTGGGGTAGATAGTCCTAGGTATGAGTACTCGGAAATGAAAAAAAATATTTGCTAAGCGTCTCGGGGTACTGAGAAATAGCCTGTCGAAAGTGTACTGAAAAAGCTCAAAAACAGATTTTCGACTTCCAAATTGTCTACTATCATTCACTATATTCTAAGAAACACGAGAAAACAACCTTTTCTTCAGAAAAACCAAAGAATTTGAACGAGAAAACAACCTTTTCTTCAGAAAAACCAAAAATTTGTTTTCAAGCTCTTCCTGTACTTTTCCACTAGGCTATTTCTCAGTACCATATGCCGCTTAGCAGATGTTTCATTTCATTTTCCAGTACTCATATTAGGACCACCTACCGCAGAAGTTTGGACCAGACCTGCGATTTTCACTTCACACACTTTTTAGTTAGATATCGGTACTTCATAAAATATTTGTGTAACCGATTTAAGGCAAGGGTGACGGATGCTCCGAAAGACTGGGCGACGGCGGTCGAAGTAGAAGATCCTCCGGTCGAGCCGCGGCGGCTCAACTACCAAGCTCTGCGCGCCTCAACAAGCAGAAGTCAACCTAGAACTGCACATCAGAGTATTGCAGCTGTAAGTTGAAGATTCAATTTTTTGGGAGCAAGATTTAGGGGAAGGTCATGATAATCATCACTCGTTGAGGAAAAAAGGAAACGTTGCCGGAAAGTTTGTCTCATAACCTGAATGGCCTAATATACATACATTTTCAATTTATTTTATTTCCTGCAACTTATGAACCGAGAACAATAGAATATCATCCACAATATTGTTACAAACTCACATGTCTGGAGTTTCAGAAACCCCCAAAAGTTCTTGAAATCGCTGAGCAAGCGACAGAGGTGCTCAGCCGTAAGATGCAGAAGGTATTGGCCGATTTGGAGGCGTCCGATTCCAATTCAGAGGTCATCGAGCTCGCCTCCGTCCTCAATTCTCTTGTTTTCACTTTAACGTGTATTGAATCTTTGAAAAAACCATCCCAATAGATTTTAATCTCTTTTTTTTGCATGTCAGACAATAAAGTTTTCAATATTCTTTTTTTTTCCTTTCGTTCGAGGCTTCACCAACGAAAAAGTTCTGCGGTCTGTTTCAATTCGATAGTTCTCCTTTTCCAGCTTATTTTTGCAGAGATGAAGCGACTTCACAGCTTTCTGCACTTGACTCCTCCATTGCACGCGGACATGAAGCCCAACTTGATCTACCGGAAGGCGAAAATGGCCGGCAAAACGGTTGAGAAATATGCTGCGAAAAAGTTGAATAGGGTTCAAATACGGTTTTAGCGCTGTTTTTGCAGAATCTCCGTTCCAAAAATTCAAGGAGAACCTTTATTTGGCATTTATCCAGTTCTGGAAGCTCTCCAAATTCGTCATAGAACGTTCCATAAAGTTTTCGTCAAACCGTCTTTCAGGTTAGATTTAGCAATAAAAGGCAAAACGTTATGGAGATATGGGGAATTGAACCCCAGACCTCTCCCATGCTAAGGGAGCGCTCTACCACTGAGCTATATCCCCAACTGGACGCCGGGTGTTTCAAAGGCGTTACTTTCGCGAGCACTTATTCAATTAGTTCATCGATCCCTCAGGTTGATAGAAAGAGAAGTTTTAAAAATAGACGAATGAACGCTACTTCTTTTTTATAACACCACCACTAAAAAAAAAACGGGACGCGCGGAATAAAACCTTTTTCTTTTGTTCATTTCGTTTTTCGTATCTTTTTTGGCGACTAAATTTAGTTGCCAAAAAAGTTTCGATAATTTTCTGAATAAATGAAATAGGGAACATTTTGGCTTAACTGAAATTTGTCAAGGGCAATTTCTTTTAACCCCTTAAAAAGTTTTTTTTTATCGTGAAAAAACGTTTTCACCTTTTTTGGCAGTTAAACAGATTCACCAGATAACAATTTTTGCACTTTTCCTGTAGAATTGAGTAATTGAAAAACGTAACAATTGTGAAAATCATAAAGAACATTTATTTGCCTGTGCGGTTGAGAGTGTCGGTGAAGGTAGAGGAATCGTGGAGGAATTAGGCGGCCGTGATGGGAATCGTGACGTTGCCTGCAGGTTGTACGGCACCAAAAGCTGCCTGAGGATCGGCGGCGTCGGCGGGCGCCGGCGCGAACTGCACCACGAGTTTATCCTCCTTGGGCGGTCCGGAGAGCCGCGTCAGGGTCAGGTCAGTCGTCGCCCCGGCGTCGATGAAGCCGAACACCGGCTTGATCCGGTATTCTGTGTTGTTCGAACTCTTCACCTGCGATTCGTCCCGTATTCATAGTTTTTAAAAAAAATGTTCCTAGCAATTTACTTGTAAACTCGTTTGAATCTTTTCAGTTCTCTTTGTAGTGATCGGAAGTGAGTAGGCACTTTTAATGGTCTCCTCATAGTCTGTTCAGATTTCAAATGTCACGTCCTCGCTGTAGCTCCGTCCCCTAATGGCGCGATAAACCAATCAGAGAGCGAGCCACACACAGAGCGTTTTCGAATGAAGCCATTCTACTTGACATTCAAAATCTGAACAGCACACGACAAGTTTATAAAAACTTTAGAAAAAAATTTGAGTTGATATAAAATGGCTTTAGTAATAATAAAAAAACTTTCGAAGCCTTCAGATTTGTTAAACAAATTTTTCTTCTTGGATCATTCACACAACGAGAGAAAGTCACAGAAATCGCCAAGAAACTTTCGCTTTCCGTTTTTTTATAAAAAGAAAAACAAGAGAAAAAATTTTTTTATTTTTCCCTTTTTTTCTGGATTATTTTATCCAATAATAAACTTGATGAGTTTACCTTGAAGACGAGCTTGGCGTCGCCGCCATTGGCGAGCTTGTGTGCGGAGGTTCCGCCGCCGGCTGGAACTTGGGCTGCTGGAGGATCCACTGTGAGGGACATTTCGACGAGAAGAAACTTGGACGTCCAACTCTAGTCAACAGAACGCATTTTTACCTTTTATAGTGTCACGCGTCGAATCTACGTGATGATATCGATCTGGCGTTTCCAGGCCAAAGCTTCCAAAGTTTATTTTTTTGATTGAACTTCTTCTTCTTACGCCTTTGTACCGCTTGAGCGGCGTCGGCGCCCCAAGTCGATTAGCCGAGGTCCTATCCTGATCAGTGATAATCAGTGGACTGGCTCCAGTGATATATCCGTCCTTGTGTGTGACGGCTGGGGATTATGAAGCCGTGGTTTCCCACTACCAACATTTCTTAAACCCCTTGGTTGGGTCGGGGCGGGGATCGAACTTGTGACCCTGTGGATCGTAGGCAGGCACACAAACTGTTGCGCTACGGCGCGCCCATTTTTTGATTGAACGTTTTAGTATTTTTTTTTTCCCTCAATTGAATAGATAATATTCTTTTTTGAGAGCTCAAAAGAGAATATAGAGATTGAAAAAAAGAATATAGTGTGTTTAGGAAAGAAATGAGTTAAAAATAACTGTTTCAGAGGTAAATCAGTCAGTTCTTTGAATAGTTCAGTAGTAGTTGAACGAAAACTTTTTTCTTGCAGAGAACGGGCTCAAAAGGACGAAAATATTGGGAGAATCTTCGATTTAGTTGAGGAGCTCGAATTGGACGTCGTCGATGTCAATCATGATCAGTTAGACAGACTCACCGAGTTCCAACTTCACAACGTATCTCTTGAGTTGGGATTGAGGGAAATATCAAAGAAGTTGAGGGAGTTTGTGTGGATGCTTCGATTTTGCCTTTCCTCGAGTACAAGTCCAAGAGACTCTCTCTGTTTTTGGACCGCGTCCTGGACCCCGGAAACGTGGGCGCCATCGGCAGAACCGCGTTTTACTTCGGCGCCGACGGAATTTCTTACGTCAAAGGAAGAGGGTGAGGAAGATTTCCATCAAATTTTTTCTCGAGGTCACTCTTTAGAGCCGCGAGTGAATAAGAGGATTTGAAACGAGTTTGAAAATATTTACTCGCCTTGAAACTTTTGAGGAAGTTTTCTGTGTTCTTTCAGTCAGAACGAAACAATTTTAAGCAAAAATTGATTATTGTATAATTTTCGTTTTTGCAAAGATTGAGCTGTATGTACAGTAATTAAACTGACTATAAAATTTTTTCTCAAAGAGAGATTGGTTGAATCCCATCGCTGTTGGCATTCGTATATTGGAGTCCCTGAAGAGTATTTTCAGAACTTTGCGAGCTCTACTATTAGGTTGGCATGAAAGAAATGCGGCTCGTTTTTGTCGGCTTATAATTCATCCAAGAAGCAATATTATTTGGAACGGTATTTTTTGTCGAAAAGGGCTTGTCCTTGTGCGTCATTGGATATATAGTTTGCTGACGTTCATTCCGCCTTTCTACAAGAAAAATAGCTCTAAAAACTTCCTTTCAAAAACTGTATTCGCGGACCTAGTTTTCGCGTTATTTCAAAAAGTACAAATCAAATTCAGAAGCTTGGCAACTTTCAATATTATGATCACCATTGATGCTTTTTTCTGATAGTTAACATTTTGAATTGCTTTAGCGCTATTCACTAGGCGAAAAGACCTTTGAAATCAAAAAACACGAAAAAATCGACGATAAAGGCGAATTTAAAATGCCATTAGACTGGATCCACAACAGATACCTGTGAAACTGGCTCATCAGTTATTACACACCCATATCTGCAAAAGAAAACAGTTTTTTCACGCAACGGAGTGCAAAAAAGGAAAAATGAAAAATGGCTTCACGATATCGCTTTTTCGTTTTTTTGCGAAAATGTGTTAGCCCAAAATCAGAAAAACTGTTCTACAAAATTTTGCTTTTTTCGGTACAATGCTCAGACATGATTCTTCGCATTTATCATCTGTCCGAATCATTGAATCGCTTAACAGCCAAAAAAAATTGAAAAACTCCGATGAAGCCCAAATTTGGGGGTGCAACTTCTTTGACTCGTAGGCGGCCCAGTTTGTCAGAGAGAGTATCCATTCTCTGCGTAAGCATTGTTGACAAGGTACTAATACAGATAGAAATTACATTTCGAATTAATTCGTGATAACCTTGTTTTTATGATAAAATTAAAGGACATCAAAAACACGCATTTCTTTCCTGCCACCCTAATAATAAAAAAATAAAAGGCTTAAGAAACGCTGACTCTTTTTTGAACTATCAGTTTTTACTTTCCAGTCCGTTTTCAGTCCAAAGAAAGTCACGCCCTCAATGAGCAAGTCGTCATGTGGAGCTTTGGAAAGACTTCCGGTCGAACAAGTCCCTTCCTTCGAACATTTCTATCAGGTTCTCCTTTTTCCAATTTCTGTCTCACTTTTGTGCAAGAAATCGAAAGACGCCGGGGCTCAAATTGTAGCGACTTGTGATCCGGCTGCGGCTCAACGATTCGGTTTACGTTGTACTGAGTTGAAAAGTTGGCGGCCCAGCAGTAATGTCGCTCTCGTTTTAGGTCGGTTCTAGAAAATCACACACAGTTCCAATTCAGTGAAACGAATCATAAGTCTAAACGATACCAAATTTATGGATACTTTTTTCAAAAGTGATTGCAAGTTTAAAAAAAAGTTTTTTTGCAAGGTTTTGTGCTTTATGGGCTTACTAGGGAACTACTCGGACTCGGGTACGCGTTTAGAGTTGAAACTTTGGTGGCTTATAGACCCGGGTAAGAGTACTTGGAAACAAGAGAGATTATCTGCTAAACCCCTTAGGCTTCTGAGAAAAAGCTTTTTGAAAATGAACGGTTAAAACTTGAAATTTATCAAATTTTCGCTTTCTTCTTTCTTTTGGCTGGAAAAAAGTTTTTTAGAATGTATCACAGCCGGATCATCCAAGGCGATTGTATTAAAAATATAAAATAAAGCAAAAAGCAGTATTCTGAAAAATTTCAGGCCTAATTCTCACATTTCCTACTAATTTTTTCTCAGTTCTCTATCGGATTTGGCAGATATTCTCTCTTGTTTTCGAGTATTCTCACTTAGGTCTATAAACTACTAAAGTTTGAACTCGAAACGCGTACCCGAGTCCGAGTAGTTTTCTTGTTAGGCGATTGTTCTCAAAATTAGCAATTTTAAAAAAATTTCGTAAATTTTTTTATTTAATATGAAGAACTAGTGGAATTTAGGAGAAAAAGGGGTAATTTCTTCCAAACTTTCACTATTTATTCTTTCCTTTGCATTGTACAGAACTTTATTGGCCCCTTGATCTCTTTCTTATTAGGTTGATAATGAGAAGTTGAGGCGATGAAGGGATCGGAATCCGAGAAGAAATTCTGAAGCGTTGCGACGTCGTCGTCACGATTCCCCACGTCGTCGCATCCGAGAAGCTCTCTTCGGTGACGTCACTCAACGTATCAGTTGTCGCTGGTATCTGGAAAAAATGGAATTTCGATGATTCCCCGATTTTTCAGGAATTCTTCTTCAGCACGTTGCTTCTTTTTGAACCTAAAACAGTTTTCTATTCGTAAAAATTCAACTACGTTGGAAATTTTTTCGATTATTTCATATTGATTAATTTTTTTTTTGAACCATTCGATGAGAAATTCCAAAAAATAGTGTCAACAATATTTTTTCACGCGTACATCGACTTCCCGAAAATAGCCATCAAAACGGCTGAAAATGGACGATAATGAACCCGGAGAATTTGCACAGTTGGAGGCAATGTTCGCGATATAAAAGAGCCGTTTGGAAGGCTGTTTGCCCTCTTTTCTTCCGATGACTGATTGGCTACTGAAAATCGTATCCTTTTCTGTTTTGGTGGCGATTTCGCCAGCTTTGCTCCAGGCAAAGTCTTCGCTCTGTTCGAATGGCCGACAGCCCGGCCCTGGTCAGTCATCTTTTTCGAGACTTTTGATGCAAATTCAATTTTTTATGAGATGGTTCGTAATATTCTGCTTTTTTTGAATTGTTTCATTCGATTCATCGATAGAATCACTTTCGATTAGCTCAAACTGGGTTCAAAAATGGTTGAGTAAGAAAACTCTCACAAACAAACTAATTTTCTTCAGTTAGTGATTCTCCAGGCTTTGTCGGAATACTTTCCGACGTACATAAAGAAAATCTCAACCAGCACTATTTTTTTGGTTTCGAGAAGAATAAAATTTAATTATCTTTTGTGTGTCAACATTTTTTCAAAGAAATCGACTAATTTGGGAAAGTCTAACGAAAATGCTAGTCGAAAATGATAAGAAACTTCGCAGCTTGCGAGCTCGTTCCTGCGACAGGCTACAAATGTGAATCGAGCAATTCTTCTTTGAGCTGGTGTGAAAAAATCAACGGGACACATAGATGTTGTATTGTTCAAAAGTGGTGTTCTCAACAAAGTGGGGAGTTTTAGGCGAGAAAAGTCGAAACCAAACTGGAAAGTGTGAAGACACGAGTTCCTACTGTAGACTTTGTAAATCTCTTTGCACGAGGAGAGGTAAGTCTCTCGTTATATTCAGGTAAAATGATTCCTCCAGAAAACTTCCAAATGATGAAGAGGATGTGCGCGGCGACGTGCGACCTCTGCGACTTCGAATCGTTCGAGGAGATGACGTCAGTCCGTCGTCGGGTGGAAGGCGTCGCCAACGAGACCGCCCAGTGTGTCTTCGGCCTTCCTCGCCAACAGAATTCCACTCAACGTGCAGATTTTTCAGAGCCCTCTAGATCGCTTTTTTCTTGTTTTCAGCGAACAAGAAGTGCGTCTATCCAAAAGAGAAGATGCTAAATTTCAATTCGACAGAAAATCCTTCTCAGCTTTTCACGAAAATATTTAAATACAACTCTTCCATACCTACGTCGACGCCAAACAACACACAAAATAAAGGTTTGTAACTGAATCTCTTGAGACCGAAAAAACGGATCAAAGTTTTCTGCTTTTCCCTGTAGATCCGATAAAAATAATATTTTTTTTCTCAAAACTATTTTCTTCTTCCTTCTCCTTCGGCCTCGCTGTCGTTCTCACGTCTTTTTGTATTTCTATGGTCTCGCGGGCGAGGGAAAAGAAGACGCAGACAGGCCAGACTGTTTCGAGTCGTTGCGAACGATTTACATTTCTTCCAGAAGTTTCTCAAATCCTTGATACGAAATTTTGGGCGTATAGCTTCAAGGGTTCCAAAAACCTTGAATATCTAATAATTTTTCAGATCTTGAAACGGAAAAGCGACCCGCTGCGGAAAAGCTGGCAGAAGCGAAAGTCTCACAGAACAAAACTTCAGAGACCTCCGTTAAAAGCTTAAATACCTCTTATGTGGTCAGAAATGATACAAAACTTGAGAAGCTGCCAAATGGAACGACCGTCGCGCCGTCGTGAGTGATGCTCTGAAAAACAATCTGAAACCAAATTCAGTCCGAGCCCTCGAAGGAAGGCGGTGCCAGTTGTTGGGGACACGAACCAAGTGCTGAAGAACGTTTCCCTGAAGAGAATACAGTCTCTTCCGACGTCGACTGTGGTCTATGTGGATGCTAAGAACACGACGGGAAGCTTCGAGTACAGAAAGATCAAGTTGGAGGAGTTGATGGCCACGACCAAGGTCTTCATTGTTTGGTGTCAACATGGAAGGCGAAAAATTTGCAGGATACCATGCCCCAGGTCGTCACTGCAGAACCAGAAGCCCTCACTCTTTCTCTCACAAAAACTGTTATTCGAGGTTTGGAATCAGCGAATGTTTTTTTGTTTTCGAGAAAGCTTAGCTCGAATTTTTGTGAAACTCTTTTGAAAAACTTGAAAATTCTAAACAGGTTTTTGCTTTTGATGGCTTACTCCCCTCTTTTCTTCTTCTTTGAAACCTTAATCGAGATTACCCCATTAATTTTGGCGAGCTGTCGCGAATAGGGTATACTCGATTCAATTCTTTTTTCTAAACAGAATCTTCAGGCAAGTGCTTCGACGAGTACGTCTACTGTCGTGAGTTCAACTCGATGTGTTCGCACCCGACGTTCAGCGACGTGATGAGCATCCACTGCGCCTTGACTTGCGGCAGATGCGACGACGTCCAGGTCGAAGACGGCGGCAGCGAAGGTGAGTTCAACCGGAAATCGCTGCCCACGACGCCGACGGACTCAGATTGCGAAGACTTCTCCAACGACTGCCGCCACTACGTCGACCTCTGCGACAACGAAAAGTTCTCGCGCCTTCTCCGCGACTACTGTCCAAAGGCTTGCGGCTTCTGCGTCTCCAAGTGTCGCGACAGACATTTGAAGTGAGTTCATTTCTGCTATAGGTCATTCCGCGCCAGCTTGTCACGATTTCCAGTTTATTTGGAACTAGAGTAGCCTTTTCGGCGCTTCGCTTCGATGCTCTCGGTGTGCCCCCTTGCGTGCGCCTTTAATAAAACTCATTATTTCCGAATTTTAGAATTTTCTTATTTTACAAAAACAGTTGTAACATTAAATTTTATATTAAACTAACCCAAAAATAATATGCAAAAAAGCTCGAACAGTCGGTTTCATTAATAACAATCAAAATTATTAAATTAATCTTTTTGATTTTCTTTTTTTACAAATCCAGCACAGAATCTGAGTGTGTATAGTTGAAGCGAAAAATGAAATCAATCCATTGAAAAAACCTCGTATATTAATAAAAGAGATAGCGGAAATTGAAGCAATATCTTGATCAGAAATAATGTTTTATTAAAGGCGCACGCAGGGGGGAACACCGAGAGCATCGAAGCGAAGCCCAGAAAGGGGTTCTGTAGATCCGAGGAAAATTAAAATCGTGACAAGCTGGCGCGGAATGACCTATACAGCGCGTGAATGAATCTTGGAAGAGCTTTTTTTATTTTTCGCGAACTTTTTTAACATGTTCTTCTGAAACGCCTACTACGAACATATTTCACTTCTCAGCCTGGTCCGTTTCAGTTGCTTACAATACGCGAAAGACGGCTTCTGCCTGGACGAGATGTACACGAAAGATGAAAGACGGTACCTGTGCGGAGACACCTGCAATATGTGTTCGGAATAGCCCTCAGGTCCTCTGTTTATGTGTATATTTGCTCATCATGGAAATGTGTCTGTTTCTGTTGTTTGTTCATATTGTCTCACTGTATGAAGCAATTTTATACGCTGAAAGTGAAAATTGGGTTTGGACAGTGCACGGAAGGGAAAATTCCAAAACTCTCCAACTTTTCATTTATTGGCCTCTTCTTCTTTCTTTTTGTCCGTTCTCCTATGTTGGCTGAAAAGCTCCGCTATCCTTTCTTTATCTCTTCTTTGTAACGTTTCGACGGCCTTCTTACGTCGCAATTCTTCCTCTTTATCCAGCATTTCTTGCATGTACCACTTTTCCTGAGCCATTTTCATAAACAAATTAATACTGAAAATCCATGCAAAAACTCACAAAGTGCTGTTCCGAGCGAAATTTGGAATCGAAGCTTTCCATTTCATCCCACCGTTTCATCTTGTAAAAACTGAAAAAAATTTTTTTTTAATTCGAGAATTGAACCGCGTCGGTGTAATCACCGCCATTTTTTTTTTCTTGAAAAATGCGATTTTTTTTTTCCTTCAATCGGACGTCTCTTTAAACCGCCAATGATTTTGAGCTTCTTTTTCTTGTCCAGCCTTTTGTCCGAAATTTACTATTTAGTGAAGTAATCATTTTGCGTTGCTGGTGAAAAACATTTTTTCAAAATTATATTTAGAAAAAATTAGAAAATCAAAAGACAATTGGGTAAATAAATACCGATTAAGCTGATGCAAAATGCTGATAAGCACTGAGAGGGTCAGAGAGCCGAGAACGATGTAAAAGGAAATTCTCGAGGGCTCATTTTGGCCTTCGCCTTGAGGGGTCATGTGCTCCGTCACCTTGTCCACGTTCATCTTTTGATTTGAAATGAAATTGTTTTTACGCTTTCTATTTAAATTTTTTATGGTAATCTGGACATGTTAATTCAGACGTCACTGGTTTTTGTTGAAGAGTTTTCCGGCCATTTTGAGGCCTTGCTGGGCCAAATTGCCGGTCGCGCCTTTCTTGAAGTTTTCGAAGAACGTCGACAGCATTTGGAAGGCGTCCATCGGGTTGATGTTGAACTTCTTGGCTGAAATCATCAGATTGTGCATTTTAGATTTCCACAAAAAGGCAAGAACCGTTTTAAAAGTTACTAAGTTAAAAAAACAGGCGTTGTTGTGAAAACTGGTTCAAAAAAGTTTATTTGGTAACTTTGAGCTCTTTTCGAAGCGATTCGATATACGAAAAAAAGAACCGGCGCTGTCGAAGAGTTTCGTGGCGGCAGGGACGTGCTGCATCATGTCGCGCTTGATGTTGTCGTCGAGTTTCGTGTACTTGTCGAGGAATCCACGGAAGAAGGTCTGCGCGGCGATGTTCTCCGGCTTGAGCGACGGCACGCCCATCACTTGCTTCGTCATCTACAACTTCGACTCGTCTGTGCTTCTCTGAGCCGACTAACGTCCAGGAAGAACTTCTTGCCGTGGCCCGAGAGTTTTTCGACGTTCAGTCCGTCTCCGTGGGCCGAAATCAGAGCCCCCGTAGATATGAATATCAGCAAAAGGGTCAACTTCATCTGGGTCCACAAAAAAAAAATCAGGTTAAACCATCAAAAAACGACGAGAACACGAAAAAACTTTTCTTTCGTTTTCCTGGATTCAGAAGTATCTGGAATATTTTTTTAAAAGATGAGTGAGACTTTAAAAAACAGAAATTTCATCATTGATCGAAAAAAAAGTTTCGTTTTGTTTCTTTTAACCTTCCTTCAAAGAAATATTGCTGAATTTCCCTTTCTCGTGTGTAATAATGCGCTTCGAGATGAATTAAATACAAATTGGAGCACTAGCGTTCAGAAAATCCAGGAGTTTGAGAAATCCTCCTTCAAACAAAAAGCAGCAAAAAGAAATTTTAAAAAAAAGTTGGAGAGAAGGTTTGGAGGGGTATGCCGCGAATCGAAGTACGGATTACAGCAAAAGCAGTTGTTGTGCGAAAATCCGACAATTTGTCAAAAAGTCGAGACGTTTTTCGTTATTTTGTTGTTTTTTGAGGCGTAAAGCTGAGCTTCTGAAAATGAGATCGTAAGCTTTATCGTGTAGGAATTATGTTAAAAAATTATATTAATACTTCCTGAAGAAACATTTCCTGAATCTCAACAGTCAGAACTTCTGACTCAGAAGCAAGAAAAACTTATGTTTAACTGAATTGAGGTTAGATAGATATCGAGGAGCGCCTCGAGGCGGCGACATGGGTAAAATTTATAGTCACAGTCAGGCCGGTCTGGCCCGGGCTTTGGGCTTCACTCTTGAGAAAAGAAAACCCGCTTGGGCCAGTATATTTGGGACATGTTTCCTGCCTCGAGAAACGTTTTCAACTCCGAATAGAATCGATGTTAGCCTGTCATACAGCTCCAGAACACAGTTTCCTGAAAAATCATGTTATTTCATCAATTTACTAAGACCTTCGATTTAAAAATAACTATTTCATTAAAAACCAAATTGATTACTTTATAACCGCGCAAGGCTTCACCGGGCCTTGACGTGTTATTTAGATGTGTTTAGAACCGACATTGCTCTTGGATCTTTATGAGAGCAACTCAGCACCGCCAGTTGGTATGCGTGCTGAGCGTACATATGGCGTTGAGGTCAGGTCAACTAGCGTCCTGTCACAACTTTCTCAAATGAATCCACCCAACAACTATATTTTTTTTTTTGCATTCACAAACCTTCATTCTGAAACTAACCGAAATGACATAAATCTTTCAGGGGTCGCGCGAACGCAACCCCACACGCAAAAATTAAGCTGTTGGCGAATCTCAACTCGAGACTGCCACACAGGTCAGCCCGACCAGAAGTGCAATGGTCAGGCCTCGCCATGGAGTTTCCGCCTTCGGGATCGCGAAACCCTCCCAGCCAGGTAAGTTTATGAGCCGTCCAGCGGCGGCGACCCCATGCCGACGCGCCTCCGACTCAGAGCGGTTTACGCGAGAGCGTGTCCCTTAACACGTGGAATTTTTATATTCGACAATGAAAATCAAGTGTAAAAGACGAAAAGAGTTTATAAATGTTGATTTTTTCACTTTGGAAGTTTTTATACGTGTTCTAAATTTTCAAAAAATTTCTTCAGAAAAAAAAATTAGCATTTAACTGGGATCATTTTAATTCTTGTCATATAATTTATCAATCAATGGAAGTCCCCAAGCTCACTTGTAGTCCTTATTTTTAGTTTGAACAATTAACAATGCTTGTTAAAATATATATTGGAGAATTGGTATTAAGCAGAGCAAAAAAAAGGTTCACTATAGAATCGCCCCATAGGCGAAAACCGCGTGAGGTCGGCTGCAGGGGGAAGAGGGTCTATATAAGCTCTTCGGACCTCGACATTTTCGTTCTTCCGAGAACATATACTAAAATTGGAACAATACAGAGAAGATTAGCATGGCCCCTGCGCAAGGATGACACGCAAATTCGTGAAGCGTTCCAAATTTTTTGTCAACTTCTAAAGTTTTTTTTTTTCAGAAAGTTTGGATTCAATCAGATTTGGTCGAAGAATATTCTTTGGTCTGGAAACTAGCCTTGCTTAAGAGCATCTATAATCTTCAAAACTACAAATAATGAATTCCAACTTTCGATGCTCAACAAGCGGAAAACCAGAGATCGGGATTTGGGGTCCCTCAATTAGTGAGATGATCCGCCAAAAGGTTCAAAATCACTTTTCCATCATTAAAACACACTCCATGCCGTTCAGATCACCTATAAAACTGTGCTGCGAAAACAATTCCCATCTTCTTTCGATCAAATGTATTATAGTTTTCGAAAAACTCAGTTCACTTTTAAAATAGTAGAAATCTGTTACACAGTTTCTCCCATTGAATTATAAAACTTGAGTTTTTTGTTTTCGTTATTTTTCCCGATGAAATCTCTCGATATATCAGTTTTTGCATTTTTCAGTAGAAGTTTGATAATTAGCTTCAATTAGCTTTCAAAAGCGAAAGCTCTATAACTTTATTTTCTTCCTCTTTGAATCTGACGATTCTAACTTCAGGAATGAAGTCAGTGATAGTCGGAGCGTTGTTGGTGGCCTGCGTCATGGCCAGACCTGGTCCTGACAACCTGGACTTCAAGGTCACCGTCGACTACGTCAACCACGTCCTGGAGGCAACCAAGAACTTCCAACGTGGGTTGCGACCGAGGGAATGACCGACGTGGCTCTTCAGAATACTGGCCGCCGTACGTCCAATCGGCTATCGCCGGCCTTACCGAGGAGCAGAAACAGCAGATGGCCGACCTCGCCAACGCCTTCCACGCGAACGAGCTTCCTCGCGTCTCCAGCTACGAAGAGTTCAACAAACTCGTCGTTGAGGTTTGAGCCTCTAGTTTTCCTTTTCAGCTTTTCTCTCTATCGCTATTTTTGATATATGTATATATATATATATGTTTTTTTAAACACAATATAAAAATATCAAACCTCATTTTATGTTCGAATAAAAATTTTCTGAAGTTTCAGATCAAAGTTAACTTGTTAAAGTTTAGACTAATCTTTGAATAAGTTATCATAAACTAACATTTTTAGTTTTAGGTGACGGCTCAATTGAAAGTCGGAAGTAAGACTTTTAAATGTTGGAAGATTTTCAATAGGACGGTTTGATTTAGAAACTTTTTCAAACATTCCAGAGGTACCCGGCTTTGGGACAGATGTTCCAGCAGATCCTAACCGCCTACAACGCCGACGTCGCCAGGCTTGGTCCCAGATCCCAGGCTTTCTCCAAGGAGGTCGTTTTCCTCTTGGAACTCCGACTATGAGCGATTTGCAGTTGGAGAAGAAGAGTTTCGAGATGATGAATCCCGACCGCGTCATCTGGGCGTGCAACATGTTCAACGGCGCCAAGCCGACCATCAAGGAGGCTGAGGTTGGAGTTTGTTCTCGATGAGAAGAAGAAAGCGTTTCAGTCCATCATCAACGATCCTTCTGAGGTCTCCAAGCTCGACGAGGTCTTCCCAGGCACCGTCAAATTCGCAAAGAGTTTGTTTTTTTCACTAGTCACCGAAACTCGGTTCTAACTTTCTCTGTAATTCCAGGCAAGGAATTCCAAGCGTACGTCAACGCGATGAACGCTATGCCTGACGATTTGGATTGCGATAAGGTTTTCTTTTTTTCTTCTCACTGTATATTTTGTTTCAGGACCGCGAACAAATCGTCGCCGCCCTCCGACTCATGGACAAGCAAGGAATCCTTCCCAAGGCCAACTAAAAATTGAGAATTTTTACTTGAAGAAGGGTTTTTCATTCCTCAAACTTGTTTCTAGAAATTGAGATACTTGCCAAATCACAAAACTGAAATGAATTTTTTTAAACATCAAATTTTAATAAAAATGTAAAAATTTAAGCAAAATTGAAATTCTTAAAACGGTGTTTTTTAATTGAAAAGAAGAGGTTAGAGAGGAAATAAAGGAATTATAACCGAAAAATTTTCTCAAACTCTTTTGAAAAATAACAAGTTTCCCTTTGAATTTTTTAGGGTACAAGAAAAAGTTTAATAAAAATTTGAAAAAAAGGTTTCACAGAAAAACAAAAAGAATGAAAAAAAGGGAAAAAAATGAATGAAAGCAAAATTCGATGATAGTGATTGGGAAAAAAAACAGATGAAAGTATGAAAGAAAGGAAAATAATATCTTTTGGCGTTCGAAAATGACGTGGGCTTATTTACAATACAAAAAAGATGCTCCATCGCCTGGTCTTATTCATTCTGCTCGTTGTTCTTGTCGCGACGGCGACTCCTACGGTACTGATTTGAATATTCAACAGAAATACTTTGGATTGGTTGAAGGAAGAGCGCAAATTCAATTCATCCGATCTCGAAATATTAAGGAAGACCGCTAATGATATCGCCGAGTTCACAGCTTTTGATATTATCAGAAAAGTTTGTTTCAAGAAAGTATAGAAACTTGAGAAACTGTCTGTTTCAGTTGTACGAGATAAATCCGGAGGTGGCCAAGCAGGTCTTGTTGGAGTTGGCTCCTCAAAACAAATGAAAAAAAGGATCTTCTATTTTTTTTTGCACTGAAAATGAAATCCTACAAATTTTCATTCGATTGAACAAATCTCAAAAAGAAGAACGTATAATCAATGTTTAAGAATTATTTTTTCAGAAAACCATGCAAATAGAAAAAAAATGAGCCAACGATGTCAGGTTATGCCCGAGATCGAAAGATCCTTGGAAAATGTGACTCCGGACTCTAGCAAGTAATCAAAGTAATTTTCTAAAAGCTTTTTCGGGGTATTTTCTGAACATTAGCTTTTTCAAAACGCTAAAAAGTTTTTGCGCGGTATCTACGTGACGGGTACACGAGGAGTTCATAAGTTTTGCACGTGTTTTTTTTTCGCGAAAGCTTCCGCCCGTTTTTCGTTGTAAACTCTGTTACCCTACGGCGCGTCGCTTTTTCAATTTTTCCCATTCAGATATTTATTTCTGAATAAAAAGTTAATGATTTACCTCTCCATTTTTTTCACAAAGAAGTTCATTTTATACATCAAGATTATTTTGGGTACGTGTCAAAAAGCACTATTCAACTTTGAAATTTCTACGCAAAGGCAGTAGAGACACCTTACGGATATACTTATATTGAAGTTTTAAGTTTTTGGTTTTTCCAAATGAGAATCGAAAGCAGTTAATTCTCATTTTGAAGCATTTACTCCTAATTTCGAGACATGTTCCTTTACTCCACTGAGCACGCCATGGACGCAAACGGCAGCACTCAAGTTTTGCGCAAACGCGTCTTTTGCTGCAAACACGGAGGATTTTTTTCAGTTCTCTGTGGCTTTGCCATCGTTTTCTCGAGTTTTTCGCGCCGGACAACTGTTGTTTCACCTCCGCACCCTTCACATGTCCCAGCACGTCCATCGTAAACGTGGTTTTTCTAAGATAACTATTAGAAAGATTGCTTGGTAATCATAATTTTCAAGGTACTCACCTTCAGAAAATTTTAAAAATAAAACAGGGTTACGAACTCGTTTCCCATTTTTGTGAGTACGGTGTCTCTCCGTGGTGTTTGTATGGTCTTCCCGCGTCCAAAGCGCATAACTTCACGAAAAATACTTTTTAATTTTCCAGTTTTTCTCTAAACAGCTGGTATTACAGTTTTCTGCTTGACATTTCATCAAAAAAATCTTCAGGGCTAATGCTTTGAGACTGTGTTAACTTTATCGATTGTTTGCTTCCGAGCTGAAAGTTGCTTTTGACGTCTAAAATGTAATTCACAGCAATACTGTTTTTTCTCTTATACTTTTTCATGTTCAATAATTTATAAAAAGAACTTCATGAAAAGTCCCACTGGTCCAACGCGTTTTCCTCTCATAGTTCGGCTTTCGCCGACAACGCTACATGTTGATCGAGAGACCTTGAAAGCAAATCACAAGTTTGAACTTGAACATAAGAATGTAATAGTGCCTATAAGTAAAATGCACTAGACTACGCTATGGAACTGATATCAGTGAATGTTTGAGACCAAATCCCAGAACGACCTCCCCGCCAGTAATTTTTGGTTTCAATATGAAATGGTCGAAATTTCATCTTTTTCTCTAACCAAAAAGTTTAGATTTCTTTAAAAAGAGTAGTTGTTATCTTTTATTTTGTCTGTAGAAATTTTTTTTGTTAGTTTTTACAAGATAGCGTGTTTTCTGAACAGTTTTTTTTGCAAACCATCCTCGTTTTTAGAATAGTTCCAATGAAGTGTAGAAATATAAGTATAGATTTTGAAGCTTTTTGTTCACGTTTTTTTTGTTTCTTTCTATCTTTTCAACAAAATTGATTGATTCGTATAGTAAAAACTCATTTTGACGGGAATATCGATACAGGAAAGAGTCTGAGTGAATGGCAGCAGTCGGGACGGCCGAGGGCGGAAGTTCGCCTGCTTTCGACCATCTCTTGACCTCCGAGCGCCGCCGAAGCCTCCTGGGTAGTCACGTCTCGAAAAATGACCTCGTAAGTCGGAAAAGCGTCAATTCTACTGACCCTAGTAACAAAATAAGGGTAATGAAACTATGTTTTCAAAAAACCAGTTAATAGTTTGAGTTTTTATCTCTTTTTTTTCAGTTTTCGCTCTCACCATTCCGCACCGCGAGTTGCAATGCAGAGACGGTCGTTACCGCTAGAGGTTTCCCATTTTTTCTTTAAGTTTTCCGGTTCGAAACTCTGGAATGTTGAACTCGACTCTTAAGGGATCCCTCGGGCGAATCCTGACCATCTGCGGCCGATTTTCGAACGATTCGCCTCGAAAGACGTCAAAGGCAAGAAATACATGACATCCGAAGACTTTATCCGCAAGTTTGTCGTTTTCAATGTGTTTGATTCCGTTTTTCCCTACTGGAAAATTGATAGCAAAGAAAGTGGTTGCTTTTATTGATATATTGGTCTTGGTTCGAGTTCTCGGACATCATCTCTTGCTTCAAGATCCTTTTTCCAAGAACTTAACTGCTGCAAAATGGTTTTCTTGCTGGAGAAAGAGTTTCCAGCTACTTGGGTCTCTACACGGAGGAGAACTACAACCGGGAGACAGTCCGACTTCTGGCCTCCGCCGCTGACACAACAAAGGACGGCGACATCTCCTTCGAGGAGTTCTGCGCCTTCGAAGCCCTTCTTTGCAGGTTCCCAGACGTTTTCTTTGAAAAGATATTCGAGAGCCCACCGTCAACTTTTATTCAGAGTTTTGAACTCGACGAATTTCGAAAAATGCTCAAAAACAGCAAGTTATAAATTGACGTAAATATTACTAGAATAAAAGTTAAGGAGAAGGCTAATTATGTTTTTTTTAGAATTGTTGTTAGAAAAAATGATTTTTATGTTTTGGGCTGTTATTAGAACAGTTTTCGATAAGTTTCTTTTCCGAGAGTTTGCCAAATTTCCTTCAAATGACGCTTTTTATAAAAATATAATCCGAAAGAGAAATGAAAATTGGAACGTTTTCTTTCTGATAGAATCGAATTCGTTTCCTTTCATTTGTTAAAAAAATATTTGCAATTTTTAGAATCCAAACCTTGTTCATCATTTCAATACGATTTCTGTCAAACTTTCTCTTTTGACCATTCAATTTTCTGCTGAAATATTTTTTATCACGTTTGTTATCGCCACATTGGATGACCAGTCATAAGAAATAAGATAAGATACAGGGAATTTTCAAATCTTCGAGAGAAACCGAAATATTCAGTTCCTTATTTTTGAATCCGTGTTCATTCGCAATACATACACATTAGGCACATAATAATAATACAAGAATTGATGTTTTCTAAACTGTCCAAAAACAAGGCACTTTTTCCAGAATTTCGTGTAACTTGAATCTCGATCAATCTATGAAAAACGCAAACATTCCATTATCTGTATAGCTGATTCACAGTTGGCTTGAACCATAGAAAAACGGGTCCAGACACGATAATACACGAGATAGCGCCTGGCTCGTGGAGAGCGCAGACAGGACACGCCCCCCTTCAGCATTCAAGCTGGCCGTGAATCAGCTATAACTGCTTTCCGTTTGAAAACGAAAAGCCTCAAACTGTATATTAAACTCAAGATTTGTTAGTTTTTCAGGGAAGTTGTTTTCTCATTGAACTTTTAAGGGCTGTGATTAGAATAATTAGAGAAAAATGAAAAGAACCGGCTAAAATCTCGCAAGTAGTCTATGCTCAGATAAATTTCTCTGAAATCTGACTACTTGGGAAGTCTTCAAAGTCAAACGAGGAGAGGGTTTTGCAGTCCCGACGCGCTGTATCTGACGGCCTTCGAGCTGTTCGACCGAAACGCGTCCGATTCCATCAGTTGCGAAGAATTCGAGGCGATCATCCGCCACACGCAGCCGCTCCACGACCAGGACTTCGACTTCAACTCGGAGTTCATAAAAAGATACTTTGGCGCGTAAGTCGCTCACAGTCTGCTCACGCTGGTCAGCAGTCTTTCAGGGACAAGAAGCGGACGATCAACTACCACTCCTTCACCCAGCTTCTTCACGACTTTTATGAAGAGCAGGGTATCCAGGCATTCAAAAAGTTGGTTTTGCCAAAGTTCTTCTTCTAAAAAGCTTTTCCAGTTTTATTGTTTTCAATAGAAAAACGTGAATACAGAAAAAAATATAACTTTTGAGAGAGAGAGAAAATATTCGAATCGAATTTGCGAAAAAGAAGTCCGCTAATGCTTGTCTCTTTTGAGATATGACACGAAAGGCGACGGCGCGATATCGTCGATCGACTTCCAGCAGATCATGACGACAGTCAAGCGTCATCTTCTGACGCCGTTCGTCCGCCACAACCTCATCGCCGTCTCCGGGGGCGGGGCCAGCGGCCACAAGGTTCATCCAAAAGATGGCTGATAGGGGCTTAGGGCGATTTCCTCTCGAGAATTTCTTTTTGTCATGAGGGGAAAGGGATGTAGTCTATTGACAACAGCTTCCTGCGGAATTCAAAAAAAGGAGTTTGGGACATTTTTTCATCTCTGAAAGCTGTTGTTAATCAACTATATCTTAGGCTTTTCAACAACCCTCTGCCATTGCCGATAACCAAAAGGTGAATGAAAATGCCGACTTTTTTCGGGTGTTGTGATGGTATTCGTGACGGTTTACTTCATTTTAAAAAAAAGCTTTAATTTTTTCTCAAAAATAATCTCACAAACGCAATGAATGTATATACACTTTTTGCCTTTGTCAAAATCATAGAGAAAAATTGGAATTTGGTTTTTTTAAAATGAGATTAACTGAAGAAATAACCACGACAGTTGAGAATCGTCCTTATGAAATGAGCTGCAACCACGATTCCTAACTCTAAACGTTTGGATAACCTTTTTGTATGAAAAAAAAAATAGATAATTGTAGATATGAAACATTGGATAATTTATCTGTAGTTTTACTGGTGTTTTTTCCCCATGATGTGGTTGGTGATCAGTTTTATAAAAGATGGTTGGAGTGACTTCTGGTGCATGGCTATTTCTTTTTTTACAGTTCGCCGATCTCAGAAGCGGAAGAGTACGTTTTTGCTTCATCTTTTTCTTTTGTTGGTTTTTGTGTTTTCACATCTGTTTTTCTACTTTTTGTTTCATTGTCCTGTGTGCCGTGCTCACCACTTTTATGTTCAAAAGTTGTCCTTCCGCAAAAAAGAAATTTTGAAAAAGTCGTCTTTTTGTTCATTTTCAGTGCTTCAGTGTTCTCTTTTTTTTCAAATGTTGCAATTAATTTTTTCAGGTGACGTTCCCTTATTATGCGGCGTTCAACAGTCTTCTTGCCAAGATGGAACTCATCAAGAGAGTTTACGTCAGTCAGGTGAGATTCAAACTTTATTTGGTTTTGAAAAGTTCAAATTTTCCTAACGCATCAGCTCCAAAAGTCCATAGAAGGGAAAAGAAAAAGAAGAATGGTTTTCTCATCATTTCTTGAAAATTGCTTTAATTTTTTGAAAAGTCTCAATTTTTATCATTTCAACGAGCAAGATAGGCTAATAAACTTTTTATTTGGAACCTTTTCTTTGAACCAAGTTTCATGAAAAAATTCATGTTTCTGAATTGGGATTTTTGAGAGATTTCATAATCTTTCCAAAAATATGGGAAACTTCAAATTTGAATTAAAGATGTATTTTTCAGGCGCGTGGAAACTTGCATTTGGAAATGACGAAGGAAGATTTCCTGCAGGCGACCCAAAGCTACGCTCAGATCACTCCTTATGAGGTTCGTTTTCCTTCTTTACAATCAAAGATCTATTTTCTATCGTTTTTATACCTTTTTCTTCTTCAATTTATCCCTCCAATCTCGCTGTTTCAGGTTGAAATTCTGTTTCATCTTTCTGAGCTCGCTCATCCAGGAAAGAAAACTCTGTCTCTAGAAGACATCGAACTGATCGATCCCGAACGGTTGGATTCCTGTTATTATCCGGATTAAAAACGATGTTTGAGATTGAAACGCGTTTCTCAGATGGATCGCCTCATCAACATCAAAGCTGTTCATCACAAAGACGAACGAGGAATGGGAACGGCGGTACGGATTCGTTTGAGTGCAAAACTTCGACGAAAAAAGCTTTCCTTAAAGTTTCAATATCATTTTTACGAAGCAAAAATGATCATCTTCAGTTTAAAAAAAAACTATTGAGGAAACTCTACCAAAAATTGATAAGCTAATGAAAACAAGAAAAATTAAAAACTGAAAAAAGTCTTTCAAGTTCAAAAAGTTCCGAGGGTTTACCTGCTGAAAAGCCTGTTAAAAATAATTGAAATTTGGCTTTTTTAATCACTATAATTACACATATTTATAATTATCACAGAGGCTTTTCAAAACTGTTTTTTTTTCCGGTCAATATAGTTTTCTGATCTCTATGACGCGAGAAAATCTGTAAAATTACCTTCATAAAATAGTTTATTAGTTCTTTCCATACGAGCTCCCAGCAGAAACACAAATTTACACAAAAGGACAGACTGAAATAATTTTTCTTTTTTTTTCGCGAAAGTTTAGTTTTCGAAGTAACTTGTGACGGTGTTGAAAAAAAAAAGAAAAAATTCAATCAGCTTGCTCGTATTTTAACAGCTACAAGCTTTTCGTTGACAATAGCTTGATTGCTCTCTCAGTGATGAGTGGAATATTGGATGAAAATGCAGCTGATGGAGTCGGCTTATCGGTTCCTTCTTGGATCTGTTGCCGGCGCCTGCGGAGCCACGGCCGTCTACCCGATCGACTTGGTGAAGACGCGCATGCAGAATCAAAGAAGCGGCTCTTTCGTCGGCGAGGTCATGTACAAGAACAGTCTCGACTGCTTCAAGAAAGTCGTCAAGTTCGAAGGTTTGTTTGGATTGGTGGTCGAGGGAGAATATTAAACTGAGGCATCTTTACTGCGCGTTTTGCTTTCATTTTTCCTACGTTATTAAGTTCGCGATGCCTGACGAGAACCTCATTTGAACTGTTTTTTGAGATAGAGCGGTGGTGGAAGGGTAATAGGATATCATGAAAAGCTCGAGCGATTCGCGTGAATGAATGCTCCCGAGATCAAATTAGACGGTTTCTATTGAAAATTGTGAATGAAACCCACTCAGCTTACCACCATACTGAATCTCAGTGCTTTTTGATTTTATTTAAACGTTTATTCTCTATTTTATGAACAAGGTTTTTCACCTGAAGCAGAAAACAGCCTGGAATTGGGAAATCGAAGCTTAAAAACTTGATATTGCTCACTTTAAACGGAACTCGATCATAACTACAACCTTCACAAATTTTCATTCTGTGTTCAGATTTTTTCATGAGATGATACTGTTTCTTCTGTAAAATACTTGTAGCTGTTGATTTATGAGTTCATCTGGTTTCAGGTCTTCTCGGTTTGTACCGCGGTCTGTTGCCTCAAATCGTTGGCGTGGCTCCCGAAAAAGCTATCAAACTGACGATGAACGACTACATGCGCGACAAGTTCACGACCGACGGCAAGATCCCTTTGTACGGAGAGATCATCGCGGGTGGAACTGGCGGTATGTGCCAGGTGGGTCCTGCGTCCACCGGAACCCTGAGAGATCATTCTTTGCAAGGTTGCCTTCACCAACCCTCTGGAAATCGTCAAGATTCGACTGCAAGTCGCCGGGGAGATCCAGTCGAGCCAGAAGATCGGCGTGTTCACGATCCTGAAGGAGCTCGGCTTCCTCGGACTATACCGCGGCGCTCGCGCCTGTTTCCTCCGCGATATCCCCTTCTCGGCCATCTACTTCCCTGCCTACGCACATGCCAAACTTGCCACGGCCGATGCTGACGTAAGAACCTAAGTTTATAGGAAAAAACACATACTTGGTGTTTTGGACGAAATTTAACTCCGAGTATCGGAACACAGTCAAATTTTTTTTTTTGAAGTTGAACAGTTTTTTTTCATGTGATCATATTCACCGTCTGACTGAAATTGACGCCTTAAAAAATCATCATAGCTAAACAGACCAGTGTATATAAATCAAAGTAATCATAAAATGCTTTCATCATGCTTTATAAATCGAGAAGAACTCATTTAAAAAAAAAATGGAATTTTAAGTTTTTCCTGTTTCTGAAGTCAAACTTCAGGGCATCAACCATCCTTCGTCGTTGTTCTGCTCGGCGTTCATCGCCGGTGTCCCTGCGGCCGGTCTCGTCACGCCGGCTGACGTCATCAAGACTCGCCTACAGGTCGCCGCTCGCGCCGGCCAGACGACGTACAACGGCGTCATCGGTAGCTCCTCAGAAGAGTCCTTCGATGAGTTTTATTTCCAGACTGCGCGAAAAAAATCATGCGAGAGGAGGGTCCCAAGGCGTTCTGGAAAGGAACTGCGGCGCGCGTCTGCCGCTCGAGTCCGCAATTCGCCGTCACCCTCCTCACCTACGAGGTCCTTCAGCGACTCTTCTACGTCGACTTCGGAGGCTCGAGGCCTACCGGTTCTGAGGTATCAAAGAGGGCCTCATTCTTTTTACTCAAATGATAATTCCACGGTTCGGAAACTTGATTGTTTCCAATATTTTTCGAATGATTTTTTTCAGTTTTCAGATAATGTATAATGTTTTACAAGAATATTAAGGCATCTGAAAAATGAATGTCTTCCATAAAACAGTATAATTCTCATGTTACTATCTTATTTATCATATTTTCCAGTTTCACAAAGTTATTCTACTTTCCCTAAACTTTCTATAGTCAGTTCTTGCTGCACTTCTTTTTGCAAAAAAAGGGCCCCCTGCACACAATCTCGAGAGAAATGGAATGAGATGACCGTTTTGCAGTCGGCGACGACCAAGTCGATCGTCGACGAGAGCTCGACGAATCCAGACCATGTCGGCGGCTACAAACTGGCGGCGGCGACCTTCTCGGGCATCGAGCACAAGTTCGGCCTGTTCCTGCCGCGTTTCGAGACCTCGACCACCAAGTAGACCCTCTAGTGTAGATCATCTATCTAGTCTTCATCCGAAATACCTATCTTAAAGTTTCGTGTAATTAATCGATTGAAAGTCCCAATCTCTTTTGCCCTTTTTTCCTCATATAAACTTTCGCATGTACTGCTTTTCAAGTATGTCTTTGCGATTTTCCAAAGGTTAGCCTCGGTTTCGCCGGTTTTCGTTTTCATAGAATGATTCTGCATAGCTTGGCGGGTGTAATTGTAAATCTACGATAGCTTGTCAGATTTTCTAATAGGTGTTGAAATTATTTAAACAGCTTATACAGTCATTAGTTCCTAGTATTTCAGGTTTTCCATCTTCATTTTCTGTATAAGCCATGTGCCTCCTGTCGAATTTGCTCATGCGCTCATCTTTTGCATTTTTTCTTTTGTTTCTACTCACTGTAATTTCGCTCTTCATCAGTTCTTTGGATATGGTCATTGGCAATGAAGTTTTTTTTTGCTTTCTAAGACTTTCTCAGTAGGTTGAGATAGATTCATAAACACTAGGAAGAAGTGAATAACAATAACAGAAGCTGAAATTACTTTGTTTTTGAAGTGAGGACTGTAAGGTATCTGAATTTTCGTGGGAACGAAGGCAGATTACTTCAATATCGAGTCGGAAAATATTTTGATGTGCCAGGCATAACCTTGGACGCAAAAACAAAAAGAAATGGGCTGTATTTTTGTGAATAATATCCATTTTCATGGATTGGAAGAATTTATTTTGACATATGCCAGTGTGATTTGGAATGATTATTCTAAATCTGATTAGTGACAATTCTAGGAACCGTACTCAGAATGGTTGATCGCGTCGCGTGACTTGCTCGGAGGAAAATTGTTTTGTTTCTTCTTCACTACTATTTTGATGGAAAGTATTTCATTACGAAACAACCACCAAAATAGTTGATCCCAATCGAAGGAGCAACTCAACAAATGCATCGAGTTTTCCTTTTCTCCTCCTTCACGGCTTTGTAGATGATATACGTCCAGAGCATCCTGAAAATGTTCCTCAGTTTTTCTTCAGTGTCCATCCTTCAAAAATCTTTTCAAGAAGCAAGGTTTGAAAACCCACACAAAAGTTAAGAGAGCCATCTGGTAGAAAAAAAGCTTGATTCGGATCCAGAATGGCATTCCAGAGCAGAGCAGGTAGATGAAAAACGAAAACAAGGGGTACCGTCTACTCGGAGAGTGGCGTGAGAAAATGGGCGGCGCTAACGTCCCTCATGTTAAAACAATATATCAGCCTCTACAGGAGAGTCTTTGAAATGTTACACGCTTTCTCTCAAGTCTTCTTGCTAGGATAATTGTAATTTTTGTTCAGCTTATCCACTCCGTTTCATTAAAATCAATCGAAATGGAACCTTTCTACCTTCAATTCGTCCACAGGTTCCTGTTTTACCTCTACTTGGCCGCGTCGTTTCTCCGTGAGTTCTTTTCCTACATACAGCTCCGCAATGGTTAGGACATTGCTGCGGAGTGCAATTGGAGTTACTTGAGACGTTTGAACGATGAACCTTTGGATTCCTTCGAAGGCTCTACAGTAAGGAATATGTACGGTGTTTGTGGGCCCTTTTCACCTATTTCCATACCAAATAGTCCTGTTCAAAATCTGAGATGACCCCTAAAGAGTCTGTCCTATAACTACTGATTTCAGCCTTTTTCCCTTCTTCGGCTCCTCTGTCATCCAGCCATACTCTGCCCGTGTTCATGGAGGTCTTCCATTACAATCTTTCCGTCGTGCTTGTGTAAGTCCCAATGAAAACTTCAGAAATGGACAAAAAGCATTTTGAGCGCCATCCTGCATATTCTGTTCGAAACAATCTGAGCGCTACGAGAGCCACAGTTTTTCTGCGCCCTCCCGGAATACCGAGCTGCTGACCAGACCGGGACGCTCCGCCCCGCAAATCGGTCATACTGTTAGAAGATTTCTTCACAGTTACGCAATGATATAAATGAATTTTCATTTTCTTCCACCAATATATGTATTTATAGCCGTTTCTCTGCCGATTCTTTCATTTTTTTTTATTCTTTCGTTTCCCGTCAGCAGTTCTGCCAGTAGGTACTGAGTAGCAGCCTAAAGTCAATCGATGGTCGTTCGTATGCGGCCGGGTACCATCTCTGGGGTACCTGACGGAGAGGTATCGCGATTCTACAGGGCATGATCTCTAACGAGCGTATTTTTTCCGATACCATGAGAGGAGCTACACGGTACCTACTTGCATCGACCTCCCGATTCCCTTTTGTTAACATTTTCTTCGTGAAACCTTTGTGGAACTCGAACTTTAGAATAAAAAAGCTCTAAACCTAAATTGATCCCAGTTAAATGCTAACTTTTTTCCTAAAGAAATGTTTTTGCAAAGTTAGAATCCTAAAGCGAGAAAATCAACATTTAAAACTCTTTTCGTCTTTACACTTGATTTTCATGGTCGAATATCAAAATTCCACATCTAACGTGGAGAAATGACACGTTACCGTGTTAATGGACACGCTCGCGCGTAAACCGCTCTGAGTCGGAGGCGCGTCGGCATGGGGTCGCCGTCGCTGGACGGCTCATAAACTTACCTGGCTGGGAGGGTTTCGCGATCACGAAGGCGGAAACTCCATGGCGAGGCCTGACCATTGCACTTCTGGTCGGGCTGACCTGTGTGGCAGTCTCGAGTTGAGATTCGCCAACAGCTTAATTTTTGCGTGTGGGGTTGCGTTCGCGCGACCCCTGAAAGCTTCTGTTGCAATGTTTTCCGATCTCGAACTTCATAAGAGAAAGCAGCAAGAAAATATTTTGTAGAATATTAAATAAAAAATAAAAATATACCTATTGTCAATTTTTCTCGACTTGAAATGCGAGGGAGTTTGCTTTTTTTGGCACGGATTCAATTCAACCCCCAGCGACTACTTGGAGAGCTCATTTTTCGCTATTTTCATTTCTTTTTGATTATTTCACAATTTCATTTTTGCATGAATAATAGTGAGAAAGATGCAAAAAGAATATCAACCGAGCTTTTTGAATAGTCACTGGTGGTTAAATTGAACTCGTGCCAAGAACCGCGTACGCACACTCTACGCATCCCTCGCCTTTCAAGTCGGGATGATTTGACTATATAATCGTGAGAAAAGATCTCAATTAGGCTGAACATTTATCAATGTAAATTTAGGTTGTCAGCTTCTCTTCTTATTCCGATCGCCTCAATCAGTTTAATATCAAACCTTTGTTCATTCGCCGTAAAATTTGTGATATAATCACCCTACATAAAATTGTCTGTGGCTCTGATCATTGTCTCGATCGCAATAAGTATTTCACTCAATCCCTGTTACAGAGAAATCCACTTCGACTACGGACAGCTGGTCAGTTTTCTAATGACTACTTTTCTAGGACTATTCCTCTTTGGAACAAATTAACTTCATATTTAGATTTTAACGTCACCCCAGAAACCCTTCGGAACAAATTGAATAATCTTCCGAATCAAGCTTTTTATGAAAATATCCCTTCTCGCCTACTGTCAAAAATTTCTTCTTACTTCCGGGTACCTGTCAACTCGTTGGGGTTGACTCCTTCCCGCGTATTGTTATTCTCCTGCCCGTCATATGTTGATCACTTATAATTTTTTTCTATACTACCTAATGTTTTTTTTTATGGCAGTGAATAAACTAATATTATTATTATTAGGTTTATGTTGTCCATTTAAAAACTGAAACTCGTCAAACTTATGGGAAAGTTTATTAGAATGTTTCGCACATATCGCATATATACACATTTTAATCCCTGAATAATCATATTTTTCGTATTAATTGCTGTAGGTGGTACTATAGGAGGAAGTTGAAGTTTTGGTCGAATCGGAAGTCGAGGGCGCTGGACTAGTCGTTGTGAAAACGCCGCAGGTTCCAGCTGTTGCTGTGGGAGTGAAGCCAATCGGTCGACGACAGATGAACGGCAAAGAAACTCCACAGTCGGTCAGATCCCAGCGTCCGTCCTGAGCTCTCATCGACACACATTTGTCGGTCGCGTTTCCGTTTCCTGAAAAGTTAACGAGTTTTCCGTTTCATGGAGGAACTCATATTAGCTTAGAACTTTTTGTTCCAAATTATCTCAAGCTTTTTCACATTCAAGGTTTTCACATTCATATTCACTTCATTTTCGCAGAACCGGTAGCCGATTCACGGCTAGCTTGGCACGCAAAAAGGCATAGCCTGTCTGTGCTCTCCATCAACCAGGCACTGTCTCTTTTCTTATCGTGTCAGGGCCCATTTTTCGATAGCTCACATGGGGAGTCTTTTTTTCATTTTTTTTTTTCATTTTCTACAAACTTGCTCAAACCATTATCGATAGACTAGGAATCGATCCCGCATAGTGGCTATCTGCGCAAACTTTTCGTTTTGTAGATATGAATTTTTTAAGTTTTCATCCTTTAACATGTGACCTTGTTGTGAAGGAATGTGGCCGCGCCGACAGCCACCGAATGGCAGCTAGGAGCGTGGTGCAGTCAGTAGCGAAGTAGTCTGCGGAGCCTATGACGAGGGTTAGAATCCTTTTGCCGTTAACTTTTTTTGCCGATCTTTTTCTGCAAAGTTATGAGGGAAATATGGAACTTCTAAAATCAAAAACATCCCAAAAATGTTGAATGATCATTTTTTAAATTCAAAAGATCCCTTTTTGCATATGAGCATTTTGAAGCTGTAGGAGACAGCATCAAAAGAATTTTTATATAACATGAAACAAATATTACAGTAGGCTCCAAACCCTTATCAAAGATCTTCAGATGTCTTGGATGCAAAATGTAACATCTTGCAGTAAAATTTCATAAAAAGTTCTCTGGTGATGTGTTGTCTTCTACAACGTCAAGAGTTTTTCGAGAATCTCATTCGCCAAACGTGCGCTTTCATATAAAAAAGAGCTAACGAAGATGTTCGGAAAGTTTTTGCTCCTGAAAATTCCATATTTCTCTCATAACTCTGCAAAAAAATTCGGCAAAAAAAGTTAGCGCCAAAAGGATTCGAACCCTCGTCATAGGCTCCGCGGACTACTTCGCTACTGACTGCACCAAGCTCCTAGCTGTCAATCGGTGGTTGTCGGCGCGGCCACATTCCTTCACAACAAGGTCACGTGATAACCGATGAAAACTTTAAAAATTCATATCTACAAAACGAAAAGTTTGCGCAGATAGCCACTATGCGGGATCGATTCCTAGTCTATCGAAAATGGTTTGAGCAAGTTTGTAGAAAATTCCAGTAGGAACAGTAAAATGACTCCCCATGTCAACAGAATGTTGCAGCGGAGGAAAAATATCTCGAGTTGGATTAATCAACCCCAACTTCTGAAGTTTTTTTTTGTGACGGAGAAAAGAAGAACCATAAAAAGTTTCTATTGATGGCCCACAGCGCAGTTTTAGATTTCACGTAATCTCTCAATAAAGAGAAGTTTTCGCACATTTTTGACTTTTGGTCGTTTTCAAGTGTTACATGGAAACAAATTTGTATTTTTTATTCATTTCGAATTGTCTCGAACTCGTCTCGAGATGAAAAACCTCGTCTCGTGCATCCCTGGTACATACCTCATGACTGCTACCTTTAGTTTCAAAGTTACTATTTGAAAAATTCTCAGAACAGGACCTGGAGCGAAGTTTCGATAAGAGAAGGGTTCCTGGTCGACCCAACACAAATTACCGTCGAAGAACATCCCGCCGAGCCAAAAGTCGCCGTTGCTCATTTCCAAAACTCTATCCGCGTTGTCTGAAATCATCATATCACTCGCTCCATTCAAAATTTTTTGTACTATTTTTACCAATTTGAAAAATGATATCAAATCCTTGTACTCTCGAAAAATACCTTTTTACTGTTGCGAGTTCACAAAGTCAAAAACATTTCGAGACAGATTCTATAGTCGATTTTTCCCGACTTAAAAGGCGAGGGAGGCGAAGAAGGGGGCGGGACGCGTAGCGTGTGCGTACGCGGTTCTTGGCACGAGTTCAACTGCCAGCGACAATGTGGAAGGCTCGTTTCTCGCTCTTTTCATTAACTTTTTTTATTTATTGCCTTTTTTATGTGTGCAAAAAATAGTAGAACAGGTAGAAAAAGAGCGGCGACCGAGCTTTTTGAATAGTCGGTGGCTTTTGAATTTAACTCGTGCCAGGAACCGCGTACGCACACGCTACGAGTCCCGCCCACTTCTCTGTCTCCTTCGCCCTTCAAGTCGGGATGGATTGGTTATATGATTGATTTGGCAACTGACCAGAAATGAAGTTGTTCTCAAAGGCGTTGACTACGGATACGAGTCCATATTGACGGCTGATGCAAAAGTTGTACGAGTCGTAGAACCTCAAACGGCCCCGGTGGAACGAGTAGCAGCGGAAAAGAGTTTTTTGGAACTACACTCCACAACAACCATTGAAAGCTACAAGACAGTTCTACGAATATGGCGAGGATTCCTTCTGTTCTTTGTTTTAGAGACTCCTATCGATATATTCAGTCTTTAGCTTTCATTGATATCATTTTTTTTTCTCTGTTCAATGACACGGTAAAATATCGATCAATTCTCTCATCTTTTCGATCTCTAAAGGTTATTTTTCTCAATTAGACTTTTTCCGACTATCCGTTGTACAACCTAAACCAACCCTTTTTTTTAACTTACTAGGATGTTTGGGGATCGTAGACTTCGCCGACATTGCACTGTCCGAAGGCAGTATCGGCCAAAACCCCCACAACTAGGAAAACTAAGCAGAACATGTTGGAAATAAGAGGAATGGTGGGAAAAAAGACCAGTTTATCAGTGTGGCGACGCCCTTTTCAACTTGACTTTGCTCTTCGATAACAAAAGTTAAGCCCTGTTAACCAACACCACACCCAAAGATAACATAATAACAAATTCCAATAAATAGATTTATTCAGATCAGATAATGAGGAAAGGGAAGTCGCAACAAAATCGAGCTCATTGTGAGCCTGGATTTTCACTGGGATCATTAGATAAATTTGAAAGTGTGTATGTACAGAAGATTTTTTTCAGATAGATGAAAACTCTCCCGTGAGTCAGTTTTATCCGAAAGCCGACAAAAGTTGAAAGGAATCGTAAAACGTATATTTTATCGAGAGTCTGGAAGAAAGCAAGAGATACGGTATGCGAGGTGAGTCTGCAACTTCACGTGAATGTCGACATCCGACGTTTGTTTCCATGTTTGTCGAGATCTTTCTTCTCCGAATCTGAGATGCCCAGCCACTTGAGCAATCTCGTCGTGCTCGAAATTGAATTCTGAAAAGTGATACTTGCGATAAATTCTTCGCCAAATCGGATCAGCTTCTAGAATACTTCCGAAAACGAAATTATCAATTTTTATAGCTTTTTTTTTCGCACTTGCAGCTAAAATTTTTTGAACTCAGAAAAGAAACCTTTTTCTCAGCTCTACAATAGTCGCTGGACGTCGATCTCTGTGGTCCGGTACCCTGTAACATTCGAAATAATCACTGGAACAGTGAAGAAGACGAGATTTTTTTTTGTGGAAACTCACCAAAAATCGTGAGCGACAAGTTCAAACTGGCAATAGTGAAAACCAAACTGGTGAAACTCTTTTTTGATGAAAGCTTCGAATATTCAGAGAGAATATGATCAAAAAATCTCTACCATGAGAATTATAAACTTTCATGGGTTGGAACAATCTACCTCCTCATGACAAGTCGTCGACTTGAGGCAATAGTTCAATAGTGTGCTTCTAAGTTTGAAAACATTCCATATCGACTGCTTTCGAAATATCATTAGGAAGGAGAAAATTTCAAAAGAAATTAATTAATTTATTTTTTTGTCGTTTGGTTCTCATTCTTCAACGAAGGAACGAACGCTGTGGCTGTCGAGACGGTCGGCGCTTCCGTTGTGCATCTGTCGATGGACGTCGACGTTGAGATGCGGCGTCGCCGAGGAGTGCAGCGAGTGCCGGTGCTTGGCGCTCATCTGCTTCACAATATTTTGATTGCTTTCCCGAAAAGTGTCCCAGTCACCTTTAGCGGCGGCTGGGCGGCTATCTCCAGAAACTGCGCCGCCGCTTCTTCACTGAAAAAAACCGAAAATTTCTTGAAGCTTTAAGCCTAAGCCGCACTTCCTTATTTTCAACAAAGTTTTGAAAAATCATTATCTGGGCTCAAAATTTTTTTAGAGAAAGTAATTTTTTTTCAGAAGAACGATATTTATATACCCCTAAAAATGAGCTCAAACGGAGACACTGGAATTTTCGACTTTTGAGGGTCCATAACTTTATTCACAGATCTCTTCGGAAGTTTTAAGAATTTTATTTGGAATCAACGTGAAAAAAACTACATCTATTAAACTTGGTCTCATTCAGGGGTCCCACTGCAACCGGAGACCACTCCTTGGTAAGGCGTTATTTTTTTGGAATCTTACGAAAAATAACTATTTCACATAGATTGAAATAACACGAACCGCTTGGCACCATTTATGTTTTCGAGAATTTTTTTTCATAAATTTCATATATCAGGATTAAAAATATTTCAATAATTTTTCTTCAATAAACTACAAATTCATAACCGACGTTTTTTTATCTAAGTGAAAAAAATGTTTTTTTCAATTATCTTGATTAGTCATTCTTTTTTTAATAAAATGAATTCCAACTTCAGTGAACTCTAAAAGATAATCTTCATGAACAGTTTTGTTCAAATTCTCCAAAACGTTTAGAAATTTCTTTCCGCAACTCGAACATTTATTTCCGTTCAACCAGACCACGATTCATCCAAAGAAAGAAGAGAAAAAACCAAAAAAGATGAGCAAAAGATGGGAGAAGAATGAAAAATCGGCTAGTCTCCAAGGGAATTCATTCGACCCTCCAGGACAAAATAGCCGCGTTGTTCCTCCGGATTTGGGTTTTCTGTTGAAGCGCGAAAACACTTTGGTGGTTTCTGAGCCTTCTCGCGACGACAACAATTCAACTTGAAGAGATCAAATGACAATTACTCGTCACCAGCCTGGTGTGCTAAACTGGAAACAATTGGTTGCGGTGGTTGAAACAATCCAAGCAGAAATGAGGTCCAATTGGGTCTTCGTTTCTCTCATCTAAGTCGAAAAAAATTGTCGTCTTCGGTCTTTTGCTTTTCAACTTTCTCTCAACCCTGGGAAAATGCTAAATAAGGTTGTCTTAGAAATAATTCGAACCTCAAATTAATGGGAATGGAGTTTTTCTTCGACAAATTATTCCACAAACACGCATATTCACTGAAAGTTCGCTGATCTTCCATTTTATCAAATCCATTAGAGAAAACCTACAAAAACTATCCTAAAAAGAAAAACTCTGGAAACCTTACTAGAGCCTATATTTTCCTAATCGAAGACCAGAGTTAATAATAGTTGTAAAAGTCCCTCAGAGGAGAAGCCTAAAAGTGATAAATCCATCTTATGAAAGGTGAAAGTCGCCATCAGCGCTGTCAAAGTTCAAAGTTCGCGCCGTAATAATTTTACACGGTGGGAGGCGGCTCATTTGTCGCAAATTTTCAGATTTTTGGTGATTTGTCGCCGGCAGACAATTTCCAGCAACAACGGTGGTCCACGGGCTTTTGAAATCAACCAACGAATCTTCACTCGAAGTCAGAAAAAAACTTATAAACTACAAAGGAAAAAAATATTAAATCGATTTGAAATATAGGCCAAATTCTCGATTCTAATCGAAATATAATCTGTCTTCTCAATGCATCAATTTCAAAAAAATAACTGTTCAAATTAAGATGGAAATTTGTAATTTTAAAGTCCTCTCTTCATTTAACTTAGTTATAAAAAGTATTTGGTGGTTTCGAAAAAAATTCAAGCTCAAGGGAAATAACCTTCTTTGTCAAATATATATTAAACAGAATATTGGCTAAAGAGAAAATATAGTCTGAAAATAAATCTCGTCTCACAAACTGCGAACTTTTCGATGATGATAAATCCAGAGATCACGCTGTCAACAACAAATCGAAGAAGACTGTGGGCCGTCCCGTGGCTGTCGACCTCTCGGATTGAGATGAATCGTTTGTGGATCACGCGATTTACGCAGAGCACAATTGTTCAGCTACATCGAGATTACACCAATATTAATGATGTGTCGCGATACGCAACCTTGTCGGCGCCGTGATCCGTCTACCCTAAGCATATTATTTATCTCCTTGTTGGACTTCAGTAACCTTGAAGTTGGGCACAGGCATACATGGGCAGACCATTCTTTAAGGCCGTCGACCCCTCCTCCCAAGTATTTCTAAATTGAAGTTAATACTACCTCTCTGAGGCTAAAACTTGTACATCTCGGCCAAAACGACCTCCCGGAGGTTGATTGAAACTTGATTTTATAACAAAAATTTCCGAAATTTTTGTGAGCCAACTCCTCCTCCCGGGCTGAATGAGTTCTGTACTTGCCCATATATGGACACGGCCCTAGAAGTTTCTAGACAGTCGAGGACAAGTTTAAAAAAAGTTTTTCTGCTTTTCAGAACACAAATAATTAACTCTTCGTGAGAGGTCATTGAACAAGCAAAAGTTGAAAATGGTTAACTTGGTCCTGATTAATTTTAGGAGCCAAAAAAGTTGGACGTTTCCCGACGTAAAGTTTTCAATTCAATTCGAATACTTCCGTGCCTTTGACTGCGTCTCCAAGTATTTGAAAAGAGCAACGGAGAAAGCAAAAAACTGGAGATCTTCGACCTCTGCAAAAAAGACCCTTATAAAGAGCGAATGTTAGGATAATCGGATTTTCCACAGACGCGTCTTGACGGGAATTTGCAATGTGCCTGCATTTGTTTTGTTGAGAAAAAAGGGAAGAACGTTGAATGCCAAAAATAGCCAAGGACCGTCGGGAATCCATTTGAAGGATGTCCTGCACATCAAAGCCGCCCCTTCTTGAGGGTGGTGTCGGCAGCCTTGACGAATCTCTGTTTTCATTGGCGCGTACATGTCATAGGTTTTTTTGAGCCACAATTCGCAATTAATAAAAAAACATTTCAGAGTTCTCAATTCATCAGTTCTTCATTTTTTTGGGGGGATTGTTTCAGGTTTGAACCTCGAAAAGCGCAAATAAGTAATATTCTTCCACAAATAAACTAGCACATACGTTTTTTTGAAAAAAAGATATCAACCCTGATCTAAAAATAGATCTTATCTTCCTTCTAGAAAAAAATTATTACTATGCAGCCAAAAAAACTCGTTCAATTTTTTTCCGAAATAGTCAGAAGTCTAAAATAAAAAAATTTGAAAGTTTTCAACAAAACTTTTATTCAGTTTTTTTGAAATTATTCGTTATAAAAGCCTAAAAAAACAGAAGAAATTCTACCGCTGTTTCTTGTTTCTGCAGTACAGTTTAGTTACTGTTCCCCTAAAACTTGAGCCAGATAAGCCCGTTTCTGATCTCCATCTAACCCATGGTTCTATCTATCCTTAAAAAGAAAATTATACATAAACTTTTCGTGAAAAAAAACGTTTCTCAGTGCTCTTCTTCAGGCTAATTTTAACCCAAAAAGTTGAACTGGTGTTTGGCGCCGCGTCCAATCCGAGTAAAGGGCCCTCGAGGAGCTGAACTGCGACCAAACGTCAGCTATTTCCTGCCAGAACTTCTCGACGAGTTATGAAGCGCGGAAGCGCAAAAAAAAAAGACGCCACAAAGAAGGAATGAGCCGATGGACAGTGCCCCTGGGAGATCGGCTGCCGAAAAAAAGCGTCCGAAACTCTTTTTGTGCCTCTCGAAGTCGGCCGAAACTCTTTTGTCGAAAAGATAAAGTCTGTGTTTCATAGAAAGCAACGAATCGTCATCTTTTTATACCAGAAAAGCAATGAAAGTTTCAAAAAAAGACAACTAGGAAAAGGCTAAAGCCCCTCAGCCCTTTGAGAGGCTCAATTATTCCATATGAAACAATCAAAAAAAGCATATTAAAAATATTCAAGTTTTTGAAGCAAAAAGTTTTTGCAAAAAGGCCTACGAGTTTTTTTCTTAAACTTTAAGTGCTCATTGAAGTTTGTCAAAAGCCCTTTGAAGGCGTAGTTGAACGCTCTCGAAAAAGGATCGTTTGAGTCAAATGAGGCGTCTTCTTTTTAATTTTTCCTTTCCTGTGGGTGCATTTTTTTATACTTACAAGGGAACATTTTTACCTCCCCCCTCTCGTTTTCGAGTTAGAACGCTTCAAAAAAACCTGAAATAGCTTAGGACCCTTGTTGTCATAACTCGCGTGTTTTCCGGACTTTGAAGCTTCATAACTCGAAAAAAAGATCTATTGAAAGAATTTTTTTCTTTTTTTCCGCAATCAGGAGGTCCTAAAGTACTTCAGCAAAGTTTCATCAAAATTTCAACTGGGGGAGGCGGATAAAAACAGTTCTCTAGTTAAAAAGCTCGTGTAAATTTCTCAAAAAGACAAATAAAAAAATATAGGCTTCCGTTCGAAAGTCAGAGCTTGAAATATTAAAAAAATCTACTCCTTTTTTCATTGTTCGATTGGATTTCGATTAATTTCTATTGAAGAATTGACAAAACGAACCAAGCAGCGCGGTGCATGCGATCGCGTTGTAGTTCAATGCTGCGGAGTCGCTCGCGATGTCGCTTTTCCTTCTCTTTCTGCTCGACTTTCTGCAAGTAAACCTTCTTGAGACATTTTGAAGTCTATTCAAGTTTTCAAGAGCTTGCAGCATTTGATTGATGTTCCGAAAACGCGATTATATCAAGGAAGTCGAGTTGTCTGAAGTGAAACTTCGCGTTCTCTGCGCACATAATTATATTGGATTGCTTGAATAGAACGTTTCATCCCCCTTTTTTTGCTTCCGTTTTTCTCGCGGAAGCTCAGGCGATGTCTCTAATTTTGTTATACTCTAATAATAGATTGCAGCTAATCGAATTGGGACAGAGGGAACTGCGCGTCAGTTTGATCGTGTGAACGAACGCCTCGGGCGTCGTTCTTTATTTATAAAGAAGTGTTTGTTTCGCTTTTAGCCACATAACGTTAAGAACTTCTGAAATATCAGCACGTGCTTCTATTTGAAGCCAACGTTTCATGAAAAAAACTTAACTTTCTAAAATGTTATAAAACGCTGAAGTAGAAAATGAAACTTTCCCAGAAAACTTAATTTATTTTCAGAATCAACTAGAGGTTTTTCTGCAAAACATCGTTCTGAAAGACCTGGAAACTACAGCAAGTTCCGTTCGTCCACCGCGAAAATCGGATTACTTCCAACATAAATCGTCATATCTGTGCTCGACACGCACGAAGGCAAAAAAGGCCCCCGGAGACGCCTCGAAATATCTTCTTCTGACATGTCGCCGCATTGATGCGGCAACACATTCACAAAATAACAATCTAGGCGCCGTACTTCTACGGTGAAACATTGGACTGACCTTTGAAGGCTAAAACAGCGAAATTTTCCTGAAGAAATAAGCATCAAGTAAGCGTCGATTTAGATAATAAGTTCGTTTTTTTTCAACAGGAACTTTTTCAAGAAAAAGAAAACTACTTTTGTAACGACAGATCCTACTTTGACTCTAATTCAGATTAACTATTCACTTATTATTAAATGAACTATAGGTCATCACGTCGAAAACGAGAAAAACTTTTAGTTTCATTCAAAGAACGTTTCTTCTCTCATTTAATAAAGGAATGACTTTTTACGTTCTGAAATTTTCATATTAATTTTCAATGTCCACAAAAATTTCGTCAACGTTTAAATATAGCGAGGCGACTTTCGAAATTTGATACTTCTGGGAACACCAATTATTAATGAACAAAAGAAACCATTTAAAATGGTAGATCTTTGGTCTTTTTGACGAATTTTCTTAAAAACTGTGGGAAAGCCTGGAAAATGCAGGTACACTGATTTTGATTTTGACTGATTTTGTTCTCGAAAAAGCTCTATTCTTCTTCTTCTTCCTACGCCTTTATACCGCTTGAGCGGCGTCGGCGCCCCAAGTCGGTTAGCCGAGGTCCTATCCTGATATCAATGATAATCAGTGGACTGGCTCTAGTGACATATCCGTTCTTGTGTGTGACGGTTGGGGGTTTTGAGGTCGTGGTTTCCCACTACCAATATTTCTTCATTGGGTCGAGACGGGGATCGAACTTGTGACCCTGTGGACCGTAGACAGGCACACATCCTGTTGCGCTACGGCGCGCCCCTCAAAGAAGCTCTATTATCCTTCTTATAACATAAATAGTTGAAAAAGAGCACAATTCAACATTCGAAGGTTCGTGGGAAAATTTCCTTCGAAAGTCCGCGAAGTAGACAGAAAAAAACAACAAGGCTCTCAAATATCTTCAATAAAAAGATGGAGAAATTTCATAGTTTTGACCTTGAAGCTTAAATTCGAGAAAAAAATCACGAAAACAAAATTTTAAATAACAGAAGCAGATGCATTGGCGACCATTTCAAATACGAACAACTTTTTTTAGGAAGAAGTGAATAACGGCTCTCATTTATTGGAAGATAACAATACATTCAAAACGGAAGAGCCTCTAGAATAAATTTGATCGAAATGTTTTATTGCTAATAATACATGCAGACAAGAACAAGAAAAAAAAATTGCTTCTAAATTTCTCTCATAGGATCTTGAACCAAAAAAACGAAAAACGTCATTTCTCATAATTTATGAATGAAATAGGCACTGTTAGTGTTTTAGGGCTCTCACGCCAGTCTTTTTTGATCTTTCCTCGAAAGAAGCAGCTAAATAAAAAGGATACACGGCTGATTGAATGAGCCATAAAAGCCTCCGCCAACTTATTCAATTCATTCCTCGAACAATGCCTTTTCTTCCACCTATTAATATCGAGGCCACCCACGAGTTTCCGTCCAAAATTCATGGAAGTATGACCCATCCACAGGACAAAAATAACATCACGCAAATATTGTTCAAGTTCTTTTGAATATACTTCAAAATGCGAAAAAAAAACCAAAAAGTCTCCATTTCTTTTCTGTGGATAGAATCCGCGTTAGAAATCTCCGTCAACCCAAAAATGACCTCTTCTGAGCCGCGAAAGGCCGATTTGGGCCACAAACCGGAAGGAACGCGTACGACGTCTTCTGAATTCAGAAGACCCGCTGATTTTGGCTCCGAAAAGACTCTTGCAACTAGAAAAAATGACGTGCTTTTTTGGTCTCAGTGGTCGGGCGGTCTTTCGACTGACTTTCGGCTATAAATATTGGTAAATGAGACAAGAATGCGCCGATGCAGACTAGAAACTTTAAAAAAAGTTTTGAGTTGAAAGAGAAATTCTATGAAAAATCCAAAAAAAAAGATTGCTGTAGAACTTTTATTGAAAAACTTTTTTTCTAATAATCTTCACAGAAAAAAATTCCTTTATTTTTTTCTTGAAAGGCAGTAAAAAGTATAAATGAGCTCATTATTCATACACGACTTAACGATTTCCCGTCAAAATGACGTGGTAATTTATGAACAAATGTTTTTAGACTCGAAAAAACAAAAAAGCGAATGACAACTTCTTGGAAATAGGTAGTTCTCAGCCCAAATATATTCGAAACTATAAACTAAATCGCTTGTTCAGAATGAAATGCTCATAGCTTCCATTCTTATCCGAACATCAGACGCATTGTCGTACGTATGGATATTTCATTGAATCTTTGTCGAATTCTGTATGAGAAACTTTGAAAGTACGGTACCTGTTTTGTCCTCAGCGCTTGAGCTCCCAACATCTTTCACGCGGTTTGCCCTCGGGGATAATTTCGATAAAAGTCGTACTAAAATTAATGAAATCAAAAAGAAACGTTCGGGGATTCAAATATGGGGCAATGAAAATGAAACAACTTTGAGATGACTGAGAAATCATTTTCACTCTCGAATCTCCCTTATTTATTGAAAAGAAAATTATTTGCACAATCAAGCGATGATGCTCTAAAAACTAATATAAAAACCAGAAGATTTGGCGCTATCAGTATTAACCGAGTCCTACAGTAAGACAAGAGAATAATTTTTGATATGCATCGACTGAGAAGAGAAGGAATAAAAAAGAGAAGAAGAGGACGAGTGCTCAAATGAAGGAGTACGAGCTCGTGGAGCCCAAAGAGGCGGAGCTTGTAGGCGGAGTCAGAGGAACACGTCAAGAAGTCGGACAAAGTAGTGAATGAATTATGTGGACAGTGCTTCTGAAGCTTGCCTCAAATAAGTTCTGTCATATTTTTCAATGTAAAAAACTTGATTTTAACATGAAAAGACCAAAAATGATCATTCCCATTGACTGTCATCATTCCGAGGAGCCCAACAGAAGTTCATGACTTCCGAACTCGAGCTTCTTCATCTTCTAGACTGAACTGGATGAAATTAATGCAAAAGAACAAGGCGAAAGACATGACTTCAAAACTCGATATTGAAATCTATATTTTTCCGACGCTTTTGCCAACTATTTCGTTAATTATCTTTCCCAGCTTCCACACGACATGTCTCTAAATTGAAACATAGGCTAGAAAAAAACTCCAGACAAACGGATTTTTTGGGGAATGACAGTCCCTGGAGGCGTCAAACGAAGACGCACGAATCCTTGAATGTTCGCGCTTTCATTCTGAGATGTGATGTCGTTTTTTCCTCGTTTCCGATCTATTAGATGGCTCGGTGGGATAAAAAAAAAGCCCGGATTGAGGAGTCCAAAACAAGAGAAACGAAAAAAATAAGCAAAAATAAGCAAAAAAAATCCGGCATGAGGAAATCTAATAAGGCTTTTTTTCTGATTTTCCGAAGACCATGCCAATTTGTAATCCAGTCAGTTGCAGAAAAAAAAATTAATAAATAGTCGAGTCAAAAAATAAAGTTTTGAACTTGCCATGAATTATTTAGAGATTAGGATTCTTCACAGGTTCTATTTGTGTTAGTTTCTTGGAATCAAGCAAAGTTCTAGTTTGGCACAAGTACGAGGCGCGCAACCAATTCTACGCAACTTCGGAAGTTTCCAAAATTATATTTCGCCAAGACTACATGGTATCTAGACCGTCCGAGAGGAAAGTTTGCAGAAATTTGAGAAATTCATGCTGCTTGGCCAGTGTGAACAAACGTTAATCTCTAGTATTAAACCTTGATAAAAGATTTTCGATTTTTCAATCGTTTAATTTCCAACCGCAGATAGTTTTTCCTTCGAGAAACCAGAAATTAAAAATAATTAATTTTGGATTCAATTGCATCTATTCGTGTAAATATTTATATGTGCAATTCACGCTCTATTGTAAAAAAAAAGCAACTTGTTTTCCCAGCTACAAAACCGGCAAAAAAAAACTTAATTAAAACCGGTTTGAAGCACAAAGAAGCTGTCAAAATAAACAGGACGATTTCCTTGATGACCTGGATACCGTCGGCGGCGCATCGATCCGCGACCGCCGAGATTCCAGCCGAACGCCTTAGGCGCTCTTGTCGACCGTTACTTCGCCGTTTCTCCCCCGCAAAGATCCAATTCCATCGGCTTATTGCGGATTTCCCCTTCGGTCTTCATTTTGAAGACGTTTTTATTAATACACTTTGCTTAGATTTTATTAAATAAAAACATTGAATCTGGCCTATACCAAAATATTTTCGTCACGAACAAAGTAGAACAATCGTCGACATCTAATTGAAAACTTTCTAGTTTGATTAGGCCTTACCGGAATATTTCAAAAAATTGAATAAAACAACTATTGAAAATAGACAAAACTGAGAGTTTTGGAAACGACTCATCTAAATTGCGCTCCACTGAACCTAAGCCCTGAAAACTATTTCTAATTGCCCAAAAACCATTCCTTAGCCTTGAACTCGGTCCGCTCCATTTTTTTCTTGCCAGAAATTGTTCGTGACGACGACAGAAACGAGGTTAAAACAGTACTCGCCCACTCCTATAAAATGACTTTCGTAATTGGCTCACAGAAAAATGCATTAGCATTTCTAACTTTTTTCTTTCTTCCACGTCTACTACTTGCCTTCCTGATAACCAATAGACTTCTCAGGGAAATAAAATGGAATTCGTTCGAGAGTTGAATGACTTTCAAATCTATGGGCCGAATCACACTGAATACATCTCCAATTATCGTTACAAGTGGGTTTTTTTCTGTTCTAATCGACTCACAATTGTGTAAGCTATCTTCTAACAGTCGCAAAATCCGGCAAAACAGATTGAGATAATTGCCGCTTAATAATTTACTACTCGAGCTGCTCCTTAAACAAAAAAAACAAACTTTTATGCTCCCCAAACTGAACGTCTTCAGAAAATATAGTGAAAGTTACAGAACATATTTTGGTATAAAAAGGATAAGCATCTGCCAAGAAATTGTTGAAAACCTTTTTCGTTTTCAGTTTTCCTTCAAAACCATTAATTGATGGAAAAAGCCTCGAAACGACCCCAATTTTTTATTTTATCCCGTTGTTCTGAATTCTACGAAAAACAAAAACAATGTGGAAAATTGCATGATTAGAAGCGTGTTTTGCAAGGAAGAGCCAATTTCGAAAAAACTAGATCAACCCTTTTGAAAAGGGCATTCAGAAACTATTTTCATCTATTGAGATATGCCCTTCCTTTCGAAAAAGTTGAAGATCCTCGAGGCTGGACTGTTAATGTTTTCCAACGATATTGGCACCATTCCATCACAATTTCCGTCGTCTATTTCATCATTATCAAAGGTATATTTTCAATAGGCTGAAAAATAAAGCAACAATCGGAAAGTTCAGCGATTCAAAAAGCGATGGAAAACCGAAAGCCGTTCGTTCTGAAGACACCACTAGTTTTGTGGAACGGAGCTCTCGCCATCTTCAGTATCTGCGGATGCGTTCGATTCTCAGAAGTGAGTTCAGTCCAAGATGTGAAAAAAAAAACTTGAACGTTACGAATTTCTTGATGATTGATGTTGAAACCATCTTATGGCGTTCGAAAAAGTAATTCAATTTTCTCAACTCTGTATCACACATAGTTCGCTATAGTTTAAAGAATTGGTGAGGTTCTCGCGATTTTTTTTTTGTTAGTTTAATGGATAAAAAGGTGCGGTAAGGATTAGGCTTGATAAAAAGTGGCTCAGTAAAAGATAAAAGCCTTTATAAACAAGAAACCGGAGATAACCTCACCAATTCACCCCCATTTTACCTAAAATCCATCAAGATGTTGGAAATCGCTAAGAGTGTAGGACATCATCCGAGCTCTCTATGTCGACGGCCTCTACAAGTCGCTGTGCTATTCTTGTCATCCCAACGACGTCGCAGCCTTCTGGAGTCTTCTATTCGCCATCTCCAAGGTTGAGTGACTTGAAAGTTCCGCGAAAAAAGAATGGCCCAGATCGTCGAACTGGGCGACACGCTGTTCATTGTGTTGCGGAAAAAGCCTCTCATTTTCCTCCACTACTACCATCACGCAGCTGTTCTGATCTACACTGTGCACTCAGGTGAGAGAATTCGAATCCTAAAAGAAAGAGAACACTTATCGATGAAGTTGGTGGGGATAGGGTCAAGCGTTGGTCAGAAATAGAGCAAAATATAACTGTGATGAAGAGCGTCCAGATCTAGTTATTTCCTACAAATGAGAAAATTGAGTTCAAAAGCTCAATTACTTTTTAATATTATTGATAAGTCTTGTCTTGATTATGATTATATTTTGACGAATTTGATTGAAATTTTGACGTAAGAGTTCTAATAATAATAATTTATTGACAGATCAGCGTGAGCCCTAACGAGTTCACTTGGATCTATAATTTAAGAGAATAAATTATAAAAATTATAAATCATTTGAGTCTTGGAGTAATAGAAAAGAAGATCTCGTTTAATGGTAGATTGAACAGTGAAAGGCTTAGAGTGGTGGCTGAATTGAAATTTGGAAGTGATTTTTTTTCAAGTAGGAATAGTTTTGAAGAAAAAAAAATCATTGGAAAACTGACCTTTAGAACGCAGTCGAAGTGGATTTCGCCTTAAATTGGATCTGAGGCCAAAAAGCTCAAACTTAGTTGAAAGAACCCCAAACTTTAACATGGACAGAAGTTAAATCTCCCCAAATCTCTAACAATCAAAACTTTTCAGGAGCCGAGCACACGGCGGCTGGAAGAGCTTTCATTTCGATGAACTACCTGGCTCATTCCTGCATGTACAGTTATTACGCCATCTCAGCAGCAGGCTACCGTATGCCAAAATGGGCAAGTTAATTAGAATTTTCGCTCTAACCACCGTTCAATTAGGAAAAACTTCCTCCTCTCCTATTTCCACACTATAACGCTAATCGTGCAAAGAACCTCATTAAATAGTTATGATAGAATTATAGACGAAAGTGAACATTTTTTTAAGTGAAAGCTTATTTAAAAACTACTGATTATCATAGAAACTGATGAATTAGTTCTAAAGAATTAAACACTGATTCCGTAGTAAATTTTTTTGAAAAAAATTAATAAGATACGGTCTTCAAAAAAATAAGTCTGAGTAATATACGTCGCAGTTTCCCCTTTCAAGAACACAAAGAATCACTAAGAAAATTCTAAAAAAGACCCTTAAAAGGAGTAGAATTTTACTAGCAAAAATAGTGAGGATATTTAAGGTGTCTATGGCGGTGACAACAATTCAGACAACGCAAATGTTGGCTGGAGTCGCCGTTTCCTGCTTGGTTTACAAAATAAAGACGGAAGACAAACTGCCGTGGGTTGAAACTTTAAAAAAATGCAATAGTCTAGCAATTATTTCTTATTTCTTATACGATACAAACTTCAGAAGAACCGGAGATTTACAGCTATGGGAGGGACCAACTTCCCCAGGTTCCGCTGGATTTTTTTACATACATGAAATCAAATAATAACGAAAGATTGTAAATACCCACCAGGTCCATTCAGATGCCAACAGTCGATGGCCAACCTTTACCTGGCTTTTATCATCTACATCACGTTCGCCGTTTTGTTCATCCAATTCTTCCTCAAATCGTACATTTTTGGCTCCTCCAAAAAGCAAAAGAAACAATAAATACTGATTCCACAAGGAACTATCACCAAATAATAAATTATTCATTGCTATTTGAAAAAAGTCGATTAAGTGTGAATGAAAAAAGTCGAAGTTCAAAACTACTGATTTCAAGGGAATATTTTTGATCCAAAAAATCTTTTGATGACATAAATCATAATAGCGATAGGAGGGTTTTCCTTTTGAAAAATCTGAAAAATGCTAAAAATCGGTATTTATAAGTTATATAACTATATACGTTTTCTTTCCCATTTTTCTCGCATACACTAAGAATAACTGCCGAGATAAACGCGAGACACTGGCGGTACATTGACGAGCTCGCAAACATCTCGCTTTTTTTCCCGCGCCGGTCTCGCATTTTTCTGGGCGCGAGCTCGCATTTCTCTCGCATTTTGAAAATTTCCGAAATGCAAGATAAATGCGAGGTCGCGCCCAGAAAAATGCGAGATCGCGCCCAGGAAAATGCGAGATCGCGCCTAGAAAAAAGCGACATGTTTGCGAGTTCGTCAATGTACCGCCACCGACCTCGCGTTTATCTCGTCAGTTATTCTTAGTGTACGAAATGACAAAACGCGTGATGATTTGAAAGTAAGGCGAATTTATAGTGCTCTTCAAAACTGCAAAAAAAGATCTCGAAGCGAGTTGGGGTATAGTCTGTTCAGATTTTAAATGTCAAGTCGTCGCTCAAGCTCCGCCCATAATGGTGCGATAAACCAATCAGATGGCGAGCCATCCACAGAGCGTTGTCGAATGACGTCATGCTACTTGACATTCAAAATCTGAATAGACTATAAAACATGATCCGATTTGGTGCACGGGCAAAGTCCAAACGACCTTAAAAAGGCCTTGAAAACGAGAGGCTATAGCTCCTTTTTGAGTTCCTAAAAAGGTGTCAAAAGTTTCTCGGAATCTCCTTGTTCCCATCTTTTTTAGAACTCCTTAAAAGGTTCAGAAAAAGGTCTAGAAAAAAAATGCGCTCTTGAGGCCTTTTAAAGGCCATTTTTCCAAAAGTCCAAAAGGTCTCAAAAAGGACCACTAAGAATAACTGACGAGACAAACGCGAGCTCGGTGGCGGTACATTGACTAACTCGCAAAAATGTCGCTTTTTTCTAGGCGCGATCCCGCATTTCTCTCGGCGCGACCTCGCATTTTTCTCGGCGCCATCTCGCATTTATCTTGCATTTCGGAAATTTTCAAATAGCGAGAGAAATGCGAGCTCGCGCCTAGAAAAGTGCGAGCTGGCGCCCAGAAAAATGCGAGACCGGCGCGAGAAAAAATGCGAGATGTTTGCGAGCTCGTCAATGTACCGCCAGTGTCTCGCGTTTATCTCGGCAGTTATTCTTAGTGACTTTTGGAAAAAAAGGCTTTTTTCTAGACCTTTTCCTGAAAAGGACCTTTTAAAGAGTTCTAAAACATAAGGCGGAAAAAAGGAAATTTCCAGAAACTTTTGACACCTTTTCAGGAGCTCAAAAAGGAGCTTTAGCCTCTCCTTTTCAAGGTAGTCATTATTAGGACTTTGCCTATGGATAAGCTCGCGCGGAACCGACTAGTTTGATTTCTGGATTAAACTCTCTCAAGTCTAAATCAGAAACACACATAGAACAACAAACCCGTTATTCGATCGATCGAAAAATTAGTCTCCGGCTTCCGATTCGTAGTGGAAAACCATCTGTTACATTAGATTGATAACAAAACCACAGAATACTAAAAATCTAAATTTGCTTTTTGGAAAACAGTCTCAAAAAATTAATAAAACTAATTTCCCGAACAAGTTTATTACATAACAATATATTCAGTGATACGGACATTGCACAAAAGTTTTTTTCAGTGCCAAAAAAAAAATTCAAACAGTTTGAAACAAAAAAAAAAGATAAAAATAGTTTAACAAGTACTGCATGCGTGATGGACCAAACAGAATCTTCACAACAAAAAAAATTTCTACAAAAATCTTGACGTTTTTCAAGCCCAAAATTGAGTGTCAGCTTTGGGAGTGATTTTGTCGCTGATGTCGAAGAAATAGCCTTCGGCCTGATCCATAGGAATCGTTCCGCGACCGGTGCTGCTTCCAGAGACCATGGACATACGATCTTCATCCTCGCAGCTATGAGGAAAAAAATAAAGATCTGAGAAAAAAGGCCGGTCGGCATACTTCAAACGCTTCCAATTGTTTTTTCCGCGTTTAGTCAAGTTGGTTGCAGCGTAACAGACGTTGGGGAGTCCAGTCGGACAGCAAGACACCTAAAATTCCCTTTCATTACCATCTTATAACCCATAATTCAACCAGAAGAATGAAGATACTGACTTTCAAAAATAGTATCAAAAAAAACTTGGATTATAGAAAAAAAGAAGAAAACGACCTCGCGAGTTATAAAAAAACACGGTAAACTTTTTTTACTTTGCATTTTTTTCGAAGAAATCATGTTTTTTTGAAATCTTTCAATCGTATAAATTTTTTTGACCCAAACGGGTAAAAACACTTTTTTTCGAAAAATCCTCTTTTTATTTTTTTAAAATGTAAAAAAACCTCTAGTTACTTAGAAAAATTCTAAGTCCTGGTTAAGCCGCCTGACTTTCAAAAAGTAGATACAAAAAAATATTTATCAGGTTGATTGATATTTTTTTCTTTCGAGCTTCTTTCCGCCCTCAATCTCGGTCTTTGAATTACTTTCATGATGGAAAAAACTCAAAACTTAAAAAAAAAAAATCTGCCCAAATTGATACTGATTAGAAGACCTGATGCCCGTAGGAAAGCAAATTGGTGAGCTGCTCGGCGACGTCCATGTTCATGTTGTTGACGACGCCTGGAGGATGGTAGAGATCGACGATCGTGCAGCGGATGGGCCGAACTGTTCCCTGGAAAACAATTGAAAGTGCCAGAAGTGCTCAGACGAACAATGAGAGCACGCTGAGGAGTAATGATGAACTCGTTGAACATTGGATTGACAATGTTTTTGTCGATGACAGTGCCGTAGGGCACGTTCTGATCCATGGGACGAGCTTTTTTCGGAATTCTGGAATAAAGATATAGATGTGAGCCCACAAACAGCCTCACCTCCTTGATACTTTTCATTTTTCAAATCTTTTTATTTGAATCGTTTTTTAAAAGATGAACATGGCATCTCTCATAGCGATAAGAACTAAATCCGTCTACACTGGAATGAAATTCCCAACCTTTCCCGGAAAATGCGGAAGTTCGAATTAGTTTGAACGACGATGCACGTCATCGTGGGAGTATACGAGGAGCCGAATTTGGCTTTAAACTCTTCACGAACAGAAACCATCTCAGCTTGAGCCTATAAAAACACTTCAGAGCTCTTTTCATAAAAGATCAGTTTCTTCTTGACAGATTAACCTCCTTTTTAATTATTGAAAAACCAAAAAGAAGTCTTGAAATCTGAAAATATACTTCTTTCTTTTCATGATGTGATCAGAAAATATTTTTCACTACTTTCTTTCTATGGAGTCAAATTGGAAAGTAAAGAGTTCTTTGTTTAACTTTTCCCACATGAAAGGTTGATCTTTGCAACAAAAAAAAAACCTTGATGAGACTTAAAGTCTGGTAATTTGCCGATTAAATTTTCCGAGCTAAATTCGGAAAATTCCACGAGATCAGTCCTCACCTTGGGGAACTCGCCCTCGGAGACTCCACCGCGGAAAACGACGATGTCCCCAGGCTTTTTTCCTTCGTTGAGACGGCTGTACTCGTGCACCGCCTCGACCATCTTCTCGCCGACTCGGCTGATTTCCGCCAGACCCGGCGTCTGCAGCCAAAATGTTCCACGCATTCCCGTCAGACCATCGACAGTGAACGCCATCTGCAACCGACGTCGAGTGGCTTATTTTTGGCGCTCATCGCTCTCACGCCAGCGACACTCGGCTCACTGCGAACGACTTTGAGCTGCCGGTCTACCGCAGATTGGGCTCCAGCATGCTGAACGTCGAATCCAACCACCATCCGATCTGTCCTCTTCAGTTCGTGGAGGCTAAAAACCCGTTTTTAATGGAATGCCGTGTTCAAAGTGATTCCGCGAAAACCCAAAAAAGTCGTCAGAAAAAAATATATAACTGAATTTTGAAGAGTCAGAGATCATCTCGCATTATGCGGATTACTTTGAACACGGCATAATTATCGACAAAAAGTTCGACCCTTCGTCTATGATCGCTACACAGAATCCGCCACAAAAATTCAAACTTATTTCATTTAAATATTTGTCACAGAAATATTTTTTTCTCAAAAAAATAGCGCATATCCATAGTAATTATTTTAAAAAAAAACCTTTGTTGTTGGTCGCGGTTTTTCGATTCCAAGTTGCGACCCAAAGCTAAGTAGTAGTTCAATCCTCCCATTTTCAAGTTCAATTTCAACAAAATGTTATCCGTCGTTGCCGGTTTATTCTGAAATACCGAAGAAAAGTACTAATTTTGGGGATGAAAGAAACCGAGCAGACGTCGCCAAACGTCTTTCTGGAGACATGCTGACAGACGTTTCCGTTCTTATTTTCCAGAGATTTCATGAAATCTATAAACTTTTATTATCTCACAGCAACAGAAGGCATTTTTGAACCATGAACAGGATCCTGCTTCTGATGAGTGACGAAAAAAACGAAAACTTCTCCAGAAGACATAATTTTCGCAGCGCGTTCTTCGTCCGTGCTCGACATTTCTTCCACATGGATCTACAATTTTCAAAAATTGACTTCTACTTTCAATCCGAAAAAGCTAATTAAATAGAAAATTTGAATAAAAAAGAAAAGTATGAACCGAAGTATTCCTCCACTTCATTCCTTTCTGTTCTCCACTGCGGCGAATGTTGTTGATGAAGTTTCTGAAAGCACCAGCGGTGATGGTTGAGAAAAACTAGGTACTCGGCTTCGTGGCGTTTGGCGCAGCGGTCGAAGATGATCATGTAGACCTTCCGGGGCACTTCAGCCGGTTTGAGGAAATTGCCAGCTCTCCAGGTCGGATTCGCCGAAACCGTCTGAGACGAAACTTTGCTTTTTTTTATTCATGAAGTTATCATCGGACCGTACATGAATTTAATAGTCATGACCTAACAGCGCAGAAAAAGGTGGAAAGTCAAAAACTATCAAAAGGAGACCTGACAAATTTTCCGTAGAGAAACTTAGTTACAGTCTTTATTGAGATTCTATCTCGCCATTTATAAACTTTTCAGGTATTTTTTCGAGTTATGTTGGATAGCGACCTTATAGGATCATTGAAAAAGAAATTTTTTTAAAAATCTTTCCCTTCACAAATTATTCAACTACAAAAGTTTCATTACCCATTTGGCGTTTAAGCTTAAATTTGTTCTTTAATTTCAAATTCTTGACCTTTGTTTCGTTTTAATTTTCAAAACCGGAATTTCGAGAAGCTTTTCGGACTAACTTGGTTGCCTTGGAAAACGATTTGCGCCGGCTCGAGCTGTTTGGCTCCAGCCACAATTTTACTGCGATCGACTTTCAGCTGCAATTTTTTTATCCTCTCGAATATCAACAGAACAAGCAAACTCCAAAGTTCTTCAAATAGTTGTTTTCTCCGACTTTCGACCCGGCCATCTGGTCGTCGATTTGCTTGGACATTTCATCCGGGAGCATTTGACATTTCTTGATCATTTTCTCAGCCTGAAAGTGCAACCAGGAGATGAAATCAGAGAAACGGTATCCACCATCAACGGAGTAGATTTAGAAGTCGGAACTCGCTGTCCACGCTCTATAATCAACACTTCGATCGGATGGAAGCTGACGGACTTCTGGTGTCTTTCCACAACCAATGGCAGGTTCGGATATCTTAACATCATTCTCAAAAAGTTCGGAATATGACCCAGACTTGAGAGTTTTCTTATAAGTAGTCTTGAAGTATTCGTAGACACTGTAAGTGCGATCATCTTTTTCGAAAGTCGTTCTGGAAATGATTTTTTTGTTGTATGAAAAGTGAGAAACAGAATGTTACTCTCTAGCGTTCTTTTTGTGGAGTGCGTTGATCATGAAAAACCTGTTTTCACTCATGTGAGACGTACGGACAGCAACATCTGAACAATCTTTACCCAACTAATCTCGTTTTTCAAATACCTTTCAGCTGTTGATTGACCATTTTGAAGGCTCTTTGGTCCGCAAGGGCTCTTTCGAGCTCGTAGCTATCGCGAACCTTCAGAAGATCTTTCAATGCGTCGATCAGATCACCATGTTCAATGAATGGCGAGCGCTTGGCTGTAAAATCTTTTCATGGTCAGGCTAGAATAACGACTCGCTCCATATCACATTGAACTGTTCTCAGAATGACAAAGTAAAGTCGAGTTTTTTTATTTTATGTTTTTAATACAGAAAAAAGGATGAACCTACAGCTAAACTAAAAAGAATAATAGATTTTTAAGTTATACTAAACTTAATTTTTAAATGAAAACTTCCTTTTCATCTCGGACCTTGGTAACAAAAATTGGACGCACTTCGAAAGTTTGTGCGCAAATATAGGTATCACTAATCACTTCTGATTTCTGACGCTACTAAGGTGGTCACTAGAAATGCTCCGATACGTGCGGGGCGTGTCCGGTTCGCGCCGAGATTAGAGATTAATGTATTTTTAAAACACATCGACTTCTGTGCCAGTTAATTTCGGATAAACGGATGGAGGTCCTCAAAAATGGTCAGCCTATTTTTTTTTTTGTTTGTATAAACGAGATCAAACTTTATAGAAACTTATGTTAAACGGAAAAGCATCAACCGACCGTCAATTTGCAGCATCATCGTAGGGCTTCCGCTTTCGTCGTTAATGATTCGACAGTTTTTCTCGAATCCAACTTTGACGTACTTAGCTTCACCCATCGGCAAATTATTTTCACTGGACTTTTCGAAGAACTTGTTCCTCAGCGAATGGTAATCTCCTCTGAGAAAAATGATTAGAACTGATTCCTAAGATGTCAGGCTTGAGAGAGGACCGTCAGCTTTGCGGCCCCTGGCCGTTTTCTATCTCCGACCGGGTAGCAAAAACGGCCGTCATGGCCCAAAGATCGCAAAAATATCTTAAAATCAAATATCAGACTTTTTCAAGGTCAAAAATTGTTTGATGCAAAATTTTTTTCTGAATAAAAAACTTGATCCCGTGCAGGCCCATTCGCCAAAAGTGAAGCTTGAAACTCGGCCCAGACTGTCCAGCGTGACGCCAAAGCATTTAAGGTAATACCCGCGATGAAGGATCGTGTTGCTGATGACTTCCACGACTTGCTGACATTTGCGACTCATGTCAAAGCCTTCGCGCAACGCATCTTTCGAAAGGACGAACTGATCAACCAAATGAATCACAAAAACCAACTGAAAATAAAACTTTTTACCGGACTTTCATTGAACAACTTACTTTCTCGATATTGTGAAAGAACATAGCGGTACTTTCCGTCTTTTTTATGTCTTCCTGAAAATGGGCGATAGAAGTAGCTGAAAATTGAGACATACCGCAGCCAAAGTGAATTCTTCGCCTGGCCTCACATCGAGAGCATAGTTGCTGTAAACCGTGCCCGCGCAGTCGTAGGCAATGCACTCCTGGTCGGGAAAAACCTCCGGATGCGCTTTCATCAACGTTTTAAAAACGGAAAACAAGGCTCTTCGTCTGGCTTGCTGGGCGAAACTGCAAATTTTACTCAAAGATCTTGTCCAAGTCGACTTTGCTCACTCTGAGTTTGGGCCTCTGGTTGCGTCCGTCATTTTTTTTCCAACCTTTGTCACTTCCAATCGGTAGTGAAATACTTCCGTGTCTTTGAAACATATTTCAAATGCGTTAGCTTGTACAAAAAACGTGTCTTGTGCTTTGAATTTGGCTTCTGGCAACTTGGCTGGAAGCGTTTCTGCAATTAATATTTTTAAAGTTAATATAAAAGTAAGTTCTACTTTAGGGTGATTTTCTTGAGAAAATCTTTATTTAGATTTTAAAAAAACACAAATTCTAAGATCGGAAAAAAACGAAACTTATACACCACAAAACTTCTCAATTAAATAAAAACACACCTTGCGACGTTTGAAATTCCATACGTTCTTCCATGCTGGATTTTTTACTGAAAAAAATCAGAACTCAAGTAATCACTCATAGAAAAATAATGAGAGTTAATGTCGTATTCAATTCTCGTAATTTTTGATTTCTAACGTCTTTTTAAAACTCTTGCCAAAATGCTAAAAAAAATTAGAGATCTGAAAGCATAGATGGAACCATGAATCTGCGAAATTATATTTATGAAGCCGTCAGTTTTTTTTTAAACTCGCTTTCATCAGAACGTCAGGACAACACTCGGTGATGCGCAACTTCGAAAAATCCCATATGTTAAAAGGAGACTAGAAACACGCTAGGAATTAAAAATGATACACACCTAATATTATGTACCATATATCAGTGAGAGTAACGCTATGCCGTGAGGTCTGCCGAACCGGCCCTCGTCCCAGCCAGCGGGTGATGCAAAGGTTAAGGTGAACCCGTCGCGGTATTGCGTTACTCTCGCTGCGATATAGCCCATAATAGTGGGTGTAGTCTGTAAAGATTTTAAATGTCAAGCAGCTAATTCCGCTCAATGACGCGTGACGATGATCCTTTTTCCGTGTCAAAGTGAATCCGCGAAATCCAAAATAGTCGTCAGAGAAAGAAAAAGATGACTAAATTTTGTAGAGTCAGAGATAATTTTGCATTTCGCGGAAGTTACTCTGAACACGGCATTTGATGGCGCTGCATTTTTTGACTAATTTTTCTAGCTGTTAGATCAAAAAAAGATCAGAAAATTTAGCTCTATCAAAGGATCATCGTCGCACGCGATAACTTATCGACTCGAAAAGGTACTGTGCCATCGGGGGCGGAGTTAGCTGCTATATATTTAAAATTTTAACAGGCTACAGCAACGAAATGTAGCGATTGTTTGTACAAAGCAACAGTGTAATTAACCATATGCTGAATAAAGTTGAGTATACAAATAAAACCCCTATAAATCACTCAGCAGTTCTAGAGTGGAACCTATAGATCTGATTCATATATCGCTCCCTCCAAAAAAATTTGAAAATTGAAAAAAACATTTTTTTGCTTTATTTTTGACTTTTTATGATGAAGTCAATCAAATTCAAGAAAAAAAATTTTTTGAAAAAAATTTTCTCAGAGAGCAATATAGCGCAAGACGTTTGCGAGGTCACAGCGAGAGGCGAGCGATATCGCTCGCGGCTCCTCCCGCGGTATAGAATCACTCTCGCTGCGATATATTCCACAATATTGGGTGTTGAATGTCAAGCAGCTGACTCCACCCCCAAAGCTACAATATCTTTCGCGTCAATGTTTTATCTACATATGACGATGGCCCTTTAATAAGGTTGCATTTTTGACTTCTTTTCTATCTTTTATATAGATCAAAATTAGTCTCGCGCGATAAAACATCGACGCGAAAAGGTACCGTTTCAGCAGGGGCGGATTAAGCTGCTTGACATTCAAAATCTGAACAGACTATAGTGTCGTGTTAAAAAATAATTCCGCGAAATCCAAAATGACTGTCAGAGAAAGAAAATTATAACTAAATTTCGGAGAGTCAGAGATAGTTTTGCATTTCGTGGAAATAAGTTCGAACATGTTCAATACATAATGGCGACATGGCTTTTCACGCGATGCGAAGTTTTATATACGCGCAAGTTTGAATTTTTGCTGAGAATGCCCAAATAATTTTAAAATCCGGAGTTCGCGCCTAAAATTTCATTTATTTCCGTATATCGTTTCAGAACCCTTTTCCAAGCTCCCGGTGTTCTGAAATTGCCCATTTCCACAAATCATTTTAAACGAATATCTTGTCATTTTTTAAATCGTCTAAATATAGCTGATTCACGGTCAGCTTGGGACGCTAAGCGCTCTCCACGAGCCAGGCGCTGTCTCGTGCATTATCGTGTCAGGACCTGTTTTTCGATGGCTCAAGCCACACCCAATATTGTGGACTATATCGCAGCAAGAGTAATGCTATACCGCGAGGGAGCCGCGAGCAATATCGCTCGCCTCTCGCTGCGATCTCGCAAACGTCTTGCGCTATATCGCTCTCTGAAAAATTTTTCTTCAAAAATGTTTTTTTCTTGAATTTGATTGATTTCATCATAAAAGTCAAAAACAAAGCAAAAAAATGTTTTTCAAATTTCAAATTTTTGAGAGGGAGCGATATGGCAGCGAGACTTTGACGAGATCGCAGCAAGAAGCCTTGGCTATATCGCCTGCGGCCCGCTGCGATATCGGCAACTATGTTGGGTGTATCGCAGCGATATATAGTAATGCTATATATATGTACCGCGGGGGAGCCGCGAGCAATATGGCTCGCCTCTCGCTGCGACCTCGTAAACGTCTTGCGCTATATCGCTCTCTGAAAAATTTTTCTTCAAAAATGTATTTTTCTTGAATTTGATTGATTTCATCATAAAAGTCAAAAATAAAGCAAAAAAAAATGATTTTCAAATTTAAAATTTTTGAGAGGGAGCGATATGGCAGCGAGACTTTGACGACGTCGCAGCGACATGTTGACGAGATCGCAGCAAGAAGCCTTGGCTATATCTCCTGCGTCCCGCAGCAATATCGGCAATTTCATTGGGGCAGCCGTGAATCAGCTATAAATTAATTTCGAACACTGCATGAAAGCATATATGAAAGAAATATATATAAAAACAGTGATTCATCAAATTTGATGTATCACTGTTTTTTTGAATCGAATGCCGTTCTCATTTATGTGGCTTTCATAGCTTTTTTTAATTTTGTGAATTTTTTTCATTTCCAAAAAAATAGAATTTTTGCGCGCAATGCGGACTTTCTTCAAAAAGAAAATTTTTTAGACTTAGTGAACCCGTGTGTTCGTTGAGCGAGCTGCCAGCTGCTACTTTTCGCCGCAATATTTCGTCGCTTCTTTCACTCTTGGAATTAGAGAAATCTCCGCATTCCATAGGCTCACTTCTCGCGGAAGTATTCTCTTTGATCGGAAACTTTTCTAAAGCATAATTTTTAATAGGATTTTCTTAAAAATAATGTTTTTTCTGTCAAAAACCTCGAACTTTTTCTTTCAACAACCGTTTTTTCGGGCTTCTATATATCCTTGCCCTGAAAATTGCTTTTTTTTTGCCATCTTACATCATCAATCCTAATGAATAGATAGCCAATGAACGTTTAGATTTGTTCTGCGTTTTTAGAAAATCGAATGAAAAAAGAAAAGCGGCGAGAAGCAGTTGTTTATTTCTTTACCAACTTCCGGTACCACAAGCGTTCGTTTTTGATTTCAAAATACCCGACAGTTTTTTTTTGAAAAATAATCGTCACTTTGTGACTCATTCGCGTTTGTTGGTTTAAGTTGCAAACACTGTAGGAAAAAAATCTGGCTATTATTTCGATGTTCGAAGTTTAAAAAAAAATTGATAAGTAAAAAAATAGCTTCTCGATTCCAATAATTTCTTTTTTTTTTATCTGTGGAATGAAATGACCTTTAGACTTGCGGAAGCTAATAAAAGCCATGCTTTTAAAAAGATCTTTTTTTTTGAACGGAACGGCACTTCAGGCGGGACATAACAAGACATCCACAAATAGGTCTGAGCAAACGGAACTTTTGCGTTTTGTGGGACAGACGGCACGCCGGCTCATTCTGTCCGGAGCTGCGTCGCCATCTCCGTCTTTTTCTGATCTCACTGGTTTCGACCTTTTCCTTGTACCTTGCGCTTGCAGCGGACATCTTTGTATCTTTCCTACGGAATATTTGATCAACTCGGAATCGTTGAATAAAAAAACTTTTCTTATATACTGTTCTCTTCCGCTTCGGCTTTGCACACTCAATTTCTTCACTCCAAAAAAAAGTTGCAGGAACTATTATTTTAAGTTTCTTTGAGCGCACGGTGTTCCGCGCAATGAAAAAAATGCGAAATTTTGGGTCCCAGCGGCATATTATCCGTGGCGCATCATTGCGCCCTTCTCATCGTTTCTGATGCAAAAATTGAATTTCTTCACTTTTTTCATTGGTTTTTTACTTTTTTCTATTTCTTGCATTTATGTGATCCGCCTCTCTATGGGTACATTTTGTGGAGTTTCAAATTGCGCACTTTTTCTAAACCGGTTTCAGATCTTTAACTTTTTTTCTCAAAAATAGGTGAAGATTTTTTTCTAAAAAGTCCTAATTTTTTTCAAAATTTTTGAAATCTGTTTCGTGACATGAAAAAGAGTAACTCTATTTCGGAAACTATAGTTTTTTTAATTTAATCAGTTAATAATAAAAAAAGTTATTATCTAGTTCCTTTGAGGTAGTTTGAAACCGGTTTCGTGTAAATTAGAGCCAAATTGAATTTGCTGATGCAGTTTAATGATTTTGATATATGCATCATCTAAATTATATATATTTTTCTAGTTTTTTTGATGGTTTTTCGATTTAAACAAAAAAATTTCGCCATACGAGGTTTTTTTCTAATATTTCTGCTTTCTATCCATTACTTGTTTTTTTCTGAAGCTAGGTTTTCGAGGTATAAAAATGTTTTTTTTTCATTTGCTCCTCGAATTTTCCTCATTTCATTATTTCTCGTATTTATAAATGCTTATTCAATGGGAGCTGATTCATTTACATAATATTTTTTTGTTTTTTTATTTTGTAATCAGTAATTTAGAGTTTTCCCTTTCGAAATCAATCCTAAATGTTTTTTTCAATGTAAGTGAATGTTTTTCACATCATATTCTTCAAACTGACAAATTTCGAATATTTCAGGAGCTATTATCCTGAAATCGCAAATTCTAAAATTGAAAAAAAAACATTTTGAGTATGCGATAGTGCGTCTCGGTGTGCTTACACCCTAAGCATCATAATTTACGAAAAGTCTTGACCTTGCGTAATGAAAAACACCGTGAGCGTCTTTTTTTATGTTTTATAAAAAATTTAAAGCTTTTATGAAATTTTTTGAAAAATAAAAAACATGCTAACGTCTTGACAGACTGAGGCTCGATTTTTGCACACTCAATTTCAAATTTAACTAGTTACTGTTGTTAGGTAGGCTTACTGATATGTATGTTTTTTTTTTTAAATCATAGCTTCTTCCATAAAAAAATTGTTCTAAATTCAGTTTTTTGAGTCAAATCTAACCGCCAGTCAAAAACTTCTCTAAACCTGCTCTTAACAGTCATATCATTTTTGTTAATTTATATACCTGGTATATCTTCTTGTTCAGTCATTGGTGTATCAGGAGGTCGATACAAGTAGGTAGCGGGTAGCAATTCAAAGCAATCGGCGTATCGTAATAGGTGGTCACTTTTATGCGACCGGGTACTATCTCTATCGTACCTCAATATTACCGTGTCTGTATCTGGATGCTATCAGGTAGGTGAAACTTTCGATTTCTACTGGCTTTCACATCGGTCGTTTATTTAGCACCAGTGTTTTTTCGAACCTTTCGAAGTCTTCCAGGGTCTCATTGGCTAACGCTGAAACATTAAATCCACCCGGGAAGCAATGCCAGACTTTTCGGAAGCAATCGTGAATGTAAGGTAGCTATCCGTTAGCTACTTGCATCGACCTCCGACATAGGTACCATAGAGATAGTACCCGGTCGCATACGGGTACTATCTCTATGGTATCTATGGTACCTATGTTTAAAAGTTGCGGTTTGGTAGCTATTTGTATCGACCTCCCGATTTACTTTTGGTACTGTACCTCTTTGGAGTTTCTGAAATTTAGAACTTTGCTTTTTTTTTTTGAAGATATGACGAGAATAAAGAAAGCTTCTTTTTTCTTGATTTTCAAATGAAAATGAAGTACTAGAGGAGGCGAACTGATAAAGACGACGAGCCTCGTTTCTAGTATCAAACAAGAAATCGGGCGCCTGTCGAGGCTATTACTCTGGGCTATGCGGAGTATCCTTTTCGACAACCTATTTGTCTTGTTAAACTGGTACATTTACGATGTCAACAATCCATCACCAACTCTCTTGATTCCTGCATGCAGTATTAGTAAAAGCTTCATTTTCTTTTACGCTGCCTCTTTTAGTAGGAATTTCTTGAGCTCCTGTCTATTTGAAAATGATAATTTCGTCAACGTAGTGTCACCACTGAGTCACTTACTTCCTTTACAAAACTGAAGACGGAAAAAAAGAGGCGGAGGTACAGGGCCGAACGACGCAGCTGTCGGCGCCTGTGTTTCGGGATACTTATACCCAGCTTCGAGCAGAAACGGCCCTCTCTTTTCTTTTTCCTTTACGATTATATCTTTGTGGCTTGAAATTTAAATTCACCACCAGACCACTTTAAAACCTCATTCTATTCTTCGAAATATTTCCGAACTCAATTTCTTTTCCAAGTTCATCTTCCTTGATTTTTTTTTTCATTATTAGCTTAGAAGAAGAGATAATTCGAAGCAAGCGAAACTTCTTTTAGAGTTTTACATGAAAGGTTCCATGCAGGGTTTAATCTTCATGGAAGCTTTCAATTCAATTGCTTCTCGTTTTTAGTCGCTTTTCTTCAAACATTGATTCTTGAACCCGCAGAAAAATTCGATGCCTATTCTGCGACGGTCGGCAACGCTCAACGAGGCAACTGTATCTGCCAAAAACAAGTTCAGCCTCAAATACGATCTCAACAATAATCAACAGAGGGTCACTTTTTATCATTCTAACTGTTAGCCAGAGAAATTAGTTTCAGAAAGAAGAACAATTATGTGAAGCAGAAATCTTGGTCGAGGAGCGGACTTTCGTCTGGGATTGGCCGTTCAGCTCAGAAGGTTAGTTTAGTTTGAACTTGAGACAGGGTCTTTCCTAAAAAATTTTTTAATATGCAAACTTTACTTATTTATATTTTTATTGCAACTTTCCTCTCTTAAAAAATTTTTAGCGCTGGTTCTAGAAGATATGGAATGGTTTTTTTATAGGTTTAATTTTATATGAACAGATCTAAGAACTATTAAACCATTTCTTCCCGAATTCTTATTCGAAAAATGTTTCAGGGATTGCTCCTGGAGCATACACGGCTGAAAAATTTGTTGTCTGCCTGCCTTTCAACAAAGGAGGCACAGGAGAGAAAAATGGAACGGTTAGAATTTTCAATTTTTTTTTCTGTGATTCTCAACGCTGGTGTTTATCACTAGTACTGTTGCTATTATCATCATTATTACTAATTTTAGAACATAGAGAACATGTGTGAAAAAGAATAGAAAAGCGGTACATACAGATCTATCGCTCAAAGTGACCCTTGGCATCATTTTTTGGCGGTTTTTTTGTGGAATTTGATGCAGACTTCCATTTAGACCTTTTTTTTAGAATGAAAATAAACTATGAAACGCAATACCTATTTTTCGAGAAATGTTGTACAGTACTTTGTCACGTGCGTCAGTTGGGTCCTAAGCTATCGGATTTCGACGCTTTTTTTCTTTTTTTTTCGAAGGAATTTTCACATTCCAACGTAGAGGGTGTGAAATTAATTTCAGTCATGCGAAATTTTGTGGTATTTCGCGTTTTTTTTTTTGCTTCAGGTTATTTCAAAACCGAGCTTTCGCGATGCAAAATAGATATAATGTTATATTTTTCATTTATTCCACTTACTTTCCATTATCTGGGTGGCCTGTTGTAAAAGCGTCGAGGTAATAGTTTTTTCAAAGATTTGAAAAGCTCTCAAAGGCATAAGAGGAAACTCTTTCTTCGCCAGAAATTACACAAAAAAGAATGGAAAATCCTTGCTGAATATTTAAAGTAGTTGACTGACAGTTTAGAGGCGGAAATTCGTTTTCAGCGTCTTTCTAGGCCATGCAAAGCTTGTCTATTCGAAGCAAGTTTAGTTTAACAAGAGATTAAAAATTTTTTACTGAAATTTTATTGCTGAAAGTGCTTAATATAGAAGTTAAACTTTGCCTTTGAGTTAAATTCAGTTCGTAGATACTCCTTTAAAAAGAAAAATATTTTGAACCGATGGGGAATGCGGCTGTTTTCCTCGAAATTCGTGCTTTAGTTCGAGTTGGAGTGTAAAAAACATCATGAGAAAAGTCGCTTTTTTCATTCTGAACTTCATATGAAATTGCAGACAAAGAAATTCGAAAGAATTGCGGAGAGTGACTTTTCCTGGAGCATGGGCCTTTCGCGCGACGCCGAACTCGGCTCGACGTGCTTCTGGAGACTCGAAATCGAAGTTATCCGTAACCTGAACGCCATCGTTCTCATCGCTTCGAGGTGAGAGTCCTGGCACCTTTTTCAACTGAGCAAAGGAAAGCGATTGGGAGAAAAAACATATTTTTTAAAAAAATGTTCTAACGATACTGTGCTTTCACAAAAGATAATTCACAAAAGATCACGAGAGAGTCAACCTCCAAGATTTTTAAACTTTGACAGCTTCAAATCTCAGATGCTTTTGAATATGTCAAAACGTGTCCTTTATGTATTTTTCCAAAATTCAGTGACCAGGAAAATTGGCCTTTTTTGTTGTTTTATGTTTAAATTAATTTCAAAAATAACATTCAAACCCTCTTCAGATTAATCGGGACCTTTCTGTAATTTTCTCTTATTTCCAATGTTACAGAGACATCAGCCGTTACAATGAGAACACAAAAAGACTGAAGCGCGTCCGCAAAATGTACAAGTGAGTCTCAATGTTTATTATTTATTAAGAGAATTCTCTTTTCTATTTCCCGCTCTTAAGTAATCAAAAAGTGGGTGTTCCAATAGTTTCAAAGTCTTCCAACTTGCATAACAACTTCTTCGATTTTTTTTTAATGGGATTCCATTTCCATCGCAAAAAGAAACATATTTTTCTCAGACTCCCGGAGTACTACGACGTTACGACGACGACCACCACCATGTTTGATTGGGCGGTTCTGGTGGAGGCACAACGGCGCTCCATCAACCGCCCGACGCTCCGTCGCGCCAGCACCATCCAATGAGTCCTGCAGGAGAGCAGACGGGTTGTCGAGAGGACAGTCCTCAGCATCTGTATGCCCTTCAAACTTCTTCCCTTCTCCTAGTATCTTCTTATGAAAATTTTCCTTTCTTCAACTAATTCTTTGTACATATTAGTCGTTCAAGTGAACGACGACAGGGTTTCTGAAAATCGCATAGAATTTTATTCATATTTCTATTTCTTCCATTTTAATTATTGACATAATTATCCACTTTGCTTTGTAAATTTGCGATCGATTACTTCGGCGTTTTGTTATCAGTTTTTTGTTGTCCTCAGTACCCAGACTTTCATCTTCATTCGGTTCGCAATAAACTATCAAATGGCTCAACGACTATTAAAATTTGAAAGAAGATGATCAAATCACAAAGGATTAGAAATGTTAGATACAAAAAGCGATATGATATGAAATTGATTAGTTCCATCAACGACTTTTGGTTTCAATCGAGATCTATTGGCTTTCTTCGGCTTCTAACTCGTCCTCGGTGTCGGAAACTTCCATGGCGCGGCCCTGAATCGAACAATTGTTCAAAGAAAGTCTTTCGGAACATTGAGAAACGACTTCAAAACCAACCAAATCGGTTGAAGAATGCGGTAACTGTGGAGCGACCGCTAGAAAATTGTTCGAGAAGAAGTAAGCCGTTGACCCGCTACAGTACAAGTAAGTATTACCTGGAAAGTTAATAGTCAGAATCAGATCAGCGGAATTCGCCTCACGAGAGAGTTCATTTAATTTCGCGTTATGGACTTTCTATGAACTTGTTCGAACACTTGTTTGAGGATAGTATGAAGACCCACGCGTCACCTAGTTTTGTTGGTGAGGTTTTCCAAAAACTGAGCGCTTAGTCGAGATAATAAAAAATAAATAAAATTCAATAAAACAAAATTTTTCTCGAACGCGTTGTAGCTTTAAAGGTAAGCTGGAAAAATTTGAAAACACTCAAACTAAAGTAAGCGGAATTTAAGAATGACAAACCGATATGTGCTCCTTCCGGAAACCTCGGATGATTTTCCGGCGTTTCGTTGGAAAGAATTCGCATGTAGGAAATGACATCCCTGCAAAAAACCTTTCTTTTCAAAAAACGCAGAAAAAACTGATTGTTTTTTTTTTCTTTTTGAAAGATCTTCATCAATAAGGATTCTGGCGCTCTTCAACACAGCCCTTTAAAATTTCTTTCTAAAGAGTTTTGAAAAAACGCTGAATGCCTAAATCTTACGTGAACTGAAAAAAAATTCGATAAAAAATAATAGAGAGATAAAAGATTATTATTGCGCCCGTTTTCCTCGGATCATTTTAAAGCTTAAACCTAAATGATGCAGAAAAGTCTGCGTATAATAAAAAAAAGGCTCTTGTCTCAAAACTTTATTTCAAATACATCTTTTTCAACGAAGTTGATCTACTTATTCAGTCCAAATCTTCCATCTAACCTTGATTGTTTGACGCCCTCTCAAAGAGCGAAATCTTTTGTTTTTCGCGCACTCATTCTATTGGAACAGAAGACAAAGGCTCATTGACACAGCGCTTCTTTCCGTAGCACAGGTTTGTGAACAAAAGCTGGAGAAGCGAAAAAGACGAACTTGTCGGAGCAGGCGAAGATGTGCATGGCGCGGCAGTCCTGCCAAGTGAGCGAGCAGTTCTCGGAGAAACCCTGGAGCTTGCGGAGCAAAGAAGCGTCGCCGTGCTGGCTGTGGATCGCGGCGGCTGTCGCTCGCAGCAACCTTGTCGGTGGTGTCGGAGAAGGCCGGAATAACTGCAATCCTTCTGGTTTCGGAGCGAAAGCTTATTCTCTTCTCAACTGACTTTAAAACATTTTTCTACTTCTTAAAAAATTTTTCCCGTTAATTATAGTGGGCAAAATTTTGAAAACAGATCGACTCTTTTTAAAAAAATTTTTTTCTGAAAAAATACTGGAAACGCCTTTTTTCTTATGAACGATTTTTTTATTAAGTATGTTGAAAAATTCCGACGCAGCTTTTTTTCTGCTATTTTTTCAAATTCCAAAATCACCCACTCTGAGCCCCTGAGCGACGTCATCGAGCATTCCAATCATGTGAGGCTCGATTGAGTCGAAGACAGGCGAAAGGAGAATCGCCTGATCGATGGAAGACGTCGAAGGAGGCGAACGCGACGTCTCCGCAATCCTGAACGGCTTCATTGCTATTTTGGAAAAGATTCAGAAGGCGTTACCTTCCAGCTTCGCGTAGAATTTGGGCCATTTGGTTGACTTTCGTCGTCATGTCGGCAACGAGAGAATCTAGACTCGCAAAGTCTTCAAAAGAACGACGTCGCTTGTGGTCCATCTGAAAGGTCGCAATTTCAAAAATCAGGAGTCAATCTAGAAGTGAAAAATCAAGAGAGTAAGTGACAACTGTGAAACCATCTTCTCATATCTGTCGTTATTGGGGTCGCACGCAAGATTGATAAACAGTACGATTGCGCGAAAAACGATTGATTGCTAGGTTTGCTCAGATTTTGATGATATTTCAGAAACAGAAAGCTATTCATGGGTACCGAAGAAAATGAAAACGACGAGGTTTTTTTGTACAAATTAGAAAGTTTTTCTTTTTGCTAGGAGTTTGAGTTTGGGAGCCACATAGATTCAAAAAGTGAGGTGTAAGAGCAGAAAGAGAAGATAAAGACAATGATAAGAAGGCGGCGAGGTGTTAAGCCAAAGCGACCTGCTGGATATCGACGGAAGGCGGAAGGGGCGGGGCGACAGCCGACTGCCGCCGCAGAAGCTTCCTTCCGACGTCGCCATGGAGACCATACCGTGCGCCACTTCTGCAAACCACCCTTTAATTCATTAATTAGTGATCAGATCTGATCAGGAAAGTGTTCGAAAGTTTACATTGAACTGCGAAAGAAGGACTGAATTTGTTAAAAGCATTCAAAAGTATATACTCGACATTGTTGAAAGACAGTGTTCGTCAATGTCATCTTTTTTTGAATCTCAATCTTCAAAAATAAAAAAATTTGAAAAAAAGTTTACTTGATTTCGTAAAAAAATTTTTAATTTTTAATTTTATTCAAACGATTTGTCCGCTAAAAAAAGAAACTTTCTTAACTCTAATTAAGTTTATCAGCTCTGAATTTATAAAATTTAAGTGCAACTTGAAATGGCCCTATTAAAAACTGATGAAAAAGGTTTAGGCACAGACTTTTTCTGCGTCATTTGGGTTTAGACTGAGTTGGATTTGTTTTGTTTTCCCTCAACGGTGAATAAATGATGCAATTCGCACTTGGTTTTGAAAAGGATCTTTTTTAAGCTTAAAGTTTAAAAAAATACTGTTGGACACAAAATCCGGCTCACGAAGTTTGAGTGATTATTTTAAAGTCTTCTACTCTCGCTAACGACATCCTCTTCGAGTTTTCATTATCTATATGAAAAGCTTCGAGTACACCTGCACGTTAATAGTCTATACGTTGAGCAAAAACAAAATTAATCCGACCGGTGGTTGGAATTAACGACTCGGCTGTAATTAGACTTCAGGCGGTGGCTCATTTGTCGAGCGCCTTTTTGCCGTACCGATAAGGGATTACGCATCCTTCTACATAACATACACTTGAATGAATTGATTAAAGCAATAATAATTAGAGAGAAAGAGAGATGATTTTTGAACAGTTGGAGGTTCTATTTTGAAAACTTGTGGAAAATTAGAAGGTGGGTGAGGCTACGGTAATTTCTCTTATTCTTCACCCGCATTTCCCGTTCATTTTTATTCTAAACTTTTTCTTGCTGTTTTCCGAGGTACGTCGTGAACGCTCAACGCCGGGAAACTCCCAGAACGACTGGAAATGTTCGTGGAATCGGAAATGGATTCTAATTGCAGAAGGAGAAGGTGCGTGGTCGATGGATTAAGTGCACCTGGAAAATTCGCCTAATCTTTCCCACCCTTACTCGTTTTCAGAAAGCCAATTTTGCTACAAACGAAATTATAAACCTGCTTTTTAATAGAAGCTAAAAGTATCAGAAAAAAAGAGGTAGGAAATTTTCACGACGGCCGAGGAAATTTTCAAAGTTGAGTTTTGGCGTGTGAACTTCTAGACGTAATAGTCATCTCGTTTATTAGTCTTTCGCTTTAAAAAACTATTTTGAGCCGCAAGAGGTGCACAGACACCTGCTTCAGCTTGAGTTTTTTCAAAGGCGGATATTTCACCTCAATATTGATACGATTTCATGACATTTGAAAATGCCTTGCTTAATGGTTGGAATTTTAAATGTGTAATTTAAACACACTATGAATAAAAAAGCAAAAACGCTTATCATTTCTTCTCAGGTAACGCAGGACTTTGCGCGTTCAAAAATGAGCAGAAACTTAAAACGAAAAAAAAATGATGCGACTGGCGTTGTTAACTTTCGAAAAAAAAAGTCTCATTGATAGAAAAAAGCAAAAAAATGAAAGTTATTTCGTTTCGATCAAAAAACCCGACCTAAGGCGTCGTGCAGCTGGCATTCCGAACGATTTGACAAACTTCCAGAAGAAAATTAATCGCTGCGTTACAGAAACCAGCAAAGCCTGAAATCAAAGAAAAAAATCGATCGCAAATATGCAAAAAGACAAAAGAAGGATTAACGACGAAAAGTGATCGGTCAAGTGTTTTGTTTCACCAATAGTTTGAATTGAGAGAATTTTTAAAATATCAGCAAAAAAGGCAGAATATTGTTTTGAAAAGCGGATTCGAAGGAGCGGAACGATCGGCGGGCAAACAAGACAGTTGTGGAATGGTGGGAACACGCCGTCGCCGCCATTTCCCAACTGATCCAATCAACTGATTGTATTGATTCTTCCGAAAAGCAAAGCGGTGATTAGACATTTTTTGTTTAAAATTGAACTGAAGAGGTGGGAGCAATCGAATTCATGTATTACTGGATCTATAAAAGATCCATAAGAGTCCAAAAAGAGGGCAAAAAAGAAATCTTTATGATGAGTCTCCTTATATGTTACTTAATAATAAACTTGTTTCCGTTTGCTCAGATATCAGTTTCAGTTCAAACTGAAAAACGTCAAGGAATTCTCAACATGCGAAACTTCCTATTACTGCAGAGCGGACGCTTCAAATTTATAAAAAAATATTGAAGCCAGTTGATTTCACAGGAGCTTGAGGCTTCAACACTCAAAATTGGGACATCGGGCGTTTCACTTTTAGAATCCTTATCGATTTCTTCAAATAAAATTTTCAGAAATTTCGCGAACAAAAACAACCTTCCTTGTGGGAATATAACACGAATCCGTGTAAAACTTTCTTTTGACGTGGCAACGCACCTTTCGAAGCTTTTACTCTGAAATAAACCTCCCAGAAGGCGCTTTTACAAAATCTCTGACAAGCAAAACGCAAAAATGTCAACAAAAAAGTATATTTCGGCGTCCAGTTCTGTGTGAAAACTATTGGCTTCAAAAAGAGAGCGTAAAAGCAGTATATGAAGGAAAAATGAAATATTGATTGATCGAACGAATGAATAAGATCTGAATAGAAGGAAAGCGATGAGTAATGGCGGCACGGGCCGAGCAAATGTCTTCAGGCGCAGGCCATTTACAGCAAATAGCGTGAATGACGATGAGCCTGGCAAACAGCCATCGAACCGATGGGCCGTGGGTGAGCACAGTTCCGAACCATCGAACATTGGTTCATCTATCGATTCTTCCAAAGTTGGCTGAAGTTGCCAGAAACTTTCCTAACAAAAATCGTACTCTGAACGTTTGTGAAGTATATGAAAATCAGGAAAGCTAATTATAAGAAAAATATTGAAATAGTTTTTTTCTAAAAAAATCTTTTCTAATAAACTTTTTTTTAAAAAATGTTTCCCACCTGCATGAACGCTGATAACGATAAAAAAATATGAGACCTTCTTTGAAATATTCCTCTGCTCCGTTTTTTTTTTAAATTCTAGAAAACTTTTTAGGCAAAAAAACGTCCGAAAAAGTATGTAATCAGATATTGATCTATTAAAAAAACTAAAAAGTAATAGAATGCTGCTGGTGAGTAGTAAAGAAGTTTGAAAATTTGCATCCTACTTAAAGTGTACAATAAGGCGGAGGTTTGAAAAAAAAAAAGGACGGAGGAGCGGAAAAAGAGAAATGTCGACGGACGGGCGGTGCGTCATCGACGGCTCCGCTTCGGACCGCCGTCCACTTTTGATAAGATACCCGAATCCTTTCATTTTTACAGCGAGTCGGATTCGCTCAAAAATGATGGCTGACCTCGTCGTAGCTGTTTTTGAATAACGAAAATTCCTTTTCGAATCTCATTCTTCAACTTTTGACAATATTACAAAGCTCAGAAGAAGAAAAGATTTGAAAAATTTCAAGTTTTTAAAAACCACAACAAGTACTTTTGGAAAACTAACGACTTGTAAAAGACTTATTTAAATTTCCACATTCTTCTTTTGAAAAAATGAAATTTTTCAAAACTGAAGTCTTCGACGTAACGGTCCAGTGTGTTCGAATTTCCTCTGAAAACTTTTTTTCTTCAGAAGTTGTTCAAGATGTTTTTTTCTGTGAAGATAACGGATACACAAAAAAAGCAGTAAAAACGCGAGGAACGTGCAAAAAAATTGTGGGAAATATCTGTTGAATTTCTGTCGTCTACCACTAAACGACTGAAAAATAACTTATGAAAGTGGTAGACAATACATAGAAAGAAAATTGTATGTAGTTAATTTACCGAACGCGAGACTGAGATTTCAGAGAAGTCTTTCTAATATTTAAACAATAGTAAATGGAGACAAATTTTTCGGAAAAAAGTTTGGTTGTCTTAGAAACGCTAAAAGCGAAAAAAAAAATTAGAGACCAACCTCATAAAACGCGGCGGCAAAGTCAGATTGCCTAATTGGGTTACGGTAGGCGGCGATTCGAACTGGAACAATCAACTCGGGCAGTGCGCTACTTTCGCATTGAGGGACAATTACTGATTGCAAAGGTTGAAGCTACTCCGAAATCGCGAAAAATAGAGAGAAAGTCAATTTTTTCGAATATTGAGTTTTTTGTTTAAAGAATTTGACTTTAAGATTTAAAAAAAGGTTACTATTGAAGGACAGTCTAGACTTCGGCACCACAGACAAATTTTTTTCAAAAATGAAAATGATTCAAAACTGATGTAATTGAAAAAAAAAACAGTGAACAAAGTTTTACAAAAAGTTTGAAAATGAAGCCTCCACTCGTTATGAAGCATACTTTTTTGTACGAAAACTTTTTCTCATCTGTCCCTGAGAAAAATATGTGAATATGGAAATGTACAATACAACTCTATTCGAACTCTTTAAGGATAATCTCTGTTCAAAATCCTAAGGGGTACTGGGCAAAAATTCTTGCATGTCCTAAGATAATGTATAAAACGACTTTTCCGCTTTTCAAAAATTTTTTCTTTTTTTTTTCAAACGTAAGAATTGAGAACAGATTTTACTATCCAGTATAGCTTAACGCAAAATTCCTAAAAGCAGTTTTGGGCAAAAGAGTTGGAAAAGACGGTCGACCGGCACTCGACGGTCTAACCGACGGAGCCTAATCGCAAACATCACGGATGAGCCACTCAATCGAGGGCCCGCCACGCGGCTGCAAATTGTCGAGAATTAGAAAACAACAGTACCACAAAAAAATACTCAAAAATTCTTTAATACATTCATGAGCTCCGTTTTGCTACTTATCCTCTTACCGAAGAGCCTTTCAGTTGGTTATTCCAGACAAAATTTTTCTTTTAAATATTCTCATAATTTTAATTGAGTTTTAGATCGAAATTGCCTCTCATTAATGAAAAATCACACACCAGTTCGTTTCTTTAGGCAATAATTTTGATTTGGTAGGATACTAGATTGAAAAAGATTTAGAATGAAATTACGAAAGGAAGGTGAGAGTGGGTACAGTTAATTTTTGAAAATAAGGCAGTTTCATATTGAAACATAAAAGGGAACGAAAGCTTTTTGGAAAAAACAATCTTGGCATGAAGTTGGAGCAAACAGAGTGAAAATTAAAACTGAACGGAAGAACTGAGCCTTATGTTCCGTACTGTCAGAATGGAGACGTCTTCGTCCGACGGATGGGCGGGTCAGCCGGCGTCACGCAATCTTCTCAGCCGCGCACTCCCTACAAGGCCTTCTCTCAGGTGATTGCGGCGAGTAGATAAACATCCCTTCTCTTCTTCTTTCTGTAATTCACTACTTTTAAAAACTGTAAAGTATTTAACGGTGTTGGAAAAGTTTCTTCCAGTCACGATACAACGAACAAAACCTAGTTAATTAAAATGACAATATGAGGACAGAAACACACACACGCATCACAGAGAAAACCCAGAACCAGTAAAAAAAAAAGCGAAAATTAGAAAATCAGAAGAAATATTCCGAACACGCGTTTCAGAAGAACTGACAGAAGACGAACGGCAGACCGCCGCGCATATAGTTTAGAGACCTCGGCAAACTTAGAGAGAATATAATCTTACTCTCCACGTTCTACACACTGTATAAGAACCGAAAAAAATCTCGCTGGTTAGTTTACTGTTAAATTTGCATGTCCAGCCTAGACGTCTAGCCATGTCTGCGCGCTAGTCTGCCGTTTCCCTTCTGAAGCGTTAAAAAAACCATTTCGTGGGAGAGCGACGAAATGTCGCACAAGAAACGCTTTGAAGCGCGGAAAAAATCCATGACTTTTTCTCTTCATTGAATTCAATATTAATATTGCTGTTAAATTTTTTTTATCGGCTTCTATCAATTTTGTGAATAAATATAAGAAAAAAAAAACAAATAGGTCAGCGTTTAGTTAATTTTTGTTTTTCTTAACTTTTGGAGATCTAAAAAGAGAAGAAAGCTAACAAAAAAAAAAGAAAAAGAAAAAAATGACTCTTGACAATCAGATGGAGAGGCCTGGACCGGCTGGTGATAAAGAACCGTGATAGGATCAGTTTACCCTGGTGAGATAAGGCAAATGAGACACGCGACTCGCGTCCTAGTAGTTAGGGACCGCAAGCCATTTCTTCAGAACGATTCAAAAAATATGTTTTTTACATTGTTCGATAGAGGAGAATGTCCATTTTCATAATCCGTTTAGTTTTTGAAAAAAGCTCCACTAAGAAAAAAGTTATGGCCAAAAAACGAGCGCGCGCGGCGTACAACTGGAGGCAAAATCTCACGGTTTACCCGCCGCCGCACGCTTTCTTTTTAAATGTTTTTTTGCGCGTTTCTGGACCGTTTTTTTAAATCGGTTTTCTGTTCTGAGAGGTTGTCCGAACTGAGCCTCATGTTTTGGTATGAATCTTTTGTACAATCCTCATAAGAATTTTTGATAAAATATCAAAAAACTACTTAGAAAAAAGGTCAGAAGGAATTTTCAGCTTATTTTTCTTTTCTCTACTCAGAAAAATTATTATCATTCGATTTGGAAAAAAGAAAAAATGAAAAATAATGTTAATTCGAAATAAAACAGGAAAAAGTGCAATTTGACTCCGAAAACCGGCTCCTGCGACATTTAAAAGGGCGCATCGGTGTGTTTGACGCAAACACTGCTACGGACACTTGCACGAAATCTTCCGAAATTTCAAAAAATTGCTATTTTTTTCGAGGTTTTCAAAGCCGTTATTTTTTTCGCGTCGATCGATTTTTCATAATTTTTTTTCATTGGTAGAGTTTTTGAACGCTTAATAACATAATCAAAAAGTATAGACGCGATCCTATTCTCTCATGCGTCAACGAGGGCAGACGAAAAAAGGAGGTTTTGGTAAATCTCAAATATAATTTGATTCGCTGTCCCAATAATTATTTTCATTTTGAATTTTTGTTTGTGAGCACATTGTGAGTTTTTAAATGAAAGGAAAAAGTATACCATGTCGCTGAAATTTTTTTCGCATTTCAGCTTCAAAGTTTGGTGTCACTTTACAAGCTTTAATATTTTTCGCGTCGGTAGATTTTTCATTTTCACTCAAAAAATAAAGAAAGTGTTAATGTATAACTAACTCAAAGTTCGGAAGCGTTCCTCACTTGGTTTTTCTGAAACGCGACGATTTTTGTGAAAACTTGTCAGTTTTTTCGTGTTAAATCTTACTTTTTCGCTTATTTTTTTGAAAAAAATACATAGTTTTTTTAAAATATTCAGTCTTGTAGAGCGTTGTCGATTACATAGATTAACAGAAACAGTTCATTTTTTTAAAATGGGACTTTAGCTAGTATAAACGCCTCAAAACAGTTTTTGCAACAAAAAAATCGTCATTTTGGTGGCGTGAAGGGGCGGGGCTTTGCGCCCCCTACTAGTAGTCGTCTGGCCACATCGAATCCCGAGTCCGTTTTTAGTGCGCGAGATCTTGCCACAAAACGGCGATAAAGGTCATTTTCTGGCAGGGTTCGGCCCTTTTCCGCCGGCAAAACGTCTTTCAAGTATCTCTTCGCTAAGATAATTGCCGAATCGGCACCAACTTAGAACTTTTCAACTGTTTTGTTTCCGCTTTGTTCCTGGAGCTCAACTTCAAGGAGCTCTGGAAACATTCAAAAGTCAAAATACCGCAAGATCGAGCAGGAATGCTTCCTGCCAGCAAGAAGCATTTCTGACTTTTTAAATTTTTTTAGATTGGCTTATTTCTCAATTGATTTTTTTCTGAACAAGTTTCTTTGGAGATTTCAAATATTTGGAATTTTTTTAGAATCCAGTGGTACTTCTCGTCATGACGAGAATTACCTTAGGTGAATCTTATTTTTCTCTCACGGCATGAGCAACTCGACAGTAACATAACCCGGATGCAATCTGGACGTTTCTGGGCATTGTTAAGATCCCTTCAGAATTTTAGCACATGCTGACATGACACCGTTAAAGTGTTCACAAACTTTTTTAAATTGGAAAACCATTAGGTATACGTGCATATGTTTAGGTATGTATCTATAAAATCGCATTTCTTCATCAGCTTTTTTTCAGGTAGGTTGCACTGTCAGAGAATTTCATGATTATAAATGGCACTAAATTTGATCCATTTGAAGGCGACATCGGCTCGAATCAACCACAAGAAACACCTCAGGTCATTTTTTTTACACTTTTGATCATCAAATCATATAATAGATCTATATTGAAGATAGATTTAAAGTTTAGTACATATATTTACTCTGCAAAAATTTTGTTATATTTTTCACCCTCTGATGGCTATTTTTATCCCATGTCTTTACGATTTAAAATCTGAGAGTTTTTGTGAAATTAGAAACATTGTATTCTCTGAAAAAGTTTTTTGACTTCAAGAAATGAATGGAATGTAAGAGGCAAGTATTAAAAAAGAACAAGAAAAAAGTTTGAAGGAGCTGTTACTCAATGATAAGACGATAAAAGAGAGTAAACAGCAGCTGATGACCAAGAAAAAGTGAGAAACCTGCCGTACAGCCGGCTGGAAAGCGTGCAATGGAAAATGTCGGAGAAAATGAACAGCTGACCCTCCCGTCTGAATCTTTTCATTTGCTTCACCTTGTTCCCTTCAATATCGAGCTCAGAAAATGACCGTTTGAAATTCATTTGATTGACGTTTTCTGATGAGTCGAGATGGTCAGTCTTACGGTCAAAACAAACTTCAAGCGTTGGGAAAAAAAAAAAAGAAAGAAATGCCTGCATTTTTTACTTGTGATGCTTCAACATTCTGCGGAGCCAACCAGTATTCAAAAATTTTTTTGAAATATTTTAAACTGCTCGCAGTTATTGAATTAGAAATGGATGGCTCAGATGAATCTATAATTTTTTCAAAAGTGAAGAATGAACAAAAAAAAACCCTCAAGTTTCTTTTACTACGTCATGTTTTGTAAACAGAAAAGCTTTATGAAGTTTCATTAAGAAAAGAAAAAAACTGAGAGGCCTTCTCTTAACTTCCAAGCACCTAAAATGGTTTTATTTGCAGAATGAAAGTATTGCTCCTTCTGTGGACATCTTTGGCTACTGTAATCCTGGCCGACGAGCATCCTGTTCGTAGGTTTACGGTGGATCTGGATCGGCCGCCTTCTGAACGATGGAATGACGTCATCGACGCGCATCTCGACGCGATTCCTGCCGTCGTCGCTGAGGCCAAGTCGGTTTTTCACAGTTATGAAGTATTGGTAGTTATAATATAATAGATTAACCTTTAAAAAAGCTGATTGACTCTCAATTTTCGATACTTTTCTGAATTATTTTCACCAACTTTCATAATTCAATCAACTCGGGCACATTTCTCACGGCGAGACCTCGTCCCACTTCGAACATTAAGTCATTTGTCTTAGGTGTTCTCGTTCTCAACGCATAGTTAGAATATATCTTGAATTTCAAGAAGTTTGATTCAAAAAGGCACACAGTAATGGAAAATGAAATGAGAGAAGTTAGCAGTATTCGCACTTTTATTCAGTCTTCAGATAAGATTCTCTGCTGAATCATGAGATAATAAAGGAGTTTTTCGCCGGTTCGCGAGACTGTCGTTGATCAAGAACGGCGCGTAGAGCATCTCGCTCTTCTTGAGATAGTATTAGAAGAGTTTTGAGCGTTCCGACGATCTCTGCTTCTCCATGTAGGAACAGTACGGCGGCCAGCTTGTCCAGGGCTGGGCGTCAGATCTCACTTGGGCATGGTCTCCGCTCGACAACGAGTTGAGAATTGAGACTTTGTGGATGTATAGGCCTAGGTGAGAGTACTCGGAATCAAAAATAAAATTTTGCTAAACCCCTCAGGCAACCGAGAAAAAGCTCGTCGAAATTTTCCCAGCGCGGATATAGCCGCGCTCAGAGCCTTCGGCTAGCAACTGGCGGCGTGGTGTAGTGGGTTGTGGTCTTGTGCACTATCAATATTGTGAACAGGGTTCGAATCCTTTTGGCGGAAATCGTTTTTGCCGGCTCATATCTTTAACACTGTCACATTTTTGTGAGATTTGTTTCAAAGATTTACATCAAAACGCGCAGAAAACTGTTATTTCTACTACATTACCCATGGAAAGTTTTTCTCCACGTATTGAGGAGGATCTTCTCAAATAGTTTTGTTGGAAGACAGGCGATCAGCAGCATAGTTATTAAGGTTAAGCTCATTTCGGGCAAAATTCTGTTGGTAATTTTGAAAAAAAAAATCGTCATATTTTCTGGTACCTGGAACGCGAAATCGAACGGAAAAGTTTCGCTTTAGTGGTTTTATCGTGTTATTGTGTTTCCGTTTAGTACACACGGGTCCGAAAGACAGGTAATAGAAAGAAAGGTAATAAGGTAATCGTTTTCCAAAAGAGCTCGAAGTTTTATAACATATCTACTCGACATGAACTTTTATAAACAAATCGTTTTCTCCAGCATTTTCCCACAGAGCATAAAAAAACAAAAAATTTCAAATCAGTATTTTTTATTGTGATTTTTGTGAATTTTTATTGTAAACTTTCGAAAAAAAAATCTCACAAAAATGTGAAAGTGTTAAAGATATGAGCCGGCAAAAACGATTTCCGCAAAAAAGATTCGAACCCTGGTCACAATATTGATAATGCACAAGACCTCAACCCACTACACCACGCCGCCAGTTGCTAGCCGAAGGCTCCGAGCGCGGCCATATCTGCGCTGGAAAACTTTCGACGAGCTTTTCCTCAGCCGCCTATGGGGTTTAGCAGAATTTTATTTTTGATTCCGAGTACTCTCACCTAGGCCTATCCACCCACAAAGTCTCAATTCTCAACTCGTTGTCGAGCGGAGACCATGCCCTAGTCAGGCGAGAGCAGAAATCAAGACCGACCACTAAGGAGTTAGAAGCTAGATAATAATAATACCAGTAACGAAGATATCAATTTTTGTTCTTCATAGTTTTTAAAAATCACTTCAAATAACTCCACTATATAAAAACTGTTTACTTGAATATTTCATTTTTCTCTTTTTCGTTTAGTATCGTTTTTCTTCTTTTTTTGTAATCTTATATTTTAGTCGGTTAAAAATATTTCCTTATTTTCGCGATATCGCATAGTCTTAATAAGTATATACTTATACTTATTAAGACATTTTTTTTTGTACGATAGTCGAGCCCAGAATAGAAAAAACGTCTGATTTTAGTTTTAGTTCAAACAGAGCAAAATTTATCTACTCTTCATATCATTTTTAAAATTTATTTTAATATCTTAACAAAAATGCTCATTATATATTCTCACTCGTAACGATTTCCGATCTGTCTGCGATTCCTTGTTTACGTATTATTCGTTTCCATGACCGCTTCAGTGAGAGAAAAGAGGGCGCAGGTCGGCAAGACTATTTCAACTCGAGGTGTTTGTTGAATAAGCAAGATAATCTCGTTTGTCGGTTTCATGTTGTCTTTTCCAATTTTTTGTTCTGGCGTTCTTTTTTTTTCTCGCTCTTGAAATCAACAAGTTTTTGCGAATCGGAGATCGCAATCGGCTTGATGAATGGCAGGACTGGCGATCTGCCAAAAACGCCTTCTCAATTGGGTTATCGAGACACGATTTCAATCTGTTCAGTATGAGGTGGAACATTTTACCTCAAACCATCCATCATTCGTCCGCTTCAAGGCCAATTAAGGTGCATCACTTCCGAAGTATTTCATCTTTTTGTTGGCTTCGATTCCCACACCTCAAACACGCATCAATTTGGAGAGATGAGACGAACCGATACGGCCAGATCGTGATTGAAACTGCAGCGGACGAACCTCTAGCCTTTTCGACCAGAAAAAAAGGAAGAGGGAACAAAGAATAGTTCCAGAAAGCTCGAATTCGTTACAAATATCAATGCGTTCGCAGGAGGCTTCAACTTTTTATTTCAGTTTTCGATTATATTACGCTTCACTAGTTGGACGGGGAAAAACTTTCCAGCTGTATATAAACTTATTTGGAAAAGAAAAACTCGTAAAAAATTATCAACAGGGCCGTTTTAAAGGCACTTTTTGGGTTCTACGCTGCTTATGCGCTTTTAAACGCTGAGCAAACTGTTTTAAAAAAAAAACTATTTGAAAATTTGCTTTTTGAACTATTAAATTTTTCACAATATCAAAAGTTTTCAGAAAATATGTTCCTGAATTTGCTCAAAAATTGGTTTGGTGGTTCGCCTCGAAGCTATCCTACTTTTTCGACGAGGACTATCGTCTTGAACTCGAAGGTACATATGATTTCAGTTGATCATGCAAGAAGTAAAATTTTTAGTTTACTTATTATCTAGTTTTTCTATTCTCAAACTGTTTTTGGACCAACTATTTTGGGACAAACACTTTTTTAAGGGTTTGCAAAAACGAGCGGGTTGCCTTTGGGGGAAATCGTCGGTCTCAACATTCTCTACGATATTTCGGCTTTTGATCGTCAACAGTAAAAAAAAATCGTTATTTCTTTTTCTCCAAAAAATTTCCAGTATATTGAGCCTTGGCTGTACTTCAATCGTGGCTGAAAACTCCAAAGGCGAGATTTTTCACGGCCGAAATCTCGATTACGAAATGGGAGGTCTTCTCAAAAACATTACTGTTTATGTTGACTTTACGAAGGGCGGAAAGGTGATTTGTAAAGTTCTCGTAAAGAGAAAAGTAAAACTAATGACCTTATCTTAGATGTATCAAATCGTTTTCTTGAACATTTCAGTAATTGATTTTCGAGAATGAATTTGACTGAAACAATTCATTTTTAACGTGAATTTCTGCAGATTTTGTATTCGGGTGTGACTTTTGCTTTGTACAACGGACTTTTGACAGGACAACGCCCAGGAGCATTCACAGTCAGCCTCAATGCGAGATGTTAGTTCATCAGATGCGTTTTTGACTCATTAAAAAACTTGACTCTTAAAGATGCATATTCAATTTTGTATTCAATAGTTTTGAAATTTGTTAAATAAATTTTGGAAGATGCATTTATTTTGGTTTAACTCACGGCCAAGAAATTAAGTCAGCCTAAAAAAAATTTTTTTTTTTTTGAGATTCTGGGGCTTATGTCTACAACATTTTGATGGAGCTCTACACGAGGTTTCGCCGTCCTGTCAGCTATTTCATAAGAGAGGTTCGACACACGAGTTGGAGGAAACTAATGAGAAATATTTTTCCCCCATTGCTAGCCCAAATGTTCATCTAACGAGGGAAGCATCTGAGATGAACATTGCAGGTCTGGTCCGAACTTCTGATATAGTTAGTACGAGGTATGAGTACTCTAATATTCGAAGAATTATCTGCTAAGCGCCATAGGGTACTGAGAAATAGCCTATCGAACAAGTACGGAAGAAGCTCGAAAATGATTTCAGATTTTCCTACACATTTTTGACGGGCTATTTATTTTTCATTATTTGGCGCTTAGCAAATAATTTTGTTTTATATTCGAATACTCATTCCTATGATACCTTTTACCGGGGTTGGCCCAGATCTATCATGTTCACCTCACACACTTCCCTCGTAAGTTACCTCTCTGTAATTTCTAAAAAAAAAAATAGCATTAGCAGAAATCCTGTTGGATTATTCATTAAGGAAAAAAACAGAGATTTCTAGTGCAAAAATAGAGAAAAAAATTGCAACCTGAACAAAGAAAAATTAAAAAAAAAGAAAGTGGAATTGTTTTTCTTTTTTTTTGCCTTCAACTTTCAGAAAAATTTCGTCTTAATTCATCAACCGTTCGCCATTGACATATCAAAATTCCAAGGATCTAGTTATAGACAGATTCACATTCGAAAGCAAACACAGTTTTTGGTTGCAAGGACCTTTGATTCAAGGTGCTGCACAACAAGAGAACCTATGACGAAGCTCTGCAAGCCTTTTCCACAGAACACCTCATTTCCCCTTCCTACATCGTCATCGGAGGGACCAAAAGTGGTCAGGGAGCTGTTGTTTCCAGGTTCAGATGCCATATTTTTTCGATTGGATAACTTTCCAGGAGGAATCAATAAAGTTCATTCAAATTAGAAAAAAAATCCATAGGTCTATATACCACATAGACACGGAAAAAAAAATGTTTGGTTTCAAGTTTAGGTGACGCCTGCCGTTATCTAAAATTTTATTTTTTTATTATTTCTTAAAATTTTTTTCTCTTGAAATTTTAACTTTGAATCTAATATGATCATATAACCAAAGTTTTTCGAAATCGGATAGATGTATGTATTGAAAGAGTTTCTGTATATTCACAATAACTAAATATTTAACTGGGCAGTATTTCATTGAACTCAAACGAAACAACTGACGGATAAAGTTTAGTCTGGGAGGTATTGAAGAATTTCGAAACAATCTATAATCTGTGCGAATGTGCTCCAAAGTTTGCGAGCTCACCTTCCATTTTTTTTTGCTTTTTTTCATCCTTATCTCTGTATCAACCCAGCGATAGGAGAACCTTCGACCACGCCCCCGCGTGGGCGAAGGTTCCTCAGTTGGTGGGTAGCTGGTTCCGCGTGTCCCCTCTATCTCTCCTCAACTCCTGCCTGCCTGTATTTCCCTGTGTCAAGCAGCTGACATCCCAAACAGGAAGGTCCAATACGCCAACCTTTAGAATTGTATCTGGAGGGAGTCTCTAGACTCTAAAGGCGGGAATTTGGAATATCTCTCTCGTTTCCAAGAAAATTATTGCCATGCACAATTTTTATCTTCTTGTTATGAACAGTTTTGATTCTGGTTTTTTTTGCTGTTTGAATTTCGAGTTCCAACGTTCTGAGCCTTTTTTTTTTTGAAGAAACCGATGGAAAGCGAAGGACGTCTACACTTTGAACTGGGAAAAAAAGCGTTGGTTCCTCGTGGAGACCAATTTCGACCACTGGAACGAGGATCATGACGAGCGAAGGTTGACTGAAGCAACCATTTTCATTAAAAGTTCCCAAGTTATTCAGACTGAAAGCCATAGAAGAGCTGAAGAACGTAGGGCCGGTTTATCTGAACGGCCAGAGCATGATGAAAGTGATTTCTTCGCATCCGGTCAACAACAACATGACCATCTTCTCCAGCAGCTTTTCTGCCAAATATCCAAACCTCATGTTTGAGAATCTCATTATAAGAAATTGAAGATTCATTCTTAAAAGTTTCTAAATAAATTGCGATTGAAGTCATAGGCGAATCGAGAAAAGGTATCGCGAGACCCTCTGAGGTATATCGCAGGGTCTGAAGTCTTCCGAAGGTACCTCGAGTATACCTCTGAGGATTTTGAGCAAAATGAGAGGGGCTTGAGAGAGATTCTAAAGTGCCTCCGAGATGGCTCAGATATAGCTAAAAGGTATGCTGGAGGTCTCACGATGGACATATTATGGGGTCTTCACGATCCGTTTCGAGAGTTACCTTTGTGGAAACATTATGGTACTTTCTCGATTTGCCTGTGCAAATTTTATAGCAACTTTGTCTTTTCTTAAATGTATGAGTTATTTTCAAAGTTTTCATTTTCTTTTTTTTTCAGAAGTCAACATTTTTTCCTAAATGCTTCAACAAATTTGCTGAACAATTTTGAAATCGCATGTCTAAGTTATGAGTCACTAGGATTTTTTTTTTGATCGCCTGTTTGTTTAAAGTTCACGGTGTTTTTTTTATTACGCTAGGTCAAGACTTTTCGTAAATAATGATGCTTAGAGTGTAAGCACACCGAGACGCCCTATCGCATACTCAAAAATACTTTTTTTCAATTTTTAGAATTTGCGATTTCAGGATAATAGCTCCTGAAATGTTCGAAATTTGTCATTTTGAAGAATATGATGTGAAAAAACATTCACTTACGTTAAAAAAACATTTAGGAACGATTTCGAAAAGGGAAAACTCTAAATTACTGATTACAAAATAAAAACAAAAAATATTATGAAAATGAATCAGCTCCCATTGAATAAGCATTTATAAATACGAAAAAAATATTGAAATGAGGAAAAATTCGAGGAGCAAATGAAAAACATTTTATATACCTCGAAAACCTAGTTTCAGAAAAAAACATATAATGGATAGAAAGCAGAAATTTTTAGAAAGAAAAAACCTCGTATGGCGAAATTTTTTTGTTTAAATCCGAAAAAAACCATCAAAAAAACTAGAAAAAAATATATAATTTAGATGATGCATATATCAAAAATCATTAAACTGCATCAGCAAATTCAATTTGGCTCTAATTTACGCGAAACCGGTTTTTAAACTACGTCAAAGGAACTAGATAATAACTTTTTTTATTATTAACTGATTAAATTAAAAAAACTATAGTTTCCGAAATAGAGCGATTATTTTCATGTCGCGAAACAGATTTCAAAAATTTTTGAAAAAAATTAGGACTTTTAGAAAAAAATCTTCAGCTCTTTTTGAGAAAAAAAGTTAAAGATCTGAAACCGGTTTAGAAAAAAATGCGCAATTTAAAAGCTCCACAAGATGTACCCATAGAGAGGCGGATCACATAAATGCAAGAAATAGAAAAAAGTAAAAAACCAATGAAAAAAGTGAAGAAATTCAATTTTTGCATCAGAAACGATGAGAAGGGCGCAATAATGCGCCACGGATAATATGCCGCTGGGACCCAAAATTTCGCATTTTTTTTCATTGCGCGGAACACCGTGAGTTGAGGACAAAAAATATATGACACCTATTCTATCGATCAGCGAAAGAAATTTTTGTTTACTTTTCAAGCTATGAGAGTTTTCTGGACTTTATCGTTTTGTTTGCGTTCCGCTATGAATTTTGTGGCTGGTAAATTTTTTTTTGTTGAAAAAAAAATGTGATCTATGGCTAGGGTCCGCAAGCCATTTCTTCAAAACGATCCAAAAAATATGTTTTTTACCCTGTTCGATAGAGGAGACTGTCCATTTTCATAATCCGTTTAGTTTTAGAAAAAGCTCCACTAAGAAAAAAGTTATGGCCAAAAAACTAGCGCGCGCGGCGTTCAACTGGAGGCAAAAATCTCACGGTTTACCCGCTGCCGCACGCTTTCTTTTTAAATGTTTTTTTGCGCGTTTCTGGACCGTTTTTTTAAATCGGTTTTTCTGTTCTGAGAGGTTGTCCGAACTGAGCTTCATGTTTTTGGTATGAATCTTTTGTACAATCCTCATAAGAATTTTTGATAAAATATCAAAAAACTACTTAGAAAAAAGGTCAGAAGGAATTTTCAGCTTATTTTTCTTTTTTCTAATGAGAAAAGTTATTATCATTTGGTTTGAAAAAAAGAAAAAATGAAAAGTAATGTTATTTCGAAATAAAACAGGAAAATGTGCAATTTGACTCCAAAAAACGGCTCCTGCAACATTTAAAAGTGCGCATCGGTGTGTTTGACGCAAACACAGCTACGAACGCTTGCACGAATTCTTCCAAAATTTCAAAAAAAATTGCCATTTTTTCGAGGTTTTCAAAGCCGTTATTTTTTTCGCGTCGTTTGATTTTTTTAAATTTTTTTACTCAAAAAAATAAAGAAAGTGTTAATGTATAACATACTCAAAATTCGGAAGCGTTCCTCACTTGGTTTTCAGAAACGCGACGATTTTGTGAAACTTGTCAGTTTTTTTCGTGTTAAATCTTACTTTTTCGTTTATTTTTGGAAATTACATAGTTTAAAAATTTTTCAGTCTTGTAGAGCGTTGTCGATTACATAGATCAACAGAAACAGTTCATTTTTAAAGTGGGGCTTTAGCTAGTATAAACGCCTCAAAACCGTTTCTGCAACAAAAAAATCGTCATTTTGGTGGCGTGAAGGGGCGGGGCTTTGCGCCCCCTATCTATGGCCACCACCCCGCTAAAAAAAAAAAGAGAGAATTAGAATTTTTTCTGAAATAAGATGAAATTTTGAAAGTATGCTTTAAGAGTTTGAAAAAGGGGAGGATATCAAAGAAGAAGAAGAAGGGGAATCGGGAAAAACGTGTTGCGCTATATATAAGCTATTAAGATAGCTGCAGTTTCTATTTGAGTTTGAAACATCTACCAAATAAAATTTTACAGATTTGAGATTCGCTTTTTTCGCTCGCTTCCTCCCCTGAAATCGCACTGAATTGACTCGAAATTTTGAAAAGCCCTCTTTCGAGGTCAATGCACAAAAATTGACACCGTGTTCGGTTTTACCTCTAAAAATGCGAGAAAAAACACCGAAAATTTTAAGACCGCATCCCAGATAGGGTTTGCTCGGAGCATAATTCCTGCCGAGCACGCATGTTTTAGTCTGTTCAGACTTTGAATGTCAATTCGTCGCTCAAGCTCTGCCCCTAATGGTGCGATAAACCAATCAGAGAGCGAGCCATCCACAGAGTGTTTTTCAATGACGTCATTGCACTTGAAATTAAATTGGAACATGCGTGGCGCGTATTGTAAAAGCCATGATCTGAAAAATTTTTTTAATTATTCCTTTTGGTTTTGTTTTTGAATGAGGGAATAAGGATCTTTGACCACTAGCGTAGTTCAAAAGTGTCCTTGGTTTTTTTTTTCAAACTCCAGCGTGGAGAAAGACCCATTACGCATCGATGTCAATGCTGTCGGTTGAACTAGAGGCCGCGGGGCCTTTGCAAAGGCGAAAAACGTTGAACGAAATTCGCTCTAGCTAGAACGTCAAAAAACACGAGAGATGAGTGGAAACGAATGGAGAACGGCGGAGAGCCGATGCCGCAAAGACGACGTCAAATTTAAATGTTTTCGTCCTCCACGGAAAAGGCGCTCTCTCACACTTGTTTACTGTTTGCTGACTGAAAAAAGGACCGCTATTGTTTGCGCCGCCCGTCGCGACTCCGCCCACAAAGGTCCACGTTCTCCGTGTTTTTGAAAAAGTTTTCAGTCTTCCATACGCAACACGACAACACCAACACTCGTCCACTCTACTCATCATGGTTTGTTTATTTATTTTTGCTCTCGTCGATAACTTCCTTCAAAAAAAAAAAATGCTCGAGGCTATATATTTTTTTCTATTACTTCTTAAAAGAATAGGTGACTGACAATCTCCAAATCATTAGAAATAATAGCCAAATGAATGTCTGAGAATATATTCTCAGACAGTTATAACTTGGTAAAAACATAACTTTCTGAAACAAAAATGTGAGCCATCAAAAGTTATTTTCATAGATTTTCAAAAAAGGAGATTAACCTTCTGAAATTATTTTTTTTTCGAAAATCTTCAGCCCTTGAAAGAAAATAAGTTTGAAATGCTTATATTTAAAAAAACAGCTCGATAATTTTTTTGAAACTAGTATGTGCTCTTCTGAATACTTGAACACTGATAACTAGCTAACTAGTTAGCAGTTATAAGTTTTGATATATGTTGATTATACACTTCTTTAAAACACTGACTCAAAAAAATTTCTCCATACCATTTTTTAAACGATGAATCATGTTGATCCAAGCGAATTTTTCGCGAACAAGCGCGAAAATTTTCTGAAAATAGACGCTATTTTGTCAACTTTTGATTTGATCAGGGATTTTCTTTTTCACAAAAAAGGAAGTTTCGAGCAACAGATGAAATTTTTTGAACATGCAAATCGAGAAAGGGTATCGTGATCTAAGGTAGATCTAAGGTATATCGCCATAGGCGAATCGAGAGGGTACCATACTGTTTCCACAAAAGGTAACTCTCGAAACGGATCGTGAAGACGCCATAATATGTCCATCGTGAGACCTCCAGCATACCTTTTAGCTATATCTGAGCCATCTCGGAGGCACTTTAGAGTCTCTCTCAAGTCCCTCTCATTTTGCTCAGAAACCTCAGAGGTATACTCGAGGTACCTTCGGGAGACTTCAGAGCTTGCGATATACCTCAGAGGGTCTCGCGACACCCTTTTTCGACTCGCCCATGGCAGCCAAAAAAAAAACGATAATTGGTTGATTGCTATGTTTCCAGCATCACGGAGACGTTCCGCTTCCCGTGCCATACAATTCTCGGTTGGGCCAACCTTTGCAGGCCGGCCAGACTCTCAACATTCATGGACGCATCAACGAGGGAGCCCAAGTGTCAGTTTTTTGTGGAGAAAAAAAGTTGTCGATATGTGAAATGAATTGGTGATTATTTTGGTGAGAATAATTTTGCTTCCAGTGCTGAATTGAACCTTCTTCATGGTGCCAATGAAATCGGTCCACTTTCGCAGGTCATTCTGCATCTCAAGCTCAACTTCCACGACAAAAAATTTATCATGAACACTTTCACGGCGAGTGTTTCTTTTCATGATAAAAACATATGAATAAACGTAATTCGTTTTTTTTAATCTAATTTTTTACAGGATGGCGCATGGGGCAAGGAAGAGCGCGAGTCGATGCCTTTCAAGGCAGGACACGAGTTCGATCTTCGCATTCGGTAAGAAGATCAAGAAAGGAGCTTCTCATTCTGATTTCTTTGCTTTTTCTGATCTGTTTATAAACAAACTTTTTTAGTGTTCTGGAAGAATCTTTGGAAGTTTCGGCTGACGGCAAGAAAATCCACGAGTTCAAGCATCGTCTTCCATACAATTCCATCGAGTTTTTGCAGTTCAAAGGAGACGCCACCTTGACCGGTGTTCATTGGGGCGGAAGGTAAAGTCCTTCTTCATACTTTGATTGAAACTATCCCAGGTTCTACCAAATCCCTTGGGAAACTGCCTTTCCTCATGGTTCTCTCGGAAGCGGTCAGTAAGAAGTGTTTTGGAAATTAGATAAAAAATAAATTCAGGACAGCGAATTCACCTCTACGGTGTCCCAAAAGGCGACCGCTGGAACTTTGATTTGCTGGCTCGCAACGGCGACATACTCTTCCATTTGAACCCTCGCTTCAAGGAAAAGACTGTATGACTCCTGTATTGTGAGGATTTCACTCTAGTCTTATAGATTGTTCGAAATGCTCACAAGAACGGTTTCTGGGAGAAAGAAGAGCGTGAGGGAGACTTTCCCCTTGAGAAAGAGCGTGGCTTCGACATGACCATTGTCAACGAGCCTTACTCCATTCAGGTTATCTTCGTACGATTCTGTCTGATAATGAAGAAGTATTCAGATCTTCATCAACAATCAGAGGTTCGGAACCTTTGAGCACCGTACTCCCAACCCAGAGAGCGACTACATCGGCATGCGCATCGACGGCGACATTGAAATGACCGGGATCGAGTTCTCTCACTGATTTCCCCATGTAAATACTCCAACATATTTATATAATCATTTAATAACTCGATAAAATATTCAAAATGGGAGTTGCGATGATTAGAAAGGTTTTGTGTCGTCTCTAAAAGGTTTCTCGAAGTCTTTTTCATTATCTTGTTCCATGTGAGGGCTCATCAGCGTTAGAGCGTTTGGAATTTCGTTGGGTCCATTTGCTGAATTTTCTTTGAAACTAAAAAAAGAAATTGAGTACTCACCATCTCCAGCAGCTTGCAGGTCTGATTCAGAAATGTCTTGGTGAAGCATGTCTGAGTTGATATAAGTCTTCAGATCCTGAGTTATCGTTCCGGAAAGCTCCTTAATCCAAAACGTAAAAAGTTGCAAGAGTCGGTGGTACAATACCTCCAAATGGTTCTGTTGACTCTGGGCGATGGCTATCTCGATAGCTTGTACACGTTGAACGACGAGACCCTGAAGATCGAAAGCGAACACAACTCTAGACAGCATCTGGCTTACTAAAGTGCAAAAATTAGTCTGCAGGATATAGGAGCATTTTGGTCTTACACGGAATGGTGAGGCCTTCCATTGCGATGGAGCGCTTGAGAGCGATAGCCCCGTTGACGATCTCGTCGCAGAAATGGCTGATTACGCCGGCGTTGTGCATCTGCTCCCAAAACGTCTGCGGGTCTGAAGTTCTCTCTTTTCCTCTTGAAACAGGGGAATCAAACCATTGTGAAGGCATTGAAGGATGAGTTCGAAGTCAGTACAACCCTCTGGCCTCTCTTTGTTGACCTTTTCGAAGGCAGCCCGCAGCTTTTGATTTTTTCCGGAGCCTTTGGGACGTCCACGACCTCGCTTGAATTCGTCTGGTTTTCCTAAAAGAGCTACCGACGAAATATGAAAACAAGAGGAGATAAGGAGGGTTGCGTTTATTTCATTCCCTTTCCGCATATCTTTCAGAAAACAATACTTGTGCTCCACTATAGACTATAGTGGAGCACAAGTATTGTAGCACAAGTACTATAGTCTATAGTTTGTTCAGATTTCAAATGTCAAGTTCTCGCTGAAGCTCCGGCCCCTAATGGCGCGATAAACCAATCAGAGAACGAGCCACCCACAGAGCGTTTTCGAATGACGTCATTCTACTTGACATTCAAAATCTGAACAGACTATAAGTTGAATCGAAATTTCTTGAGAAACACCATCAATGATGTTTTTTGCTTTCCTGCGCCGCGCAGATGGTCTCTTAACAACAATAAGAAACTCTATTTTTAGATAGAAGTTAGTTTATTTAGTTCCAATCTTTTTTAAACCTCTTTGATAGATATAATTTTCGAAGGCCCGGTGAATGATACCATCAAGCCCTTCCGGCGGGTCGACGATGTCGACAGGGCTGAGGCCGCTGTTGGAGGCGTTGATGTGGTAGAGCAGGTCTCTATGGAGCTTGGTCGGCGACGGCTTCGGCACATCGACGGAGCAAGACATGTCCCGGTCGACGTTCAGGTAGTTGCGGCTCTGACACTTGCCGCTGCAGCGTTTCGAGTGCTCGAAGAAGTCGATTGTACCCGCCTCCATATGCTTCCTATGGAAGGTTTTTATATTCAATGAGAATAAAGAACACTAAGGAAAAGAACAACTCACTATGTTGAGAAGAAAGTAAAACTTGAAAATGACTCGAAAGATATAAAATGGAAAGAAACGTGGCTTTTTTTTAAACATCAATGACCTACTTTTTTCGTTTTTTTTTCCGTTTGATTAAAATTTAATAATGCTCACCTTAACGTGGTCCTTCCAATCCGAATGCTTCCTTTCCAGTCTTTCTGTTTCTCCTTACTTCCTTGTACGGTGAACTCTTTGGGTGAAATAAGAACGCCTGAAATTTCTTAGAGATGAATTTAATGAAATTAATTTATGAAGTTTTTCATAGGTTTTCGTCAAGGCTGTTTTTATCTTCTTTTTTTTTTGAATTCGAATGTTTTCGTTTTTAAGCCAAACTATCTAAACTAACTTATATTTTCAGTCGATTTTTTGACTATTCTGAATTTGTCTTCCTTGAGAATGTACCTGGACAGCCCTCAAACTCGATGCAAGGCTCGTGGATGCCAGGACAGGCGAAATGCTCCAGATGAAGTCGGCCGCCCAAGCCGCCGCACAATATGGGGACCGGGGATGACTTGTCGATCACCAAGTCCGACCGAGGATGCGGCGACGTCGTCCGCGACGTGTCTTCTTCGTAAAACTCCTCTTCTTGCTGTTAAACTATTTTGTCAGTACTTTTTTTCTAAGTTGCGAAATTTCGCTGTTTTGGGGAAGGTGGTTCAATCTCAAAAAATAGAATAAATTTTTATGTTATAGTCTTTGTGCCACGACTTGAAATTTCACCGAGCGACATTCCGTTGTTCCGTTGCGTCGTAAAGCGTCTTTGCGAGCCTCGGTCTCGCTTTGAATTTTTTTCATTTCTGATAGATGGAATTTTCCACTAGGAACACGTGTTGGTCGAGTTCTTAAATAAAACGAAAAATCAAAGGCACGCAGCGGAACAGTGGAATGTCGTTCGGTGAAATTCCAAGTCGTTTTACACAGACTATAACAAGAGAATGATTTTAGACCGTGGTTGAACTTTGATGAAAATTCGCTGATGTATACTTTAAGACCTCCTGATGCCGAAACAAGAAAGTATGTTTTAAGCAATGGAACCGTATTGAAAAAAAAAACCAGATTTAATGCGAGAAATTTTTTTTGTTCCATTAATTCAATTCAATTCAATCACTTCATTTTCGCAACATCAGGATGGTATGCATAGGCGAATCGAGAAAGGGTATCGCGAGACCCTCTGAGGATATATAGGCTCTGAAGTCACCCGAAGGTACCTCGAGGATACCTCTGAGGTTTCTGAGCAAAATGAGAGGGACTTGAGAGAGACTCTAAAGTGCCTCCGAGATGGCTCAGATATAGCTAAAAGGTATGCTGGAGGTCTCACGATGGACATATTATGGCGTCTTCACGATCCATTTTGAGAGGTACCTTTGTGGACACATGGTAACCTCTCGATTCGCCTGTGTGGTGATGTTGCAGGGAAAGAAAGAGACCCCGAGGTGGATTAACCCCGCCTGTGAAGAAAAAAATTTGTATGTGAGAGAAGAAACATAGAACCATAATAAGTAGATATTTAAACCAAGTTGATCATGGCACAAATCTGTGAACTCTTGAAAGGATATGCTTGACGCCAACATTTCCTGCATACACTAAAAACATGTCTTTAAATTTTTCATTGTCTTCCTCTGCCATCATCGGGTCATAAAGTATTCTTCAGCAAAGTTTCAAACGTTCAACCGGGGTCTAGAAACGTTCCCTTTCAATAGTTTTTCAGACTTTCAAGTACAAAATACCTTCAAAAGTTTTTGATATAACCTGATAGAAGAGCTGCAGAGTGGGCTTCTCGTGATGGTGCGGCGAAGACGTCATTAGGCCTGCCGAAGTTGAAGTGGTCAAAGTGGAGAACTATCGACAATCGTCTAGACCGTCCAAATAACACGTGGATTCCACGACGCTCATTTCTTCGCAAGTCACTTCACGTTCACGTCCAGTAATTAATAATTCCTTTTATTTATTTATTTTCGCTTCTTTCCGCTTCATTTCTCCTTATCGAGTCTGACATTTCAATGATTACAAGGACATAAAATAAAGCTGGTTTATCTAGTTCGAAAGGAGTTCAGGGGTTGTACTCAATGGGGAGGTTCTTCCTGCGGACCATGCCGTCGCCTTGGAACCACTCGCGGCGGAACTGCTTGGCGGCGCCGTCAGGGGTATTGGTCCATTCGACGGTGATACGGTCGTTGTTGGTGTCCTGCAAAGAAGATTTTGAACAATGGCTCCCTAGCTACAGTATGCCTCCTGTCCGTAGGCAAAGGCGTCGCAGGAGACGGCGAGGAGAACGGCTTCCTTGGGGTCAAGAACTCCGCACGGAGGGTCCACTCCAAGACGCTTCATGTTCGTCGTCTTGATGCCGTAGCCGATGCGGCGAGCCGACGAGTTGATCACCTGGGAGTGGTCCCTTGAGCAGTTCTGTGGATGGGAAGAACGATACCTTGATGTGGTAGGTGTGCTTGTCGTCGTACGGCGCATTGAAGACGATCTTGGTGTTCGGCTGCGTCTGGATGTCTCCTGGGGGAACTGATTGGGCCATGGCGATCCGCTATGTGATCCTAACGGAACTTTCATCTCTTTTTATAGTAATTTCTTATCTCTTATCTCATCTTTGATCTTCTTCACGTGATTATTTCGAACTGAAATTGTGGAAATAGTCTTTGTTCATTTCATTTTCCATAACTGGTCTCACTGAAAAATTTCACAGTAAAGTCCAATTTCACGAAGATTTTTAAAAAAATTGCAAATTTACAAATTTTCGAAGTAAACAGTGTTTTCAAAAGTTTTTGCTGAACTGCTTAGAGGAACATACAATATTTATGATAGTTGGAAGGTGGAAAGCCATTTCCATTGTTATGTGAGATATGCAAGACCACTACTGCGTATTTGAGCATCACATCAAGAATTTTTAAATGAAATAAGCCTTAAATGAAATGAAATAAGAAATAAATATATTCCAAATCATTAAATCGCTCGAGCAAGTGTTGAGTAAAGAATATTAGGAAAGCTATGTATAAATCGGCCTTTGGAAAGCCGGCACCGTACTTCTTCCTACGACCTCTCTTGTACCTGATGTTCTACGAGCGAAATTCACAACTTCTCTGCTTAAGCCACAGCTCCTGTCGTCGTTTAAACACAGTTAAATCAATGAAAGTCGATTGCACATGTATTCTTACATTGAAGATGCAATAAACAGTTTAAACAGTTTTTAAACATGTATAAATATCATTGAACTAGACAGTCAAGCCTTCGGGAGAATCGTTCCACATTTTTTTCTTTTTTTCCGCACTGACCAACCTCTCATCTGAATCACTCTTATTTTTCATAACCGGCAACTGAGTGCTCAATTTTTTTAACAGCAGGTTTTTAAAGAAGAGATATAAAAATATGAAGAAAAACGCAAAGCCGAGGGAAGGGAAAAATGACTCAGCTCAAAACGCTCTAACGCACTACATATTTTTTCCATGGGCAAAGTCGGAAGGACCCTCCGAGGGTCATAAAGGCTGCTCTAAGGCTCCATAGAAATGTTCCTTTTAGGGTGATGAAGGCTTCCTTTTTGCTGCCTTTCTGCTCTATTTTCTCAGCCCTTGTGAACCATTTTTGCTGCCTCTCCCTTTCTCCACCATTTCTCGACCCTTTAAAATCCCAGAAAAATGGAAGGCTCGATAAAGGGATCCTTTTTGCTGCCTTTTTGAACCCATTCTGCGGCCTTTTTGAGCCTCACCTTTTTAGCGGCCATTATCCACCATTCCGACTTTCCCCGAGTCTTCTAATCACGCATTTTTCAAATCCTACAGCTCGGACTTTGATATAGCCGATTCACAACTAGCTTGGGACGAAGAAAGGCGTAGCCTCTCTTCGCCCTTTATCAACCACGCACTGTCTCTTTTCTTATCGTGTCAGGACCCATTTTTCGATGGCTCAAGCCATCCTTGAATCAGCGATAATGCGAACCGGACGCGAATCTGACGTGTCGGGGCATTTCTAGTGACCGCTTCAGTATATATTTCTAGTGACCGCTTCAGTATAGTATATAGCGTCAGTACTCTTAAGAGATCTCAAAAATTGCTCAAAAGCGTCCAGAGCACGTACGGTTTTTGTGACCGAAGTGTGAGGCTCGAGTCAAAGAAAGATGTAGTTCGCTGGAGCATCTTTCAATGATCCAAATGTGGCAGATGGTTTTTTTAAAAGTTCTTTTCAATTAATATGATTCCCTTTTTCTAATTTTCTTTCTAATTCAATGATTTTCGTTCTATTACACTTAAAGAAACGTTGCTGATTTTGCTGCTGAGGAAATTTTTAAATTGGATAGCCATGTTTTATGGAAAAGGGCGAAATCGAATTGTTAATCGAATTACGAATATAGGAATTTCGCAAAAGACTCGCCGGACAGCCTTACAACAACCTACATAGATATATACTCTTATGTCATGACTCTGCAATGGAGCGTGTATGTCAAAGAAAGAGTTGTCGCGCCTTTATGGCGCTCCATGTCAGAGGAGGTCATGAGATCGTTCTGATCAACCAAATGCAAACGACCGCGGGAATTTCAGATATTGTTCATTTTGAAACTTTATTTTCACTATTTTCGCCGCTCATCAATATTTTAAAAATTTTTGAAATTGGGATCTTCTGTTGAATTTTTTGAAATTTTTCGAAAACTACATTGATAAATTGATTCTGCTAAAATCTCCTGAAATTTCAGAAATCAATGTATGACTCACTTCCATAAAAACATCACGGACCTTTGGGAAAAAGTTTATTCGTTTAATATATCGCGTGCTCAATCCATTTCTTGTCGTTCTTGTTTCGTTTCCAGGCCTCGTACAATTGCTGGTGATTCATGTTTTTCGTTTTATTGAATGTTAGAAAAATGTTTTTTTAACTTTCAAAAAAATTAATTTTTTTATAAAAATATAACAATATATATATATATATATATATATATATATATATATATATATATATATATATATATATATATATATATAGCGCCTGATTTCCAGTGTTTTTTTGTGATTCGAGGGAAATGGCCACGCGGGAGAACGATATTCACGAAATCGTCCAGTGCTCTATATGTCTCGACGTCATGCACAACGTCATGACGTACATTTTTCAACACAATTTAACTCGCCTCAAAAGTTTTTTTCAGTGTTTCGCCTTGCGCTCATAAGTTTTGCACAGGCTGCATACTCGAATGGAAAAAGGATAACCGATCTTGTCCGAAGGTTTTAGTACATATTTTTTCGTTTTACGTTCATAATTCGCAGTGTCGGTGGCCAATAGTGGACTTGACACGCGATTCTTCATTTTGCAACATCATCGAGTACTACCTAAAAGAATTTCCAAGTGAATTTAAATTTGTGATCTTATCTGATAAATTGTTCCATTCAGAAAGGCGTAGATCAGAAGAAGACTTATCGCGTTTGGATAAGCTGGAAATCAACTATCTCAAAAGTATGCCATCAATTCTTAGAGTGAGCTTTTTTTTCGAAATGGCTAGGGTTTACATTAAAATGGGTTGTGCAATTTGAATTTTTCTTTTCCAAGGAGAGACCGGAAATTTGGAGTTCGCTCTTGTCCAACGCTCCTGATCCGGGCTCTGCGGCTTTTACGAGCTATCTGGAGGTAAACTTTCGTTCATTATATATTGCGGAACTTTCATAAAAAGGAAATTCGTTTTATCATTAATATTTCAGAAGACGTGTTTTGAGGTGAGGAAAAAGTTCAGAACTTGCCGTTGATCGATTTATTGTTTTTTGTCTTACTCTATTTGGGTAGTTCAGATGCTTTTCGACGTTCTCTCAAGAAACACGACCGCGGGTGCGCCGACATCGGGTCTGTTGTTGAGAATGAACAGCATTCGCCTGAGTGACGTCGTCAACAGAGACTCCCGACCTGCATCGGCGCCGAACGCCACTGCAGATCTTGCGAACGTCGTGACAGCTTCTTTGAACAGAGCTGCACCTCCGGCAGTTCCACCCGTTCTAGCGGACTCCTGGACACGACCGACTGCAGTCAACGCCGCTCCGCCCAATGCTGGTGCGGCTTCTCCCAACGTTCATGCCGCTCCAGTCAGCAGACCTGCGGCTCCGGCAGCTGTCGCCACAGCTCCGGCCAGTGCTCACGGAGTTGTTCATTCATTTGAAGCTCGCGAAAGTTTTTTTTTGCTAAGCTATTCGAGAGAAAAAGGTTAGAAGTAAAACTAATAACACTAGAAAGCCATGAACTTAAATCACAGGTCATTTTCCAATTTAGATCAGCATTTTTATTAAAATTATTTCGAATTTTTCACGCTATTATAGTCTGTTCAGATTTTGAATGTCACCCAGCTAACTCCGCCCCTGCTGAGACAGTACCTTTTCACGTCGATGTTTTATCGCGCGGGACTAATTTTGATCTTTTTTGATCTAAAAGATAGAAAAAGAAGTCAAAAATGCAGCATTATTATAGGTTCATCGTCATCTGGATATAAAACATTGACGCGAAGGAAATTGTAGCCTTGGGGGTGGAGTTAGCTGCTTGACATGCAAAATCTGAACAGACTATAGATAATCTGCGCTCAAAACTTGCCTCGTAAGTTTGGGAAAAGTTCTAGCCGCTGAAAAAAAAGGGAAAAAATGAATTTCAAAAGAGGTTTTCATGTTCAGAAGTCCGCTGTAAGCTGCGTTCAGAGATTGAATCTTGAGAGAAGTTCTTTCATCTCATCGTCAATATTTATTGGTTGTTTCAGTCGTATGGAATCGACTAGGCGGTGAAAAATTGCTCTTTTGAGCGGTACTAACACCGCCAAAAGAAGTCGAAACGTGTAGTTGATTGAATTGAAAGCATGGTCTTACGGTCCTTCGCCTCGTTCTTCCACAAGTATAGGCCATTTCTCGCCAGCTTGTCACGTTTTTCTTTCGGGTATATGATAATCGGGCCGCGAAAATCGAGCCTGCGAAAATCGAGCCGCCTTTTGTACTGGGCGAGACGAACAGAGAAAAAGAAATAGTGTACAAATGGAGGCTCGATTTTCGCGGCCCGGTTATCATGTACCCTTTCTTTCCGCCAAAAGGCCAGGTCAAATTTGACCAACTTCGCTTCAAGACCTTCGTTTCTTGCCGTTATAAAAGCAGAAATTTGATCTAATTTGGTATACGGTGTCTTTTTGGCGGAAAGAAAAACGTGACAATCTGGCGCGGAATAGGCTATAGAATACTCAGTTTCGCGGGTACGGGCACGGCGGTGATGGTGGGGCTCGGGCACGGACACCGTGTACACTCTAGGGTAGCCTCGGATCTAGGGCAGCCTTTCACTGAAAATTTTTTTTTCCTGGGGTCCAGGCTTGTGCGAGGGCCGGCCCGTCACCCTCCCGGCCATCCGACCATTTCGTAAGCCCGGCCTTAGCGGGGCCTCAAGAAAAAATGGCCCGCCCGGCACCAGTGGTGTCTCAAAAAATAAAGCAGGAGAACAGTTTGATTCTAAAAAACATTCATCAATTTTTTTACGATATTTTACAGCAGGAACACATACTCGAAGAACACAGCAATTAGTAGAAAAATGCAATAAATTGCGATATCTGATTTTTTTGAAATAAAAATCTGATTTTTTTTTTCTTTTAACATGTCAGTCCAGGTGCAACCGGCAAGGAGTTGATGTTTGGTGTATTGATGAACGCGAGTTGCAATTACGACCCCTGGGCCTGTTCGACTCGTATTACCATGAATGAGGTTGACAAATACTGCGGAGCCTACAAAAAGTTTTGATTTATTTCATGACATCTTATATACGATCTTTCCAGTATGATGAATTCACGCGCGACGTGGCCCAAAAACCGGTTAAAACAATTGCAAAAAGAAGAGCTCAACAGAACTCGTAAATTACAAGATAAGGCGCTTCGTGAGTATTTTTCAGAATTTCGCTTTCAAAAAGTAATGTGAAAGAAACACAGGTTCAAGAAATGTTCCTTTAGTTTCAATTAATCTTTTTTTCTCTTTTTTTTTCTTTTTTTCGAAAGAGATTTGACAAGGTTTTTTGCAGAAAAGGAGACGAGTTCCAGGTTCCCACGCTCATTCAACTCCATTACCGAGAGTAGTGACTGCTCCTTGATTACCCTAATAAATGACTTATTTCAGTACTCTTCGATGATATTCCTACGTCGAGCGCTGGACGTCCCTTAGGTAAGTATTTTAGGAGGATCTTCTTATGTCGATTTTATTCCAGGCGGAAGAGTTGAACAGTTGCCGGTAGAAGTTGCTAGGTCATCTCCGCCTCCTTTCCTATTCTCTGTCCCGCGCCAAGATCTGCGTTCATCGAGTGTCGGACTGTTTGGCGAAGCAGAGAGACGGCCCATTCGCTCAATTCTGCGCCATGTATCCGCAGGTATTATTTAAAAAGAACTTTTGGTTAAGTATCAAACTATAGATCGAAGCTCTTCGCGACCGCCTGTCCCTCCTCCTCCCACAGTAAACGCGGCAACACAACCGTCTCAAGTTGTCACGGCTCCGACCTCCACGAGTGGCACGATTCCGCCCTGCTTGCCTACAATCCGCAACCGCCGGCCACCTCCGATCGTTGCGAGCGTTCAAACCAGATCCAGTTTGTTTTTTTTTATTTGAAATATTTTTATTGATCTGATATAAAATAAATTTTAACATTCTCGGATTCTTCAGTGGCGCGCAGAGAGCGACAAGCTGAAGATTTGTCGCGTCAGACGTCCGGTGCCAGTTCCAATCAAAATGTTCAGGGTTAGTTTTCCTTTACCTCTCTAATTTAGATGAGATAACAATCGGGTCAAAAAACTTTTGAAGGTTTAGAACCTATAGAAAGTAATTTAAGAAAATAATAGTTATCTAGATGACGAAATAATAACTATATTTCCTCAGTGTTTATTTGAGCCAAGCGGGTCACCACCAGTCTTTCAAAAAAAAGTACGAAAAATCGTTTTTTTTTTCCTTTGGCACTTCTGATTTATCGATTTTCAGCGACCAATGGATCCAGAGAGGCTACTGGCACAGCGGCCCGAGCAGCAGCAGTTCGGCGCTACGCCAATGTCTAAAACTCCATCTCTTGTTTTTTGTCCACTACTCGAATCTATTCTCTCAGGCATCAACTCACCTCGAATTCGTTATCAAATTCAACTAATGCTTGTCAAATTTTATTTCACTGTGATACTAACTTTTCTCTTTTTGTAAATTAATGAAAATGGTCATTAGAGCTTTATTCGCGAAAAAAAAAACTACGCGATTCACTCGGCTGCGACGACTATCCGCGGGCGCCGATTGGTGCGACGCGGCGGACGATGCGACTCGTGGTTGTTGGCCCACGGGCCGTCGACCTCGTTGGAGTAGTAGTTCATGGGCCAGTGGTCGGGTGGAAGAGACGCCGTGTTCATCGCCACCGCCAACTCGTACGGATACAGCAGCGGACGGGGGAACTGCGAGCCCCAGTCGATTGACAGCCGCGGACAGGCCACTTGCACCCAGCTGCAAATTTCTTCCACATTCTTCAGTTGCGCAGAAGACGATCAGGGAATGAGAATATGAAAACTCGAGAAAGGTCATTTTATTGTACCATTTTTGAAAAAAAAAATCACTTACCATGGTTAGTCACTTACCACTGGTTAGGACCAAATTTGATTTTTGAACAAGTTTTTCATTTCAGAACCAAGCGCGAACTTCGGAAATTAATAACTTCGAAAATAAAAGTTTGCGTTGGTATATTTAAATTTTTAATGTCAAGACGGGGATGGAGTATACAGTACCGATCATAAAGATACGAAAACTTTTTTTGACAATAACTTTTTTCAATCAATCTCGATTGCTGTGAAACTTCACATGAATACGTAATATGACCCGATACACATTACTGAGAGAATAAAGACCTCTCCAAGTAAACGAGATTTCAAAACATGGTCAAAAAACGACACCCGCCAAAAACGCCTAAAAGCCAAATTTTTTTGAAAAATTAGCTACTCTGAAAAAACAAAGTAGATCACAAAACCTTTTTTTTCTGTTCTACAAGTCTTTCACTATGTTTTGACAAGTTTTGACGCAACTGGAAATTTTATTTCCTGCCCAAGAACGGCCTCAAATAAGACGCTTACTAGGGTATGGTCTCCCCTGAACATCGAGTTGAGAATTGAGACTATGGGGGGTTTGACAGCCCTGGGTAAGAGCTCTCGAAATCAAAAATAAAATTCTGCTAAACCCCTCAGGCAACCGAGGAAAAGCTCGTCGAAATTTTCGCAGCACGTATATGGTCGCGCTCGGGGCCCTCGGCTAGCAACTGGCGGCGTGGTGTAGTGGTAGTGGTCTCTCGAAGCTTGGCAATATTGTGACCAGGGTTCGAATCCTTTTGGCGAATATAATTTTTGCCGACTTATAACTTCATCCTTTTCATTTTTTTTTGAAAAATTCATCAAATCTTTACCCTTAAAACATAAGAAAATGACACTAAAAACAAAAAATGATTGCAAAACTCTTTTCTCTACTTTTTCTGTACAATTGCTAAGGGATACAATCTGATCGAAGAAAAATTCAAAAATTCAGAAGGTAAATGCAAATTTAAAAAAACATTACGGAATTTTTTTGGTTCAGGTGGTTGTCATTAGTCTTGTACACTCAAAAATAAAAATTTTTATTTTATTTTTTTATTTTTTTTAAGAATGAGTATTTGCAATCAGTATATTTTTTTCATTGACATTTTCATAAACTTTTAATGTAATTATTTGAAAAAAATTTATTAAAAAAATATGAAAAATGATGAAGTAATGAGTCGGCAAAAATGATATCCGCCAAAAGGATCCGAACCCTGGTCACAATATTGACAAGCTTCGAGAGACCACTACCACTACACCACGCCGCCAGTTGCTAGCCGAGGGCCCCGAGCGCGACCATATACGTGCTGCGAAAATTTCGACGAGCTTTTCCTCGGTTGCCTGAGGGGTTTAGCAGAATTTTATTTTTGATTTCGAGAGCTCTTACCTAGGCCTATTCACCCACAAAGTCTCAATTCTCAACTTGTTGTTGAATATATATGACCTTTAAAGAGTGTTTTGGTTAATCAGAATTTTTTTGTTGATACAATCACCTTTTTTTCTAAGAAAAAAAAAACCACTTTTCCAAAATTATCTATAAAAATATCTCCGCCCCGCTTCCCACGTTTTTTTAAAACTTACCAGTCAACGTCGCTCCCGAACGAAAAGCATTTAGAAGGTGTGATTTCGGAGAGAAGAACACGAACAAAATCTTTGCCGGCGGCTATCAAGCGACGTTCTGCGTCGTCGAAAACTCGCGGATTCCCCTGTCTCCCGAGGGTTCCTTGAACCAATGCGAACGTCGAGCACTCCGTCGCCGTCTTGATTGCTTCTGAATAGAAACTTGGGACAAATAAAACCTTTTTTTCCACTATTATGTGGATCGAATCTCTTTTTGAAGAAACCGGTAGAAGTCAATCAACATGAATAGAGAAGCTTGAAGACCGACTTGTTCGCGCTTGGCGCATAGCTTTGTGATCGTAATGCTCGCGAGTGAAAAGCCGCGAATACGGGTCGTAGGCGTAGGCCGGCAAGTGCGGATTGTGCAGCATCACTGACTCCAGATGAAACCGTCCGTCTCCAACGTAGCTGGAAAAATTACATGGGTGGACGATTCTGGCTTGGGTCATGATTCCATGATTTCTTCAGATGAGTATCGGAAGCAGAGCTAATCTCAAGGCAGGGCGACCCTGGCCGAGACGCGTCCCGGCCTGCGAAGCGTTTTTCATTTAGGCCCCGGGCAGCTCTGATCGGAAGCATGTAAAATAAAAAAGCTTAGACGCGATTCTGAAGTAATTTTATGTTCCAAACTAGCAGCAAACGTATCATGATGAACTGTTAGAAATGAGCGGTTTTATTGGAGTTCGGCTCACTATAAAAAAATGATCAAAAGAGGCTCTCAAACACAAAATCGATTTTTTTTTGTCCTTCAGCCCGCTGATTTCTAACAATATAACAGATACATATAAAATCGATCATTCGGAGAGAAGTCTTACATGACTGCATCAAAATCTTCGGCGAGACGGGGAGACGTGCAGCCGAGGACTTCTCCAGGAGACAATGGCTTGCACTGAGGAACTCCTATCGAAATGCCTTTTCCAGCGTACTGACCCTCGTTAAACGTGTTACGGACGGTCTGAAGTCGGCTCAAGTAAGAATAAAAGAGTTACAGATACCTGTAAAGAAGGCAAAAATTGCACAGTGCTAACAATCGCCAACCGTTGAGAATTTGAGGAGCTGCCGGGCTCTACTGACGTCGATTCGTTGGAAAAATTATCTCTAAAATTCGACGACCTTTGAAAGTGAAAGTTGAGATGAAAATCTGTCATTTAGTAGAGAAAATGGATAAGTAAGACACACTTCTCGAAAAGAAAACCTAGAATCATTTATCACATTAAAATTTTTCCGAAAATCTAATTCAAAAGGGAAAACGCAGATTTCAGATTGAAGCTTCCAAGCGAAAAGCTATGCATATACCGTAACTAGCAAAAGTATGAAATTTACACTTTGCTTCTTTTTTGAAGTTTTTTCTTGTTGCATTGCTCGGAGCAGGATGAACTTGAAGTTTTCAGCTTCATTTCAAGAAATTACCCATTTTATATGTTACAAAAACTATCAGAGCGAGAATTGGAAGTTTTTTCATATCAAATAACTTTTGTTTGAAATTTTACTGGCTCGGTTGAATAACCTTATTATTTCTATCGATTAAACTTTGAATTTTTTTATGGCTTTTATTGTTTTTATATGGTTCTTCATATAGTCTGTTCAGATTTTGAATGTCAAGCAGCTAACTCCACCCCCAAGGCTACAATATCTTTCGCGTCAATGTTTTATATCCAGATGACGATGAACCTTTAATAAGGCTGCATTTTTGACTTCTTTTTCTATCTTTTAGATCAAAAAAGATCAAAATTAGTCCCGCGCGATAAAAAATCGACGCGAAAAGGTACCGTCTTAACAGGGGCGGAGTTAGCTGGTTGACATTGAGAATCTGAACAGACTATATGGCGATTCCATCGCAACATATTAAATTTGTAAGCGCGCCCGAAAATTGCATAGACTACTCCCCTTTTCCCTCCTGGCTGCAGAGACACACGGTTCAGTGCTAAAAGCGTTCCCGAGATACCCTCACTTTTATCGAATTTTCTCGGCGTTCATTCAACTTACTGCCGAAATTTTTTGGGAATGTCTGTTTGAGGATATTAGCTAACAGAAAACATAAAATTCAAATTTGTATGATCATTTTGAGAAAATGGGTTGCGGTCCCTACATATACGTCTAGTTTCATTTCAGCGGACATACAGGTTAGTAAATCCTCTGTAATTTTCAGAAGTTTCCAAAAGAAAGGGGTACAAGAAAACATTTTTTTTTTGTTTTTTTCTTGCTCTTGTTGTTTTTGAGAATCACAGAGACTGCGTGTGCAAGAAAAAACTGAAAAATTTCTCAATTGCTTATCATTTATCAATATCAAACGATCCATAAGCTTTAACTTCTTAGCCTCTCAAACTAAATTTTTTCCAATTTTCGAAACTAGAACCTCTTCTTCAAAACTCCCATTCCTTTCATATAAACCTCAAGAGGAAAAAAACGTTATTCAAATCTAAGGAGAGGACTTGAGACGATGGAGTCCCACCTTAAGCAATCGATCAGGTGAGCAACGTTGACTTGAATATTGACAAAAATATAGAGCATGGAGATGCCCTCAGTCTGTTGGATAGGCACAAGACAGCTGTGGCCGTAGTGCACCAGAAGGTCGCACCCTGGAAAACGCCTCAAGTGATCACTTGAGGGCCTTCGTCACTGACCCATGGACTTGGCCGTGTAGTCGTCGACGCAACATGCCCCGTAAGTGACGTCGCCCATGATGCAAGTGTCGCAAGACGTGTACTTCTCGAGAAGATCCGCGATCACGCAAGAGTACATCAGAAGGCCTTCGGGGAACTGCAGCGCCACTGTATGAAGTAGAATTTCACTGTTCAAACAGCTAATAAACTTTTCATACATTTCAATTGATGTATCAGATCCAACAATTAAATGTTGAGAAGTTTTTTTTCTTATAATAGTTGATAAAAAAAAAACTATGAATGAGAAAATAAAAATTCACGAGGTTGCAATGTATAAGGCTGAAAAAAAATAACAGAAAAATTTCGAAGCTCCTGTGCCTCAAAATAAATATCATGATCGACTTTTATAGCAGATTCAAACCTCTTTTTGAGTACAGTCTTTCAATAAAACTTGCTCATTTGAAAGTATAAAAAATAAGCATGAAAAATTTATCCGCCCTCGAAGAACCGTTTCAAGTATTATTTTTTGTCGCTCAAACTTTATTTTTTTAACAGCAAATATTTGAGAAATATAGAAAAGAAGATTTGAGAATACATACCATACTGGCTTCCCGTACTTCGAATCTTCCAAATAGTTTTTGGTACTTCGAAAGAATAGTTGGATGGCAGCTGCAATTTCTGTTTTTGCTGGAAAAACTCTCAACGTGTCTTCAACAAACCAAGGCGAGATCTTCTTGTAACCGTGGATCCGCCGCAATCTGCTCTATTTGCGCGGCGATTTGTGTCGTGTTCGACATAACCCTCAAATCAACTATTCAATATTTCAAAAACTCGGAGCACATGATCAAATATGACTTTTATCCAAGGAAATCCTTGAAAAACCTGTTGAAAACCGATTGAGTCCATCGAGTTTATTAAACTGTTTTAAAATAATCCAAGAGTAATATACAATGAAGGATAAATCCGGAATAGTTGGCGGGAGATCAATAACCGTGGCGGGAAAATGGTTAGAAATAGTGAGTTTTTATCGATCGCTTTGCCACAGTCGGATGACAGTGTCGCCTTCGAGGCCTCCAGAAGCGATTATATTCTCTTTGGGATGGCAGTCTGTTGCCAAAAACCACCGCTGCAAATATATTTCTTCTCTTAAAAAAACAAAAAAACGAGATATTAAAGTTTAAGAAAAATAATTCAGCTTGCCGTTCTTTTGTTCTGTTTTTTTTCAATCACAGAAAAAAACAGCTTCATGTCTGAAACTTTAATGGAGTTTTTTTAGAATTTATTCACAGTTCAACGGACACAATCCTTCAGGAACAATAACCAAGAAAAATCTTTTTCCTCTTTTTGCTTACTATTTTTAAATTTATGAGTTTTCTCACTCACTGTTATGTCCTTCGAGTTCCTGCACAATTTCTTTTGTTTGTAGATTCCAAACATAAATCTTGTTATTCTCCGATCCAGAAATGATCCACTGAAACTTTAAACAGGTATCAAAAGGAAAAATCAAGATAACCTTTCCGCCGGTGACGCTGAAGTTTCCAAATATGCAATACTTTCGATTTTCGTGGCCCGTGTACATTTTTAAACATTTTCCTTTGTTGTAATCCCACAGTTTCAAAGTGCTGAACATGAAAATAAATAAAAGTCGAAAAAAAAAATTACCTATCAAGATTCGAAGCCAAAATGTACTTTCCATTGGGGGAGAATTTAACAAAAGCAACCGGCGGATTTTCTTCGTCGACAAGGGTTTTGATACATTGGCCGTTCGCCGTGTCCCATATCCTGACCAGTCCGTCGTAGGAACCCGAACAAATCAACGAGCCATCGCTGCAGAAAAAATTGAGTCTCAGCTTCTAGCCAGGAAATAAATCTAACTCAGGAAGATAATTATGAGTGAAACTAGGATGATAAGATGTGATTTTTTTTCACGTCAATTCCATCTGAGGTCGAGGTCTCAAAAAAGATGTTATCAAAATCGCGAAAAACCGAAACTCGGTTCAAAATTTTTCGGAAAAAATAGTAACTTTCCTTGATCAACCAGAGCAATTTCCACTTGGGATTAAAAATGAGCTTCTAGTTTTTTTTTTTATCAGTCATAACTTTGGTCATATACAAAGATTTCAGTTTTATCCAAGTTTCAATGTATGCTCAGAACACACCTTAGTGTAAGGTAACAAACTCAAAACTTGGAAAAAAGATTTTTTCGTACCAGCTTTTCACATATTTTTTTTTCTGACTCAAATTCGATGTACAGCCGTACACCTAACTTTTCCGGGTCTCAAAAAGAAACGCATTGAAAAAAGTATGTTTGACTACTTGATTCTCAGCTGTGCTTAAACGAGGAAACAACGGCTGAAAGAAGAAATGAATGACACAGATGCGTTATTTTTTTTTTTCGAAAATCTGAGCCCCAACTGCTCTGAAACGATGCCTCAGCTGTGGTAATAAAAATTCCAAAAGCTGTGCTTACACGGGCTTACTACGGAAGCATCCGCTAAGCTCCCGTGTTAGCACGGCTGGGCTACCCTCATCAGTAGGAGATTTTTGGCTACTTTTCTAAAAAAAAACGTGACAAGTTTACGTAGAAATTACTATTCAAGAGAATCTAAATAAAAACTCGTGAGTGTTTGATTTGAAAAGGAAAAGCGAACCGATTGAAAGAAACAGCAGAGACAGGATCCGAATGAGCAGGAAGAACCTTAATGCAGGTGCCAGTCTTGACGTCCCAAATACGTACAGATTCGTCGAAGGACCCAGAAACGACTAGCGAAGACTGCGGGTTGAAGTTGCAGCAGAATACGTAATTCGTGTGGCCTTTGAGAGTCTTCACCGGTCTCCCCGTCGAAACATCATAGATCTGAACCACAGTGATAAATTCACAAATATTTCTTTATAAATTGGATTTTAAAAAATAAAGAAAAAAAAAATCAATTCCAGACAGGAGCGCGCAAGCTATAAGTCAAAAAATATTTTGTTGCAATAGTCTAATCTTTTTTCTTTCCATTTCTAAAAACTTTCATGAACTCCGTAAATTTGATCTTACCTTCAGAGTTTTATCGTCAGAGGCCGTGACAATGAATTTGCTGTCCATGCTCCAGGCGCAGTCGCTGAGGCCGAGTTTGTGACCTGTTAGAGTCTTCTCGCAACGACCTTCCTCCAGCTGCCACACACGAACAGTTTTGTCAGCGGAGGCCGACGCCAGGTATTTTCCGCAAGGCGAAAATTTCACCGAGGCCACCGACTTGCTGTGACCGTCCAGCTGTCGTACCATACGATAGCTTGGGACTTCGCCAGTGGGCGCTCGGCTTCCTGAGCCTGGTGTTCCTTGTGCTGAGGGTGGAACAGTTGCCGGCGGCCCTCCAGACTGCGGCATTGTTTGAGCCTAAAAAAGAATTGAAAATACAGAATGCACCTCCTAAGTTTTTTATTTATTGAAAGTAAATCAGAGGAAAACTTGTTCAAAATTAATGAAAAAAAAGTTTCTAATTCAAAGGAACAAAAATTTTATATTGTTATTCAAAATAATTTCATATTTCTCCGATAACAAAAAAAATTTAATTTACCTGCGGGGTAAGTGTTTTCGATGCCGCAGAGTCCCCTTCTTGATTGTTCATCCCTATAAAAATATTTCCAAGCGTACAGTTAAACGAACACAAGAGACCCTTCCAAATAAAAATTAATCATCAAAAAAAAGGGTGTTTGAGGAGAGCGCGATTTTTGAAAAAGAATTTATCAGCATTCCACAGAAGATATGAAGAATTTCCGCAGACTTTTCAAATAGCTTTACACGCAGACAGTGCTACGGCGGCCGGTCAATATTGCGCCGTCAGTTTCGGAGCCAGAAATTTTTTTTCTTCTTATTCGCAACTTGTTAAGGGCCTATTTCTTGAAGTCACAAGATAAGGTATGTCGAAAAAGTACATACGCTTTCCTTTAATTAACGAAAAACCTATCCTGACTACCGTAATCCGACCGGCCGCCTTAATGCCGTGTTCAAAGTAATTTCAAGAAATGCAAAATAGCCGTCAGAGAAAGAAAAATATAACTAAATTTTGGATAGTCAGAGATCATTTTGCATTTCGCGAATTTACTTTGAACACGGCATAAACAGGCGTGAATTAACTGCTTTTAATTTTACTTTTTTTTATAGATCGGTTGACGTATTTCAACCCTCTTCCTGTCTTTATAATCTATTTTGATGAAATTCAAAATCAGGATGAAAAAAAAACGCGGTAATTGAAATTGAAATGGAAACGAAAATGGAAATGGAAAAAAAAGGAGGCGGAAATTTTTTCATAACACTGAAAAAGTGAGGATCAGTTTCGCGTCCAAGACAGCCTCGTGAACAGCTATAATGCATATAAAAGCTTATCAAAACTTGGAAAGGCGTCAAGTTTGTGCGGTGAATGCGTACCAAGATGAACCAAGGTGCGCTACCGTACACAATTTTCTTCGGAAAATAAATTTCTGTTGGTCTCTAACTATTTTAAAAAATGATTAATTATTTTAAAAATAACTTGTAAACACAGGATTTTTTTTCACTTCAAAATTTAAACAAAAACCTAGAATTTATTGATGCAGAAGTCTCTGTAAGTCGCAAGGATTTCAGAAGCCAAACTGGCAATGTTCTCAACCGTTTCTGATTGCCCTTCTTTTCTTCTTTGCATGACCATCCGACGTGCTCGGCTTAACACAGCTCCGTTGAGCTCAAAGATTTCTCTCGTTTCATAGATTCGGGTGACGGCACGCCGAGTCAGCACATCCCATTTTTCGGCTTCTGAAAAACACTGTTGCCGGAAAAAAAAAATGATTTAAAGGTAAAGGCCGATTTATTCACGAAGATTTTTACCCGGAATGACAGGAGATGCTTTCAATTGGACAGCTAAGCGATTGCACGGAAGGCCTTTTGAGGCTTGGAGGAGAATTTTCACTGCTTCAAATTTTTCTGCCGATCCAGAAATTTCCATGACGTCTTCTGTGATTTCTATTCGTTCAGCCATTTTGATAATTATGTCATCGGCAATCCGTTGCTCCGTAGATCGTTCGCTGTTTCTGTTCAGCGCGACTTGCAGTGAGCATTTGAGATGAATGACTAAAAATCGAGAAGATAGGCTGCGCGCAAATCTTTCGAAGACACGTCTCATGGATTTCAGGTAGAAGACGTCGTCAATCAGGACCAAAACAGGCGTCTCAGATCTCCAAACAGAAGTGATTCGCTGTTTGACGTGCAACTCGAATCTTTTTCTCCAGGTCTTGGCGACTTCCTCCTCTTTGAAACCGCGACCTTCGACAAATTCATCCAAGGAGAAGACCTCTACTTTCCGTTGTCCATCGAGTTTTTCAAGAATTTCCTTACAAAAAGTCGTCTTTCCTGATGCCGGCAATCCCATTATCAAAACAATCGCCATTCCTAGAAGTTAAGTTGAGACTTTGAAAAAAAAATTGAAGAAAATGATGAAGTATGAGTATCAGCTCTGACCAATTGATGTAACGCAACAATTGTTTTCAAAATTTACTTTATACAACTCTATCGATACATAAACCCATATTATTTGAAACGCAAAAAAAAAAAATTGAAAACGGATGTGACTTCTAGAATTCACCAGAATGCTCCGCCAGAATCCTGAAATTACGTGTGAAACGGGGTTCGGATGCAAAAACTGACATGAAGCTGTCACCATGTTGAGTTCCCGCAATGCCTAAAGATTCTAAAAGTTCCGAAACGTCGTTTTCATCGTACATCTGCGATAAAACAAGGGCTTATAGAAGAGAATGGGAGGAACCTGTAGGGAATGCAGAGAAACGATCTTCAGCCAGCTTCCTTTCGAATCTTTAAGTGCTTTCGATTTCAGCAAAGAGTCGAGTATTATCAATTCCTATAGATGCTTACTTATTTTTTATCAAGCCCAAAAATTAACCTTTTTCGTAGGGGATGCGCATGAGAAGGCGTTTTTTGAAAACAAACTTTCCAAGGTGGCTAAAAGGATGTCGTAGACGCCTTTATAAACGGCTTCAGGAAAACTAAACTCGGAAGAAGTAATTTCCCTGAGAACACAGCTTTTGATCTGATGAAATTCTTCCCATACTCTTCAATGTGGCCGTACTTCTCCTCATCTTGTTGGCTCCAAGAGCGCAGAATCTTGTTCAAAGCTCTGAGAGAGTAATTTGCCGAATCGTTGAGGAGTTCATTGGCAGCCTGGATATTAAGTTTCTTTTTGAAATAAACCTATTGAAACACGTTTGAAACTGGTCAACCAATCAGGGATTTTTTTCTCGGAAAAACTAAGACATGTTTGAGATAAAGATCAAATATCTCACAAAATAACCAGCTTTAAGAATTGTTGAAACTCCCAGAAAAAAAAAGTTTATGGTAACTTTTTCTTCCTTTTTTCGAATTGACAAAATGGGAAGATGCGAAAAAAAAAATCAAACAAACCCTATTGCAACGCAAAACGATTTCCACCCAAAACTGGAAAATGTTTTGGAAGGCAGCTCTTGTTAGCAAAACGTCCACAGGATAGGACTTTCCGGTCCGGACGAAGGCTTCATGGGAATCGGCGACCTGGGAGAGATTCACGTCCATCATGGCCCGCAGGTTCTTACAAACCCGATCATACAAACTTCTGAATAAACGAGAGAATGAACAGAAAAGAAAAATGCAAAGAACTCGAAAGAAGAAACGAGATCGTCGGTCGCTACAGGCCAGGGGCTCACCAAAACTCTCAAAATCGACAAAACTTCCCTGAATTGAAAAGAAAGAGATTATGATAGTAGAACGATAAGCTGACCAGGAAGCGGAAGCGATGTTCAGAACAGAATCGGAATTTTCGATAAAAGCCTTTCTGACAACGTCGCGGAATCTGAGGTGGTACTCTGTAAGGATCAAAACGGCAGCTTCGTAAATCCCTTCCTTCACTTTATCATCATCCGCGGCGCAATAAGCAACTTCCTTTTCAAATCTGCAATTCGAAACAGTTTCTTACCTTTTTAAGTTCAAGACTAGTAAAAAACGTTCTGTTAGAAGGAAAATTTTGGAGATCTACGAAAATTTGACATTTCAAAATCCAATGAATAGGAGGTATATAAAATTACATCATTTTGATATTCGATATATTTCATTTTTCTTTTGACCAATCCACTTCTAGAGACTTTTTTTTTCAAAGAAAACTAACCTCTGGATGAAATTTGTAAGGAACGAGAGAGCAGGACAGTTCCAAGTATTTTCCGCGTTCGATTCATTTAGAGTGAAACATTTTTCCGTTTCAAAAAGTTTCTTGATTTCGTAGCACTTTGTTTCGACGAAGAGCTATAAACAGTGATGTCGATTTTGCAGGAAATCGCCAGAAACTGACTGAAAGCCATCGCGCTAGAACTCCCGAATGACGACAAACCACAGCCAACAAGTCGCCGTCCTCAGCCAAGCTGTCTATAACTTTCACACTTTTGTTGAAGTCGGAGAGGTTGAACCTTCTCGGAGTCGAGAAAGGACCGGTAGAAGCTGAGCAAAAAAATCGACAGACTTGCTCTTTTTCCTCAGAATCAGTTCATTCACAATATAACAAAGTGTTTGACGCTTCTGACTTTGAATCGAAAGTTTAACATCGTCCAGATTGCTCAGAGACTGGAAAATGAAAATTTCCAGAGAACTTCTTTCGGAGGGCACCTTCGCTTCTTCGCAACGGAACACGTGTAAAATGAGAGGCTCTAAGTTGTCGCACCATTCAGCGGCGCATTTCATCACCCTCAACAACAGCCACTAACTACTCATAACTCGACCAACCAGTATAGCTCTGGAATGTTCTCCTCGTTCTCGGAAGAAGAGAGCAACTCGTCGCACATGAGTCTCACTAAGCTGTAGAAAATCTTGACCAAATCGCTCGCCTCCAGTTCAGCCAAAGACTGAATGTTCAACGCCAACACGAAGAAAAATTGCAATTTCGAAAACAATTGTTCTACGTTTTTCTCTGAGTAAAATCGTATTTACAGAATTGACAAATTTCAACCTTCCAATTGGACAGACGGGACATTATTGTCTTTTAGAATGTTCCAAATAGACAAACGGCAAAACTTCAAGACGCTTTTGTGCATTCGAAGTATTTGCGGTCGCAGCTTTTCTCGCAACTCGGAAGCCTACTGATTAACCGGTAAAATGAATTAGTAACTGAGTTTATTGTTTCGAAAGCTATAAATTGGCCTAAAGAAAGATTGTATCTTAATTTTTTTTATAAGTTGTATCTCAAACTTTGTATCTCAAAAAAATTATTTTTAATTTTTTTCTAATTGTGATCATGAAGCATGCAACATAAAAAAACTAGTAAGAAATTTGAATAGAAAAGTCCTTTGTAAAAAAAAAAGAAAACTCAATTTTTCAAATAAAAAACCTGTTGAGAGTCGAGATCTTCTATTTCAAATTTTGCAGCGAGAACTTTCTGCAGAAGAACATCTGGAGAATTTATTAATCGTTCTTTCTCAAAACATCCATCCAACGCTTCTCGTATTTTAGCCTCTCTGGCTTTCCTGCAAAAATCCCAAGTTCCGTCATGAGCGGAAAAAGTTTGAGCCTTACATCTTGCATAACTGAAGTGCAACGTATTTTGCTACTATTTCCTCAATGTTAACCGAAAGCTGAAAAAGTTTCGGTATCTGGTAAACATGTGACCTCACTTACGGCGCTCAAAATCTGAAAAGCTCCTTCCCGAAAAGAATCGTACGAAGACATGAGTTCCTTCACCTCCAGTGAAATACTTCCTAATTCTTCACGAGAACTGTGAAAAAAAAGCAAAAGGTGAGAGAATTCGAGACCGCTGTAAAAATTACTTTTTCAAAACTGCATGAATTTTCGAAAGTCGCTCTCGTTCATGTCTCCCTTGTTGGTCAAGATTTGATAAACTCGTTTCGCATTGCCCCGCTACCTATAAAAAGTTTTTAGAACGAGAAATGAAAAGAAAAGCCGTAAATTTTAGAGAAAAAAAAAAAGAAACTTGAACCTCAGACAGCGCTTCCCATATACTACTTTTTTTGAGCTCGACTTTGGCGTCGTCATTAAACTCTTGTAAACGATTGTGCAAAACATCCATCCTGAAAAGTTCTCGTTGAAGTGTATGAACAATAATTTGAATGCATCGTTTTCTATTAACGAGGTTTAACGGATCAAAAACTTCATTCAAAAAAAATGGAAAGTGATCCTCAATGATTTCTCTCGGCCAGCAAAAAAATTTATCAATATATTGCGCAATAGTCAGATTGACAAAATGAAAAGAGATAATTTTGAAAGTTTAAAAATAAACTTTCGACTGAAAAAAACTTTTTTTCCGTAAAAAGAACGCTCCAGAAAAAGTCCAAATAACACTCGAGAGGCTGCGCAAGTGGGCAAATGAGGGGCGTTTGAAAATTTTTAATTTTGTTTGTTTGTTTATGTTTTACACTAAGAATAACTGCCGAGATAAACGCGAGACACTGGCGGTACATTGACGAGCTCGCAAACATCTCGCATTTTTTCTCGCGCCGGTCTCGCATTTTTCTGGGCGCCAGCTCGCACTTTTCTAGGCGCGAGCTCGCATTTCTCTCGCTATTTGAAAATTTCCGAAATGCAAGATAAATGCGAGATGGCGCCGAGAAAAATGCGAGGTCGCGCCGAGAGAAATGCGGGATCGCGCCTAGAAAAAAGCGACATTTTTGCGAGTTAGTCAATGTACCGCCACCGAGCTCGCGTTTGTCTCGTCAGTTATTCTTAGTGTTGTTTGAATCTGAATTAATTCAATTCACGAATTTGCTCCAATCTTTTTTTATTAATTTTATTTGGTTTGTTTTAGAGAATGACTGAATTCGTTACGCCACAACAACGCATTAAATCTGTGTTCGATCTCAATCCGTGGTTTTTTTCCAAGGTATTTTATGAACTATTTTATGTTCTCTAGCTTTAATTGTAGGGATACTCAGAATACATGCAGTTTTTAAAAGAGCTAAATGAGTCTGTGAAAAGATTGAAAACTACGGCAGACGTTCGGTGCAATGAACAGATCATAAAGCTCGTAGAAGGATTTGACACCATACAGGTAATTCAATTTAAAATCATATTATTTTTGAGTGAGGAATCAAAATCAAATATTGAATCAGATATAATGATAATCGGTTTAGAAATGGATCGATGAGACGGAACTGGAGCCGACAGAAGAGCAGAGGTTTGGAAATAAGGCGTTTCGTAAATTCTACGAGAAACTTTCTGTGGTAATACGTCGGAAAGAGTCTCTTTTGCTATTTATAGTTATCAGAATGCCGAAAATCTACTGCGAGGAGTTCTGCCAGCATCAGTTCATGAAGCCCTCGTCGAACTTCTTCCTTACTTTGTCGATTCGTTTGGCAACGCAACGCGTATTGATTACGGCTCAGGTAAACTTGAGAATATTTAAGGGAGAAGCTCATTTTTTATCTATAGGACATGAAGCTAATTATTTGATATTTCTTCTATGTCTTCGCAAACTCGAAGTTTTCACAGCGTCCGATTCACCTGCTGTTGTTCTTCGGGTTTTCAACAAGTTTGTTTTGAAGTTTTTTTTTTGGATAATTACGTTCAATAAAAGTTCAATTAATGTGGGCGATTCATATTTTATCAATTTTCATCTATTTCAATAGTTTTAATAAGACAATTCGGCAACTTAGGTCGGATGATATAATTTCAAATAAATTTTAAGATATCTACGTATTTGTCGAGCACTTCAAACCAAATTTCACATGGAGCCGGCAGGCAGCCGAGGAGTCCACGCCATAGATGACTTTCAGTTTGCTCCGTTCATATTTGGAAGTGCTCAACTTATTGGTTAGCCCTTCCTAGTTTTCTGTAAATTAAAAAATAGCATTGTTTTTTGTGGTATTGATAATATATTATTGTTTTATTTGTCTTCTACAAACTTTTTCAATTCGTTTCGATTTCTGCGAGAAGAGCTTAAAACTTTTCAAGCGTCATTTTCAAAGCTAAATTCTTTTTAATTCCTAACTGGACAATTGCCAAGAATAAAAGCTTTACAAACTTCTTCAAACGATCGGGTCAGATTATTGTAAATTATACTTTTTAGAGAGAACAATAGTCATTTTTTCAAAAAAAAATTCAAATTCGATGTACTGATACGCAGTTTCGATTTATTGAATCCCAGGAAATCGGAGGCTTGTGCCAGACTCTTACGTCAATAAAACGACTGTCGAAGACCACGCCCACGAAAGCCTATTTTTGGATGCAGTTTTGTTTATTTTCCAGGTGGATTTTGACCATTAAAAGTTCATTGAAAGTTTATTTAGACGAAAACCGGCCCTTTCCACGAACATTCCAACCAATTGTGGAACATTTCTGCTGTTGCCAACTGGGATAAAGTCAACGAGGGAATGTTCAAAATGTACGAGGGAGAGGTATTTTTTCCAATTTTTTTTTCAATTTAAAGTGAAAATTGAGCACTTTGAACTTTTTTTCTGCGCGGGAGAAGCTTGATCCAAAAATTTAACCTTTTTGGATTTTCTTTTGTTCATCCACGCTTTATCGTGCTCTTTGAAACAATAAAGGCTAACGACTCACAATATATAAACATTACAATTACAATTTATTCAGTCTTCAGAGTAAGATGAAAAAAAAAAATCTCTGCTGAATCATGGTATAATCGAAGAGTTAGTCGTCGGCACGGGTTGCGGTCCACAATCGTTGTCCAATCAGTCCCGGCGTGACAGCTGGAGTTGGGAGATAATGTGATCCCGTGGGTAGTACCAGCGAATAAACTGCTTCACCATGTTTGAACAGTACAGTGCCCAGCTTGTCCGGGGCCGACGGGCGTCGGAATATTATCCCATGAGAGAGCGGCAATGAGACCGACTAGTCGACGTGATGAAATTAGATAATAATAAACATTGAAATCGGCAAATTACAAAGGTTTCGTATGTTCATTTTTTCAATGAAAATAATCTGTTTAGGGAAAAAAATTAAAAAATAATCTACATTTTCAAAAAACCTTTAGAACATTCAGAGAAAAAGTTTTTTTATTTTCAAGGTCTTGAAAAAGTTCCCCGTGGTGCAGCACCTGGTTTTCGGCAGCCTCTTTTCGTTTGAACGCCGAGAGAACGTCGAAGAAAGTGAGAACATGGAAGTTGCCGAGCCCTCGTACGGCGAAGTCGTCGAAACTGGCCAAATCGGCGAGAAACCCATGTCAACGGCCGCGGAACACGCTCCTCCGCCCATGTACGAACCCTAGTTCGTTTCCTTCATTTTCTCTGTTTTCTAGAGTCTACTCCTTTTGCTGAAAAAGCTTTACTGTACATTTGTAACATACACAAACATTTTAACTTTTTTTAAAAATAAATATTAATATTGAGATTTTTTTCAATGGATTCAGTTAACAGTCGAATATAATTCTAACAACGATTTACATTGGCGAGTAAGCTTTGAAAGCACCAAAAAAAAGAAAAGTTATTACGCTTTAGTAAAAGAATCATCAGGAAAGGGAGCTCCTATACACGTTTAACGGAATCGAGTTTAGTTAGTTGTTGTGTGCGATAAAATCTTCATGGAGTTGCGTAAGGCGGTCGATGATGAGTTCTTCTATCTCTGCGCCTTGGGCCAGTTTTTCAGGGCTCAGAGTTATCACTTCTGCATCGGCATTGCGTTGAACGAAAACGACACGCCTCTTCCGGCTTTCCAGAATGTTGGCGATCACCTCCAAAATTAATTCAGGACGGTTCAAAACAAAAAATCAATTTTAATGAATGAAATGACGAAACTCACTAACTGATGCTTGTACTTTTCAAGAGCAGCGGCGGCTTTTGGTATGAGTTTCCCTTCGTCCGTTTCTAACTGAATCCCAAGATAATTGAAATCAATCAGAGAGAAGAACCATTTAGAACCGTAAAATTCCTTCAGTACTTCATTTTGTTGTATAAATCTCCAATCTTCTACGTTAGTTACTTGATGCAGGCCATACGTCGACTGGATCCCACCCCGAAGTGCGGCCCACCCTCCTCAAACTACGACCTACCCTCTGAAAGTGCGGCCTACCCCCTGAAAAGTGCGGCCTACTTCAGTAAATTTTCAAATTTTTTTTTTTGCGCCCAAAAGGTTGGGGTGGGATCCAGCCGATGTATGATGCAGGCTATTGTTTAAACAAAATTTCAAGTGTTCGAAGTCACAGGAAATCTTCATGGCTCGACTACAGATTTCCAGTTTCTCCGTACCATTTTTAATGCTCTTTCAAAGACAACTCAAGCATGCCGTGTCATCCGAGCTTAAGAACTAGAAATTCTAAAAAGTAATCACTAGAAGAAGAGAGAGTGACGCCATGAAAGACTTAAATTATGACTCTTTTAGCTCGGTTTTTCTTTTCGTAAGACTTCTAAAAAAAAACCTTAAATGAAGTGACGAAAGCATGGGGTACGTAGGAGTTGACGACTCGTTCGATGACTTTGGGGGCGAGGCTAAGGCGCAAGGAGAGGTCTTTGTCGCTGGACATTTTGTGAGTCGGCATCGTTTCTTGGGTCACGTAAAAATCCGAGACAGCGGCGGCCAGGTAAACGAGGACTAGGCTTCCGAAATGCTTTACTTCGTTGCACACCTCAATCGCTGATCTTCAGTTTGCACAATGAGAAATTATAGTCAGAGTCGCGCTTCACCAGAAATACAAAAAAGAAAAAATTTCCTAATTTTACTATTCGGAGATCTCACGCTGTTTGTTTTCTGGTAATTATCTCAAAAACTTCAAACACATGCCAATCGAGAAGGTAGCATAATGGGTCCACAATGATATCACTCAAAATGGATCGTATACACTGCGTTCAATAAGGATGGGACCCCCCTTGATTTTGGACTTTCCGGCAGAATGCGGAAAGATATGAAAAATATGTGAGTGCCATTCGATTCAAAGTACAAAATAACCCCCAGAGGCAAACTTTCATTATCCTAGCACTTTTCCTACAAGAATGCCATCGAAAAAACGGTTTTTGGACCGTTCAATAAGGATAGGGCCACCTGGAAGTTTTGACTTTCATTGGCAGTTTTTGGTCAATTCTTTTTGATGAGTGGTTTTTTTGTTCTCATATTGTTTTTTTCTAAGTTTTCTATGGTGGTTTTCCTTCCATATCTTCCAGATTTAAAAAATATTTTGTATCGAAAATGAGGAAAAATGACGTTTTTTTGAGTTTGCATCAAATATACAGCGAATGAATTTTTTCCAGTACTTTAAATGAACTCATCTAATTAATAGAGAAACTTTAACATTCAGAAAAACAAAAAGAAGTTTGGAAAACGTTCGTTTAAAAGTTAAAAAACCAGTTACTAAATGGTGTATCGTGGCCAAATTTCAGACTGTCGTCGTTTTTGACCGTTTTTCTTTCTGTATGTAGTCGAAATAGCGGTGTACTTTTTTTTGAGGATTTGCGAAGATGTTATAAACATATTTCATCAACAAGATAATATAAAAAAAAATTTTTCACTGCGTCCAATGCCGAGCAATTGTGGAGAGAAATTGGTGCCCGCGCTCATCGAAAGTATTGCTTCAAATAGAGCGTTTGGCGAATTTTTAGTTTGTCAACCAAACAAAGCATTAATGAAAAAATACGAATAAAAAAATTTTCATTAAAATTCAAACTTTTAATATGATTTATTTATATGTACCGCGAAAAGTTCGAGTAGCACTCGGAAGGGTGTTTTTTTCCTTTGATTTCAGAGGGTCGTCAAATTTTTTCCAATCCAGCTAAGCGTGATTATAGGTAGAAGCACCTTCGCAAATCCTCAAAAAAAAGTACACCGCTATTTCGACTACATACAGAAAGAAAAACGGTCAAAAACGACGACAGTCTGAAATTTGGCCACGATACACCATTTAGTAACTGGTTTTTTAACTTTTAAACGAACGTTTTTCAAACTTCTTTTTGTTTTTCTGAATGTTAAAGTTTCTCTATTAATTAGATGAGTTCATTTAAAGAACTGGAAAAAATTCATTCGCTGTATATTTGATGCAAACTCAAAAAAACGTCATTTTTCCTCATTTTCGATACAAAATATTTTTTAAATCTGGAAGATATGGAAGGAAAACCATAGGAAACATAGAAAAAAACAATATGAGAACAAAAAAACCACTCATCAAAAAGAGAAATTGACCAAAAACTGCCAATGAAAGTCAAAATTTCCAGGTGGTCCTATCCTTATTGAACGGTCCAAAAACCGTTTTTTCGATGGCATTCTTGTAGGAAAAGTGCTAGGATAATGAAAGTTTGCCTCTGGGGGTCATTTTGTACTTTGAATCGAATGGCACTCACATATTTTTCATATCTTTCCGCATTCTGCCGGAAAGTCCAAAATCAAGGGGGGTCCCATCCTTATTGAACGCAGTGTACTCGTTGTACCATCGATAGACTTCAGACCCTGTAATAAACCTCAAAGGGTATCGCGGCACCCTTTCTCGATTCGCCTATGAAGTTAAAGTTTGAGATCTGTGAATTAACCTGCTGATTTCAATAAAACTTCATATTTGAATAACGAATTCTCAACTTTTCTTTTCTACTGTTGTCAGTGGTCAATATAAATTCATTTTTTTACATTTCACAATATAACCTTTTCGAGGGAGCTCATATACTGGTCCAAAGTTTTGAAAGAAACGTAGAAAATGCGATCCGAGTAAGTTCTATGGTCCTGCACAGCTTCCTTCAACCCAGGGAGTTGGCAAACCACCTGAAAACTGTATTTGATATTACTTCGAGTACTTTCGTTAGGCGCTAAATTGTATTGCGCCATTTAGGTTCAGGCTCAGTTCAAAAAAGGTCATAATGATAAGTTTTACTCTAAATACTTATGGATTTCATTTGAACTTTTGAAAACTTTTGAACAGGTTTGCCAAATTGGAATGAATACTTCACCTGGCTCCATCCTGGAAAAACAGAACTAAGGAAACTCCTGAACCTTCTCTCTTTGCCAAGACCCTTTCTATTGGAGATTTTCTTTTTTTTCAATTTTCTTTTTTCAAGCTCGCGTGGAGTACACTATGTATCAGCCAGATCCAGAATCACAAAAAAGTTGGTCAACGAGAAACTCGTTTGTTTCTTGTTGAAAAGCGAAAAAACGAACCGAATAGGTTCTCAGAAACTGGAGCAGTTTAAAGGACTGAAACGAACCTCGTCACCAGCGATTTCAAGCGAGTCGAAAAGGTTATTGAACCGACGAGAAAACGGCTTCAGCGAGTCTTCCCTGTGCATGAAGATCACAGCGTATCCGCCGCGCAGAAAGAACCTTCATCACAAGTTCAAATTGACAAAAAAAAAAGTCAAACTCTGCACTGACGGCGCCGCGAGTCCCCATTGAGAAGTTGTCTATGAATCTGACCATGTTCTTCTCCAAGGGCACTTGGGTTCCTCCGCTCTATAGACAATCTCTCAATTTTTCTCTCAACTTGAAATTTCTTTTGGATAACTCGAATGAAAAAGATCACATGAAAGTCAGAATAAATAGACTTTTCAAAAAACTTCGAGCAGCTACTTATTTAACTTACTTACAGAAAATATTTTTCAACGACTCTGGAGTTACTCACCGTGATGAAAGCCACTCGACGAGTCGAGTTATTCTTGAGAAATTCATGCAAGCCGCTTTCAACATCTTTCAACAAAGTCATCTCTCTTAGGTTTTTTTTTTGCTTACAGAAGACGTACTGAACTGAAAATGACTTTAAAAAAGCGATTAGGGTTGAAGCCCGAACAATTGGCGAATTAATTGAAGAATTTAGTTGACTCAAATTTTATTGCACATGACCAAAATTAAAGATAAGGAATGGGAATGTACACAAAGAAGTAAACAAGAGATTGACAGAGCGGGTCATCGTGGTTTGGTTATTATTGGGCAAATGTTTATATAAATGAAACCAAAAGATAGAAATAGAATACAAAGCGACGAGGCCCATTTTCTGCAAAACTGATAAGTTTTTCAAAGCCTTTTTAAAACATAAAACTGAGAAAAAAATTTTACTGAAATTTATCAATTCTAATTGTTCATTTGAAAGCAAGAAAGCTGATTTCTTTTCCTATCTCTTCCTCCACGCCACAGATCTGTCTGTGAGCGAAATAAACATTTCCTCATCATCAATGAAGTAACTCGATAAACCAATATCAACAAACGAGATGCTAAAATGAGCTTGAAAAATGTTGTGAGACGCATTAATTGATTTAATTAGGATTCTTAAATTTCCATGGAGACAATTCCATGAGTCACCATGATTTGAAAATAAACAGACCCATTCATCGAAGAAACATTTTAGAGCTTCTTATCTAATTATGAGAAAATTCTATGGAGTGAAGGATGAAGGATAATGAATATAAGTCACAAGAAATGCCATTATTAAATCAAGAAATTGGATTGAGATCATTGAGTGACTGCCTCGTTGTCGGCCAAGCCACCAGCTTCTTCGCTGCTCGGCTCCTCTTCCGGCGCTGTTCCTTCGCAACTTTTGGCAGCGGACTTGGCGCCGTCGTCCTCTTCACTCATCACGAGGTTCCGAAGAACCGGCGCCGATTCTGTTGATTTCTCGTCTTCCGCAGCTTCTTAAATTTCCGCAACATTGCAAGAGAAAACAGTGATTTTTTCGTTGCCAGAGAGAAACGCGGAGAAAATTCATTGAAGCAAAATATTTTCAAAATGCAACTTTTCCAGTGACAAAACCATATGATTTTCTTTTGCATAAATTTGTTACATTGCATATTGAAGTTTAAAAAAATTTTTAAAAAAAGTTGAGAATGAAGGATCTATGTTGTCAAATATGTTTGAACGGTTGGTAGTTCTCCAGTTGCTCATATAAAGAAAATGTATTCTGTTCAAATATTAATTGAAATTCATCAAAATAGAATGAGAAAAAAAAATCCATCGAAACTCGTGAACGTTAGAGTAAAAAGGCCATGAAAATTACACCCAATACACTTTTTGTTGAAATTCGTGTTTGATTTCAAACATTGACTGACAACGATTGGACAAAGAGAAATATATAGATGAGTTGAGAATGAAGGATCTATGTTGTCAAATATGTTTGAACGGTTGGTAGTTCTCCAGTTGCTCATATAAAGAAAATGTATTCTGTTCAAATATTAATTGAAATTCGTCAAAATAGAATGAGAAAAAAAAATCCATCGAAACTCGTGAACGTTAGAGTAAAAAGGCCATGAAAATTACACCCAATACACTTTTTGTTGAAATTCATGTTTGATTTCAAACATTGACTGACAACGATTGGACAAAGAGAAATATATAGATGAGAAAATTCTCTATCTTCTGGAAGTCAAAACTTGAAAAATGAGGCTTGGCTGTATTTAGATAAAAACTGTCGAAAAAAATTTAAAAATGAAAAACGTATGCAGATCTACGAAGGGGTTCATGCGGGAGGAACAATTTTGCGCGTCGCAACGCTTTTCGAAATTATTTCGAGGGCAATTTCGATGTTTTTTTTGAATTTATACACGTTGAAACTGTTTCCATATGTTTGAATCAGTTTTACTTTCATGATGGAAATATATTAAGTAACACTAAGAATAACTGCCGAGATAAACGCGAGACACTGGCGGTACATTGACGAGCTCGCAAACATCTCGCTTTTTTTCTCGCGCCGGTCTCGCATTTTTCTGGGCGCGAGCTCGCATTTTTCTAGGCGCGAGCTCGCATTTCTCTCGCAATTTGAAAATTTCCGAAGTGCGAGATAAATGCGAGATGGCGCCAAGAAAAATGCGAGGTCGCGCCGAGAGAAATGCAAGATCGCGCCTTGAAAAAAGCGAGATGTTTGCGAGCTCGTCAATGTACCGCCACCGACCTCGCTTTTATCTCGTCAGTTATTCTTAGTGAAATTAAAAAACCATTAATTCTCTCAAAAAATAACAAAGGGATGGGGCGCGCACGCGAGTTGCGTTTTTCGCTCCACGCATGCAACCCTGCCTTAACAGGTTTTAGGCCAAAAATATTTCTCAAAAATGCTATTTAATTACTTTTTTGACATTTTTCGGTTGAATTTTCCAAACTTTTTGTTTTTTTTTAAATCTAATCTCACTTCCTCGATCTAAATGTTACATTCATTTGTTTCATTGTGCTTTCATTTTCGAAAAATGGTTAGCAGTCCCTAGTTATATTATAAGAGACGCTATATTAAAATCATATGAAGAGTTCAAAGTACAAAGCAAAGAAAAAAGTCAAAACTGAAAAATCGATAGAATGAGAACCGAAATAAGTTTTGTAAAATGAAAAGCGTGAATAGCGTTTTAATTTTCCGTTTAAAGGGTCTCCGAAAAAATAAATCTATAAAGTTCTTCATTATACTCAATAACCTTCCTACACACAAAACAATGAACACAGAAAAAAAAAACCCTTATTCGCTATTTTGACAGAATTTTCTCAAAGTTCGGAGTTTGAAAGATATATCAAGCAGCAGAACAAGCAAACAAAAACTCTAGATAAACTTTTCTTTGAGTTTGAAAATTCTCTCACCCGACTTTGCCAAAATTTCGTCTTCTTTGCGTTTGTACTCGGCATATGCTTCAAGAAGCTTTTCCTCAGATTTACTGACCATTTCTTCGAAACTTTTTTCATCTACAACAGGTTTCTCGTCGCAAACCTTCAAAGCAAAGATGAACTACTGATAAATTCAAGAGCCTTACCTTCTTCAAAGAAACCTGAAACTCGTCGCTGTTCTTTTCAATGTTGCGTTTGCGCTCATTATGCGTTGTTTCGAGCCTAGAAAAAGAAAATAACAGAGAAAAAAAATCAAAATTAATGAGCACATCGTTTGAAACTAATCGAAAGAAAACGAACTTGATAAGTTCCTCTTCAAGTTTACTTTGGTGCTGCGCGAGAGAAGACGCCTGTCGTCGCAGCATTTCCATTCTCTGCTGGGCAACAACCTGCAAACTCGTTAAAAATTATCTGAGGAGTATCGAAGCGAAATGAAACTATTCAAAAAAAAAAACCTAAAAAAATGAACCACGAAACCAACCGTTCTTGTGTCTGTAACAATGGCAGGCGAGAAAAGGTCGCAGACAAGTCGATGGTTTCGATCAAATCTAAAAAAAAGCATATGAAGAGAAATTAGGTTTTCTTTTTTGAATTAAAATATCAAAAAAAAAATTCATTTTATACCTGACTGCTGCTAATCTACGGGCGCTCAGTTCGTTTACTGCATCTTCTTCGTCTATTGGTTGAATCACAACTCCTCCAGCATCCATGCGACTTCTCGAGTTCTTTTCATTCGCTTTCGCGCGGCTCTGAAAGCTTCTCAATTTTATTTTTTTCGGATAATCGAAGAAAAACCTTGGAATTCGTGTACTGTAGGTAGCCAGGAGAGTTTTGATAAGACTTCATTTGCTTTTCGTATTCAATCTTAAGCAATATATTGTGAAGAACAAAAAATCGATATGCACTGAAACCTTCTCACAATCATATTCATGCTGGAAAAGCGACCGCTCCACATCACTCAAATCTTTCCACATTTGTCCGATGATCTTTCCAATGTCCCACAATTGAGCATCAGGGTTTTCCGAGCGAACCTACAAATAAATCTCTGTAGAGAAATTCCTAAGAGTAACCGGAAAAACCTTTGGCCACATTTTCCGGCTGTACCGCATGTATGGAACGAGAGGACGGTCTGGAGCCCTTGGCATGGCTTTCATGCTGTAGTCAGTGGTGTACTGCTGAAAGTAGTTAAGTTTTTCAATCTCACGTGTTTGTAAATGTCTGTATATTAACTTACATTACGCGCCGGCGTCGACTGCGGGTGCCTGAACATTGTCGACATAGAAATCCCTGAAAAATGGGAATTAAAAGGTACTCCTAGACTTGACTTGTGAACTCAAAATACGCACAAAACAAGAATCGGAAAAAAATTACAGACTCGCCCTCCTATTGTTAAGAGGATACTTTTAGTTAAAAAACTTGAGCCCTGCAAGATAATTTCCAAAATTTTATTTTTTTAGCGATAGATATGGAAATCTAGCGATGATACGGATCTCGCTCACGCAAAACGAACGCGCGCCGAAATTTTTGAGCATGTCTAGGGACCCCTCAAGATTGCTGACTCTATTAAAGTAGTCGCTAAAAATATCCCGATACGTCCGATTCGCGTCCGGTATGCGTTACCAAGGTCCGAGGAAACGATATAAATTAAACGAAATAAGTAATGTCTTGTTCAAAGGGATCCTGCGAAACTGAAAATAGCGGTCAGAGTGGAAAAAATAACTACAATTTTGGAGAGTCAGAGATAGTTTGCATTTCGTGAAAACTACATTGAAGACGGCATAATGCAAAAAGATTCAAAAAAAAAAGCCAGATCACGCCCTTCAGTTGCCTCTTGGTTACTGTCAATGGAGCACACTTGCTGCGAAACGTGTTCGTTTTTACGCTGGCTCTTTTTTTCTGTTTCTTTTCTTTTTTTTTTTATTCTTCTGATGAGTTCCAGATTAGGGTTTCATTCATACATAAATTTAAATTTAGTTAATATGCGAAAAAAAATTCCGCTTTCAAGCTTCTTGTGAGCTGTTTTCTATGGATATGATTAAGGAATTATTTCTCTTTTTCTCAAAATTTGAATATCTAGAAGCCAAAAGAAGCCTGTGTCGGTCATGGGCTTGATTATAGCGAAAATGTGGAGACTTTGGTGGTCTGGAGAAGGTGAAAATCTTCAACAATGATAACCGTTCTGTATTTTCTGTTCAGAGCACAAAGTGATATTAGTAGGACTGGATAACGCGGGAAAAACAACTATATTGTATCATTAGTGAGTTTTCTTTCAAAATTCCTATTCAAATCATATTTTCGCTCAGTTTGACCGGTGATGTTGTGGACACGAAACCGACAATTGGCAGCAACGTCGAGGAGATTACCTTCAGAAATCTGAAGTTCGTCATGTGGGATATCGGTGGACAGGAGAGTCTCAGACAGTCTTGGTCGTCCTATTACAATCACACCCATTGCGTTATTATAGGTACGCTGCCAGTTTTGAATTTTTTAATGCCAAAAAGATCGCGAGACTTTAGTTATCGATAGTGCTGACATAGTACGACTAGCTGTCATAAAATCTCAACTCTACACAATGTTAGAACACGAGGTGAATGCCAAAAAAAAACCCTCTATGATATGATGAGAATATTTTGAGGACCTTTCTAAAGCTTCGTTGTTGGTTCTAGCGAATAAACAAGACCTTGAAGGAGCGTTGACAGCACCCGAAATCTCAAATCAACTCGGCTTGATAAATATTAAAAATAGAAAGTTTGTTTACAATACTATTTATTATTGTTGCTAATACTGCTCATCTTCCAATTACAGATGGCAAATTCAAAGTTGCTCCGCATTGAAGGGAGAAGGGCTCAATGAAGCGTTAGAGTGGATTGCAAACAACATTTGACGACATTTATAACTTGTTTCTTCTTTGAGTAAATTGAAACGCTTGAATCTCTCAAGAATTCTTGCCTTCGGCGTCCCCGTAATCTCTCAATCATCCCTCACAGTCTTATCACAGAAGCAATACGGTTGTCCTCATCACTGACTATCCTATCTTATCAGTTCTTATTTTCACTGTTCGAAATTTGCTCAATGCTCATATTTTACCAATTTTATGAAAAAAAAAAACATAATATATATACTCATAGACTCGAACATTTCTTTGAATGAAGTTGTATATAATTCTTCAAACAACGAACAATTATTTTCCTTTCAATTTTTATGGTAAAAGAAAATGCAAGTGAGAATCTGTACATATACGTTGAAAACACGTGAAAAGTGAGAAGTTACTTGAAAAGATTGAAAACCCGTGACGATGAAACTTATAGACTCGAACTTTTCGCTTTAGGCGGTTCAGAAGAAGGCTTCAAAACTCCCAAAACTTTTGATCTGCGGAACTGGCGAGCTGAAATAAATAGAAAACTCCTTGCCTTGGAACTTCACTTCAACGTAATTGTCTAAAAAGTTGCAAACTTATAGATACGACGTAATAATGAGAATAAAAAACGACCTTCTTCAATTCCGAGAGCGTAAACGGAGTTATGAATTCCTCGAATCAAATCAGCGATTTCGTCGGGAGAACAGTGGCTCATCGCTGAAAAACTATGATTTCTATCCTAAAAAGTTGGAGAAAAGCGTTAACTCACCATTGACAATGTTAACGTCAGCAACAGAAAACGGCGTGTGATTGTGTTTCGAGACAAAGGATTGAATGGCTGGCGCATTCTGCTAAATTATTTCTTCAGACGCACAATAAGAACACGATAAATATCAAACACACGGTATTCGGAAATGTTTTTTTGAACTTCATGTTCCAGTTTCAAATATTAGAGCTACTGAAAAAAGCTGGTTTCAATTATGCTGCAATCTTTCAGAAAGAATAATTCTTAAACGAATAGTTTTTTTAATCAAACAGTAAAAAAAGCGCTTCTAAAAAGCCCACTAAGGAATTTCGAGATTACTTTACCTATCCTAGAGAGTATGTGTAGGACACTGGAAAACTGACTCTATCTCTCATCCAAGCTTCTTCGATCAATTTACTGGCGTTTTGGTGGGAAGGCTCGTGATCGTCGAGCTTTTCGTGGCATTCCAGATATTTCGACACCAGATGATCGCCGTTTTCTTCTTTTAATTTCAATTGCGTACGATGGTTCATATTTGTGTAGCTCAAGGCGGGATTCTTCTCACAGCCACTGTAATTAAGCTATATCTTGCCCCACCTTGAAAATTTTCAAAGTTGATAATAAGATAGATATTGAAACTAACTCATTTTTCTATGAAAATGATGAATAGGGGCAAAAAAACTTTATCACGGTTACGTAAAAAGTTTTCATCAACTTACAAAAAAATGCACATAAAAAAAGTGAGAAACCGATTCAACTTTATGAGAAAAGAACGAAAGGAGAAAAAAAAAAACAAAACAATAACTAAACCCCGGAAAAACCAAACAAAAAAGAACTTTACAAATATAAAACAGTTGCGGATTGTGCAAAGTGCGGGAGTAGAACCATGGCTTGGGACACATCGGAAGATATGAGGAATCATTTCGCTTGCTCCTTTCGCTTGTTTTCGCCGTTGATAGCCGTCTGAACGACTTTGCGCGTGTCGCCGCCGGGCTGCGAGCTGTGCTTGTGCTCCACGCGCTCGGCCTTGCTTCTCTTGTTTCCGCCGGTCGCCGAGAATTCCTGTAAAAATTCCAAAGTTAAGGTAACAACTTGTTAAAATAATTGTTTCTCTTGAGCTAATTTATTATGAAATACTCATCAGGAATGACAACGAGAAAAAGTTAGATACAACCCATAAATTACTTTCTAAAAAAGTTTTTGAAAACGAACCGGTCCTCCGTCCTTCTCGTATTCAGCAGCAAGCTCCTCCGCTGATGACATTTCGAAGATTATAAGCCTGAAAACTGTCGATTGAGAAGGCAGATTTAAACTTAAAACGGGAGGGAGAGGAGAAATAAAAAAGAAATATGAAATTGGACTCGAACGAAGGGCATTTTAAATGGAGAAAAAAGTTGTTTGTGCGTGGTCTGCCGAAAACACCAATCGATAGAGGAGGCACGCGCTGGCAGAACGAAACAAACAACAACGCGGGCATCCGCGCAATCTGCCGCTTTTGAATTGGCAGGAGACTGTAGACCACAGAACACATCGTAAAGTTTGAATGACATTCACAGAGGATGAAATCGAAAGAGAAGCCAGTGATATTAATTTGAATGATAAGAAAACAACAAAACGAAAAAATTAATGCAGGAAAATATCGCCGTGTGTAAAACTAACACGTAATATTTGAAAAATAAATGTCTGAGAAAAAATCAAACTTTATTTCGGTTTTCGAGGAATGTGAGAAATTAAAAGTGTTTAACAATTTTAAAAATCATTTTTTTCAATTAAAGCATTTTTAAACTCAGAAAAATTTTTCACAAGAAGATAAATACATCGCGGAAGGATAATCAGAATTACCCGAAAAATTGGGGAATTATTAAGTAAGAATTGTTTGCATTGAATTGAATTCATGCTGCGCTGTAGGCAGGAGGAGCCGGACCATGACCAGTGGTGGTCGTGTGCTAAATTTTTTGGAAAATTATTTCTATACGCAGAAATCTTCTGTTTCTCGCAAAAACTTATGTGATTTATATGAAAACTCACAGTTTGAATGTAGACGTGAGTCGGCCTCTCCTCAACACAACAGAGAAGATACCATGCATGAATTGTCCCAGGAATAATCGCCAGGCACGTAAGAAGGACGTTGATCAGCAGGTTACATGTACATCCCTCTTGGAAAAGAACCGCGAGAGGCTAAAATTATTCAAACTCAAATTATTTTTTATCAAAAAAAAATTCAAATAACTCAAAAAAGTAATTGTCGTCTTACTCACCGGCGCGAAAATAGCGAGCACACAAAGCAGAAACTTGCACATTGGCGGAAACAAAAACGGTAACTCTGAAAGTAATGTATATGAAGTTGAGGAAAAAGAGGAACACTGAACATGAAGAACAAATTTCTGTATGAGTCATAAAGCCCTCATATCGTTCACTTTTTTTTATCAGTTTCGTTTCGAAACACGTATTTAAACGTATAAACATTATCTGACTACTTTTGAGAAGAATTAGAACGATAGTTGAGCAGCCCCAGTGAGGGAGCGAAGCCTCACAGTAACTAGCTTAAAAGTTTGCACATTATGTCTAGTAACTGTGATAATAATTTCAACTCTTAAAACAAAACTTGAAGTTCTTGTACCAAAGGTTCATCGCTTTTCTCGGAGAACGTGTGTTAAATATTTTCAGATGCCATGTGAAATCAAGAGAGGAAAAATTCAAAACGTTCAGAGATACCCTATCCGGTGAAGTAACTCGTGAGGGTGACCTAAAACCGGTTCCTAACCGAATTTATTCTTTTCACCTCGTGAATAAGAAATTTATTACTAAGGAAGATATTAAGAAAAAAATATAGAATATGATAACTGAATCGTGATAAAAAAAAAAAGACTATTATTTTTATCTTATGACTCCAAGCGTTAATACTGCAGTTCATATACGAAGAATGTGAAATAACTGCTGAGTGAACTAAAAACTTGCTAAGTGTTCCAAGAGGATTGCAAATCTTGATTTGGTTCCGACTGAGTTATCCAAAAGGGAATGGAATTTTTAAAGTTCGAAAAAAGCTGGGCCTGAGATAAAAGACTCGTACTTTTTAACAGAAGAAATTTTTGAGAATCATGGAAAATAGAAAAAAAAAAGCAAGGGGAAAATATCAACAAACAAAATGCGGCAGGCTTCGAGAGGCGGGTTAAAATCAGCAAAAAACGCACGGAAAGAATAAATGAGCGGGAAGTCAAAATTTTGCCGCGTTCCTTTCGGTTGAAGCAATAAAATAATTTTTGCCCTTATAAGGATTTTTGAGCAAAAAAATGAAAAAAAAAGAACAAAAATTTTAAAAATTTCCTGGCTCCGAAACTGATGGCGCAATATTGACCGGCCACCGGCCGCCTTATATAGCACTATCTTAAAAATGCGTGGACTTAACTAGTGAAATTATTTTTTTCATGAAATGGTTATTAACATAGACAAGGTCGGAAAGGATTGAAGAAGGCTATAGTCAACACTAAGAATAACTGCCGAGATAAACGCGAGACACTGGCGGTAGACGAGCTCGCATACATCTCGCTTTTTTTCCCGCGCCGGTCTCGCATTTTTCTGGGCGCGAGCTCGCATTTTTCTCACAACTTGAAAATTTCCGAAATGCGAGATAAATGCGAGATGGCGCCAAAAAAATGCGAGGTCGCGCCGAGAGAAATGCGAGATCGCGCCTAGAAAAAAGCGAGATGTTTGCGAGCTCGTCAAGGTACCGCCACCGACCTCGCGTTTATCTCATCAGTTATTCTTACTAGGGCATGGTCTCCGCACGACAACGAGTTGAGAATTGAGACTTTGTGGGTGGATAGGCCTAGGTGAGAGTACTCGGAATCAAAAATAAAATTCTGCTAAACCCCACAGGCAGCCGAGGAAAAGCTCGTCGAAATTTTTCCAGCGCGCATATATATGTGGCCGCGCTCGGAGTCTTCGGCTAGCAACTGGCGGCGTGGTGTAGTGGATTGTGGTCTTGTGCATTATCAATATTGTGACCAGGGTTTGAATCCTTTGGGCGGAAATAGTTTTTGCCAGCTCATAACTTTATTCCTTTCTCATTTTTGGGATTTTTTTTTCAAAACTTTACATCAAAACTTGTAGAAAATTATTATTTCTACTCTTTTTCTCATGCCAAGTTTTTCTTCTCGTGTTGAAGAACTTTTGAGGAGGTTATTCTCAAATATTTTTGTTGGAAGACAGGCAATCGGCAGCATAGTTATTAAAGTTGAGCTTCTTCCACCCAAATTTCTGTTGGAATCTTCGAAAATCGCCATATCTTCTGACACTTGGAAGGCGAAAACGAACGGAAAAGTTTCATTTTAGTTGTTTTATCGTGTTACTATGTTTCCGTTTAGTACACACGTATCAAAAAGACAGATAATCGCTTTTTGAAAAAGCTCAAAGTTTTATAACATATCTACTCGACGTGAATTTTCATAAACAGATCGTTTTCTTCATCGTCTTAAAGTAGAGAAAATTTTTCAAATCAGTATTTTGTTTTTATTGTGATTTTGTGAATTTTTTTGTAGATTTAAAAAAAAAAATATCCCAAAAATGAAGAAGGAATAAAGTTATGAGCCGGCAAAAACGATTTCCGCCATAAGGATTCGAACCCTGGTCACGATATTGATAATGCACAAGGCCACAACCCACTACACCACGCCGCCAGTTGCTAGCCGAAGCCTCCGAGCGCACCCATATAAGCGCTGGAAAACTTTCGACGAGCTTTTCCTCGGTCGCCTATGGGGTTTAGCATAATTTTATTTTTGATTCCGAGTACTCTCACCTAGGCCTATCCACCCACAAAGCCTCAATTCTCAACTCGTTGTCGAGCGGAGACCATGCCCTAGTTAGTGAATGTTTCCCGACTTGAAAGGCGAGGGAGGCGGGCCAAGGGGCGGGACGCGTAGCGTGTGCGTACGCGGTTCTTGGCACACGTGCGCACGTGTTCAATTCAACCGCCAGCGAGCATTCAGAGAGCTTATTTATCGTTCTTTTAACTCCTTTTTTAATTACTTATTGATTATGTTCAAGTGTGCATCAAAAAATAGTAGAAACCAGAGAAAAAGAGCGGTTGCCGAGCTTTTTAATTTATAAATTGTCAGCGGCGCAAAGATGAATCGGGAAGTCGATACAAACAGGTACCCGGTAGCAACTTTTGAAAAAAAGTCAATCGGCGTATGGTAATCGGTGGTCGTTTGTATGCGACCGGGTAATATCTCGATTTTGAAAAAAAAATTTTTTATGGTTTTCGTGTTTTTTTTTTTTCAACATAGTTTGGTTGCAGATGAACTTGAGCGACAGCCCTCAACAGAAGAAGATGGTACTGGTCCGTGCAGAGCATCTACTGAAAAGTGATCAATGCGATTCGTCGCGAAGCAACGTATCAAACGACACCATGAATGAAAATTTTATCAACTTTTTCAACCCGCGATTTAGAAAAATAGACAGCAAAACCACGTTCACTTCTTATTAAAAAAGGATTTTCAGAAAAAAGACTGTTCTCGCGATTTGGCCGAATCATTAGTTTTCAAAGGTTGTAATGGAGCGCTCTGAGATATGTTGGAGCCGAAACGATGTGAACATAAGGAAAAGCTTTTACTGGATACATTGGTTGTTGGTACAAAGGCCCACAATCTGAAAAAAAGTTTTGAATACGAAGTTTCCACAAATAAGTCACCGTTTTCTGAAGTTGGTCGAGAACAACGTGTAAAGCAGCGGATTACTAGCTGAGCAAGTCATCGCCAAAGCGTTCATGAGCAAGATAAACTCGTATGGAGGACGGAAAACGATTCCGAGTATGTTGCTGAACTTTTTTTGAAAGCCTTCCTGCTCCAAACTTTACCTTGAAATGAACAGAAATTGGATGGGCGAATAACAAATGAAGTAAACGGCGACGCAGAAGATCAACATTTTCACGACGTTCCGCCTGGTCCGCAACGAGTCCCTCTGTCTTGTATGAGCAGGGTTGCCTGAAAAAAATTGCACTAAATTCTTGTTATCAAATATCGAAGATTATAGAAATATCTTGTAAAAGTTTTCAAGAACTCCAAATCGATTGCACTCGAGTGTGACAGAGTAGCTGACTATCGACTGAACAGTCTTTTTTGACGTGCAAAATTGAGACTGCAAAAGTGTATTTTAACAGAAAGAGACTGACATAAGGCGGTAAGACTGGGGTCTTTAGACCAAAGAATTCGCGCGATTTTCGAGTATACAAAAACGAAGATGATGCAAGGAACGAAGTAGAATGCGATGAACTCCGTGAACTTGAATCGGCTCCACCAAGGAAGGCCATAGGCTACGTTCAAACATCTCGGACGCCTTGAAGCTGAAAAAATACATAAAACGTTTGGGAAAACGGAGATTAACACTGTCAAGGAAAGACATCCTACAGTGCGGATGGGAACTTGATGAAAGTTTTCTCAGATAACCTTTGAAGGTCTGGAATATTCCTCACATTTAAGTTCGATCTTTCCTACTTTCATTTTTAGTTGGGTGGTTATAGTCCGTTTGCCGTGACTTGGCCATTTTCGAAAGTCTGCGTCTCTCTGTTCCCTCACCGGCGAGGTCAGAGAAACATGAAAACAGCACGGCCACATGAGAGAGTCGACGAGAGACGAGGAGGGCGCAGAGATGTCCCGCCTTTTCAAAAACGGACTATATATAAATATATTGAAACTTTTTTGGGGAAAAACAATTTCCGTTTTTCGCAACTTAAAATGGCGGGGCGGAGCTTCTCTGCGCCCTCCTCGTCTCTCGACGTCTCTCCCATGTTTACGTGCTGTTTTCATGTTTCTCTGACCTCGCCGGTGAGGGAACAGAGAGACGCAGACACGCGAAAATTGTCAAGTCGCGGCGGACGGCCTATCTCTAAAATTTCAATTTTTCAATTTATTCAGTCTTCAGAGTAAGATGAAGAAAATCTCTGCTGAATCATGGTATAATCGAAGAGTTAGTCGTCGGCGCGGGTTACGGTCCACAATCTTTGTCCAATACGTGGTGAAGCAGTTTATTCGTTGGTACTACCAACGGGCCCACATTATTTCCCTATCTCTACGGCGCAAGTTAATTATGCCCTTTTCGAAAAGCACCGAGGGTGCTTCATTTTTTTTTAGCCCAACAATGAATGAAGCGCTTCTGACGAAAACGACTTTGTTGAGGCCAAAAACACTTCAAATCCGAAAAAGCCACCCTTCGACATGTCATTTTTCTGGATTTTGGGTTTCGATTTTACCTAACATAAGAAAAAGTTGTGACTAACCGGAAACCGAGTGAATGGATGCGTAAGGAGAAGCAAAAGCGGCGACGAAAAGCCACGAGCCGGCGACCGTCATCAGAACGTTGCGGCGCGAACAGAGACGTCGTGCTTGCATCGGAAGCGCGATCGCCACGTATCTGCAGTCTTTCCAGTTAGTTTATTAATCAAAGTCTAATTTCAGAGGTGAATCGGGGAGTCGATACAAATAGCTACCGGGTAGCAACTTTTGAAAAAGTCAATCGGCGTATGGTAATCGGTGGTCGTTTGTATGCGACCGGGTACTATCTCTATGGTACCCGCCCCGGGTCGGAGGTCGATGCAAGTAGCTACCGGGTAGCTACCATAGAGATAGTACCCGGTCGCTACCTGACATTCGCGATTGCTACCGGAAAGTCTGGAATTGCTTCTCGGGTAGTTATTTTTTGTTTTAGCTCTATTCAATAAGACCCTGGAAGACTTGGGAAGGTGTAAAAAATACTGGTGCTAAATAAACGACCGAGCCAGTAGCAATCGCGAATTTCGGTAAATACTCGGTAGCATCCAGATACCGATCAGGTACTATTCAGGTACCATAGAGATATTACCCGGTCGCATACAAATGACCACCGATTACGATACGCCGATTGACTTGAGTTGCTACCCGGTATATATACCTACTTTTATCGGCCTCTCGATTCACCAGTGAATGGAAACTCATTATTACATCTAGGAACATAAAACCAGCTTCGACGTTCTTCTAAATGCTTAATTTGTCAAAATTTTAGAGAAAAGGGGATCTTTTCTCAATGCACAGCTTTTGGGAGTAGTAACCGATTTTTTCGAAACAAACCTTTCAATGCATACGATTATTTGTGTGAAGATGGAGGCGTAGAGAAAGACGCACTCCAAATAACGACATACCGAGCACATGAAGCTCGGGAGAAACCTTAAAGAGCTTTTTTTTTCAAAACCTTTTGAGTCAATAGTCACGAAAGATCGGCTTTCTTGGTTAGAATCTTCAAATATCAATTAAACCCTCACCACATAGATTCGAAAAATACTGGTGAGATCCATTCCGGGGAGGCGATAACCAAATTGCACAAATCTGCGATCGCCTGAAAATTTTCTATTGTTTTGAAGTTAAAAAAATTTTTTTAATGTTCTGGCTCCCATAAGCTCAATATTTCATTCAATTTACGCTGTTTTTTTTTCCTAATTTTGAAGAGAAAAATAGTTCAGGCCATCGAAAATAAACGAATTGAGCAAAAAAACAGGAAGGTTCCTCCTATTGACAAGGCAAGATTTCCGTCTAAAAAGTAATTATGAGGTTTTTACAAAGCAGAGTAGTCGGAACTGAGAGAAAGGGGCAATAAAATATGTAATTGAATTTTTTCTATCCACGAGAAATAATTATGATGAGAGCAATGTATAAATAATCTCGAAAACCACGGGTAAGAAACTTTCTTTATAAAATATTCAAAATGACATTACGCCCTTTTTATTACTGTGACAAAAAAAAGGGATTCTTCTTCGATGGGGTCACCTCGCAAGGGAATAACTTTCACTGAAATTTGGCTAGATGATTTTTTTTAATATAAAAAAATCTTGATATTTGAAGCTGCAGTAATTTCTAGTATTCGAGAAAAGTTATAGCTGATTCACGGCTGGCTTGAGCCATCGAGAAAAGGGTCCTGCCACGAAAAGAGACGAGACAGTGCCCTGGTTGGTGGAGAGTGCAGACAGGCCACGCCTTTTTGCGTCCCAAGCTAGCCGTGAATCGTCTATAGTAAAAATGTTTGGTCGCTTGCACAGTGTTAGGGAAATCGAACTCCGAAAAATTGGTTCTCGGAAAACAGCAAGTTGTGTAGTCTGGGATCAAAGTTTTTAAGCGACCTGAGAAACTGACCAGATTCAAGAGCAGGATGTTCATGACGGAGCGGCGCATTTTGGAGTCGCCGGCGATGGCGAGAATGACGATGAGGTTTCCGACGACGCCGATCAGCGTCAACGTTCCGAAAAGAAGTCCGACCGGCACGGCCATTCGACTTCAGGCTCTAAATTCTTGGTGGCGTAACCGACAATCGTGAATAATTGGCAAGTCTTCGGAAAAAGTTGGAGTCTACAAGGTTGTGGCAAATCAAGTTGGGGCATGATTAGGACTTTTTGAGAGCCGGAAGCAGATTGGGAAAGGCAGACACCTTGGCGCACCGGTCGATACGAGTCAGATGTGACGCCATGGAAGAATCAGCTGTCAAGGAAAGGACACTGGGGAATTGTTGAGAGATGACGAGCAGAAGATAATTGTAGGAGTCTTAGTGCAACGCGCTACAATGTTTTGTATCCGAGAAGCGTGTATCGTTATCGACTTGGAGTTCCTCGATAACCCGCGATCTTCGTATGCTATTCCGAAGAGAGAAGATGCTAGACAAAAATAAAAGGTCACGATGCGACTCTTTCTAAAAACACCGCCCAATCGATGAATGTTTTATTAAGGAGAAAAGTTGGGCTCCGACTTCCGCCGTCAACAGAACTTTGGCCAAATGAGTAGTCCTGGAAATCAGAGCTGAATGGACACAAATATTCATTCAACCATTCAAAAAAAGAACCAAAAACTTAAAAATTTCTTTGCCCGTAAATATTTTTGTTGTAAAGAGACTATCGGTTCGCTTCCAAAAATGGCAAAATTTTGACATGAGAGAGGGAAAAACAAGGTCCAAGATAAAAACGGAACACGTCTAGAAATGAAAAAGACCCTTTCTCATTCCTATATTCTAATCCACTAGAAAAACCTTGGAAGATATAATTCTTGACATCGGCGGTTGATTCAACCGGGAAATGTCTCGATGGCGCCAAATGATATTTCCATTCTCGTGGCCAATTTGCCAGCGCAAACAAATAATATAATAACCGAATAACACTTGTGCTGACTTTCACCTGAGCCTTCGTATTTCTCAGAAAAAAGAAAAGTTTTAGGCTGTTTGAAAGTTACCAGTGGATTATTCGAAAATTGAGTAATCAAACGAAAAATAAAAATCGCCATCTGCAAAAAACAATCAAGTTAACACTATAAAGTGTTCTATGGGAAAAAAAGGTGGTGCGAGTCAAAGTTAGGGTTATATCTTTATTTTTCTGATATAATTTGAAACCTTTGGACAGAGTATTTGAGTTTGAATATTTCTCCAAATATCATGAATAATACTTCTCAAAGTGCGTCATGCATTCTGAATTCAAATGAGAGGCCGTGTAGGCTTCTTCTTTTTTTCTCATTTGCACACACCTGAGTGACATCCGTCTAATGATGTCTTGCTGGAAACTCACTCAAACGTGACGTCTATAATTCATACTTGCAAAGGTTCTTTAAAAAATAGTGAAAATGTGACAGAACTGAGAGGCGATAAAAAATGTCAGAAAAAAGATTTGACTAAACAGCAATAAATAGAGTTAGGTCGGAGACGTCAAAACAGCTTGGGAGGATTCCCAAGAGCTGCGTCTCAATTACGTGTCCTTTCGTCGCCGCTCAGAACTTGCACATTCGGTAAGGAGCCGAACAAAACCCAAAATTTATTCTCATTGGATTAGCACCTTGTTCGACGTCTTTCCCAAAGAGATTAGTAACGTTTTTTTTTTATTAAATTGCTTTATTTAAGGCTGCGAATGTGCTCAGACAGACGGACACAATTGAAGAGTTGTCGAAAATCTTCGTGGATGTAAGGGCGGATTAGGTTGTCGGTTCGGCAGCCTGACCGCTTTGGCTTCTGAACCTTTTATTGGCGGCCACCGGAATGCGGAAATGGCTTTGGTTTTCATTGCGCGTTCGGGCTTTATTCGAGCATTTTCGGTCAATTTTTTTTTTTGGTAAACTGGAGAATGTATATAGTAGACTTCTATTCAAAATGTAGGTGAGAAAGTAAGAAAAAGGGACGCTTTGTAGGGAAAGGACCGAGAACCATCTTGAAGAATTTATTTTTTTCTGGAGGTACTAAAAAATCAGATGTTTTAACAAATAAAAAGTTTTAAAAATATGAGCCGTTTTATTGAATTTAGAAAAATTGTTCCCATTGAAATCAGTTAGGAAAGTGCAACACTTGCGAATATTTCAAAGCGCTAACTGGTGTGCTGAGGAGAACCCGAAACCTTTAAAGTGAATTAATAATAGCCGTTTCATATTACTGAGTTAAGTTCAGGCTTCCAGTCTCAAAGAAGTGGAATATGTTAATATCTCAACAAAAAAAAGAAGAGGATAATTCTACTTTTTTTCTGAAAATGCGTTGAAACAATCCAGGCTCTTGGCGAATTTCAGAGGCAAGAAAAAAAAGCTCTACAAAGTACTGCTTTGAACTGAAACACTGTTTTTTACTGCCCCTATGCCTTCAAAAGTCGAGAAAGAAAAATGATGAAGAAAAAACTTCAAGCGGAACTTTTTAAATAAAGTGAGACTTAAAAGCAGTGAAGCAAAAACATCTAGTTTGAGCAAGAACATTTCACTGGGAGTAGTTTTGTCAAATTAGAAATGCATCCGTTTAATTAAACTTCCTCTCCTGAAAAAAATACTACTTCGAGTTGTAATAGACATTTAAAACTACAAATCTAAAAAAGGCTTAAAACATGCTGCCTTTTTGAATCAATTTTTTATTGTTTTTGGTTAAAGTAATTTGATGATTTCTTTTTTTTCTTTTTGAAGAACTCTAATTTTATACTTTAAATTATTTTTCTTCAATCTCCAGCTGTATAGATTAGTGTATAACTCAAAATTGGAGATTACACTTTTTTTTTTGCCGATTTTTGGAACTATTTTACTTCTTTGTTCCTTTTTCAGTTTTCACCGCAATGTTTTTTTCGGCATTGAGTTTCTTGCATCGAAAGTTGCCATCGGCCTTGATTGGAAGACGGAACCTAAATGAACCTATGCCCATCGTCGGCAACAATCAAACTGTCGTCCAACGGCGTTGTAATGCGGAAAAACGGCGCTCGCCTTTTCGGAGGGCCAGAAACTGGTAAACTGGAAACGGCAAAAATACTATCAAGGCAAACTAAACTGAGATCACTAAACGTCGAGAGTTTTTTTTTTCTTAGAGGGTGCGGTCCTATATAAGTCGCTCTCACCGTGGAGAAGGTACGTTGGTTCGCTAGCAATGGAGGACAAGATTCGTCTTCAGGCCTACCGCTTCGTCGCCTATTCGGCCATCACTTTCTCCGCTGTCGCCGTCCTTTCGGTACGTTCTCAGCTCAACATTTTTTGATAATTATTGAGGGTATTTGCAGGTATGCATCACCCTGCCGATGGTGTACAACTACGTGAATGGCGTCAAGAGCCAGATCAACCACGAGATCCGATTCTGCAAGGGATCCGCCAAGGATATCTGGTCCGAAGTCAACCACATCCGCGCCAACCCACGTAACGGCACTCGTCAAGCTCGTCAGGCTGGCTACTCCACCGACGAAGCCGTCGGAAACTGGGGAAGCACTGGAGGCTCGTCCGGAGGATCTTGCGACGGATGCTGCAGACCTGGTCCAGCTGGACCAGCTGGAGTTCCAGGAAAGCCTGGACGTCCAGGACGACCAGGAGCCGCTGGACACCCAGGACGACCAGGAAAAGGCGGTTCTGCTCCATGCGAGCCAGTCACCCCACCACCATGCAGACCTTGCCCAGCCGGACCAGCCGGACCACCAGGAGCTCCAGGACCAGCCGGAGACGCTGGACGACCAGGAGCGCCAGGAGTCGGCGGAGGATCAGGAGCGCCAGGACCAGCTGGACCCAAGGGACCTTCTGGACAGCCAGGAAACCCAGGAGCTCCAGGACAGCCTGGTCAGCCAGGAGAGGACGCGCCCAACGAGCAAGCTGGACCAGGAGCTCCTGGAGCGCCAGGACCTCAAGGACCACCCGGAGCCCCAGGACGACCAGGACAGCCAGGATCTGGTGGTTCTGGTGAGTTATCAAACTGAGAAGGTGGAATGTTGAAATTTTTTTTCAGGAGCGCCAGGACCAAAGGGACCATCAGGAGCGCCAGGACAGCCAGGAGCTGATGGAAACCCAGGAGCTCCAGGACAGCCAGGAGCTCCAGGAGGTTCTGGAGAGAAGGGAATCTGCCCCAAGTACTGCGCCATCGACGGAGGAATCTTCTTCGAGGACGGAACTCGCCGCCGTTAAATGTCTTCTCATTGAGAAAGCTTGTAGCGAAACCAACAATAAAGATTTCTGCTCGCTCATTTTTTGTTACTTAGGTAACATAAAACATTTAATAGGGAACAACATAAAAAAGCAGAAAAATGTACTGATTAACTTATTGGAAGCCATTCTCAACTCTTAACTCAATAAGTCTCCTTTCTATTTATTTATTAAATCAACGAACCATTCGCACCTCCAAGAATTTCAAAAATATGCATCTTGTTTGAAATTAAAAAAACCAAAATTTTTATCGAATACCTTTTTTTCGAAATGATCTAACCTTTCAAACTCCGAATTTTTTATAGCTGTGACTCATGAAGAAACAAAAAGCTTTTCAAAGTTTTGTGCCTCCCAAAAGTAAAGAAAAAACAATTGGAGCTCGCTCAACCCTAGCTTGGTATACAGCAGAGTCTGATTATAGGCAAATGAGGAAACATTTCTTTTTTATCCATTGTAGATTTGAAAAGGATACGAAAATGGACCTCAAAACTGGCAAACTCTACAACGAACCTATGATTTTATGCACCATTTGAAGATTTATAAAGTTCATAACAGAGGATTTTAATTTTTCGAACCGTGAACTTCCAAACCTGAGGCGAACCACCGCATGTTTACCGAAAGCAATAATTTTAATGCTAAAAACTTCAAATTTCTAGTTCAATATATACCAGGTATTTTTCGCCTAAGCATTGGTTGGGAAATCCACTCTGAAAGGCTCTGAAACCTCTGGTATGAACTTTATAATTTTTTATCAATTTTTATGAGACTCTTGGGTGCGTTTAACTGCTTGTATGCAAAACATTACTTAAGTGCGTAGAATTATCAACCGGTGTCCAAAGTTATGGTGCGAAACATGATGGGTGCTCCATTTGATGCTTAAAATCATAGGTGCGTTGTATAAACTAGTCAATCGGCGTATCCTCAAAAATAGTATCGGAGTACACATAGAGAGTACTGAAATAGCAGAAAGTTAGCCTCTGTATGCTATTTATTGATTGAACACAAGCAAATCACGACGGAACTTGAAAGTAAACTCCGTTAGCTATCTCTATGCCCTCTGGATTTGAGAGTGCTGCCGAAGCTTTAGAAGTATGCTGCCGAAATGCACTCCGATAGGTATCTTACCGCGTATCCTATTTATTAACTGACCCTCGATTGACCCTTGTAGAGCCGGTCCAAAAACTGGCCAATAACTTCCTAAATGCGCCATAAGATCTTTCTAGCAGCTAATTTGCCCCTTTTTTCAAGTGGTTTGCGTTTTTAATGAGCTTTCTTATAGGCTTCCAGAACTGTGATTATTAGCACTTTTTTGGAATGTTGCATAAAAGGTAGAGATTAGGAACTGACAATAAAAAGGGATCCTTTGAATATTGCCCTTTATTTCCCTGAGAAGTTGTTTTTCTCGCATACGGATAGCGTCTGTATCTTTTTGCACATGATAGTGCCGATGTCGATATGTCTGAATAAAGTTTCGTGTTGAACCTAAGACAAGGGCACTTTATGGGGATATCCGGGTATTTCGATACATACACTAAGAATAACTGACGAGATAAATGCGAGGTCGGTGGCGGTACATTGACGAACTCGCAAAAATGTCGCTTTTTTCTAGGCGCGATCCCGCATTTCTCTCGGCGCGACCTCGCATTTATCTTGCATCTCGGAAATTTTCAATTGCGAGAGAAATGCGAGCTCGCGCCTAGAAAAGTGCGAGCTGGCGCCCAGAAAAATGCGAGACCGGCGCGAGAAAAAAAGCGAGATGTTTGCGAGCTCGTCAATGTACCGCCAGTGTGTCGCGTTTATCTCGGCAGTTATTCTTAGTGTAGAAAATCTGAATTGGAATTTTTCAGAGTGTCGTAGTACGGTAATAGGCACTCACGCATCCGTAGGGCAAAGGGAAACGTGTATGAATTCTTAACCGCGAATTTAAAATTTTTCTGTTTTAAGTTTCCTTTTAAAGTTTTCATTTGAAATTCCCTCATATTTTTAAAGTTTGTTTCTTTCTTACAGATGTCAACCGCCTATGAGAGTGTTAGATTAGACCATGACTTGCCTACGTACTACAAAAGCTTCTTTCCTTTCAAGTCGTTTTGCAAATGGTTATCGTACGGCCAAGGTAAGTTATGCGGAAAAAACTTCTTGATACTATTTAAATAACGTTCATTTTCAGTTCCCTCAGAATATTTTGCTCGAAGAGAGTTCGCTTTCATTTTAGCAGATGATGTCCATTTGAGGTATTTTAAATTTCAATTTTTCATAAATGTCGCTTTAAGGTACAAAAGTTTCAATGACGTTCTTTCATTTGAAAAAGAGCTGTGTAAAGTGAATCCTCATAAACTCGACTTAGGAGCTGTTTACAACCACTTTGTATGTTTTTGAGGGAAAAGTCAATTGGAAGATGTTGGTTTACAGCCGAGAGATCATCGAAAGCACTCAGATATGCAAGCTGTAGAGCGAGAGCTTGTCTTTGACATCGACTTAACAGATTATGACGCCGTGAGAACGTGTTGTACGTAAGTATTCATTCAGTTGAGTGCAGTTTTCAAGCTCAGCGGGATAGAAAGTCTAAAAATACTTGTATTTTATGTTTTTTTTTCTTCAAATTAATTTTTTGAAGTACTCTGAGCATAATTCACATTTCGAAAAACAAATTTCTGAGATATAATGCGATAAAAAAATCTCAATTCAACAGAGAGGCGACCGTTTGCCCGAAATGCTGGAAGTTTGTAGTTTTGGCAGTCAAAATTCTCGACAAAGTTTTGCGTGGTAATTGAGAGATTATTTTTTATTCAACAGTCATTTGATTCAGAGGATTTTGGATTCAAAGCCCGGATGTGGGTGTTTTCGGGTCGACGAGGAGTCCACTGTTGGGTAGGAGATGCGAAGGCAAGGAAATTGAATAATCTCGGCAGATCCGCGGTCGCCGAGTACCTCAACCTCTTTATTGTGAGTTACAAGGGAACGATTTACTAGGACTACGAATAGATCAATTTTCGTATTTGAAATGTTATTCAAGGGTAATAAAGTGGAAGTGCTGAAAGGTCGGACGAAAATGACGTGGGTACCGAATCTCGTGCAAACCGCCTATTCGAGCGCCTTGGAAGGCGGCTTCTTTGAGTCCATGGTGAAGTTTGAAACTAATATTCAACAATCAAAGCGGAACAGGCCTATGAGCAAGGCTGGCTCAATGACGGCCGCGCTGAGATCATCTTCAGTTTATACAAGGAGCTGAGTGCAGACCTAAGAACTGAGCTCATCGAAAAGTTCAATGCGTTGGTGTTTTTTCTTAGTAAACTTAAAGAAAAAGTTTTCAAGATTGCCAACGCCGCAGCTCCGGTGGAAAATGCTGAAAATGTATTTCGAAGAAGATGAAAGAAAGCGTGCAAGACAAGAGGGCTTGAATCTACCGTTGGTGGGAACTTTACCAGGTTCTGTTATAATAAGGCCGATTTTTCCAGGAGCCTCAAAATCGAGATAAATATTTCTTGAAATATTTTGTTCTGTGGCACGTTTACCCACGACTTGATGTCAATGTGTCCACAGGTTCTGGAACATTTTTTCGAGAGATCACTGGGGAGTTGAAGGAACGAATCACTTGCTGAAGTCGCCGTTCTGCATCCACCCGAAGACCGGCTGCGTGGCCGTTCCGCTCAGCGCCGACGACGTCGCTCAGTTTGACGTCACCAAGTGTCCAAGACTCGAGTTAGTTGTTCTAATTTTTGCTAGAACCATTTCTCGGTAGAAAATAAAAGAGGAAACTATCAGAATGAATTTTTTTACAGAAGAGAATTTTTTAGGGTTAAAGTAAGTAAGTTTTGCAGATATGAAAACTCCTTTCATATCGAGAAAAGCTATATTTTGTTGTTGGTTTTTTCTATTGCTTATTCGCTTTTACTGGAGTATTTGATAATTTTTTCTGGCTTCTTTCGAGTTTAAACATAACTTTTTCCATCATTATTCTCGCCTTGTTCAGCCTTTTTGCAAAAAAATGCAAATCAAAAATTAAAAATTTTAGTGATTTGGAAAAAGTTTTGAAACCATTTGGAGCTAAAATAATTATTTAGAAAAATATTTTTTTCAGTTGTTGACGGTTTTTCTTTTTTTCACTTTAAATAAACATTTTCAATAATTTTTGTATATTTTTGAAAAAAAGGAAAAATTCGAAGCACTTTTTATTTTTTTTCGTTCGTGAGGTTGTATGTTTGAAAGACCAAAGGAAATATCTAATCATCTTTATGCATGAGCGGGGCTTATATGCTGGTAGTGGTTAATGAGAACTTTCAATTTATTATCTTGATTTTTTTTGGAGCTTTTCTTTCAAAAACTCTTTTATTTTAACTTTCTTCTATTTTGCAACAGCTGCCTTAATTTCTTGTCACCCAAAAAAGATGAATGATAACCTTTTTTGCAGTCGATTGGTTGCGGAACTGCCTTCTATAAACTCGGAAATCGGTGAGAAAGAAGAGGGTGATCAGAAGGAAAATGGCCAGCGGAAAGTTTTAGGTATTGCTAACTATCATTTCTTACAAATTCTTCATCTTTTCCTGGGTGAATTAGCTCGATTTTCAGCCTACCGACACTCTAGTTTGGCCAAATACGTTGAGAACTTCGAAAAGTATGTGGAACTCGCCATCTGTTCATAGCCCCATCATTTCTCATTCATAACGTTTCACTTTGTCAAATTGTCCATTCTAACGACTCGCAATAAACTGATTTTTTCATCTCTCTTTTTCTCGCTCAGAAAGTCTTTTGATTCCGTTTTGAACGGCCCGGTGTACATCTCTAGTTTTTTCCTCCAGAGAAGCGCAATATTTGGTTTACAGAGGCTCGTTATTATATTCTTTCAATGGATTCCATCATTCCAAACGTGAGTTTTTTTTTTACTTCATGCAGAAAGAATAGCCTTTTTCTTTCATAATTACCAAAATGAAGAGTATTCAAGTATTACAACTGCTAACTTCATCCCAGTTTCACGCTCAGCGTGGAAAAATGGATGAAAAAATAGGCGATTTTTCTCCGTTCGCGAGATCGCAGAGCCGAGAGCAGCTGATGCAACGCGGCCGCGGGGCGGTTTTTTGGCCATTGGTTTTTGACGAGACGTTTTTTAGCGGTTTCCCAGGTTTTAGAGCCCCCTTCACTTTGTTATAAATTATTGTTTCTGAGCATTCATAGTTTCTGATTAGTTTGTCCTGAAACCATCCAGATTGTTTTATAATTTTTTTCGACTTATGGAAGACGTTCGAATGTGTTCCTGTACAAGTGTGAAACTTCCAATCACATTGGTCATGAATGAGAACTAGGCGACGTGGACAGGTGTAACAGTCGGACAACCGAACTGCAACGTGCTGCCGAGTGTTTACTCGAAAAATCGTACGACGTTTCTTGTTAAACTGCGGCCGGCGCCGTGGCGCCTCCGTTCGGTAGAAACGACGGCGCCGTTCAACGCAGCCTATCCTTATGATTTCATGTGCTTCGCTCACAGGACCCTAATTTTTCTCTCTCGAATTTCAGTAATTGAAAGTAAAAAAAAAATGAAAATTGGTCCGTAAAAAAGAGGAGATGCTTTTCTAGAAAAAATATTGTGTAATCATTCATATCAATTTCAATTGTTTTTATGGAGAGGTAAAATTAAAGCATCAAAGAAAGGTAGTCCTTGATTATTTTGCCAAAATACTATGTTTTTTCTGTTCGAAAAATGGTGTTATAGTCTGTTCAATTTCAAGTGCAATGACGTCATTCAAAAACACTCTGTGGATGGCTCGCTCTCTGATTGGTTTGTCGCACCATTATGGGCGGGACTTGAGCGATGACTTGACATTCAAAATCTGAACAGACTATACCCATTTTGTGATCTCTTGTTTTCAACGTAAATTAAGAAGGACACATTCAATTTTCTCATACGAAATTTCTCATAGCTTCCTAATTCGTTATCGAATGATTCTGAGAGTAAAATCTGACAAATATCGGGACCGTTTTCTATTCGAAATCCTTTTCTGGTCTTTTTGAAGGAGCTTGTAAATTTTTGCGCGACTTTTTAGAAAGATTGGAATGAAATCTTAAATTCATCGAAAAAAATATTTGTCAAGATAATCTGTCAAACTCTTGAAATTTTTTTCCACAATTTCCAAAAATAGACTGTTGTGAACATGTTTTGCAGAACGAAGTTTTCGATAAGTTTTTCAAATCTCACGGACCCATTCGTTGAAAAATTGGTTAAATTTTCGAGAAATACTCGCAGAACAGTCCGTGCAAAAACGTCTTTCTTGGGTTTAGAACTGTGTTTCTCATTTGCGACTGAGTTAAATCGAACACTGTTCTATGTAGTTGGGTCGGTTGCAATTGTTTACACGGTAGGACGATCAATTAACCATGTCGACTTGGGGACTGTGTCTTGGGTTGAAGACGTGTTGGATGCCCTTGGGGTCGACGTGCCACAGGCCGGTCGCCTGTCTGCTCCATCTGTTCCCTTTGGCCGTCGGCGTCTCCACTGCGCGCCTCTCCCTCCTCTCCGTTTCTCTCGTTCCATCAGTCGTCCTCTTTTCTATCTTTTTTATAGAATCTCCCGAAATTTATTTTGTTTCTTTTGATTTCTATTTCCGTTCCTCCAAGTTTATGTATTTTTTTTTCCGTTTTTCGGCTGATTTTAACTCAAGAAATTTTTTGAAGGAGTTTTATCACCTCTGATTATTATCATTAGCGCGAAATTTTCAAAAGGCCCTCCAGACTTTTCTCACGAAAATTTAAATAATTTCGAAAAAAAGGAAAAAAAATTTAAAACACGTTTTGCAGATGCGTTTGACATTTTAACTTTTTGAGAGATAATTTTTTTTTCGTAGAAGATTGAACAGAATAATCATTTTTTTCTTTTTAGAAAAATTTCTTCAAGCGAAAAAAACGAATGATAAACGGTGGAAACAATAGTTATAGCAGTCAATTTCTCGAAAACCTTTTAACGTTTTTTTGCCGTTGATCATTTCTCCACGAGTATATTCAAATTTCTCTTTTCAGGTAACCTAGACGGCCGTTGGCCAGCGTTTTACGACTATCCTCGTCAATGTGAGTGTTGCATCTTGTGCCGATATTGATAAGAGTATTCAGAGTTTCACTAGATTCGAATTAGATCAAGATGGTTCGTTCAGAAAGTGCCGAAGAAGAACAAATGATGGCTGACGACAGGTGAGGAGATTTCGAGAGAAGACTTTTCTCTTCGAAGAGTTCTGTTCCCCAAAATGGAGTCTTGAGGTACGAACAAGTAGACGACGAGGATCTCGAGACGCAGGCCGACGGCGGTTGGCGCTTCCAATCGCCCTTTCCCAAAAACATCTGCTCTCCGACAATGCAAAATCGGTACCTTCTACATATTTCTTATCATTTTGCCTCGCGAAAGTCCTATAATATCAAAAAGTTACAAAGCCACGCCCAAAGGGACAAATTTTTTAGAATTTCAAATTTTTGATAGACATGTTTTTTGAGGAATTTTCCACTCTGGACTCTTCCTTACAAAGAGTTTATTTTAATTTTTTATCTTGGTCAACCTATTCTGAATTTGTCTTAGTCTCAGTACATTTTCGTAGCTCAGTCGTACAATTTTTCGAAAAAAAAAGGATTAAAATTCCCTAGATGAATAAAGAAAGAACTATGTCGAAATAGCAAAAAGAAAGTTCAGGATCATAAATTAACTCTTTTTTGAGCAATACTTTTGGCGTAAAGGTTGCGTGGAGACGTCAGCTGATTGTTTTTCTGGCCAGGTGTTGCGCGATTTTGCCTCTGTTCCAAGAATTTGTTGGTGTCAAATGCAGTTCTTTGCTCTGTTCAGCGCATTAGTTCAAGTACGAAAATGCTTGGGATTTTGTAGTTGCTTCGACTTCTTCATTAAATAATGAAAACAAAGCACACTAGCATTTCATTCAGGATCCAGTGCTATCGCCAAAATTTGCCTCGCTTTATTATGAGCGGCAAAAGCCGTCAAAACTGTATCAAAACTGTAACAAAAACTTCTTTTCAATGTGGGAACTTTTTTGTTGAACGAAGATCAAAACCAAGGTTTTTTTCTTGTAAAAAAAAGAGGTAAGATACACACACACACGCGCGCGCGTGGTTGCTGAAATGGCGCATTTGTCGAACACATGTGCCTGAGGACCAGCTGTTGTCGACGACCCCTGATAACCTCCGGCTGTTTTTCCACTTCTTCCGTCTTTTCGGTGTCAACAACCGCGCGTGTAGCTTGAAAGTGGCGAGAAAGTCGTCGAAAATTCATTCAATCATTGAAGAGGAAAATCTTCAAAAGAGAAATGAGGATTCAGACGAAAAGATATGATTGATGGAGTAGTACAGCCTCTTTTGAAGATTTGGATTTGACGAGGGAAGTGTGCGAAGCGAGCATCTCGGATCTGGTTCAAACTTCTGCAGTAGGTAGTCCCAGGTATGAGTACTCGAAAATATAAATAATATCTGCCAAGGGCCATAGGGTCTGAGAAATAGCCTGTCGAAAATCTACAGGAAATACTAAAAACCAAATTCTCTTTGGGTTTTTTTTTGAAGAAAGCTTTTCTCGTGTTTCTTAGGGTATAGGGAACAACAATCGACGCTTTAGGGATTGAAAACCGAAGAGACTTAGTTTTTGAGCTTTTCACCTACATTTTCGACAAGCCCTTTCTCAGTACTCTATGGCGCTTAGCAGATAAATCTTTTGGTTTTGGAATAATCGTACCTGGGACTACCTACCACAAAAGTTTGAACCATGTCTGCGATGCTGAACCCTAAATACTTTCCTTCTGAGAAGAATTGAACAAGAATTCGCATAACTTTTCTGAGACCAGTAACTCTGGTCTGGGGATAATTTTGAGAAAAATACTGGATTCAGCTTCGGAGAAAGTGTGAAGAAAGTTTGACCCTAAATGTAAAATGACAAAAGATGAGCATGGAAGTTTCCAGGCCGATGTCCCAGGCGGCTTCGCTGTCGCCGACGAGCGGCGGCGGCTACACGGAGCAAGACCGACGGATCCGGCGACAGATCGCCAACTGCAACGAGCGCCGTCGTATGCAGAGCATCAACGCCGGCTTCCAATCGCTAAGGGCTTTGCTCCCGCGAAAAGTTCGTCTTCTGAAGAAAAGTTGCGAGAACAATTCATAGTTCAGTACACTGATGAAAATAAGGACAAAGCGATTCTGCATCTTTTAAGTAGCACTTAAGTTTTTAATATAATACCTTGAGAGTTAAAGGACAATACACAAAAATTTGCAAGCAAGAACTTTTAAATGTATGGGTTCATTCTAAAACAAGATAGTTTGAGATAAGTGAGAACTAAATGACTGAAATGTGGAGTAAGTTCTTCAGAAACAAAGCTTGCGGGTTAGTTATGATCAAATCAAAAAAAAAGGAATATGGACGCCTCTTCCGAATTCTGAGAGAAATAAGCTGGAGTCAAATGATTCTCGAAATGATCCAGAAATTGCATCTGACGAGTTTCGATTAAGTTTCAGGAGGGCGAAAAGCTATCTAAGGCGGCAATCCTGCAACAAACCGCCGATTTAATACACGACCTGAAAAACGAGCTCAAGTTAGATGGCGCTGGAGGAAAGAAGCCAAAGATGGAATGTGAGCAATTCTCTTCAGAATTTCCGATTTTCATGATTTTTTTCAGACGAATCCGACGATCGGGCGACGATATCGCAGTTGCAACGAGCATTAGAACAGGAGCGGTCAGCTCGCCTGATCCTCGAACAGGAGGTCTCCCAACTGCGAGCTCTGTGCCAAGCTCAGCACGAGAAGATGCACACGACGCCGAGCAGTTCGACCGGCGTCCCGACGTCTCTAGGCCATCAGTCGCTGCCGCCGCCAACGAGGCAAGAGCATTCGGACGCTGCCCTTCTGTTGGCCAGCTCGACCTCGTCGGCATCGCTGGCAGCCATGTCCCTCGACGGAGGCACCAACGGAACGGCCACTCCGTTGGCTTTGTGCTCTCCGATGGTGGAGCCGAATCTGCCGCCTCCTGCATCTGTCCAGTCGATCGCGACGCGATTGGCCAACCAAGGCTCCGAGGCCTCTGTCATACGACCGACGCCTCTCACGCCAATCAGTGGTAGGTTGAGCGTCGCTGTCAAGAATTCAAGATAATTCGCAGTGGACGTTTCTTCGCCGTCGCTGTCCACGCCGTCGCCGCTGGCGTTCCCGTTCGTCGCTGCCGGACTCGCGCCGCAGCATCACAACATCTTCATGCCTGTCGCTCCGACCAACGCCGTCATACCTCCACCTATCGTGACCTATTCGCAGCCTTCTGCGTTCAGGTATCACTTCGAAGAGTTTTTCTCAAACATCCTCCGCAGGCTCAAAAAACCGTATAAATGTTAAAGTTCTGTCCCTTCAGTTTTTTTTTGTCAATAATAATTTTTTCTTTCATAAAACACTTATTTAAGCCTTATTTGAAGTCTAATTGAGATTATAATCTGGTTACCAGGAGCCTGTTACAAGCTTTTGTCTTCATTTTAAAATTTGTATTTTGTTTAAAATATCAGTATGAAAATAGTCGTATCAGACGACTTTTACCGAACAAAAGCTTGTAATTTAGAAAAAAGCTTGTAACGAATAATTGTTTTCAAAGTTTTCTTTGGAAAATTCTTCTGATCCTGCAAATGTCGTGTTAAAAATCCGAATTATTACTTCTTTTCCAAACAATGCAGAAAAAAGGGATTATTGCGCAGAAATTCTCTTACTGGACCTATGTTGCAGCAGCACGGCAAACGCGAACGCGCATCGCTCGCTGCAGACCATTCTCGACGCGATCCGACATCTGGAGAACGGCGGTGGACTTTTGACGCCGTCGCCGCCGCCGACTTCGCAGGCTCCGCTCGTCAGATGAGCTCGTTCTTCCTTAGGTTCCTTGAAATTCTTCCACTTTGTTATAGGTCTTCTTTGTTCGTCGTTTTTAGTGTGCGTGTGAATTTCAAATATATTCGTCGTTTTTATATTTACGAGCCTTTTCTGTGATCTTTTAGAAGGACCATGATCCAAAAATTTCGAAAATTTGTTTGGTTCATATTTCTTATTAATTACCTGAAAGGTCACATTGTTTTTCTTTCTTTTGAAGTTTGAATTCTCTACACTTTCCGTTTTGATTTTTTTTTTCTTCGAAGGTCGCTTTCGGTTTCCACCTCCATTCCTGTTTGTCATGTGTTAATGAAACAAGTTTGAGTTTTTTTTTCTTTTTTTTTCAAGCAGATTAACTCAGATTTGAGTTATTACCACAATAACGAACAATCTTTTTTGTTTTCTCTTTGTTTTTCTTTTTCAGACGACGGTAATTGCTTTGATCTTGTTTATTTTTGTTATAATTGTTTCAATCGTTAATATTTTAAATTTTATTTGACTGGACTGCCTAAAGGAATGTCTCTCATTTTTTCGTTGACCTCGTATCTTTTTAAAAATCACATGGTACAATTTTTCTTTTTTCTTGTTGAAGTTAGACGGATAGCAAGACATTTTCGAATTTTTGGGCTGTAATTGAAATTTCGCCATTCGTCTAATTTCTTTCGATTGAGAAGTTCTGAGTGCTTTTATTGACCTTTTTATAGTTCTTTTTTCGTGCCAAATCTCAAATCCTTAATGTTGAACATCAGCTGTGCTAGTAGAGTTCTTGACCTGTTTCCGATCCCGGTGTTTTAAAAGGTTCTATCCTACCCGTTAGTATAGCTTGCTTGTGATATTCTCTTGCGTACTCAAAAAATCGTCTTGAAAACGGTATCAGTTCTTGAAAATTGGTAGTGTTCTTTTCGTTCTTGCAGTGCATACAACTTTCTATTAACCACGTTAAAAATCGTTGTAGGCAGAAGTTCATGTAATCTCAACCGTTTCTTTTCTGTTAATTCTTCTATTTATCTTGTTTACATGTTTCGACGATTAGCGCGGATTCATTTTATTTTATTTTTTGTTTTAGGCACTGATAAATTGTTTTTTTTTTATTGAACACCTAATTTGTAAAAAATGTTCGTCCTCAACTTGTCGGCGGAGCGTCGATGGGAGCTGGTCTTTTGAGTTTCGACAGAGCTTTCCTTGCAGCTGGCTGAAAGTCATGCAAAAATGACTTCTTATTTTAAAATTTCTCCAAAAATTTCACCTGATCCTGGTCGAAAATGGCGACAGAACTCAGAGAGCGTTGACGCGCCATGTCAAGCGGAGTGATGGAGATGGACTCAGATCGCATTGCCAGAGACTCGTCATCAGAGGCGAATCTCCGGATCACAGTCAGTCTCTGTGGTCGGATGCCGTCTGCAACGACTTAATCGCTGGGAAGAGCTCGAGAAGCCAACTTCTACTACCAGAATCGGAATGCGTCGAGTCGGAAGAGGAATCTGAGTCGTCGTGGCTTTCCTCGACATGGCACATGCTCAAAGATCTCGCCGACGGCACCGTCCTCACAGTGTGCATTATCGGCGGCTCGGACCTTCAACACCAAATAGTTCTATTTAAAGCTTTGTTTGATAAGATACCTTGATGGAGAAACTCGAGGTGGCGGTGAAGGCGGACTCAACTGTGCTTTTAGCGACGCAGTGGATAGCTTCAACGAAATCATGACATTTTTCCAGCTTTTTGATTGGTCCACCTTATGCTCATATGGACTACCGCTGTTTTCATTCATTGCCAAAGTTGACATCTCCAAAATCTGCAGGTTTTTGTTCTTCAACTCTTGAAATTTACGCTGAAAAATTTGCAAATTCGAAGTACTTTCGAAGAATTTCACAAGTGGTGACGACTTGATAGTTGGGGCATCGGAGAGCATGAACGGATTGACTGGAGGAGATCCGAATAAGGCGAATCCCGCCGAGGAAGATCCTGGCTGTATTTGGCGTTTATTTCCAAAACGAAAACCTCGGAAAAACTTTTAGTCAATTATTAATACTTAGATAGAGGTTTGACGAAAAAGTTATACATTTTAAAAAAATCTCAATTTCGTTGGTCCATCTTCGGAAGTTTTTTTCACGAACTCTTTTGAAAATCTAATTCAACAGCTTTATTTTTAATTCTCAAGAAAAATCTTCTACTGATCCTTGAGACTTGAAAAAAGTACAGAAAAGACAAACCTCTTTACCAGAATGAGAGAAAGAGTTTTTTGAACTGACAGGCGAAGTTGTAGATGTGGATGGCTAGAACTTTTCGTTTGTTCGATGTTCATATATTTTTCAAAAATTCTTTTCTTCAGTTGAATAGCTCTTGAAAGTACTGTTCGAAGTGGCAGGTTTCACTGGGGGCCTGCATCCGGTGAGCCTTTTTTCTTTTAAAAATTCAAAAAAAAAGTCTCAAACTTAGAAAAATATTTTTCAGAGCAAAAATGTTAACGGTCTGACGTGTCTGAGCTCTCTTTTCTTTAGTCGTTTTCTGATTACCCCATGAACACATCGGTGAGGAGAAAGAGGCTGCAGGCAGGCTAGAATGTTAGCAATCGTAGCGGAATTAGAAGATTTTCAAATGTAGAAATATAAGTTCCAGCTGACCCGCCATTCGCGTATCCTCCCACTTCTCCAGCCGTACTGGTCCGCTTCGGCATCTGATTGGACTGGAAAAACACGAGACCGGAAGGTCGGACCTCGGGAATCGATGTACTGCAGAATAAACTGGATCCGTCCAAAAAGCCCTGCTCACCATGTAAGTGTGTTCGCGGCGAGAAAAGCCTCCAGTCTGTCTGAAAATCCATTTTCAAGCATTTTTAAAACAGAAAAATCGAGTTGGGAGAACTTTGAAAAACGCAGTGAAAGACAAACGTTTTTTTTCCATACATAAAATAATTTTTAATGTTCCAGTAACCCAAAATCAATGAGAACTACCGTCTCTGAGGAGGTCTTTGTACATCGACAGTCTCCTCTCCAGAGTTTTCCTCATGACACCAGTCCGAAGTGTCGACCAATGACTTCAGTGTCTGGAAACTTTTTTTCCGATTCAAATAAAAAAATAAGCTTGTAAATGTTAGATTTTTCAAAGAAATAGTTTGACAAAGGAAGGAAAACGGAATAGACCCACTTTTCCTTCCCTACGAGTCCTGACGATCTGACCGACGGCCACCAAGGGGATCACGAGGAGGGGACCGACCATGACGCACCAGGCGACCACTTCGTACTCGATCGGAATGGTTCTAGAAGCAAAGGAAATCCGCTGGTAGCCCAGGGCACTCGACATCAACAGAAGCTGCAAAAAATCTTATTTTTCGCATGTAACTTTCTTTGAACCGATAGAACGATGGGGCAAACAAAACACAGCGAATAACGAATGTAAAAGCCGTTCGGACCAAACAAAGCCATCAACTTGTCCTCAAAAGTTGGACACTGAAGTTACTCGTTTTGTTCCCAACCTTCAACCTGATAGCGTTTGAGAAGCTCAGTTCGCGGACTCGCAACATAACTGACACTTCTCTGAGATACCGGTCGATGCCTTAACGGCGTGATAACAAATCAAAAATAAAACGAGAGAGATTAACCATAGAAGTAGCTGATGATGAGTACTGTCAAAAGAGCAAGAGAGAAGGAATTCCAGTTGGCGTTGAGATTTTCGATCGCGTGGAAAATGAAGATGCCTCCCTGGAAAAGTAGATTCTTGAAAGGTTTATTATTCATTGTAAGCAACATTTATTTATAAGCACAAAAAATTAGCCTGATAAGCCGATTCCGTTTGAAGATAATCAATTTTGCAATGTCTAAAAAATGATTTGTACTGTTGCGAGGCCCTGGAAGACTGCAGAAAAAGAAAGAATACTTTTTCCTGATGCCTACATAAATCTCAACTATCGAAAAACTCAAACCTGCGCGCATAAAGGCAGTCCACAAAGAAACCCCATGAGACACAGAAAAGCGAGCAAGCGGTTCTCAAAGGCTTTGTTCTTGGTAGAATAGTGGTTCATGATGGCCGACGCGATCATCTCCAGCCTGAAACTGCGACGTCTTCAGAGCCGTCGTCTCGAAGGACTCAACATGCAAACTCGGCGTCGATGGCCGCGAGCACGAGCATTCCGAAGAAGAGCGTCGCCCAAAGTGCCCCCCAGTACATGAACGACGTCACTCCTGGGTACACGGTGAAAGAAAGATACAGTGGGTCGTGTTCTGCAGTCTTTCATCGCTCAGAAAAGACTTTGAACGAACTCACGAAGCACGTCGTTGACATTTGAGGAAGACACGGTGGCCAGAAAGCCTACAAACGAGAAAATGACCATTCCGGCTAACGTGGAGGTTATGGCGTCCCTTCAAGTAGACATTGGAGATTTTTCTTGATCATCTACCAACATGAGAACAAGCAGTGCGGCGTCCCGATAGATGTTGTTTCGAAAGCGAGAGAAGGCCGCCATCGAGACCAAAGGCCCAGCGTCGATTCCCAATTCGTAGAAGACTTGCTCCGCCGCAGATTTCCAGATCTTCAAATCTTATTTTTCATAAACCTCGAAAGTCTCACCGTCCAAGACCATAGTTTATTGCTATCAACAGTGAACAAAAAAGAAAGGCCTTTGTTGGCCCCCGGAAGACTAATCCCACGCAGAAGCAGAATGGAGAGCTTGCAATTTATGATTGAAGTTATTTTGAAAGACCGACTTACCAATAAATAAGGTACGGTGGCCGTTATATTCATTGTCGAGCCAATCGATCCTATTCCTTTGAAGACACCGAAAAAAATGAGAAGCCATGCTGTTGCTAGAGAAAGGACAAGATGTGGCTGCAGAGGTCCCAGGGAGAAATCTCCGAATGTGGAGAGCGACAAAACTTCTGAGCTGAACAGTGCGGTAGAGGCAACAGAGGAAAACTAGAAAAGTCACTGGAAAAACGCTTCCGGGGCCGTAATCGAGTGATTTCCGTTGAAGCAAGTCCGTAGCTCATGAAGGTTGCAACAGTTGCTGTCCAACTGCCAATCTGAACTACTAATTTTTATCTTCATTTAGAAAACGAAACCTTCTTTGCAGTATTCCCAGGGAAGTGATGTTCCTAGGAAGAACCCTTTGATGGAGTGGAAGAAGTAGTAGACGGCCCAGGCGACAAGCATGTTGTAGTAGACCGCAACAGGCATCGCTATCACTACCAAAGCCCATCCGACTCCCGACGCGAGAGGCATAATTTTCTGGAAGGCTTTGTTGGCGGATTGGCCAGAGTACTGGCCAATGGAGAGGTGTAGAAAGACTAGTGGCAACCCGAAGAAAACCAGAGAAAACAGGTAAGGTATAAAGAAGACTCCTAAACAGGTATTTCCCTCAGAGATTGAATGAGAAGTTCTACCGCCGCCATGTTGGTAGACCTTGGCTGGGAATCGCATCGTGTGGCCGACGCCAACCATGAACCCGAGACAGGACAGGAAGAAGTCTTTCTGGCAGAAGGATACTCAAGAAAGATAGAAAAAGGAGCACCTGGGTCTTCCAGAGTTCCCGACGCTCGTTTCTGCCGTGGGAGTAGTCGTCGTCGCGGCGGTTGATGTGGAAGTGTTCCCACCAGCGCGGCCTTTGCGGCTCCGTGTCGTGAAAGGCGACGACTGTTTCTGGCATCGTCCTTTCTGTCGACCCGGGAAAGGGACTTGCCATCGGCCAGATCTGCGATGTGTTTCGAAGTTTGACAGAAGATTTGTATAAATGAGTTTTTGCATGGTTCCAAAAATCGCAAATATTCTATCAGCTGCAATGAAACAAACACACATAAGGATGAAGCTCCGGTTAACTGATATTCACTATATTGCTTCCTATAGAATAAAAATTAGTGATAAAAGAGGCGGAGCGAGGCAAAAGAAACATCGACTGTTAAACCCTATAAATAAGCAATAATGTGGCAAAAGTACCGTTGGGACGTCGGATGACAGCGGCGAGGGCTCGACGATTGTTTGATGAGAGACTTTTTTCACTTTTTTGCTCCGCTTCAAATCACGAGATGAAGTTCTGATGAACTTGTTTTTTAGTCTCTTCTTAAGAGGAAAACCTATTGAGGATTCTTTCTGTTTCGTCGGCGTGACATACGCACTCGAGGTAATACTGTGCTGCTTCGCTTGCGTTTTTGGCCACCATTTCTCGCAACTGGATTATTTTGAAGCCCATTTTCTAAAACCAATGATTTGTTTTGAAGAGATGTGAAAGAAAATAGCTTTCAAAAACTAATTTATTAACCTCGGTTCTTTCTTTGACTGAATTTCTATTGCAACGCTTGTGCAGCTCGTTTCTCTTGGCCAAAGCTTCAATTTGAAGCCGGAGAGCCGCTTTCCACTCTCCGTCCATAATAAAAATTTCTTAATAGCTCAATTTTTATTTTGCGAAGAGAAAGTTTTGTTAAACTGCTCACCTTATGAAAATTATTAGCGCAGAACTCTCCACATGATAGTTAGATAAACAAGGCGAAATGAAAGGAAGATTGTAGCGTTGACGTACGTACGCTGTTGCGTTCAGGGCATCTTCGCCGACTTGGAAAACAGGTTTTCTCTAAAACTCTTCTTTCACTTGATCCATAATTTTAAAAATTTTGAAGGAATCGCAGTTATAACCATTGACTTTTCGAGTAAGTCTTCGAAATAAAAAAACTTTAAAGGCCGGTAACTTATTCGATAACTATTTGCATATTGACAGTGGGTTTTTAATCAATATTCTATATATCTGAAAAAGATTATGATTATAAATGTTTATGAAGCATACAGTCTGACTTTTAGAGAGCTCCATGCTGAAACTCTGATAATGTTTCCTTATAATTCACCGAAACGACCAGCTCAACCGATCTGTACGGAGCTCCAGAGCCAACCTTTCATGCCGGCATAAGACAATGGGAAAGTGTGACCCATCGGCCACTACTGTGAGCCCAAAATTTTTAAATTTGTCAGCCTTTTAATTAAAAATTTCTCTTCTTTTACTTTTTTTTTATCATAATCAATTTTTTATTTGTTGCAAAAAATGTAGAAACCTTCAGATGTTGCGTCGAGCAACTATCTCCGCTTGTAATTGTCTATTGAGGCCACCAGAATGTGCCGGTTACAACATACAGACTTCTGGTTTCTTTTTTTATTATTATTTTTTTTAAAAATACTTTTACAGGCGTACATCATCATAAAGAAAGAGATGATCTTCAAAGATTTTTGGGTATTTCGAGATCAAATAAAGCCAAAGCGAATCGCAATACTCACGTAAATGAAAAGATGTTTCGAAGAGTATGCATTTTTTTCATTTAAATTAAAACATTGAATTTTTTAAAGATGCGTGGAAGGAAAACAGTTTTATTAGAACTGCCGGAAGACTCAGACAAATCGAAAATGGATAACATGACGCCAAACGAAATTAGGATCGAACTTTTGAAAAAAGGAGTGAATCCGTACAAAGAAGCACAGCCTCGTGTTTGGAACGAAGCTCAAATTACATTCCAGTCAATGTGTTTGTCTATCTTTCCAAATCTAATTACTTTTGTTCATATTTCCAGATGGAATCGCAGATCCCTACGTTGCTCCCGAAAAGCCGGCTCCTTTTTTTGGAGGTTCTGACATCGTTGACGGCGTCAAGATAAAAGCTGATGAGTTCAAGGTGAACTCAAGATTTTCAATAGAAGTTCAGCCGAAGATTGCAGAACCGACTACAACATAAATTCCATAACTGGAGGAATGGTATAAGTAGGATTCGAAAGAAGCAAGGATTTGAGAAATTTGACGTGAAGGTTTTCAATTTTACTTGAAGAATACATTTAAATTTATTCATTAAACTTCAGACGTTCCCATCGAAAGCTGATGATATCTACGTGAGCGCTCACAAGGCGTTACAATCTCGGGATAAAGCTCTCCTATTAAAGTATATAACTGAATACGCTTTTTGCGGTTTGTTTATTTGATTATTTTTTTCTCGAATAAAAAAATGAGTGTTCAGAAAAATGTGGCCAGATGCGGAAAAACGGGTCGGTTGTGTTCGAAATGATGGAGAGGGTCGAACCTAGCAAAGTACGCTATCAGCAACTTTTAAAATTCATTATCTTATTTCCCATTTTCAGGTAGTAGCCGTCCGATGTTTCGACAACCCTCCCAAAAGCGGCAACGATATCGCGCAGCTGACGGTTCGAATGCATACCCGACAGGTTTTTAGGTTGAAATATATAAACTATCAAGACAAAAGTTTTTAGAAACTCGCCATTTACGACAGGTTTGGGCGGCTACTTCTTGGTTCTGAAAATGAACCCAAAGATGTGAGATTTCCCGACTTTTTCTTTTCCTTTACATATTTATAATTTTGTGCTATGCAGTTTAAACCGCAGCCTTAGTTCATCTACTTTTGCGTACTAAACATTTCTGCAATATTCGTCCTTTTGCCAAGAGTAAGGATTAAGGTAGTGGAATACGTAGTTTTCGAGAACCATATTGCGGTGATCGACGGCGACTGGCGGCTCCATGGAAAGATTTATCCGTCTTGGGTTCCCATAAAACAGCCGGCCATTCAAACTTGCCTCCTTTCCGCTTCAGAAGGTCTTCTTTTTTTTCCTATCCAACATTATCTACTTCGTTTCAGTTGAACAATTGACAACTGTAGCTTCCGATCTGCCTCTTCGAACAGAAGAAATGGAAAAGCAACGAAAGAAAGAGAAGAGCGAGGATGACTGAAGATATAAATATTTTTGATAGGATATAGACTTTATTTTCTAGAGTTTTCTAGAGTTGTTGTCTTTTTTGTTTTGTTTTGCTATTTCCTCATATATCACACTTGATAGTAAAATTTTTGTCCCTTTTTGGATCATTATGAGTTTTAAACGGTTGAATTGCCACATATTTCGGTTGATTCTGCGTCGATTTTTCTTAATTGATGGGTTCAGATGTCTGCTATCACAATCACGAAAAAGGAGCCGGCCAAGACCGACAAGAAGAAAGAGGCCGACGATGAAGAGTTCGAGGAGTTCCCCGTTCAGGTAAATGTGTCGATCATGTTACGAAAGATCGGTATTTCCAGGAGTGGACCGAGCGCGGTCAGGATATGGACGACGAGGAAGTCAACGTCTGGGAGGACAACTGGGACGATGAAACTCACGAGAGCGAGTTCTCGAAACAGTTGAAGTTCGTGTCTAACAAAGAAAATTTCTTCTTGATGTTGTTTAAAGATTGAACTGTTTTCGTAAAGCGAAAGAAATTTCTTGGAAAAATCAAGCATTTTATTCATCGAAAAGTTTTTTTTTTCAGCGTTAAATTTTCATTGTTTCCTTTTTCAGAGAAGAGCTCGCCAAAAACGGTCACAAGGTCCAGTGAAGATTTTCGCGGTATATCGGAAGACGATGTGAATTTCTTATCAATTTTACGATTATTATTTATTTCTCTGATTCGATATTGAATAAACTCTTCACAAGCTCTATTCGATAACAAAAAAGTTGAAAACTACAAAGATTACTTTGGCGTTTTTCGGATTTATAGGGAAACGCTGTTTTCAAGACATGATAAGATGTCTGTGGCTCAAATCACGCAGCATCTCTCCCAGTGTCAGGTTCTCCAGTTCCTCCGAGGTTTTTCATATATCTCGGGACTTTCGTCATAAAACCAACTCTGATTTCATTTCCTAACCAAAAAGAACCTTGTCTTCCGTTCAGAATGTCGGAGTCAACCGCATCCGGAACATCGGAATCGTCGCCCACGTTGACGCGGGCAAAACGACAGTCACCGAACAATTGCTCTACCTGACAGGCACGACGAAATCTGTCGGCGAAGTCGATTCTGGCAGCACTGTGACTGATTTCCTCGACATGGAGCGAGAGCGGGGTCCGAATCATAGTCAAATTAACTTTTTTTAAAATTTATATCAAAACCTACTTGCCTTCGGAATCACTGGATGACTATTTGAAAAAAAATAAATTCATTATTGACAAGTTTCACATATTTAAACTTGGTAAGAAGAGCTGAACTTCGGAAAAAGTCTCATTCAGGAATCACGATCCAATCGGCGGCAGTGACCTTCAACTGGATGCAGCACCGCATCAACCTCATAGATACTCCCGGCCACGTCGATTTCACAGGTTCCAGCAGGAGAATCTGAGATCCGAAGAACGTATTGTAGTTTAGTGGAGGTGGAACGTTGTCTGCGAGTCCTCGACGGCATCGTCACAGTTTTGGACGGATCCGCCGGTGTTCAGGTGACGCGGTAGGGATTTTGGAGGGGAAGAAACTCTTCAGGCACAAACTTTGACGGTCTGGAAGCAGGCCCAGCGCTTCGGCCTTCCTGCAATTTTTTTCGTCAACAAACTCGATAAGAAAGGCGCCGATTTCAAAAAAACCGTTGACGATGTCAAGCAGAAACTCGGCGTCGAAGGTTGGTATTGAAAAGTTCTAGAAGCAGCCAAGATTTGATTTCATTAAAGTTAAAAACTATAATTCCGTATATATATAGATTTATATATATCTGAGTGTTTCAAGTTTTTTAATTTCTTGAAATTTAAATGTGGCCGATTCACAGCAAGATCGCTATCATTATTGAGTTCAGCCCTGTGTACGGTTATCCCGAAGGCCGATTTCTCTGGAATTATCGATCTGATCAGCGGATCTCAACTCTCTTTCAATGCTGGCCGCAATGCAGAGTGGCAAGAAATCAAGGCTTCACGGGTGTTAGGAGATCCTTTAAAGACGTTTTCTGCAGGAGAAAACTCACGACTTCGACCAGCTTCTAGCCCAGCGCAGCGATCTCTGTCTGGAGGTCGCCGGCCAACATGAAGGCTTCATGGAACATTTCCTGGAGGAGTGCTCCGGCCAAGTCGATCGCGTCGATTCTTCCGCTCTGCTCCGAGGCTGGTTTTATTGTCAAATCTAAGATCAAACAGTTGATCATCCAACTTTTATTTTCCATTTTTCCTTTCCGAAAGAAGCCTTGTGGAGCGAGAAATCTGTGTTCTACTAAAAATAGAGAAAAGCATGATCTTTATGCGTAATAAGTGTATTTTTTCCGCTGTTTTCCGGTTAAGAATTCTGTTTGAGTGTCGCTATTTCAGCCGCAATCTACGAAACGACTTTTCCAGAATTACTCTGTAAACGTGATTTGACTCGAAACCTTTATTTTTTCTCATTTTCTTGAAATCAAGGCTCCAGTTCTGAGCGACGAGTTCAGCGATCAGGGAAGTGACCCTCGGAGGGAAGGCAGCGACGGTGACGTGCGGCAGTGTCCTCAAGTCTACTAGCTGCGCCAGGCCGATCCTCGATCACGTCGTCAATTTTTTGCCAGCTCCGAACGAAAGGAGCGCCCAACTCGGCCATCTGTTTGGAGACGAGCTCGCCGGCTTCGTTTTCAAAGTACTCAGGGCGTTGTTTGGATTCGATAGGAATCTGTTTAGGTGACTCACGACAAACGTCGAGGACACCTTTGTTACGTCAGAGTCTACAATGGAACTTTGAAGAACAATTCCAGCGTTTTCAACTCGAATCAATTTCGCATGGAGGGACCTCTGAAGGTTTTTTTGGAGTAGACTCACGGAAGCGGAACGTGTTAGGAGAAGTTCGAAAATTCCTGTTCTTAAATCGATTCAACAAGAAAGAATTCGATTTCACTTTTTGAAAAGCTTTAAAATTCGGTCAAAATTCTTTGTGATGTGCTTTGATTATTATCCTGACGGTCACAATCTTCACTACTAACTGTTTTTCTTGAAACGGAACGGAACGCCTTGAAGTTATAGTACATCCCACATGGTTCAAGAAAGTGTATTTTGGGAAACAGTAACTTCTTCATGCATATTTGCGCATCAAACAGTCGTTTTTCAAGGTATTTGTTCCTTATGCGGATGAGCTGCGTCAGGCGAAAGAAGTTGGGGCTGGGAACATAGCGGTTGTCGCAGGACTGTCGCACTCGGTCACTGGAGATTCTCTCCTGGCAAAGTGAACATCTTTCAAAAATTCCAAAACTCGACTTTTCAGCCAGGCTGTCGCTACTTCTGTGAACGAAAAACTGCACACCGAACTGAAACAGAGCCACGAAGGACCGGATAATCACAGAAAATCTGCTCATGACGTGGTCAGTCGCTTCTATTTGTAAGATGGTCTCAGTTTTTCTTCATAAGTCCCGAAATGTGTTTTCAGTACCCCAACGATTCTACTGGTTCCTCTAAGAATAGAAGTGACTCGAAAAAGGCCGCTATAGGATTGCAGCCGAGAGAAGACGGCGAAGGGAAAACTGTCGTTTTTTCTGGTTCGTCTTTCATTCATCCATTTTTGAACTTTTGTGAAAATTTAAGGAATCGAAATACCCGACTCTGTTTACTTTTGTTGCGTCGAACCGCCGTCGACGAAGAGCTTACACGAGTTTGAAAGCGCTTTGGAAGAAATTGCTAAAGAAGTAAGTCATATTTCAAAATTGATGAAAATTTTCTGTAAGACAGGGCCAAAAGATATGCATGATTTTTTTTTGTCAGAAGAGGTTGATGTCGCGCTCAAAGCTTATTTGAAGCGCGCAAGGAATTAAACCAAGGGTTTTCTCTAGCGGCTAAGTGTCCTCGAGAGATTTTTTCAATCTAATTCACCGCGTTTCCTCAATTTTCTAAGAATAGCTTTGAACGCAGCATCAAATAGAATTCGCGAAAAAGTTGAAAGTATGTTTTTTTTTTAATCTTTCGTCCATTTGTGAGAATTTGAGACTTTTCCAAATTCTAATCGGACGCCAACTTTGAGACCATTACTTACTTTACTTTGATACTTTGATGGTCCATCTTCGCTGATGTTCTCAGCGTGGACCACACGTTCTCCAGGCGGCTCGGTCTTGCGCGACGGTCATCCAGTGGCGGCCTGGCTGACTGATGTTCTTGCGGAAGTAGTCCGTCCATCTGGTCGGTGGGCGCCCGAGTGGGCGCTTGATGTTTCTCGGAATCCAGTGTGTTAATCTCGTGGACCAGCGGTCGTCTTGTCTGCGGATGACGTGGCCGCCCCAGCGATGTTTCCCGCGTTGTATGTGCTCTTCTAGATCCCGGATTTGGGATAGTTGACGGAGGTCTGTGCTCCTCTGTTCTTTTTTCCACTGCTCGAAGCGAGTGGTGCCGATGAGAGCACGTTCCAGTGCGCGGTAGGAAGTTCGTAGGGCGGTTGCATTTTTCTTCGTGTCAGGCCAAACTTCGGTACCGTAGGAGATGGCAGGGATTATCGACGCTTCGAAGATGTGAGCTCGCAGTTTCGGGTCTTTCAGCTGACTGGTGACTTATTTGATGGAGTTGAAGGCGGCCCATCCAGCGCGTTTGCGTCTGCCGATCTCTGCTTGCAGGTCGTTCACCATGTTTACTTCCCGGCCAAGGTAGATGTAGGATGTGACCTCCTGAAGGTCGCGGCCCTCAAGGGTGACTTTGCCTTGGTCGCAGAAGCGGTTCTTCATCCACTGCGTCTTCTTGACGTTCATCTTAAGGCCGAGACCATTATCAGCTTTATGTCAAAAGCTTTCAGAGGATTTCTTGGAGTTTTATTTCTCTCTCGAATCCCTGAAGAATCGTGGCTTTTTCATTAATCAGACCGGTTTCACGTTTCGAAACTGTTTTCCGTCGTTGGAAAAGCAGAAATTGGGCGCCTTTCCAAAAAACAGCCCAATGACGTTTGAGGTGGACACTCAAACTTTCGCTTTCATGATTTGTTGCGGCCAACACAAAAAGCCCTTTGTCACTTTGGGCAAATCGTAGAAACAATGGCAGAATTTCGAAGTGGCGGGTCACCTCAATCGCATATAAAGTACGGTTCATCTGATTTTCACAATTATATTAACTATGCGACTTTTCCTTTTTTCTTCCTTTTTGATGGTCTCCGCGTGCTTTGCTCAGTGGGGTGAGTTGAGTTGGAAACACCTTAGAATAACTCCTATTAGAGATCACAAAAAAATTTGAAAATTAATCAAAAATGAGCTAAAGGAAGTAGAGACAGCACCGGTTGAGATTCGTGCTATATGAGAACGACGTCATGGATCTCATAGATTTTGAGGAATTCGCCATGCTTGTATTCTCCCAACATTGGCGGTTTTTATTCTGTAGGCATTGAAGAAAACTCGAAGAAGAAAATTTTGAACTAGAAACCTATTTAAATATTTTCAATTTTTTAAAACAAAGGAGATACACTAAATTCACTTATTCTTTGTAGAAATTTCAAAATTTTGGTTTGTTTGCGACTTCGAACGGCCTGACTTATCTGCGCTATGCCGTGTTCAAAGTGATTACCGCGAAATGAAAGTTTATCTCTGATTCTCGAAAATTTCCTTATTTTTTTTCCACTCGCATTTTTAGCTTAGCGGAAATACTTTGAAAACGGCGTTATGACGCAACTTTTACGATGCCGATGAGAGAAAAGAGGTTTCAAACAAGCGAGACCCTCACAGCTATTCGCGAATTAGGGATACTACTACTTTCTGCGACTAAGACGTCCAAAAAAAACCCAAAAATCTCTCAAATCGAAGACGGTGTTTAGACTCGCCTTATGGCATGATGGGCGGAGGATCTCCTTATGGACCAGGATCAGTTTACGGACCTTACGGGCCTTATGGAGGTCCTATGCCACCACCTGGAATGATGTCACCCTATGGACCGCCGATGATGGGAGGACGAAGGATGGCACGGCTTCAGGCCATGCAGATGATGATGGGACCGCAGGAAGGCGTCGGCGGCGGAAACTTTGCTCAGAACATGCTCAAAGGAGCCATGATGGGTGCGATGCTCGGCGCCTTCGAAGGATGATCTCCTTCCTTTTCTGTACTTTGTTCTCCTTCACGGGTTGTGTATGATAATGAAGACTTCATCGATTTGTTCATTTACCGAAAAATAGAGATAAGATAAAGCCGACAATGAAAAGCTCAAGAAGAAGGGTCGAGAAAGAAAAATATAGAGAATGTGTTCAGTTTACAACTAAATTTCTCAAGGGATCTTCTGCTAAGCTTTATAACTGAAAAAAACTATGAGAGGACGATCAGAAATGTTTCTAAACGAAGTTTCAAAGTTTCAAAGTTTCAAATATAGAAACATTCAAAAGATTTTTCGAATTTTTAGGATCCTTCGTTGAAAGTCAGGAAAGACAAGGAAACGGGTCAAACCATCTTGGAAACGCAAGGGGAACTACATTTGGAGGTTTTTTTGATAATTAGATTTGGAATAAATTCCTTTCAGGTTATCAAAGACCGACTCGTGCGAGGCTACGGACTCAACGTGTTCATGGGATCTTTGATGGTTAATAAAATTGGGAAAAATGTTTAAAAACTTGAAATTTTTGTCGAGAGGAGTATATATCCTATTATTATCAATAGGCTTCGAGAAATGAATAGGAATTTTGAACGCCTATCCTTTTGAGAGTTATAAGTTTGGCTACAGCAAGATGTTCAAAGTTTAGATAAAAAAACAAATTGATAAAAATAAAGCCATTCAAAACTTGTTATTTTGAAATGTTTTCGATTCCTGCTGTCCTTCAAGAATCAGTTAATGGAGTTCAGGTCGCCTACCGAGAAGTTTTGTCGGAGTCAATCGAGAATACGGCAAAAGTTGAAGAAAAATTGAGCGAAAAGGGGCGTCCGCAGTCCGCCAGCGTCTCGTTACGCGTTGAACCTTCGCCTCAATCTTCAAAATTCAAAAAAGTTCTTTCAATCTCCGGGTATGAAAAGAATATGTTTGAGTTGAGGTGAAAGTAGATATTGACACTTCGACGCCTCCGATACGACAAGACTGGCTCAAGGCGATCAACGAAGGCTGTCGAAATGCTCTTCACAACGGTCCCTTGGCCGGATTTCCCGTACATGTAAGTTGGTGTGGGACTTGCAAACTCGCCGCTGACCGAAACGCTTGAAATATTGAAACTCCCAATCTTCTCGCCCCTTAAAGTTGTTAATAATATTTTTTAAATTTGTGTTTCGCATAGTTGAAGACAATAGAGGTGCAATATATGCCCGTTCTTTGAGTGCGTAATAATTTCATCGCTTGAGAGAAAAGGATTCGGTTTTTTTTTTTGAGAAAACTTAGGTTATTTCTGTTTCCAGGGTATCGAAATCACTTTGACGAGTTTTGCAGTCAGTGGAGGTCGCATCAACCCAGCATTATGTAAGAATTCAAACATTTATGACCTCTTATCTGAAAGAAAAACATTCAGTGTCGGCTTGTGCAAATAAATGTCTTTCTGAAGCGTTGCAAAAGGGCGAAACTGTCCTCGTGGAGCCCATCATGCGAGTGGAAGTATGCCCTTCGTAGTGAAGAAATGCGAAAAAACGTTGAAAATAGGTGACAGTGGGTAGAGGACAGAGTACTCAACCGATAGTCCAGGAGCTGACCCGCCGACGGACTCTTTTCGAGTCGTGCGACTGGAGCGAAGGTAGTTCACGTCTTCTTTCCCGACCACTTCTGATTCAGAAGAAACGACGTCGGTCGTCGGACTTCTTCCCCTCGCCGAAATGGAAGGTCTGTCACGTGCTATCCGCACGTTGACCTCTGGCTATGGATCTTTGAATGTTTCGGTAAGATTTCAAGGTCTTAACAATACACTGATTCTGAGAACAGGTGAGCGACTACCAGATCGTTTCCGATTCAGAAAAAGACGCTATTCTTAAGCGGATGCGTGGAACTTAACTTCAAAATTAGGCAGAAATCATAGTGAATATTTTGTTATGTTTTTCTTTTGTTATCAATTTGACACTTGTAAATAAAGAAAGCGTTTATTTAACCTCCTGTTTTTCATTTTTAGAAATTGAAAAAGGAGCGAAAGCTATAAAGTCATACCCATACAAGGACGAGGCTGCAGATTAGAAAATTTCTTTGTCGAAAGTGAATAGAGTATAGCTGTGTGACTCAGATCGAAAAAAATGGGTAAATGTGAATAACATAGTAATGTACTCAAATTTTAGTGCTTCTAGTAAGTGAAATACAAATATGGAGCAATTTCTGATATACTTTTTGAAGAAAGTTCGATAATTTTCTTTCTGGCACTGGGCTTGAAAAAAAGAGCAGAAATCAAAAAAAAAAAAAGAACAGAAGCGATTTCTAAAATGTTAGTGTAACACAAGTAGGTAGAAACAGAAGCTAAGCTCTAACCGGCACGCTCTTCGGCAGGGATCTCGGCCAACTCATTAACCTCAGCAATTTCTTCGTCTTTCTCGAACATCCGTGACAGCGTCTTTTCGACGACGTCGCGCTTAGTCGGTCGATGAATCCGCGCGCCGTACTGACACTTGTCGTCTTTGTCCAGTGGGTACAGTTCCACGTCTAGAACCGTGCAGACTTGGATCACCTGAATAGTTTTTTTTATTGTTTCGAAGAAAATGAAAATGGTGGAAAGGTTTGATTCGAAAGCAAGGGACGTAATTTCACTTTCTAGGGAACTACTCGGACTCGGGTACGCGTTTAGATTTGAAACTTTGGTGGCTTATAGACCAGCGTAAGAGTACTTACACGGGAAGTGAGAAAGGTCGAGGTATTGGAATTTAATGAAACTTGGTATATTGGTACTTCCGAACAGCCTGAATCCAAAGCCGTTGAAAAAAAGTGCGCCTTTTTGGTTTTAGTCGAGTTAGGGCGCCTCAAAGTTTGTACGTGAAAAATGCATTGGAAGGGAGGAGGGAATCTGTTGCGGCGGCTAACTCTAGCTGCCAGCTGGCGGCGTGGTGTAGTGGCTAGAGGCCTTGCGCTGTGAAACCTATGATGCAGGTTCGGACCTTTTTTGGTGAAATTTTTTTTTGCCATGAAGTTTTTCGAAAAAATTGATGAATTTTTGAAGATGGAACGAAAAATACTGTTCAAAGTGTTGAAATTCACTATTTTATGTCGTTTTGAGAAAGACTTTCAACAAAAAAAAATTTTTTTAGTCTTTTTTTGTCCTTCTCTGTGCAGGAAATTTGGGCGTCGAGATTAATCTTGCGAGAGTTCATAGGTTTGTGATATAAATAACAACTTATTGTAGTTCTATGCTTCTATTCTTATTCATCAAACGATTTTTTTCTTCAAAGATGGCGGTTAGTTAACCCTTTTTCCTTGTCTTTTTTTCATTCCCAGCCTCGCCATATCATCTCGATTGTGAAAAATAAAGTGAAGCTGGACTTTGATACACATTTTTACACACACAACGTCATAAAGGAAGAAAAAGAAGAATAAATCTCATAAAAACTTTTGATTTTATTGGTTCATCAGAAATTTTTTTGAAGGAATGGGTCGACCATAAGCCTTATGGTTAGGCAAGGAAAAATGGAGCAAAAAAATTTTTTGTCGAAATTCTTCTTAAGATGGGCGTAAAATGGTGAATTTCAAAAATTTTGTGCTGTTCTTTCACTCCATCATCAAAAACTTCCTTATTTTTTTCAAATAAAAAAATTGGCAAAAAAATAAAAATTTCACCAAAAAGGGACCGAACCTGCATCATAGGTTTCACAGCGCAAAGCCGCTAGCCACTACACCACGCCGCCTGCTGGCAGCTAGAGTTAGCCGCCGCAACACGTTCCCTCCTCCCTTCCAATGCAATTTTTGCGTGCAAACTTTGAAGCGCCCTAACTCGACTAAAACCAAAAAGGCGCACTTTTTTTCAACTTTTTTGGATTCAGGGTGTTCGGAAGTACCTATATACCAAGTTTCATTAAATTCCAATACCTCGACCTTTCGCACTTCCCGTGTTAGAAACAAGAGATTATCTGCTAAACCCCATAGGCTTCTGAGAAAAAGCTTTTTGAAAATGAACAATTTAGGCTTGAAAATTATCAAGTATTTGCTTTCCTCCTTTTGGCTGGAAAAAAGTTTATTAGAGCTTATCATAGCCGGATCATTCAAGGCGATTGTATTAAAATATAAAACAAGGTAAAAAGCCGTATTCTGAAAACTTTCAGGCCTAATTTTCACATTTTCTACTAATTTTTTCTCAGTTCTCCATCGGGTTTAGCAGATATTCTCTCTTGTTTTCAAGTATTCTGACTTGGATCTATAAACCCCTAAAGTTTCAACTCGAAACCCGTACCCGAGTCCGAGTAGTTCCCTAGTCAGCTCTGTCGTGTTTTTTGAAATTTTTCTGGAATACTTTTCGATTTGAGGTAAGCCTTTCAGAGCTGCACAACTTCCTGGTAAATAGACGCTCCGAAATGGAAAAAAGCGAAATAACTGAGAATTTCCCGTTTGATATCTCGGAAAACATTCTAACAAAATAAAAGCCACTGAACCTGTTTGAACGGCTCGCGATTGCCTTCTTCGGCGTCGGGATCAAAGCCCCACGTCAGAGTCAAAGTTCCATCGCGTCTGTTGTACTGATCAGCAGCTATTTTAAGCTTCTGGAATTCCTCTGATGTTATTAGCGGGAAATTATTTGGAGTTTACATCGCAATAGACGCGTTTGACTACGCCATACTGCACGACCAAAACAGAAAAAGCCCTGTCAAGAACTTGCAAAACGACGCCTTTCGAATTGATCCGCCCACAAACCTATGAAAAAAGTTTCTCTTTACTCTGCGAAAAAATAATGCAAGACTAACGTTGACAAATAGTCCAAAAAAGACTTCATCACTTTGTTCGCTCGCCGTTTTCGACGCCAATTTGCGCTCGTTGCAGTGTTTTGCCTGTAGTTACTATTGTTGCTTAAGCTTAAAATCCAGAGTATAGATTTATTTCAGAAAAAAATTTTAAGCATACTACTAAGAAATCAATTATTTTTTTCGTGGATGATGATGATGATATGAGAATGAGAACAAATTTTGAAAACATCATTCAACGAAATTAAGAAAAACTCTGCATTGAATTTCTTAATTTTTTGCACAATTCACAAAACCCTAAAAAACAGCTCTGCTTAAACCTGCCAATGCAGCTTTCTATCCTGATTGTTCATTACGTCTATCTTAGGTATTCTAAAAACTGAAAACTGACAATCGAATCCAACTCATCGGGTGTCCGATCGATAGCCGTTCCATAGCCCAGCGCCATAGCCAACTGTCGATGAACTACCATATCGGGATATCGTCGGATAGGCGACGTGAAATGCGTGTAGCTTCAAATTCCGAATTAAAAGAAACTCTCTTTTTTTTTTAGCCTCACAAGGGAACGTTGAGCGCGTAATGACGATAATCCGATGGACTCTCGACTGAAGAAATGCAGAAGTACAAGGCCATTTGCATTGGTTTGATCGTTATTGAAGAGAGAACCTTAAAGTGGAGATGTCCAAAACGAAATTTTTGATCCCTAACTAACAGCTTTTCCCAAGCTTGTGAATCAATTACTTAATCATTAGTCTTTCAAACAGAATTTATCTTCATAAATAAAATAAAAATTGTAATTATACTCAAAAACTAGAAATTTTCAAAAGAAAAGTGTAGAAGTTCAATCTATAATAGAACCTGTCGAATGCACGTGTGCAGAAGGCTGTTGTTCTGAAACTTTCGAAGGGAGGTGGACAATTCTGCAGAAGAATTGCCATCGAGTGGAAAACCTATTCGAGCGCATGTTTCCAACTGGAAACAAACTTTAAACTGTAAAAAGAGGGAACATTTATTTCTGACCACTTCGCGCATCATTTTTTCTTTGGGCGGGGGGTGACGCCGGAGCATCGCCGTCTGCGGAAACTTGGTGCCGATAAACTTGGCGACAGACATGTTGGCCAGCAACATGTACTCCTCGACCAGTTTGTTTGATCCTTGGATCTGCAACCGAATTCCTATTACACATCAAAATAAACATTCAATGAAACAAAAAAATTTATTAGAGAAACAAACAGAAGGAAAAACTTTGACCGTGATGATACTTTTAACTCACAAAAACCCTGCGGCAATAATAATTTTGTCGTTTGAGATAAAAGCTTGTAAGCATCCCTTCTCCTGATAAGAATTCTATTATTTTATATTTGTATTTTCGAGAAAAATTTTCAAAAGAAACCGGCATTGTTCAGTTGACAAGAGGCATTTAAAAAATCTCTTTTACAAACTCCGTTCGATTCCAAAAATGAAGACCTTGTAAACGGAAACGCCCAGAGGTTGTTTCGTGACGGGGTCAATGGAAAACTTGAGTTTTGGCTGTTCGATTCGCAGAGCTCCGTTCGTTTCGCGGTTTCTGCGCAGCACTTGCGCGACTCTATTCAATTGCAAAACCTGAGAAATCGTTGAACTTGAAACGTCGTTCACAAACAGCTTGCCTTTTCCTTGATATGAAAAACAGAGGTTCCATCAGAAATCGGCGGTAGTTCTTCTTCTTCAAAATCTTTCTCAGGGTTGTCAATGAAATCCTGAGAGAATTATAACGAAACGATTGTAAAGACAATGTTTACCTGTGCGTGTTCATAAGACAACTTCACTCTGGAGCGAATAACTGTTCTTCCAAACCATTCATCGACAATCTTAAAACTTTTCGCAAATTTTCAAGTATTACAAGGAATACAAAAAGGTTCTGAGACTAAAAATTGATGTGAAAGCTGTACCTCCGCTTTATCATTCATTTTCCAAACGACCGAAAACGTGAGCCGATCGACTCCAGGGTTCAAACTGCACAATTGTTCACTCAATATACGCGGCAGCATTGGAATTACCTTCAAACAAGCTTCGATTAATTAAAACCTGGAAACTGTCTCTAACCGAAGTGACGAGATAGGTACTGTTGGCCCGGCTCTGAGCCCACTGGTCCAAAACAGAAGTATCTTCGACAAAAAAGGTCACATCCGCAATGTGGACGCCGATCTATAGAATGCGACCGTTTTTCACCATCTCAGGGATCGGCCCACCTCCCAGCCAGGAGTTCCTCGGCCGTCAATGTCGTCCAAAGGTTTGATCGAAAGTGCATCATCGAGGTCTCTAGCCGTTTTTGGATCGATTGTGAAAACGATTTCTTCGCGAAAATCTCGTCGGTACTCAAACTCTTTCTGCAGGAAAAAATGCTCAAAATGGAACAAAAAAGATTTTTTGAGTTGACAAAAGAAAGAATTCGCTCAAATTGATACCCGGATTTAGGCAATGATGGGTGTTCTGTTTGCAACACGCCATGGCTGTATGCAAGTTTTTCCGGCTATTTCTCATTCATTAAATTGAAAATGACTGTCAAAATAGCGAACAAGGTTAATTTGAACAAAAAAATACGAGTTTATCCTTAAAAAAAGAACGATTTTTTTTTTAATTTGGTAATTTTTTTAGACTTGCTGGGATCAAAAGTAACTTTTTCAGACTAAAATTCTATTTTTGATTGTTCCAACTGTGTTTTTTTTTTGCAATTTAACATACATTTTCACGCAAAAAAGTCTTTTTCAACAAAGATACAGCTCAAAAACGGTTAGACGAGAATTTCAATCTACAACCTTTTTCATGCTTGCTTTTATCGAACTCACCTAAACGGTGTGTACAACTACCTTGAATCGTACCATTTCTTTTTTTTTTCAAAATATCGATTATTTAACCTAATTTTCCCTCGTATAAGTTAATTTTTCGACTTTTAAAAAATTGAACCTCAGGAATGGACCACTGATCTGCCGAGGTGATGGGAAGGCAGGCGAGAGTTTCTTCGGAGAATTCTCTCGTATCGATTTCGTTCGATTGAAGAATTGCCTCAGTTTCAGCCTGGAATCTTTTCGATTAAGCTTGATCTGAAGTCTTCGAAACCTCGATTTCGCCCCTCTCGCCGAGATTCTTCTCCAGACTTCCAATGGCATAAATGCTGTCGCTGTACCATTCTTTTATGTTTGCCATGTAGATGAACTTGGCAAAATCCTATAATACGTTTTTTTTTCCGTTAGAATAGAATAGAAAGAAGCTAGGAGAGGACCTTGGGCCTGGTGAAGAATTCCTTGTCGACTTCGACGTGCGGAATCAGAATTCTTGGCACCCGGCCGTCGTTTGGAACGAAGTAGGCGAACTCTTTGCTGTCGCTGTTCGGCAGAGGTTGAAGTTTTCCGGCGGCCAGTCGCGGGTGTTTCTTTTCTTTGATATATACAACCTGAATTTTGTTTTTGGAAGGTAAACAACAGGAAAAAAAAACACCTCCGCAGTTATCTGAAGACACTCCGGTGGGACAAGGCAGCAAATGTTTTTGTCCATCTCGAAAATGGCGTCTTTCAGCGTTTTCTTCTGATTTTTTGTGTCTCGAGATACTGAACCCACTGAAAAGAGGTTTCCTTTTTTCATTCCATTATTAATGTAAAAACCGTTTTTATTATAACGAACTTCGGTTTTTGGTGTTGCTGGATTCGCAAGATTCAGATCAATTTCATCGAGCAACTTCTTCAAAAAAGAAAAAATTTAAAAAAATTTCAGTTTAAACTTACATCCAGAATTGTACAATCGCCTTCAGCCCCGGTTTTAAGCTCTTCCTTTGGGGGCTCTGCTATCTTTCCACACTTCTCTGTTTCTTTGGCTACCCATGCTTCATATTCGTTCGGAATCACCTTTAAAAATGGGATAAAAACTGAGGATTACCGGAAAACCAACAATCCACTCGCTTTGAGGCTTTACTCTGACCACGACGACGTCGTTGTTCATCGCTCGGTTTCGGTCTCTGCCTAGGATCAGAATGTCATTGTGCGCAGATCCCAATGGATTATTCAGATAACATTCCTGGTAGTTGCGCGGATTTATCCGAATGACGCCCTGAAGATCATCGATTTAACTAACCTCATTAACTCTTACTAGCCTCTATCAGCAGATTTTTTGCCAGACCATCGCTCACTTCGGCTTCGCTGATATAATCGGCAAAGATTTTTTTCCGTAGAGTTGTACTTTTCTTCTCGGGTCCTGCGTCGCCATTGGCACAACTTTGGAAGTTCTTCTGAGGAGTACTCAGAAACCTGAAAACAATGAACTGAAAACTAACATTTTTTCTTTCAAAAAACCTTTGCTGTCCCTGATATTTCGTGTGAGGCGACATGAAAGGCTGTTTGTTCTTGAGAAATTCCGTGGGAACTATTTGATCGAGTTTAGACTCGTTGATGTTGATTGTCTTTTCTGGAGTCTTATTATCGCTTTCTCGCTGAATATTAGCAGATTGTTCATTTTCTGTTAGAACTATCGCAGCAATAGCAGGCGTCTTCCGTTTCCCTTTCCGACTGCGTTTTTTCTTTGTCGATGTTTTATCCGTTTTTTTATCTTCTGAAGATTCAGCTAGATCATCTGCCTTTGATGCTTGAGGTTTTTCGGTCGCCAACGCAATTTCTACGTCCATTGCGAAAAATCTTAAATCAGTAACAAATGATATAAAAAAATGTTTGATTTAAATGTGACCAAAAATACTTTTGGAAAGAAAAAGTCAGAAATACTGCATAAATTGAAAAACTGATGTGAAGAAATTCCTATACCTCAGAAAGTTTGAGTTCTGCCGAACAAGACTTTTGCAATATTTCGAAATCGTGAATAGATAACAGCTTCCCATGCGATTTGTAAACTCAGCAATCAGAAATTGATGAATTAATCATCAAAAAAATCAAACAAAGTCATATATATTAAATTTAAATTTCAAACTGAAAATGAATTTTTTTAAAAAAATCCCAGTGTGTAAAAAAATAAATAGAAATTCTCACTCTTAAGGGACCTCTCTGATTACTTTGGCGCACCAATGCTGCTAGGCCAAATTTCAAATTTCAAATTTTCTTTTTATTTTCGTTCTGTTGAATGTTCACTTCAATTTTCGAATGAAACATGTTGTAAAATAGAATTTATGATTTCAGAGTTCAGAACAGTTCATGTTTTTTGGAAAAAAATAAATGCTCAGCCCATTGAATCATCTGATTTACGGCGTAGCTCAAAAGCAGCGCCGTAGTCTCAAAGAAGTTTCCACGCTCTTTCTGGTCAATAAAGAAAAACCTCTTCGGAATGTGGAAGGAGAAGCGGTTAGAAATCTGATTGGAATTGAGAGGAATTTTTTTTTCAGTACACAGTGGACGAGTTGCGCTCCTTCCTTCGCGATTCGATGACAAATGAAGGTTTAAAGGAGTTTATACCGGTCGTCGACAACATTTTTGGTGTTTCAATAACTTCAGAGTTTCATGAAAGTTTTTTGTACAGATAGGTTAGCTGTAGGCGATGAGGCTTTGACGTATTTTGCTTTGGTGGCCACTTTGTCTCTGCCGAGGCAGACGTTTGTTGAAAGCATACAAGCTAGATCTATCGCCCAAGGGCTGGTCAGTTGAAATTTTTCTTTTATTAGGTCTTATATTCTGTTCAGATTTTGAATGTCAAGTAGAATGACGTCATTTGAAAACGCTCTGTGGATGGCTCGCTCTCTGATTGGTTTATCGAGTCATTAGGGGGTGGAGCTTCAGCGAGGACTTGAAATTTGAAATCTGACCAGACTATAGTTTCATCCATATAAAAAAATTCTGACTGTCTCAAAATACAGTAATAATACTTTAACTTCTATTTGATTGGTTTATTTATATTTCTTGGGAAAAATCGAAGCTGTCAAACACACATCGACGGTGAACTTCTTATTTAAGTACTCACACCAAGATCCCACAAAAATTGGTGGTGTTAAAAAAAAAAGCCAGCGAATTTTCTAACGGCGACTTTTCCGTTTTTTTCATATCGGTAGGGAGCTTTCCGACGGAGAAGTTTCTGATGAATTCCTTTCCGGTGTTTACCCTTATTTTTTTTCGGTTTATAAAGCATCTATTAACACTTTTTCCCATAGTTCTTTGTGTTTTAATCATGAATCAACTACCTACTTCATACAGGAAGATTCAAAACAAAGAGTTTATAGAGAAAAAAAAAGTCGGGGAAGGATTAGCCGGAAAGCTTCCTAGCGGTATGAAAAAAACCGCTCGAAAAATTCGCTAATATTGTGTCACACACCGGCAAAAAAATATGAATGTATTTAATCAAAAAAATTTTTTTTCTGATAAGCATACCAAATCTAATCGGATTCTTACAAATTTAGTATTTTGGCAGATGTCTCTTTTCCGAGACAAATACTCTCCAGTTCTTTACGCCGAGCCCATAACGATTTCCGGCGTTCCTCAGTTGGCCTGGGATATTTCGAGCGTCGTTGAGAAAACTCTGGCTGAGGTCTCGCCGTTGCCTCCCCGTGAGTTACGCTCCCAGAAAAAGGAATTCAGTCCAAAAATGCAGCCTGCGATTTATCGGAAATTCAAGCGATAAATGAACACGGTCTTTTGACCTCCGAGTACGTTGAAACCCTTTCCTGCGAGGCTTTGATGCAAAGCGTTCGAAAAGGTTGGTTTTGGAAAGTCCCTAGCAGTTTCTACGGTTAATATTCAGGGAAACCGTTGAAATATGGTTATTTCAGTTTCGATGACTATTTGGAATCTTTGTCCGAGTTGTTCGGAGGGAAAAGTTCGGATCTTTTTCAGAAAAATGTGAGCTTCTTCTAGAAATTCTTGCCAATTTTTTCATAGATTCTTTTTTTTTTCTCAAGGAAAACGAGGAGTTCCACTTGTTGCCTTGTCGTGTAGGAGACTGGACGATGGCCATGACGTCGGCTGTGCTGGGACAGGAAATCCACATCGCCGGAAAGTTGGTACCTTCTTCAGTAAAAAGCTCGATATTTGATCGTTTTTTCTTTAATTATCAGAATTTGCAAAAAAAAAATGTGTGTCTCAGATTACAAAAAGCCCGTCGACTGTGGCAGAAACAGGAAAATTTACATTCCACCGTTGCCCACCGCTTGTGCTTCGAATTCGTTCTTTCAGAAATACGAATTTTCAGGTGATTATTGTATTTCTAAAGTTTATTCCTGTCCAAAAAAATCTCTTTTTAACTAACTAGGGAGCGTTTGATGAAACTTCGCTGAAGTGTACTTTAGGACCTCCTGATTGCAGAACAAGAAAAAAAAAAATCTCTCGCGAAAGATCTTGTTTTAGAGTTAGGAAACTTCAAAAGCTCAAAATACCGCTTTTTTGTCATATTTTTCGTATTTTGCCGACTTTGAAGCTCCATAACTCGAAAAAGAGAGAGATGGTTCCTGGTAAGTTTTTTTTTTTGAAGTTTGTAGGCCATATAAAAACATTTTTTTTTAAATTTATTTTTTCAGTGAGTTCGGTCCAGTCAAGTATTACGCCTACGATTTCTCGATGTCAACAGCTCCGAAGTTTCTTTTTTTATTCTTTCAATTTTGACGCCACGTTTCAGGGACTTTTATGTCAGAGAAAAATCTAAAATTTTGTACGACTTGGCCAAGTTTCATCTACAACTACTTCAGTCTCTTTTTCAGATCGTGGAGGATCCTTCATTGACGGTGAAAATTCATTTTAAAAGACAAAATAAATCGAATTTTCAGTTAATTTCCCTTCAAGAGATCGCCAGAGTCGCTTCGCTTTCCTCTCTTAATAGGTTTTCGCGGAAGCCGTGGATCAAATTAGATAATTTTTTGATTCGACGTATTTCAAGGTTAATCTTCTCAGTTTTTTTAGATTTGGTATCTTAAATAAAACGGTCACAGCCTAACAGAAAAGGGTTCAACTCGATGAAAATCTCTCAAACTAGCTTTTTTTATCATAAAACTACTACTTTTAGAAATTTCTCAAACATTCAACATCAAATCAATCAAATCAAATAATTTCTTCTGTTGTTTTTTTGTCATATATTAATGCACTAGGCGGTGAACAAGAACTTTGAAAGCTTTAAAGTCATAAAGAACAACCGCCTTTGGCGAACTAGAAGTCCTAGCGTGTAGTCGAAAGAGTATAAAGCATGGTCTTACGGCCCTTTGCCTCGTTCTTCTTCCCATAGTCCATCCATCTTGACGAGCTCAGAATGTAGCGGATAATGTGGCTGGAGCCCGGAGACCGTGCTCTACACTAAGAATAACTGCCGAGATAAACGCGAGACGCTGGCGGTACATTGACGAGCTCGCAAACATCTCGCGTTTTTTCTCGCGCCGGTCTTGCATTTTTCTTGTCGCGAGCTCGCACTTTTCTAGGCGCGAGCTCGCATTTATCTCGAAATTTGAAAATTTCCGAAATGCAAGATAAATGCGAGGTCGCGCCGAGAAAAATGAAAGATCGCGCCTAGAAAAAAGCGAGATGTTGGCGAGTTCGTCAATGTACCGCCACCGACCTCGCGTTTATCTCGTCAGTTATTATTTATTATTCTTTGTGCTAGGTGGAAGCCTCGAAATAAGAGCGACCATTTCGAATGAAGATTTTACACGGAACATCTTCTTTACTTTATCGAGTAAACCCTTTTCTTTCTCTGTAAAAATACATAGAAGCCATAGACCGGCTGGATCCCACCCCTATAACAGTAAATTTTCAATTTTTCGCGCGTAAATTTCTGAGATGGGATCCAGCCGATGAATGATAAAAGCCGGCAGGCCTAGCTTTCACACCTATTTTTGTTTTATCAATTAATTGATTTTTTGTTCTTCAATTATTTCTAATTGTAGCATTGTATCGACGGCTTTGACTTGTTCTGATGCGGACCTTGAAGGATTTTTTATCGAAGAGCCTCAGAATCAGATGAAAAGGGAGTGGGGTCAGTTCTGGCGCACAGTCGACAAAGTGTTCTCTTAAGTGAGTATTTGGCAGAGAATGAGCCCTCTGCGGCTTCCGACCTCTCCCAATATCGGGCCGACTTTGGCTTCCTACGTTTCGGACCTCGTTATCGCCTTCCGTCTGGCCGCCACCGACAATCTCATCCTTCAGATGGGATATACAGCTCCGTCTGAGCAGCTTTCTCTCGTAAGAACTGAAACAAGAACGTCACATTAAAAAATACGTTTTCCTCATGGAGGAGTGTGTCATCGAATTATTATCGTGGATTTGTTATTTATGCTTTGTTGAGATTAGTTATATTTTTCAGTTGGAACTGTTGCCGTACTCTGAAGAACGCCTAGAACCTTATTTAGAAGACGTAGAATACGAAAAAGACCGTAGATATCTGGAAGAATGCATCCAAGTCCAGCTCGAGTTAGTCTCTTTTTCCAGTCATTCATATGCAGTTTTAAGTTTTTCAGTAAGCTGCCCTCTGTCCAAATAATCCACACGATTTGGAAGTCTTTTTTTGAAGAGCTTCGCAAAATGTTCTTTTTCGTTTACCACTTTTTCACCAAGGCCCATCATCATTTTTCACAGGAAGAATGGAGGTCGATTTCGGATTCTCTTCTTTTTGAACTTCTCCGTGTTTAGTAAAAACAAAAAATCGGAGATGAAGCTGAAAGGATGGCTGATTGGCGAGTGCGCATTCGACCGGAAACTCGTCAACGCCATTTCCTTGCGAGATGGTCAGTCCAAAGGCAGAGCTCTGCAAGTCTGAAAAATCTTGATCGAAGCTAGGTTTTGGTTTCGAATTTCCCAGCTAACTAGGGAACTACTCGGACTCGGGTACGGGTTTCGAGTTGAAACTTTGGCGGCTTATAGACCCGGGCAAGAGTACTTGAAAACAAGAGAGAATATCTGCTAAACCCATTAGAGAACTGAGAAAAAATTAGTAGAAAATGTGAAAATTAGGCCTGAAAGTTTTCAGAATACGGCTTTTTACCTTGTTTTATATTTTGATACAATCGCCTTGAATGATCCGGCTATGATAAGCTCTAATAAACTTTTTTCCAGCCAAAAGGAGGAAAGCAAATACTTGATAATTTTCAAGCCTAAATTGTTCATTTTCAAAAAGCTTTTTCTCAGAAGCCTATGGGGTTTAGCAGATAATCTCTCTTGTTTCCAAGTACTCTTACCCGGGTCTATAAGACACCAAAGTTTCAACTCTAAAGGCGTACCCGAGTCCGAGTAGTTGCCTAGTAAGTTACTTGAAAAACTCCAGATTCAAGTTTAAGAAATCGTTTCAATACCAGTTTCTTTTTCTCGATGAAACGCATGTTCTGTCTCAGATTTGTAAAAAAAAAAAATGTGTTTTTGAATTATGTGCATTAAAATAGTCTCCAGAGTTGTTTCCTTCCAAGAATCATTACTGAATATTTCGATTAAGGGTTTTATCGATGAATCGTTCCCAATGTGATTGATTTAGCGAAAACCTGGGTTTCAGATCCAATGTTCGGTGGTTTCCGAGTAATGCTGACGTTGACAAAGACGATGTCAATGTTTATGCGGCGAAGATTCGTTTCTTGTTATTCCTTTGTGAATTCTCTCATGTGTCTTTTCCGTCGATCTCTTCATTCCATTATTGAGGTTAATATCGAAAAAAGGCTTTTTCTTCTGTTTTTTGATTGAAATCAAGGTATAATTCTTATTCGACAAATTTTTCATAAATTTTGAAAAAAAGTTTTCTTTTTTCGAAATGATTGTTTAATGTATCTTGCTGGAGCTAAAACCGCTCTTCAATGAGAGCATATCGGCCAGTTTTGGCCATATTACATTTTCTTTATACACGAAGTTTCTCGGATACTCTTTTCTGAAATCATTTTTTCATTTAAGAAAAAAAACGTCAACGTGTACATTTGGTTTTTATCTGGAACTGGCTCAGCCTTTACTTTAGAAAAGATTCCATTATAGAGATTCATAAGAGATAGCAGGCGAAAAAAAGCGAACTTCTTCTGATCGAGAGCCAGCCGCGCTTCTACCTCCACCACATGTACAGCGTCGTCTTCGCGATCCGCGCCAAGATGATGGGTCTGGTTTCCAGCGCCTGGCACATTTTCGAGGCATTTCCTTCGAGTCGGACTCTTTCCACATCAGCCGATTACAGAAAAAGTTGGCTTCGATTGAAGGCGTCGGATCTCCCCAAAGTCTCAAGGAGGCCTATGTCCATCACAGAGAATTCGTCCGGTCCGTCGATTCCGCTGTCATGTTCACAACTTGCCGCGGGGCAACTGCTCCCATCATCAAAATGGTTTTTTGGCGTTGTCTTTTCCTGTTTTAAAGTGTCTTCCATTGAATATTTTTGTTTTATGGCACTCGAAAGCTTTCATTAAGTTCGTGTAAGACAATCACGGATTGCCAGATGGTGGACAGCACTGTCGACTGTGCAAACGCTTGTGTGAACGACGACGCCATCAGTGCACAAGCCCATTACGACAAGTTTCTGGCCAACTTCCATCTTTTCATCGAGCGTGAGCACATTTTCAGTTTGGACTATGCAATAGTCAGTCAAGATGACGGATAAAATCAGAAATATATAAATCAGTATATTGTCAATTAATTTAATTTTTATTTCAATTAAGCAGTTTTCAATCTTCCTTTTTTTCTCATCTTTTTTTTCTGACTAGGGAACTACTCGGACTCGGGTACGCGTTTCGAGTTGAAACTTTGGTGGCTTATAACCCCGGGCAAGAGTACTTGAAAACAAGAGAGAATATCTGCTAAACCCATTAGAGAACTGAGAAAAAAAATGTAGAAAATGTGTTTATTATAGCCGGATCATTCAAGGCGATTGTATAAAAAAACATAAAAATAAGGTAAAAAAAGCAGTGTTCTGAACATTTTTCAGGCCTAATTTTTTTACATTTTTTTACTAATTTTTTTCTCAGTTCTCTATCGGGTTTAGCAGATATTGTCTATTGTTTTTCAATTATTCTGACTTGGGTCTACAAACCACTAAAGTTTCAACTCGAAACCCGTACCCTGAGTCCGAGTAGCTCCCTAGTGAGCAACACATATTTAGAGCAATGAATGTCAAAAAGAGATATTATCTTTTATTTATATTCTTTTTGAAAATTAACGGATATTCTACAACCCAAGCAAAAATCTACAGAATGTCGAATGGACCGAGACACGTACAAGTTGTACTCTCGATTGGACTTTGAGACAAGTTTTGAGACTCCTGGCGTCTCTCGCGGTACTTCCCAAGCCTCAGTCAACTCTATCCTCAGCCGAGTCTCTTTTTAGTTTTCCTTCATTTTTTTTCAAACTATTTTTGTTATTGAAAACTTTTCACTATTTTTCAAAACTCTAAACATGTTTCATCTCATGAATAATGCATTTATTTTCTCAAATACGGGTTTGCTTCGCTTATATGATGTATTTTTTGCGGTTTTATGATTATTTTCAAATATAGTTTTTGCATTATCATCTTTGTTCAACTGTACGTTTGGTTGATTCCCTTTTTTACATTTTTCGAAACAATCAAATTATTTTTACTTCAATAACCGTTTGAGTGGATCTGAAGTCAGCCCAAGGTTTCATGGAACATTACGTTCCGGCAGCAGAAGAGTTCCTCGAGGCGTCGAATCCATTTCCTGCGCCCTACAATGAAGGAAAAACTATGTTGGTGAACAGAAACACCAAGTTTGGTAATATTCTGCAGGTCGTCAGAGAGTATTTCAAAGTAATCCCAAAGTTTTTGTACTGTTTGCACGCTAAGAAATTGAGGACGATCTCAACCGGTTCGTAGTTTTCAAAAGCGTCGACGGCGCCACCGACAAAGCTATTTCTTGCGTCGAGGTGTTCAAAAATCAAACCAAGGTAATTTTTTTAAGTTGATGATTCATAATTTATAATGTCTTGTAAATACTATGAAGAAATAGTTGAACGAGAAGGTCTAAGATTTGGTAGAGTAATGGAAGTATATTTTAAAGAGGTCATTAACTTTAACTGGAGCTGTTTTTACGACATTAACACCTTGAAAACAAAAAATTGGCTTCATAAATATATGATTCTCAAAACTTGAAGAAATTTCTAAATTTGAGGACCCATTGTACCAGTGGACAAAACTGACGACGGCTAAGAAAATCGTTAACTGGAAATGTCTGACCGACGGCCCCAGAGAGTCCGTTTTTATATTAATTTATCTGTCGAAAAGAAAATTTTATGTAAATTTTAAATGTGATAATGAAATGCTTTCAGTATCCGAGCGACGATTGAATTTCCGACGCTTTTCATAGTGGTTTCACGGGATCCTTTCCCTGGTGACTTCAGTTGTATGAGGTTAGAAGGCCTTCTCTCCTTAAGGAGAGTTACTTTTCAAAATCTATTTTTGTTTGGTTTGTGAGCCGTTTCGTGTTTTGGGTACGTCAAGAAATTCTCGGTGGAATTATTCAATTCAAACTATCAAAAATTATGCGTTTGTACTTGAAGTTGAGCGAGTCATGAGACGCATTGACATGAAAAAATTGCAGTATGCAGTGCTCGATGGACAAAGAAGTGCCTTTCCGCGAGGAAATAAGCGGCGGTCGACCGCCGCGGAAGTCGCAAGGGACGCGAAGTCGCGGCTCGAAGACGCCCAACAAGTGGGGCCGACCGACGATGGAGCAGAGGAAGGAACAAGGGGCCAAGAAGACCGAATTGCTCCGCGAGGTCGACCGCCAAACCGCTCAAGGAAACTGATCCTGGATCCTTCAACACCACTTTCTTGTTTCGTTGTTTCTTGTTGTCTCATTTCCGTTTTAAAGATCGGGTTGTCTGTGTTAATATTTAAATCCACCGATTAAGTTCATTACTTCGTTTTTTTCCTATCAATTTCTTTTTATTTTTCTCATTTCCCTTTGTCTAACCCCGTTATCGATGATTCAGTTTGAAATATTTTACTTCGATTAAAAAATTATAAATATTAAATAAGAGAAATTAAAAATACGACATACTTCACAGATCACGAGTTTCAATTTTTTTGGCGCAAGTGAGGGTACTCGAAATTATTGTCAAAAAAAAAAGAGAAAAATTGTATAGATTAAAAAATTATGACTGGGATCGAAACAACGGAAGATGTTGAATAAAGCGAAAAGACAAGATTGAAAGAAAAAAAACGTGTCGAAAAAAATCACGTGCAGGGTTAAACGTGAAAAAAAAAATGCAAGGAAGAGAATATTGCGCGGTGATATTAACTTGCTTTTTTTTTGTTGTAGTGGTTAACCTATTCTCGTCGAGCCGTTCGCCGTTTTGCGGCTTTGTTTTCTTTCTTCTGTTCCAATTGAGCGACCTGCATATCAAAACTTTCTCTTCCAAGAAGCATTTGAGAACACTACGCTTAAAAAACGCGTCAAAATTGATACGCACTTGTGATAGCAAAAAACTAGTTTAATTAAAATGCATGAGCATCAGTCGGCGTTCTCACCTCTTCGGTTGGTTGGACAGGTTCCTCTTCTGCGGAGAACTTCTCAGCAGTGGAGTCCGAGTCCGAGTCGTCGTCACTTTCACCTTCGTCGTCAACTTCGGAAGAAGCGGTCGACGGTTCGGTGGCAGTGGAAAGACGCGAAGACCGCCGCAGATTCTGTGCTTTCGGTGGCTCATCTCCAGGGATCTCCTCGATGTCGGCGTCTTCTTGAATTTCTTCTCCGATGAGATTCGGAACCTGAATGATCGAACTCCACCGAACATCTCAATAAGAAGCCAACCTCATCATCATCGTAGGCGTAGGCGTCCGTCTTCTTCCTGTCCGAGCTAGACGGCGACGACGACTTGCGGCCGAAGCACAGAACGCCGAGGAAAACTACGGGTATGATGATGGCGAGAAGGTAGACGGCCCACAGCCACGGTCGTTCCTACAAAAGTCAACCGATACAGCTTTTCTTTTTTATCCTCACATTGGCCGCCTCGATAATCTTCTGCACGAAGTTTCCGCCGTCGCCAGTCGCCTTGGCGAACCGCGCCTCTTCAGTCTGCTTGACGGAGAACGTCTGTGTGGCGAGCTCCTTGGCCTGTTCTTCCGATGAGGTAATCAAGAAGTTGTCTGAATCGAGGGAGGTTCATTTTAAATTAGATTCAAACGTGCCGAAGACGATATTCTCGCTCATGGTCCACATCTCGATGCCAACGGCTGTTATGGGCAAGAGGCCGCCCGTCGCGGTCGGTTCGAAAAAGTCCGGATTATCGATGAGCCGCGCTTTCCAAACGCCTTTGTACAACGGATTCGTAATCTTCGGACGAACCCATTTTCCCTAATTTTTTTTTTTGAATTAGAAACTGTTGAAGGCAGTAGCACTGATTTTTCTTTTTCGGCTGACCTTTGAAAGCATGGCATGATGATTGCAATTTTTTCAGAATTTTTCGACGTGCATAATATGAATAATTGGGCGGGGGAAAATATTTTACGCGAAAATAGGTCAGCAAATGGTTAGCTAAGCGTCGATTCAGGGCCTTTTCGAAAGCCTAATCTCTTGTTCTTAAATACCAGATTTCTATCGAGCTCTTAACAAATAAAAACCTCAATTATTGGACAAAACCAAAATATTTTCGAGAGTAATAAAAAAAGTTAATGAAATATTGATAAAAAGTTCTATTAAAAGTTTGAATCGACTATTTCATCTCTTTATTCAAATAAAATACCTTGTACTTGGGGTTAGGAATGGTCGGCGGTTTCCATACTCCGCAGCCACTGAGACCCTTGCAGACAGGGTTATCAATAGATGGCGGCTCCCATTCTCCGTCCATTTCCGAGTCCCAATCCGCTGGCTTCACGGCGTCCGGATCAGGAATCAGTTCCGGCTGAAAACCAGGAGATGGATCTCAACACGAATCTAATGACCTTACCTCCTCCTCAAGCCAATCCGAAGGTTTCGTCGCGGATTCGTCGACCACTTCTCGCGGCTGCTTCTCGTCCCAATCTGCAGGCTTCGTCGCCGTCACGTCTTCGATTTCCGGCCTCTCGTCCCAATCTTCTGGTTTCTTGTCTTTCGGGTCGGAGACTTGTTGAGGCGGTGTCAGCGATGGAACCACGTCCTGAAAGATTGGATAAATTAGAATTCGCGAAAACCTATTTAGTATCCCTTTTTAATCAATAAATGAATAAAAACCAACGTCGTTGAGGATATTTCCGTAGTAAAGAGATTTGCCATCGACGTTCACACCGTACTCGCCGCTCGGCTTGAAAAATCAACGTGTAGAGATGAGTCCGGTGATCGTCCCAATAGCTGGTTCCGACGTTCGTCGGCTGCTTTGCGTGGTATTCCTGTGAAAAAAAAATGAAAATGAATGATAGTTTTGATAAAGTTCCGTTTTTTTTACCCATGGTTTTTTTACTTCCTGCCTTTGGTCTTTCATTATCACTTTCACTTAAAATGAACGCTCAATGTCAGACTTTTATTCATAAAGGGAAAATAGCTATTTTCTAGGTAACTATAGTTTTAATCATTATCCTTTCCAATGATATTCCGTTCAAAACTTTTCAAAACTTTCTTAGAAAGATTAAAAATGGGAAAAATTTAATCTTCGTCCATTTATTTTATCACAAAAAACGCCCTCGTTTCAAAAATATTTACAAGGAGCTATGATTGAGATATAACTTAGTATTATTTACAAACTACAAAATGCTTCAATAATCCAAAATCTATTCAAATATACACTTTTTTTTTTTAAATTTCCTCCATAAAAAGGACATACGTCAATAGAACCGTTTTTTTGGGGTTCTTGTACTTGAAGATGAGGTGGACTTTTTCCAGAAGCGCCGCATTTGTCGGGACCGAACATGATCGTGTATGGAGTTTTGTCTTGGAACGACGCCAAATCCTTCTCCGCTCCTTCCGCCAAGAGCTTCAGATAGCCGCCGCCACATTCTTGCCCTTCTTCGTATTTAACGTCGTATCTGCGATTTATTTTTATCGAAGCAGAAAAAGGCGTTTTCAAGAAGAATGCTTCTAAATTTTCTAAAAAATTTATTTCAAAGTGTAGAAAACGCATTACTTACTGAACAATCAACGGCTCTGATCCGAAAACAAAAGGACGATCGAGTTTGGCCGCGATAGCATGGTGACGTGCCTGAACCACGTTCTTTTGATTTTAGCAGATAGTGAAAAAAAAATTCAATAATGCTCTCATCCAATGTGATGTTTTATATTTTGAGGCGGTAACTACACTAAGAATAACTGACGAGATAAACGCGAGGTCGGTGGCGGTACATTGACGAGCTCGCAAACATCTCGCTTTTTTCTAGGCGCGATCTCGCATTTCTCTCGGCACGACCTCGCATTTTTCTTGGCGCCATCTCGCATTTATCTCGCATTTCGGAAATTTTTAAGTTGCGAGAGAAATGCGAGCTCGCGCCCAGAAAAATGCGAGACCGGTGCGGGAAAAAAAGCGAGATGCTTGCGAGCTTGTCAATGTACCGCCAGTGTCTCGCGTTTATCTCGGCAGTTATTCTTACAAGGGAAGTGTTTTTGGTGGCCGGTTGAACTTTTGTTGAAACTTTGCTGAAAGGTACTATAAGACCTCCTCTTTCCAGAACACGAATAAAATTTCTCGCAATCGATCTCGTTTTCGAGTTATGAAGCTTCAAAGTTTCCACGCTGAACAAGTGCTGCAAGGAAAGAGGGAATGTGGCTCGCGTACAATCCCTCCACTCCAGTTGGCAGCGTGGTATAGTGGCTAGCGTCCTTGCACTGCGGTGTCTCTGACCGGGGTTCGAAACTTTTTGAAGAAATTCGTTTTTGTCAAAACTTTCCTAGGAGGAATTTATCGTCATTGAGGAAATAGACCAAAACTTTCTTTCCAAAAGAACATAGTTTCTCATTTCATTCGTTTTACCAAGACTTTCGACAAACATTTTCCTTCGACCCATGGGCATGATCAATAGATCACTTTCTGCATTTTTTTCAAAAATCTGGAGGAGACTTACTCATCTTGCTGTGGCGTAAGTTTTTATTTGATTCCTTCAAATTTATCAACTGGACTGAAACGCTGATTAAAAGGCATTTTGAACTTTTGGGACCAAAAATATGGACTATTAACCATGTTTATAAGCGGAAGAAAGCTTTTTAATCGGTATACCGAAACAAAATGAAGAAATATGTTGATTCGGAAAAATTTTTTTAATTGATTTTAACAATGTCGATAAATTCCCCCTATGAAAGTTTTGGCAAAAACGAATTTCTTCAAAAAGTTTAGAACCCCGGTCATAGACACCACGGTGCAAGGACGCTAGCCACTATACCACGCCGCCAACTGGAGTAGAGGGATTGTAGGCGAGCCACATTCCCTCTTGACTTGCAGCACTTATTCAGCGTGCAAACTTTGAAGCTTCATAACTCGAAAACGAGATCTATTGCGAGAAATTTTATTCGTGTTCTGGAAAGAGGAGGTCTTATAGTACCTTTCAGCAAAGTTTCAACAAAAGTTCAACCGGCCACCAAAAACACTTCCCTTGTTAGTGTATAAAAAGATCCAATCAAAACTGCCAAATAGATGATTTTTTTCATTAAAACGACCTCAGGCGTAAATTGAGTGAAACTCAATGGTTTTATTTTACTTCTTCTATTAATAAACCTTCGTTTTAACAATGAGTCCAGCATCGCCTTCAATTGTCACATCGCGTGGCTCCGCAATGTCCCATTCACCTTCAAAAAATTTCAATCTCTGGAAAACTACTCTTCGAACCATTATATTTCGCGATGTCGGCATCAACCCCGTCCTTCTTCGCTGTGCTTTTCACCCATTCGCTGCCCAATTTCGAGCCGAGAGGAAAATAGTTGTAAAGATAAGGCTTCGGAGAGTTCCCAATGTGTGGAACCACAAACTTGCTCGGCAAAAACTTTTCCTAAAGTTGAAAAACTTTTATTAATAATAAAAGCAAAAAAATATTTCAAAAGATGATCAAACCTTTACTTCTTCTACGTCATTTTCAGGTTCAACTTCATCAACATTCTCCGATTCGGCCAAAATAGTCTGCACAAGCAGAGCTACGCCTAATACCCATAATAAGCTACTCCCTTTGGAGAGACGGATCATTACCTGCAACTAATAGTATATATAGCCCGTTCACGGCTGGCTTAAGACAGCGAACGGGCGGTTTGATTTTCGCGGCGAAGGGGTAGATCATGGCGACTATAGCCTATTCCGCGCCAGCTTGTCACGTTTTTCTTTCCGCCAAAAAGACCGTATACCAAATTAGATCAATTTTCTGCTTTTATAACGGCAATAAACAAAGGTCTTGAAGCGAAGTTGGTAAAATTTGACCTGGTCTTTTGGCCGAAAGAAAAACGTGACAAGCTGGCGCGGAATGGCCTATACCCATGAACCTTCCATCAAAGCCCCATTTTATGAAAAATTTTTTTCTCTGATTATTCGTTAATTTAAGAAAATCTAAAAACCAATGAAATGAATGTTAACATAAAATAAACTCAATAGAAATAGAAATGATTCACCAAATGAGGCTCTTATTAAAGGTGTATATTTGACCGCCATGATCTACCATCGCCGCAAGTAAAACCGCACGTTCACTGTCCCAAGCCAAGCCAGCCGTGAACGGGCTATATTCAAACAGTATTGAGAGAAACATCTATTCTAAAAAATTTTTTTTGAAAGTCGAATTTCATTCGGAAGAGAGAAGGTTTTCCTGAAAAAAAAGGAGAAATTTTCGGAAATCAATACTCCAAATGCCATAATGTTCAAGTGACCAGTAATTATGAGTGCAGACCTCGATGGGCATCCAAGCGAAAAACGCGCACTATTAAAAATATTCGAATCGAGATTACTGAATGGTTCGAACGATAATTGGGAAGGAAAATTCAATCTTTTCGACCGCCGTCAAAAAATTATGCAAATCCCACGCACAGCGTTTATGGGCTCTGACCGCGAAGGCGGGACCAACCGTGGACCAACGCGTACATTGGAGCCACGTAACTTTCTTTTTTTCATTTACTGTCTTTTTTTGAAATGATGAATCAAAGATTCTTATTTTTTCACAACGTTAACTGCAGTAAAAAAATACCTGCTGAAAAAGTTACACGAAATAAAACTGTAAAATCACATTAATTCATCTTTATTCGTGTTTTTTTTCTTAAATTTTCAAACATATCTTAATATCATCAAATAAATCGAAAATACAAATAAAAGTGAAGTACATAGCTTTAACGATGGCGAGCAATCAAAAACTAGGAAAAACAAGGTTACTATACTAATTAGTAAAAAAAAATAGCAAACTGAGCTCGAAGACAATTGTAGAAATAAAACATTCGAGGGACAACTAGATGAAATTGCCATTAACATTAATAAAGGTCCTAGAAGGAATCGAAAAAAAAATATCGCGAAAAAAAGTCCCGGAAGCTGACCGGAATGGAGAAACGGAACCCCTAAAAACTTGACATCGGGTCCATCGGCAGATCTGCACCGGAGAAAAACTACCAGCCTCAGCTACTTATGCACAACCAGCCAAACAACACTGAGTTCCTTCGAAGATAATTTTCGAAACGCGAAATGACTCAAAAATTCTTGATGATAGGCGTAAATATTTGGATGAAAAGTGACAAGTGAAAAATAATATGCCACCTACTCTCGCTCCAATAGAATAAAAATGAGATAGAAATTTTGAAAAATGCGAGAAATTATTGAAAAATCGCATTCACTAAAGATTAGTTAAAGTTTAGAATCAATATATATTCAAAGAAGCAAAAAAAGCTCTTTTAACTTTTTCTTTATCCGAAAATATCCCTGCTAGACTAAAAGATAAATGAAACCGCCTAATGTAAGTGAGAAATCAATGCAAGGATGTGTATAGGAAATAGAAGATTCGTTCGCAGAGATGCCAAAAATGAGAGTGAAAAGGGAAGTTGAAACTCGAAAAACCCGAAATAGAAAATGAACAAAAGACAATTGTACAAACGATGATTTCACAGATTCGCAGCTTTCTGATGAATAGAGAAATCATATTGACGGCATATAGAAGGAGGTAAGTTATTTTGTGCGAAACCAGGCAATCAATGACGTTGGGCGACATTCGAGCCACACAGGTCGCGGAAGGAAGTTTCCATACATCTGAATAACAAAAATTGCCTAAGAATGCGTACCTGAGTTCGGAATTTTCTTCAGGAAAAATGAAAATTCAAAAGATCATGTTTTAATACTTAAGAAATTCGCTCCTTACACTAATTAAGTTTAGAATTTTACAGAGAGTAAATTTGAGTATTTGAGTCTCCAGGCGCTTCAAAAACACAGAGAAAAAAACAAAACAAAAAAAAACCTTTTCAAGTCGCCATAACTGACAATAATCAAATTCTCGCCATCACGTGAGACCAACTCGATTTTCTCAGAAATTCCCGCATCCAACTGAAAGAGAATCGATGAAAAATGAGAAATATCACAAAAGAAGAACCTTATTCAAACACTGCACGATATGAGCCATATCCAGCCAGGGTTTACCGTTCTCCATGACCTCCAAGGGAATCGAATCATTTTACGCATGAAATCAATGAATTGAAACCTGGTGGAAGACATAATCGCGGAATAGTTTGATCATGAAGCGATCGCCCGTTTCTGACCAATTCTCGTCGCGATTATGCCTATAAACGCTGATAGTAACCTTTAAATGCTGGATTATTCCCAAAAATGTGTTCCAATTTTGTTTTCAAGAAAAACTCACTCATTTCTTTCCAGAATCGTGTTCATTTTGCACAAAACGCGAAACAAACGGCCATTCTCCAGTTCCTGTGTTTAACAGTTTTTTTTAAACATGGTAATTTTCTTTTTTTTAAATGTCGGAGGGTAAGGCAAAAAAAATTTTCTCATTCAGTTTACACAAAAAGTTCTTTTCTAGTTTCCGCTTATGAGAAGCTTTTTCATTTTATTTCACTAATCGAAATGTTTCGCGACGGTCCAACCTTGCTCAACTCGGCTTCTAAATAATCCGTCCGCTGCTGATGGCTTTCCACCTGAAATAGTGAGAACCTTACTGAAGCTTAAACGAATTTTCAAAAATCAATTTCATCAATTACGTGATAATCAACCTGGGAGTAAAATCGGGCGCCGATCATTGGCATAATATCATTAATCGACTTTCTCACACCAGGCGTCGGATTCAACAAGTAACTGAAAAAAGCAAATTCTTCACTTGACTGAAAGCGTCGTTTTCACATTTGATGACCAGAATAAAGGGAAAAAGACTCTTTCACAGTACAATATTCAATTTCGATTCATTCTGAGGCTGACAGAAAACTTGACATATTTCAATTTTTGTGGATCATATAAACTTGAATCTGATTTTTTTTTTCTTTGGAATTTCCTTGTTTCATCACAATTAACTTATTGTATGAAAGGTTTTTTTTGAGAATCTATGAACATTCTTGCAGGTTGTAGTGGGAAAGAAGTACTTGATGAGATTTTTCATGTCGAGACTGTAGTGTCCCTGGACGTAGTTGAGCGACTGTTGCAACAAGTCGCGTCGCGCGCCGAACGCGTTCCCCGTAGCGAGTGCCACCATCAGTCGTCCCAGCGCGTGCAGATCTTCCACCTAACACACTTGTTTCTTTTGAGGGCTTGAGATATACTTCTTCTTCTTCTTTATAAAGTCAGTCATTAGCTGAAAAAAATAATCTTTCTCTTTTTTTTTGAGAAAAATTTTTTTGAATTTGAAAACCACTTTTTTAATAGAAAAATTATTCAAAGAAGTTTGAAAACTTCAAGTTTTATTATGAACAAGTCATTGTAATTACGAGCAGTTTGCTCCGTATAATTCTTATTAGTGTGTTTGAAAAAGCATTAAAAAAATTTGAAGATATCGAGGCATGGAGCCGTTTTTTGCGATATTTTCAATTTTGCAAGATTCTATTAGAGAATATTTTTTAAATTGAACACTCAGTTGTCGATCGACTTCATAATGATTCGGAACCTGTTGCTGAGGAATCGACATGTGGTCTGGACTGACGACATCCGGAACGCCACAGCAAGAAATGAGCAACTGCAAACTTCCGAGTTGGATCAAAAAGGCTGAAACGGTCACTTTTTGTTTTCCATGGATCAAAATTTTGCTGAGATCGATAGTTTTGGCGGCCAGTCCACTGGTGTGAATGGCGCGGAGTGCTGCCGACAGCTGGATTACGTACGACCACAAAGTCATTTCAGAAACACCTGAACAAAACAAATAGGTATGTTTTGAACAAAGAACCTCAATGAAGGTAAGGCCAGAGAATGAAAGACACAACAAACCTGCCCCATTGTGCGGCGCTTGATGATTCGCAACAATCTTAGCACCGCCTGAAAATTTCACAGAAAGTTAAAAGCTCCGAAAAAGTCGGTGGTTGAAAAAAAATAAATAAAATTTGAACGATTGTTTCAATTCGAATATAGATTTCTGGTCAAAGCTAAAACTTTCCAAGAAAGCGAAAAAAAAAACAATATTATTCCAAACTCTCTAGAGAAAATCCAACTTCGTTTCAAAAACACGTTGCAGATTTCGAATCTATTACAGAGTGAGCTGGAAAATATCAAATAGAAATAAAACAAATTCTCTGATGAGCAAACTTGAAAAAAAAAACGAGAATTATGAAGTTGAGGTTTAAAGACGAACAGTTTATTTTTTTTTCAAACAAGAAAAATGAAGAGAAAACGAATTTTTCTTCGGTATTTGACTTTCTCTGAATTACGTTTTACTTCTTCTTCTTCCTATTTTCTTGAATTCTTCACACTAACTGATGCCGTCGAGAAAAGTGCCGCTGCCCTGTCCAAAATGCCGAGCTTTGAGCGATTCTGCCAACGGGTGATAGTCATAAACAAGGAGCAGAGCTGAAATCGATTGGAACAGTCGTTTTGTAGCGAGAAAAAGACGTACACGTGTCGCCGAACTGCCGAGAGTTGGGCAAGAACTCGCGCAGCTGGACGACGTTCACGTGGACGAGCTTCTTCCAGTTCTCCAGAGGTTGGAGTTGCTTCGGAGACTGACAACGGAACCCTGAGGCATCGGAAAGACGTTTTCCCACCCGGAAGGAGTCCTACCGTGGATCCGACGGACGCAATAAGCGACGCCGTCTCGCACAGAACTCGCCTTGTAAGTCGTCTGCGAAAGATGTTGGATCGTCACGTTTTCCAGAGGGACGAAATTGTTCAGATGGTCCACCTAGAATTTGTGCTTAGAAATTCTCACAAATTTCATTTTTCAGGTTCACAGTGTCGGAAAATCAATGAAGGCAAAATATTTTCAGTTTTCTGAATATAGATTTTTAAAGATCTCTTATTTACTAGATGATGATTTTGAAAGCCGGAAGCTTCTTAACCTACACATTCATCAAGATTCAAGTCTTGAAAGAATTTTCTCCGCACAAGTAAGTCGTTTATTTTCGAGATATTTGCTCAGACAAAAATACTTTTCTTATGTACATTACAATCAAAATGAACTTTCGAAATTAAAAACTTTTAGCAACTTTTTTCGGCGCCCGCTTTTTCGAAATTTCCATTTTTAAAAAAATCCAACCAAGGACCTCGCGAATTCAGTAAAACAGTTCAATTTTTGATGAAGCAGAAAATGTTCTTTTTTTTCCAAATTTTCATCAAAACTATTCAAATGAACTTGTGTTGGGAGATCTGGATAAACGACAGGATCGGCGCGTGCATCGATCGCCAGTTGCCGATTGATGAGTTCCTCAAAATACAAACGTACAAATGGAGAAGAAATGGACACAAGTACCAGTTTCAAATCGGGATTAATGAACTGTGCCTGATTATTGCCCAACGCTCCTTTTGGCCTGAATTTGCCAATGTGAGGCAACGGCCCTTGATAGGAAAAACAGCCGTTTGTATTCTGCAAATTTCACCGGATTTGCCCCAAATTTTGACAAAAAAATGTTTTGCGAATAAATTTGAGTAGCATTACAACTGAAAAGAAATAACTGACAACGATCGTGTGGCCTTCTGGAACAACTAAAGGAAGTTCGGGATCAAAAGAGGCTACTTCCTCCGCCGGCGGCTCGTTTTGTGGAGGCGGGTAGAAATAAATAGTTCCGCCGTGCGTTTCCTGCAAGAAAAAGTTGTTCTAATTAACGGATAGTATGACATTAATAACACTAAAGAAAAGCTTACAAAAGGCTTGCAACTAATTTTAATCGAAGCAAAAAAAACATAAAAAAGGTTTTCTTCATTGAATACCATGTGTGTAGATCTTACAAAAAGGACCACTAATTTTTGGCTTTTTCGGTTTGGCTGAGGCCTTCTACGAACTAACAAAAAGTTTAAAAAAACTATTCAATTCAGATCTAGTTTTTTTAGGTGAAAAACTTCCATTGTTTCGAAAACAAAAAATCAACTCAATTTTCAGCTAACTTTTTAATTTGATTAACTTGACATTTCGACTACACCTGTTGATAAGGTCGCACATGAGGAGCCGGCGGTGGGTGCTGTGGAGGAGTTTCCAATAATGGAACCGGATTAGCTCCAGAATTAGCTGAAGGTATTAAAAAGTTCTCAATCGGATCAAAAACTGACCGAAACCCCGATGATTGTGAGTTCCATACGGAGGTAAATTTGGAGGCAGATTTGGTGCTTCGTTCAGAGACATTTGTGAGAACTGCTGCTTCGGAATAAAAGGAGGGGCCTGAAGTGAAATTTTCAGCTTCTTGAAAAGGAAAAGAAACTCACATTTATATGTAATTGATGGTGTGATCCGCCGAAAGATGATGAAGCTAGAAACAGACAAAAAAATAAAGTTTTTTTGTTTCTTGTATTTTTGGAAGTAAAGAAAAACTTTTTCAAAAATCCAGTTACTGTGATATTTAATTTGAAAAAAACAAAGTAATACCCTGTCGATTCGCTCCCAAGTACTGGTGAAGCCGTGAGCCGGCGGGAACGCTCGTCAGTCCTCCTCCGCTCCCGCCGGCCACGTTTCCCGGACCCACGCCTCCTGGACCACCGTCGTATACAAATCCATCGCCTTGCATGCTGATTCTACTCCAATGTGAGAAAAAATACGATGCCAAAAATGCAAAATCATGCGATCCGAGCGAAATAATAATAAGTATTAACAGTTGGTATCTTGAAGCATATGTGAAGCTGAAAAGAAAAGCTTCTACACCCAGAACTACTTCAAATCAAAAAGATAACGAAAAATTAGCCTAACAACTTCAGAGACACGGAAAACAAAGTTGAAAATTGAAAACAAAAAAAATGTCGTGATTCAACACGCCTTGGCCGTGTTCACCGCACGACAAATTTCAAAACTTTGTGCGATCAAATTTTTGAAGATTAAAAGTTTATTTGAATACTGTTTAAATAGGTTCATATGAAACTATGATCAAACAGAAGAATGACTGGCGGAAGGAGTGGCACATTTTTGAATGTCATTAGCTGAGCGGCGCTGGAACGATAAACAAATTAGCGAGCATCTTGTTTTCGAGATAAAAGCTTGAAAGTAATCAAATTACGGACTTTTTTAATTGCATCAAAAGCGAGAAGACGTATCAGATGATCGTTGATGGTGTTTGGAGCATTGTTTTCATTTTCAGAAAGCCACTTCTCAACAAAATCCAAAGATTCACTCTCTTCAATATGAACTTCTTCTGAAATAAGAATTCTTGAGAGTGTCTTCTTGGAAGAAAGTTCGCAAAAAAAAACCGATATAGACATAAATAACTTGGTAGGAGCATACCTGTCACATGTTCTTCCGCGCGGTCTGACCCTTCCATCAAGTTTCTGTCAGATACGGTTCCCGAAATGCTGCGACGCCGTCTTTCCACGTTGCTGAGAGTACAGATTCGGAAAGTTTTTATGAATCTAAAAGCGAAAAATTGAGTGTTCAAAACGAACCTGACTACAGAATTGGTTATTTCCCCGGCGACTGCATAACTGTCTGAAGCAAATTGGGCTTTTTTCATCAGTTTCTTAGAACTGTCGTTTTCCGGAGACAACATGCACCTCAGATCTGTGTCAATCTGAAAAAAAAATGAATTTTTGAAGATAATTAGTATTACCTCATTTTTCATTGAAATCGAATGGCTTGAGTCGCTCTTGGCAACTTTCTGAACAAAATTGTGTTTGTATAACAGTTTCAAGTTGAAATTATAAAAAAAACGCTTTTCTGGCTCTGAAAAGGCTCACCAACTGAGGCTTGATGTTGATTTGCGGTTTCAAGTAGACCGCCCAAGCAAAAATTTCTCGCAGAGCAGGGATTCCGAAGGCCAAACTTGAGATCCAGTGGAAAATGAAAAGTGATGTTACAAACACCCCGAGCTTTTAATCATATTCATGTATTTCTTGAAAAATTCAAATCCTACTCTCTCACGTAAAAACGACACATCGGGCATAACTTTGCATCCTTTCACCTGAAATGATTTCCCGTTGAAATTTGTGCAAAATACGGTATTTTCCAAAATCCTTGTTGTCAATATATAAAGGGGTGGAAGTATTTAATTGTTAAAAGAAACGAGAGGATCATCTTCTCGATACCTTTTCTTTCTATCCTCTCTCGAACAACCCGCAAGGATTTTTGAACAGATAAAAATGAAGCACCTTAAAATGAACAACGATGCACTTAGCGAGGCTGAACGTGAGAATGTAGAAAAGGTAAATATGGAATAAGAAATAAATCACGAATCGGTCCGTTAAAAAGTGCAACGGCTCCGGAACGAGCTTTTTCTGCAAAAAAAAACATTTTTGGTTAAAACTGAAATTTCGACTTTTTATATAACTTACCAAGGACCCGGCGTAGCCTTCGTAAACGTCTTTCAGAGTGAATCCTGAGAGTGAGAATGATTTATTATGATTTGTCAAAAACTTGAAAATAAAATGTAAAATCAGCTTGTAAATTATTTTTCCCACCTTCAGAAAGAGTTTGGACTATGCCGACAAAAATTTGCCCAGAATTGACCCAAAGTTTTCGGAAACGAATCGCGACGCTCATTTCAGACTGTGAATGTCGGAGAAATGGTTAATATTCACGGATTACATTTTTTTTTAAAGAAAAGTTTTAAATCTTGTGTAAAATTTTCCCTCGAAGCAGTCATGCTCTTTTGGATGATTCCACCTAAAGAGCGGTCTCCGGGCTAGCCCAACATCCGCTACATTCTGGGCTCCTTGAGGCGCAACCGAACGAACAACGCGCAGAAGAACGTGGCAAAGGACCTTAAGATCTGCTTTCAATTTGATCAACACCTTCGAAATTCTGGTTCGCCAAAGTTCGTTGTATAGTCTGTTCAGATTTTGAATGTCAAGTCGTCGCTCAAGCTCTGGTGCGATAAACGGTTTAAAACCAATCAGAGAGCGAGCCACCCTCTGAGCGTTTTCGAATGACGTCATTCTACTTGACATTCAAAATCTGAACAGACTATAGCTTCAAAAGTCCTTGTTCGCCGTCTAGTCGATTACATCTATGACTAGAAAAAACAAAGCAAATGATTTTATTGATTGATTTATTAAAAGATTATTATTGAGTAAAAATTATTAATAAAAGGGATGGGTCACAGAAATTTCGATTTTATTCACAAGATCAGAAATTTTCAATCTTTACAGCTCTGTTACTTTTCCAGAGGAAGAGATTTTTTGCATGTAAAACTCTCTAGTTGAATCTTCCGGAATTTTTGTCCAGTATGGTTTTTTTTTGCCTCTTCTCTGTTAAATTAAAACTCTCTAGTAACGCTGTAGTTCACTCTTACTTTCCAACAACCGTAAAAATGACAGAAGACCAAATCGTTTTTTTTTCATATTTTACATATGCATATGTCGAAGTTGATTCTAGTCATCCTTCGCCAGAAAATAATTGCCGAAAAAGTCTGGAATTTTGGACTTTTTGTACTTCACGAATTGATGAATCACATTTTGTGAATCACAATATCTTTAATATCCGTGAAATGAGCGTGAAAAGGAGAAGAGAGGAAGGTCATTGTCGAAAGCGGAAGGATGGGAGTCGAGTTGTCTCTGAAGCCGCCGGTCTGTCCGATAGCGGCCAACGGAGGCGTTTCCACGCACACAATCATCAACCACTGCGACCAGATGCTCGCCTACAAGGTCCTTTCCGCCTCATACTTCTTCCTGGAAAGGGCTTTCAGGTCCGTTCTTCGAACAACTCCAACTACAGCGTCAACGAAAGCTACGGCCTCATTCAGATCGGCTACACCGCCGACCTTATCATAACCCGAAAAGTAACGCGTTTCTCAATTTCCCTCAAACACATGCCGAATTGAGCCGGGAAAGCCGCAGCCGGACCGTATGGTCATTCAATACGTCTCCGTTCCTCAAGATTGCCGTGATCCCAAGGTTCCCAAACTTTAATTTTTTTTTAAATTAGTTATCTTGATGTCGCAGGCCGTTTTTGCTGCGCCGAAACGCGAAGGCGAAATTGTTGGTGAGACGACGATCAAGTTGTCGGCGGCTGAATAGACTACTTCTGTTGGACAGCATCCGGAAATAAACATTTTGAGCAATCATTTGAAACAAAAACCATCTGTTGGACACAATTCAGAGAGGCTCAAAAGTACTTTGTACGAAAAAAATAAATATTAAAGAAAAAAAGTTTCAAAAAAACAGTTGATATAATTTAACTTTTAACAATTTATTTTTTTACAAACGCTAGTAAGTCTTTGAAAAAAATGGCCGAAATCAATGTCGTAAATATTCTTATTCATTTCATTATATAGAAAAAAATTAACCAAAAAAATGGTCTAGTATGATAAGCGGAGACAGCGCAACGGACGTCAAAACGGACGGGACCCTGTAGGTCTGAGCTGGTTTCCAAAAACTTTGAATATGTTCAAATATATACATAATGATTAGATCGATATTAATATACAAATGAAGCGCAAAAATTTATTGAATTCGATCGATAAGTCCTCAAAAAAATAGCGGCTTAGGCTTAAGAATGTGAGGATACGACTCGGATGCGCGTTGGCATACGCTCAGAACTTTTTTTGAGACAGTCTTCGACGAATTTATTCTAGAAAATGTCATTTTGGGTGATAACTTTTCTCGCAAAAAGCTATTCTGTTTCTGGTTTTGTTTTAAAAATTTTTTTAAATGGAATTTCTAAAGAGAAATGCTTTGAGCTTTTTTTCAATTTTCTCTTTTAAAAGTTCGATTTGACGAGTTTTTTTCTGGAAAAACGACATTTTTGCGAGATAATTTTTTTGCAAGTTTTTTTCGTTTTTTTAATATTTGAAAGGATTTTTTTAAACATTTATTACACATTAAAAACCTTCGAAAACTTGCGAGAACCTAGAAAAAACATCATTTAGCGGTCTTTTTCCAACCACTCAATCCACAAAACTTGATTCGGTGTTGCAGTCAGCCACGCCCACTGACTAGAGCTGCCGCCCGTTTGAGAATACTGATATCTTGTTTCGAACAGTCTGAGCACTAGGAGAGCCGCAGATTCTAGAATGCATCAGCATCAATATTTATTGGTTGTTTTAGGTGTTTTCAGATGGAATCGACTAGATGGGGAAAAAATGCTCTTTTGAGCGGTACTAGCCCCGCCTTGGCGTTGACGAAAAGAAGTCAAAACGTGTAGTTGATTGTATTGAAAGCAGGGTCTTACGGCTCTTGTTAACTATTGTTTCTTTTCACAGTGTTCAATGAAATAAATCTTATTTCTGAGGACGAGAAAGAAAATTTGCGTTGTTTTTCAACACCAGAAAAAGAGGTCCGCCAACTTTTGTAGAAGAGTCTGCAAAAATGATAATTCGAAAGAATTCGAACAAACAGATATTTTTCTCAAACAAAGACGTTTTTACAATTGAATTTTTATGCTGGATAATGATATAGTCTGTGTGCCACGACTTGAAATTTCTCCGAACGACATTCCGCTGTTCCGCTAGACCATTAAAGAGATTTTATAATGATAGCTTCAAAAAAAAACTCGGAGAAAATTCATGGAGAGTAGTCATGAGCTCAAACTAAAAGATTCAGAAGAGAATGTAGATGGCGACGTTGACAAGGGCGACGACGACCGAAAAAACACCAAAACAGATATTTATCCATTCAATGTGCTCCGGCATGGCTGAATTCATATTTGGAGAGATAGCGAAATAATATAAAATTAAAAAAGAGTTTATCTACTCAAATCTTCGGGTAAATACTGAAGGACCGTTGAGCTAATGAAAAAACTAGAAGCTCGGACTTCTAACAAATATAGAAGAAAAAATAAATAAATAAGAAAACGCAATGAAATCGCTTCGCACAATCAGACTCGGAACTCGAGGTTTTGAAATGAAATTATCTAGCAAACAAGCAACAAATCATAACCTGAATTGCACCTAATCGATTAATAACCGAAAAAAAAACTGACGGCTCTCCAAATTTTGTTCTACTTGTTTCTTTTCTTCCTCCTTCTCCACCTCCACAGTTGTGTTTCTGGGACTCTTTGCGGTCGTGTAGAGCGGGTATGTAGTCGGATCAACGTTCCCAGGAGCTCCTCAATTTCTTTTTGAAATAGTTCTCTCCAGGCGTCTAACACGGAAAATAAATTATCGAAAAATTACTAGCGCAAAGAGCGTAGGTAACATTCTTGACAATTGCAGCGCAGTCGTAGATCGGAATCCAGGGAAACGGCTGAAAACTAGTTTATATATTCATCACAAAGAAACTCAGACGGACCGGAGCAGAGCCCCACGCGCAGTTTTTTGTTCTTACACTGCTCGTCGATTTGTCGGTCGGATCGTAAGCTTTGTCGTACATATTGCAACCCCTGATAAATCAAAAAAAAAGTCGGCAAGGAAAAAGTTTTCGTAGGAACGTTAGAAGATGAACCAGCTACTCAAAACACAAAATGTAATTTTGTTACGAATCAACTTAAATGAAGCTTGAAGACATGAAGTCGGGAAAGCGATAAAAAAAAACAAAAAGTCGAATGGAAGCCTAAAGTTTTCAACTTCCTTTGGCTTCTCAAGGTCGTTTTTTTTTTTTGAAGTGCTCGGGCAAAGTCGGAATGGTGGATAATGGCCGATAAAAGGGAGAGGCTCAAAAAAGGCCGCAGACAGGCAGCAAAAAGGCAGCGAATGGCAGCAAAGAGACTCCCTTTATCGAGCCTTCCATTTTTCTGGGATTTTAAAGGCTCGAGAAATGGTGGAAAAAGGGAGAGGCAGCAAAAATGGTGCATAGGGGCTGAGAAAATGGAGCAAAAAGGCAGCAAAAAGAGAGCCTTCTTCACCCTAAAAGGAACATTTCTATGGTCCTTTATGGACCCTCGGAGGGTCCTTCCGACTTTGCCTATGCAAAAACCCGTGAACGACGTGGATGTCGTAGATGTACGGGCCGGAGAACTCGCGGATATCTGCGGCGGATGTCGAGGAGAGCCATTTGCGGTCGTAGATTGGTTTCAGCTTACTTTTTTCGATTTCCATGAAAACGTTCCATCTGTCCTCCTTTAATCTGCAATGCAGTCTAGTGCAAGTTTAAAAAACTTTTCCACCCACTCGATCTTGAATACCGTTAAATCTTTGTTATTGTTAGCGGTGAATTTGTAGGCTCCCAAGTCGAAATTCTGATGAACAAATAAAAAATCAAAAAAATATGAACGCTTTTTTTCGCATAGTAATTTCAAAGAAAGTTTTACGAATAATATGAATATAATAAGAAACAGTTCAATTCTTCTAAGTTTCTTCTTTCGAAAAAAAGATTTCTACTCGAAAAATTAGACTCTCTCAAAATTGGGTAAAACGTTATTCATATTACTACATATAGCCTGTGTATAGTCAATGTTCCCTGACTTGAAAGGCGAGGGAGGCGGGGCAGGGGGCGTGACGCGTAGCGTGTGCGTTCGCGGTCTTTGGCACGTGCACAAGAATAACTGACGAGATAAACGCGAGCTCGGTGGCGGTACATTGACTAACTCGCAAAAATGTCGCTTTTTTCTAGGCGCGATCCCGCATTTCTCTCGGCGCGACCTCGCATTTTTCTCGGCGCCATCTCGCATTTATCTTGCATTTCGGAAATTTTCAAATTGCGAGAGAAATGCGAGCTCGCGCCTAGAAAAGTGCGAGCTGGCGCCCAGAAAAATGCGAGACCGGCGTGAGAAAAAAAGCGAGATGTTTGCGAGCTCGTCAATGTACCGCCAGTGTCTCGCGTTTATCTCGGCAGTTATTATGTTCAATTCAACCGCCATCGACTCTTTGAAAAGCCCGTTTTTCGCTCTTTTCATTCCTTTTTCAATTATTTATTGATTATGTTCATGTGTGCATCAAAAAATAGTAGAAAACATTGAAAAAGAGCGGTTGCCGAGCTTTTTGAATAGTCGGTGGCAATTGAACTGAACACGTGCCAGGGACCGCGAACGCACACGCTACGCGTGTTGCCCCTTGCCCCGCCTCCCTCGCCTTTCAAGTCGGGAAACATTGACTACACCACGACTTGGAATTTCAACGAACGACATTCCGCTGTGTCGCTGCGCGTCTTTGGCGGTGCTTTTTAATTTTCGGTACTTTTACTCTCATGTGCTCCCACAGCAATAACAATCCATTGAAAGCGTGACCAAGATTCGAATGACGCTTCGTGAAATCACGCAGCGGAACAGCGGAATGTCGTTCGGTGAAATTTCAAGTAGCGGACTATACGAAGCGGAATATTTTTCATCGAAAATGGCACGAAGAGTAAACTTTCTGAATACTTGAGAGCAAAGCTGCTGAGGGGGCACCGGGTAGCTATTTTGAAATCAACCGGCGCGAGCCAATCGGGGGTCGTTTATTAGCTACCGGGGTACTATCTCTATGATATCTGGATACTATTGGTACCTGATATCTGCTACTTGCCTTTAGTAGTCCGGTGTTTCTGTCTTTTTTTCCAGAGTTAGCTAATGAGTTCTTGGCACGGTTAACAAAACATTGATGCTGAATAAAAGAACACCGGTTGAGGTTAACTTAGATACCGGCAGCTACTTGTATCTTTCTCTCGATAGACCTCTGCTGTCTCATCGGCAGCTCTTCTTGAGAGAATTGGAGATTCCAGACTCCCCACATCCAAAAAAAGCTTTTCGACCAAGTTGAGGTTTTCACAAAATTCGCCTAGTAAATTCATCAATTCTGTATTATGAGAGAGTTTCCAAACTTTGAATAGAACTAATTACCTTGTGAGTAGTATTTGACATAATAGAGATGAACAAAAAAAGGAAATTTACCTTCATTGGTCAACTGTGAAACAAACATACTTGACTACTGTCGTCGTCAGCTTGAAAAATGATTTCATTAATTTTGCAGATCATACGCAACGGCACGATGCGACTTTCCTCAGAGTGCCGGAACTCGAGTTTCGTCTGGAAGTTTGTCCTGACAGAAAAACTAAACGGAAACGGATGTTGCCTCTTTTTCATCTAAATAGATGGAAACGAAGACGATATCGCCGGACTGCAGGGGGCGCTCAAAAGACACTTGTTTCTCATCCCACAACTCTTCAATCCACCACGGCATCCGCTGCACTTTCAATTTTTCTTCTTAGAAAGGGTAGTTCAATAAAGATTTTGGAAAAAAATATTTTTGATTCAAGCCAGCGATAAGCATAGCGCAAGACGTGTGTGTGGTCGCAGCGAGAAGTGAGCGATATTGCTCGCGATTCCCCGCAGCATAGCGTTACTCTAGCTGCGACATAGCCCATGATGTCGAGTGTACTCCTTCCAGCAACGAACTTCGAGATAAAACCGTTTGCTAGCGGCAGAGCTGTACGTGACCAGTCCAGCGGGCTGACCGCACAGCTCTGGCTTGCGCTGAATGGACTACCTGTAACCACGTTTAACAAAAAGGACGTGCCTCGTAAAGAAAATAAGAATGAGATTCAACGTTGGCACACATCCGAGAGCATTTGCGGTCTCTTCTGGGCTTGCACAAGGAGGCGTGGTACTCTGCAAAACGACGTCTGTTGTGAAGAGCTTGAGCTTTGGAACCAGCGGCGGCGAATCTTTCTTGTCTGGAGTCCACGTAGGCGAGCGAGCTGTTGTGGGCTGAGCACAGTTTCTCCGCAGATTGCTGCGACAAATCACTTTTCGATTGCAGAATCTGAAGAGAGCACTCAGCGTTTGAGATTTTCCTTGCCGGCCTCAATTTCTAGTCTGACTGAATTCTTTTGAACAATTACATTTCAAAACAAATAATATGTGTGAATAAGCTTCATTCCATTGCTACCTGAGCAGTTTTTGAATCTTACCTTCCAGCATAGAATTTTCGAGCTATTGATGTATGGAAATTCTTTCCAATCTCCACAGCCTGAAAATGAAGCATTTTCTTTGAAAACTTGTAAGAAGTAACGTGAGTTTTCAGTATTCGTCGGAAGAATCTGTAAGACCGGTACAACAAAAAGAATAGCAGTGGTTGCCCACATAATGAGAAATAACTACTCAATCCCCTTCTTACGGCTTTTGATTTATTTATCTAATTATGGTTCATATAAGAAAAGCGTTATTTCCATTGAGAAATTGAGAAAAGGTGTTTCAACACAATTAAAATTGTACTCATTGTACCAATCAAATCATTTATTTTGTTGTTTTAGTCATAGATTAATGGACTAGGCGGCGAAGAAGAACTTTTGAAGCTACTACTAACAACTGCTTTGGGCGAACTAGAAGTCCAAACGTGTAGTTGATCAAGTTGAAAGCATGGTCCTACGGTCCTTCGCCTCGTTTTTCTGCACGTTGTTCATTCAGCTGCGCCCAAACAAACGACTTGTCTCAAAAGATAGACCCTCTATACCTTGCAGCCGACCTGACGTGGTTTTCGCACCCTCCTCTGAAGCAATTCTACAGCAAAATTTCATTTACTCCGATTATAGTGCCAATGTTCCAACTTCTATTTAAAAAGCATTTTCAATTCTTCAAATTAAGTTCCAAACTTCAATTGGGTAAGATCACACATTACTGTGTTAAGGGACACGCTCTCGCGTAAACCGCTCCGAGTCGGAGGCGCGCTTGCATTGGGTGGCCGCCGCTTTAAGGCTGTTAAACTTACCTGGCTGGGAGGATTTCGCGATCACGAAGGCGGAAACTCCATGGCGAGGCCTGACCATTGCACTTCTGGTCGGGCTGACCTGTGTGGCAGTCTCGAGTTGAGATTCGCCAACAGCTTAATTTTTGCGTGTGGGGTTGCGTTCGCGCGACCCCTGAAAACTTCATTAGCAGATTTAAACAAGTCACCAAAGTCTTGTTTTACCGAATAACGTGACTTGCTTGAGAGAGGATTTTCATTTTGTCAGGTCAAATTTCTGAACCTCAATTTCACACCGTTAATTGCGTCGGAGGCGAGGCACCATGCTGAATGACCCTTTTTTTGCTTTCCAGAAAGGCACGAAATTTAGATTAAAACCCCAAGACGTCCAGCTTGCACATTTCATTTCCACTTGTTTTTTCCAACAAAAAGTCTCACCTGGACTGAAGATAGATCTCGGCTGCTCTCCTCAAACTTTTTTCTTCAATTTTACACCAGTCGGAGGCCGTTTCTCTCGCCTTTTTTCGCTTCGACATGTGTCGTCGGCCGTTCGTTTTAATTCCCGACGTCAAAATTTGTTTTCAGTGAGTTCGAGTAATTGGGCCCGCGCGGAAAACTTTCTCTTCTTTATAATTTCTTAACTAAATTTTTTTTTTCTTGTCGGCTTTTATTTGATTCTTTTTTTATGTTTCTGCCGGTGTCATGTTTCAGATTTCAGTGTGCGAGAAATCCTGCTTCTTATTGTGGGCGAATATTATGATTACCAATATTGATAGCTTGCTGAATTTTATCTTGTTTTTTTTTAAGAATTGAGGTATTTAGCTTTCTGTTGACTGTTTCAGATCTCCTCTCAAATGTCCATTTCCACTCATTAGAGTACTTCCGGGCTTGACACTGCCTGCAAAAAAGAAATTTGAGCGACTTGTTTTGGCCAAAAGCTACTTTTCCGGAGTCGGTTGAGGTTGGACCCCAACGAATACTCACTGATTTATATTTTTATGCTTTGGCGTGGTTCTTATTCCTTTCGAGAACGATCAATTTTGTTCACCTGAATTTTGTAGTAAGATATTCAAAGCCAATTTTTGAGAGATACATAGATGAAAGTCGGAAAAAATGAAAAGCAAATCATAACGAGATTTTTTCGAGAATAATATTCTTTTTCGATGAAAAGCCATAAACACTACGCCGTCACACAGATGAACAACTCCGATTTATACTCCGTTTTTCGCGAAGTTGGACTTCTGTTTTTCGCTGCGCTCTCCTCGCCTCTCGGCGACCTACTCATTTTTACGTGCTGTTTTCACTTTTCTCCGACCTCGCCGGTGAGAGAACAGAGAGGTGCAGACACTCGAAAAAAGTCAAGTCGCGGCGAGAAGACTTTAGAAGGTATAGAAAGTAAGTTGAATCACCCAAATCAAGTTGTGATTACATGTGATTATTAAAGTGAATCACTAGTAAATAGAACATTTTTTGAACTCAGTTTGCAGCTTTGAATCAGATTTTCTTTTGAGGACTTCTAATTTTTCACTCCAGATTAAGTTTACTCTGAGGAGTGCCTGCAACGGCCCATTTGAGCTAATCCCTTACTCAACCTCTCGCTTTCCTTCAGTTCTCACAATCATTTCCTTCCTTCTCATTCATCCTGGGTCCGAGAAAGGTCGCTCTTTCACACTCGAGCTTTTCATGTGATGGTTGCAAGTTTGAAAAAATTCTTGTCTGAAATTAAGATTTTCATGGTTCGATCTGAAAAAAGTTGATTTTCGAAGAGATAAGAAAGGGAATGAAAAACCCAGAGTGAAATAAATATTCAAATACTCAAACTTGAGAGCGCGACTGGTTACATTCTGGAACATGCTTTGACTGTCCTCCTTCTGATTTCAATGAAGTATCCGACCAACTTTGCTTCCTTTTCGATAGAAATAAGTCGACAGTGTCCACACTAAAATGATTTCAAACACGAACTCTTTTTTTCCGGAAAATTTCAACACAGCTCATCATGTTTTACAAATTGAGAGAACTTTTCCATCTGACAAAAAAGAACCTCATAAAGATTCTTTATGATTCTGACGCATGTGCATGTTATAAAGATTGAAATTGATGAGACTCGGCTGCTTTTGAAACAAAGTATTCTTCGCAGCTGTTGGAACCGGCGAAGCTAATTTCAAAAGCACCAAAATTAAATCGGCTTTTGTTTTGTTAAATTTTTCGTGTTTTGAAATATTTTTTATTTGTCTGAATATTCGGGAGAGTCACCCGGAGGTACGCCTCACATCCTTTTTTATAGGTCGCTTTTCTTCTTTGGAAAACTCAGCAAGGCGTTAAAAGCGGTGGGCGGACAATGGAGTTGAATTGTTTGGTTTTCCGAACGTTCCATAAAAGAAATTGCTTTTTTTCTTTTGGTTTGCTGTGGCGTTATTAATGTCAAAAGTTTTGGACCAGAAAACTTTCAATTCTCGCTCAACAGTTATGGGTGAACATGTAAAGCCAGCAAAAGGTATACAATAAAAACATCATTTTCCACAATTTTGTATTCTTTTTAATAACGGTATGAGTTTTAGTCCGTTTCTGCGCTTTTCGTGAGGTTCCCATATCATTCTGAATACTTTATCACCCCTGTAGGCTCACGAGAAATCAATTGTTTGCCTCTGGCGGTTTTTTGACCTCTTTTTGCTCGGCCAGTCGTGTTCCGAGGCTTAGAAGGCGTCGGTCGTTCTGAGGACCCTCAACCTCTTCGGCCAACTTCGAGCAAACATTACTCATTTTCCTTGATTGCCATTTTCTCAAAAAAAAAAGTCCTCGATTTCGAGTTTTTTCTAAGTGGAAAAACAGGTTTTGAGTGATTGGTTGCAGGAGTTTTTGTAAAATTTTGCTTCGCTCCTTTTTGTTTTCGAAAAATATCGTCCTTTTCAGTTTTCTTTCTTTTTTTTCACTGTTTGAACGTTCTAGAAGGGACTAGGACGGCGGAAACTTTCAATATCACGTTTGAAAAGGAACAAGCGCATGTATTACTGGCGGGATCGGTTCAGGACACAATGAGCCAAGTGGGTCAAGTGCATCGTCGTCGGTTTTTGGAAACGACGTCCAATTACACCTCGATGATCGTGTCGTCCCTCCATTCTGACACACCGATTTCGTCAACTCTTGTTTCAAACCTATACTACTTTTGCAAAAAAAAATAATAGAACGGTCGCTCGGTGAAGACAGCTCGTAACCTCTGACGTCAAAAAGTTATTATTGGTGAACCCGGCCAGAAACGATTTTACCGCATACCTAAGTCCCATCATTAGAGACGGTATATAATTGAAAAAGTTACAAACTTTGAAAGCCATACTAAAGAAGCCTCACTGCGACTGTAAACGCGAACAGAAGTTTTCGAGGCGTGGTGAAGGATATATGTCCTGAAGAGCAGTTTCCAGCCAATTTCTTCCTTTCCAACTAAAATGTGGAACTCATCCACTCTTTCGAAATCAGTGAACCGGCGAAAACAGGCGATGAACCTTGAATATTTTCCTCTCGAACAGACCAACGTGCAAAAGCCTTTCATTAGGCGGACAATGCGTGGCGAAAGCTCCCGTGGGGTCGCCGATTATGTGCATTTGGTTATTGTTTGTTCATGACCACTTCTCATTGGCTCAGCTGCTGCTGGGGAAATTTATCGTTCTTCTATCGATATTCGACGTTTCAGATACATCTTTGCAGAGTTTTGTGAAAAGCTCATAACCGGACTTGGACAATCGGACCAACTTTTTGAGAGTTATCGGTTTGTTCTTGTTCATTCATAAGTTTATGTCGTGTTCGAAGTGATTCCGCAAAATTAAAAATAGCCGTCAGAGATAGGAAGATATAACTGATTTTTGGAAAGACAGATAAATTGGAATTTTTTGGAATTTCGTTGATTATGGCATTAGCTTCTTGTGATAGCTTTGAATGAGCGATGAATAACATTTTTTTTAATTTGAAAAAAACTAACATCTCCAGAAAGCCTCTGTGTTTATTCTAGTTTTTCCTACTTAATCTTTCTGCTCCCAGCTTTTCGAGCCTCTGAAGGCAAAGCTAAAAATAGCGCACGCTTGAAATGAAAAAGTTTCATCGGGACGTTCGCCTCAACACTTATTTGCGTTATTGCCGAATTTCGTGTCCAATTTGGGAGTTGTCCAAGACGTGCGAAACGTTCAATTTGGCCGGGTAATTGGCATCGTTTTCTCAAAAACTCAAATCCAAAGAGACTTTGACACTGAGCCTCGCGTAGCCCAGAGAATCTCAACTTTCATAGCGTCTCCGACTTTCTGATATCTTTTTCATTAATTTAAGTGTCATTCCTCCCATTTGAAATAGTTTGGCTTCCTTCGCTGAAAGCTTCATTCAAGCCGACGAGGGAATAGAGTGCGCAGACAAGTCTGAATACCTGAAATGTGTAGTAGCCACAGTTCCTCATTTTTTTACTAAATGTAAATTCAAAAACTAAGAGAATTTCATTCTGACAACGTTAAATATATTTTTGAATAAGCAAAAAAAAAAACAAAAAATAATGTACACTTCTCTGAAAAACACGTTTCTTCTCGAGACTGACCACCAGAACTAGCAGAAATCGACTTTTCTTTTTCTCAGAATCCATTCGAAGCGGAAAAAAATGCGTCGGACAAAACAAGACTGCTGCACTTTGAGAGCACGCGCGAGTCTTCCGGCAGAACAGGTGGGCGGAGCCTGACAGACTCCGCCTCTTTGAGTCCGACCAGACTCGCCCTGTCACTCCTGGTCTCACTCCTCTATCCTTCTAAATTCAATATTAGTTCCTTATTCGAACATTTATTTTCCTTTTTTTTATCATAAATACTGGATATTTGGAATTGACTTTCGATTATGATGATTTTGGTGCTTGAACGTAATAAAGAAGCCTTAGAAAATAAATAATAGAATCCGTTCCATTCGATTAATGAGTTTTGCGCATCGCTTTTCCGTTTTTAGAAAACCTCGAGACTTCAAATCACGACCTTACAACAACAAAAAAAGCAAAACCAGATCTTTTCTGGTTTTCAACCTCATTCCAATTTAAATTCGCCCCACTTCTTTTTTTGCCTTTTCGACGGGGGGTAGCCCAAATTGTTCTTGAATCTCGAATTAGCTGTGGTTCGACTTGAGAATATTCTGAGAAAAAAAGACTCCCGAATCGTTTAAAAAGAACTTCTTTGACATTTGAGTTCCTAATGTTCTTCTTTTTCTTTCCCTTCTGTATTTTTTTATCAAGGACAATTGACTTTTTATAACTCATTATTATCAATTTTAAAGGAATCGAAATGTCAAAAAAACAACACGAATGTTCAAGTTAAAGTTGAGAAAATGCGAAAAAATTTAAAAGAGGTTCTCTTTTTTTTCACGAGTTCTCTTTTTAACTAGGATGTGTCAAGCTTCCTCGGCGACTCACTTTTTTGACTCATTCAACCCCTCCTGAATTAACTTTCGAAAAAATCAATAGATTTCCTTTCTTTGGAAATCTTGTTGAATGAGCTCGCACATTTTCGCATATTTTTGTAGAGCTCAATCTTTGAAAGACGCTTTTCTACACAAGAAACCGAAATTTCAAAACTTTCGTTAAAATTAAATTAACGTCTCAGTTAAACGTTTTTTGAGAGTATCAGCTATTCAAGCTTCAATCTTCTAAAAGGTAAATGTTTCCAAATTTGTCTATTTCTCTCAGAAAATTGGAATCTGGCTTCCAACTTGATAAGCCCCAACCTGGCCTAGTTGTCGTATCAGCATTTCGCTCGAGGTCGTTCTCTATTTCGTGCTCTCTTTCGCTTCGCCGCTTCCAAACAAATCCATTTTTCGCGCAGCCCGTTGATCTTCCGCATTACAGAAGACGTTTCGAAAACGGCGAATCTAGTGGCCGACGGCACCTCTTCGCACTCTCTTTTCACCACGTTCGTTCTTTTTTCTGAATTTCTTTGAATCTTTTTTGGCTGAGTGACCTCTGAAGCCTCATTAGTTAGTATTTTTTTCTCGCAGTCTCGCTAAAAAGAAGCTTTGTTAGTCTTGTTTTCTCAAACTGCTATTCAAATAGAAGGTTTGAGAAACATATGTGAACGGAAAATTCTTTTTTGATAAACTGGAGAATACATTTTTTTTATTGGAATAATTTAAAATCATCAAGGGATTCTGTTGACGATCTGCACATTTTAATATTCGCCGAGTTCTCTCTGAGATAGCTGGAACGCTTTCAAAGAAATTAAAATTATTGTAAAAGGTTGATTTGGAAATAAGTTATTAAAGTTTCAAGTTTTTCTTAGGATTAAAAAAAATTTCTTTTTTTGTTACCTACTGACCTTCCAATATGATTTAGATATGAAAGAAAAAAAAATTGATGGGAAACCAAGGATTTGCAGGTAGTGGCCAATGCGATGGAGCTGACGGAAGTGTTCGTTTTGGCGGCGTTGCTCCTGGCGTGTCTGAGCGGCTCGGCGGCCGCGCTGCGCTGCAAATGCACCAAGGAGTCGGAGACGGTCAGCTGTACCGACGGCGTTTGCGAAACCGACGTCGGCTGTTCGTTTCTTTCCTTTCTCTCGGAAAATACGAGGAAAGATTCCCATCGTGACTCGATAATGGGATATTGTTGGGAAAGGGCCGGCCCTCTCAAGCCCTTGAGCCAAGCGACGGCCGGCTGATTCGTCACTCGAGAAGTTCTCGGCCTGAAATGCGAGGCGCCGCCAGATGTCTCTAAACATCCTCCCACACTGCTCCAAAAAAAATACGTTGAGAGCTCGTGTCGAGCAGCTCTAACTAATATTTTATTGCTCAGTTGGCGCTTACAAGATGCTTCTTTCTTGCGGGGAAAAAAAGATGAAATTATGAAAAAATCGTGTCAATTTGGACACGAATTCGTCTTGAACAAATTTAGCGGAAAATTCTTTGAATAGTACGCTCTACAATTTTCCTGTTTTCTTCCAATTGAACTTTCCGAAACCCTAGAATCGGATCAAATTTTATCAATTTTATTCTCTTATATATTCTCTACTAAGAAAGTGTAACAGCCGCCTCAAGGATCTTGTTTGAAATTGGAAACTTTGCTTCGCGATGCAGAAAAATAGCTGTTCAACACTTGTTTCTTGCTGTAATATTCTCTCTGGTTTTCCAAGATTTTCCAGACAAATGAATAATATTTGAAGCGTCTGATAAGCTTTGATAAGAAAATATTCAAGGAACGAGAGAAGATTTTCGGATTTGTGTTGGCTTTGCTCAGATTTTCTGAATTATGAACACATGCGGGAAAAGCAGTTTTCGTCGAAAAAGACCAGTCAATCCTCCCCAAATGGTTGTAAATCACTTCTGAACGAGGAGTTCGTGCTGAAAATTCGGGAATAAGTTGTAATAGTTCACAACCGCAGAGGACCGCTAAAATGAAGCTCGAAGGAATTTAGAAAGGATTAAAGATTTTTTGAAATCGGAATATGAAGTTCGACAATTGTAAAATACAGGAAAATTTTGAAAAAAACGTAATTTTTCTCGAAAATGTATCTGATAACGAGAAAATTATTTTTTAAGCACCATTTCGCAAAAAGTTTTTAGTAAGTTCCTGAATATAGCTCACAGGGTAACTTTTTTCCTGGCTGAACTTTCGATAATAGTTGAATGAACCTCAGGTTCTTCTGACTCCAGAACAATAAAAAATTCATTCTCGCAACAGTCTTTTTTGGAGTTACAACATTTCATAAACTTTGCAGCATAGGCAAAGTCCGAAGGGCCCTTTGAGGACCCTCCGAGGGTCCTCAAAGGGTGCTGGAAGACTCCATAGAAATGTTCCTTTCAGGGTGACGAAGGCTCCCTTTTTGCTGCCTTTCTGCACCCTTTTTCTGCCTTTATGCACCCGTTACGCACCATTTCCACGATTTTCTCTTCATAGCCTTTCTCCACCCTTTTTATAGCCCATGTTCACGTTATTCTAGTATTCTTTTAAGAGTGTAGACATGCTGATATCATTTTATTCGGTCAACGTTTGGAAATGAATTGATAGAAGCAGCAAACTTTAACAACAACAGGAATATAAAAAAACAGAAGAAACAAAAAGAAAAACATATAACAAGTTAACACGCTGTCTCCGTAATTTTTCAAAAAGTTTTTCAAAAAGAGTTGGTACAATAAAAAAATTTTTTTTGATTTTGATGAAACTTCACCCGCTGTGATAGTCTGTCATCAGAAATGCCGACGCAAGTTTTCAGACCGATTCCTCCTACCTTCAGATCCGGTGCTGAAGTTTGTTTCATTTGATAGTGCAAGGTTGTACTTCACAGATGATAGTGTTTCCTCCGACTTCTCCGTAGGACTGAGCTCAGGAAAAATCGTTGAAATCTGAGAATCGTTGTTTTTAGGCCAAAATCGGCTTTAAACTGAATTTTTTGTTAGAAGGGTAGGCTGAAAGTCGGAGGAAACACTATCATCTGTGAAGTACAACCTTGCACTATCAAATGAAACAAACTTTAGCACCGGATCTGAAGAGAGAAGAGAGGTAGAAATCTCTAACCGCGGGCGATTTTCCCCGACAGATGCCAAGTTGAGCCTCTTCGGAGCGATTTTCCGAGATGACCGGTAGGTATTCCTAGAAAGAACGCATAGTTTCCTACGAAAAGACGCACCTGCCTACCGTAACCTAGCTACGGTAGGAGGAATCGGTCTGAAAACTTGCGTCGGCATTTCTGATGACAGACTATCACAGCGGGTGAAGTTTCCTCAAAACCAAAAAATATTTTTTCTATTGTACCCACTCTTTTTGAGAATTACAGAGACAGCGTGTTAAGATTTGAAAAATAGACACAAATGTCTATAGGTCCGCGCCAGCTCGTCACGTTTTTCTTTCCGCCAAAAGGCCAGGTCAAATTTTACCAACTTCGCTTCAAGACCGTTGTTTCTTGCCGTTATAAAAGCAGAAATTTGATATATAAGGTCTTTTTGGCGAAAAGAAAAGCGTGACAAGCTGTCGCGGAATGGCCTATATGACAGTTAAAACACCTTAAAGAACACATCAATAAATATTTCATCCAACCACATCAATATTTGAAGGTTCTTCATCAATAGTTGTTTCGTTGACATCGCCAGCACCTTGTTCTTGTGCTTCTCTCAGATCAGCTTCTTCCGCACTGAAAAGAATATAGTTTTATTGAAGAACGCTCAACGAGGAATTTCGAAAAGCAGTAATCGCATAAAAAAATATAAATATAATTACCTCTCTTGCCTGGAAAGTCCGACCGAACTAACCGAACCGTCCGAGTTTTTTTTCAGCATGCCGTGAAATATAACGAAATTAAATTAACGGAACAAAGAAGCTCAAGATTAAATTTTTTTTCAAATAATTTACTTACCAAAAAAACCGTCGCCCGAAGGCGATTCCCCGGCCAGCTAAAAACCTTTTTCGCATCTTGGCATTAATCGTAATCGGGAATCTGATCCTTAATCGTGAGAGGAGATCTGAAGTTACATGATTCTTTGTAATTTCATAATTTATATAAACGTTTCAACATGTTTTTTTTTTCGTATAACTTTCACAAAAATTTATGCCTCATATCCTTGTCTTTGAAACTAATTGAACACATTAAAACAACGAACGAGAAAATATAATTCACGAACAGAAAAAGAAATCAAAAACTTGAAAGGAATTTAAAAAGAGAGTTTTTAACATGACCCTTCGGCACCCTTTTTCCAGTCTCTCCCTTTTTCCAGCATTCTCCACCATTCCTTCACCCTTTTTCCACCCTTTTTACTGCCTCTGCCTTTTTCCAGCATTTTCCAGCCTTTTCCACCATTCCCTCACCCTTTTTCCACCCTTCCTTCACCCTTTTTCCACCCTTTTCACTGCCTCTGCCTTTTTTCACCCTTTCTCTAGCCTTTCGGACTTTGCCCGAGAGAAAGCTTTTTCTAAGCATTTTGAGTAGCTTGCAAACTGAACCGTCGTAACTCTAAAAAAGATCTATTGCGAGCATTATTTTTTCTTGTTTTGAAATCCTGAGGTCCTGAAGTACACTTCAGAAAGTTTCATGGAAATTTTGAAATAAAAAGGTTCCCTTGTCTGAAAAAAAGAAGGACAAAAAAATTTTGGCTGCCCTTTTTCACAAAAAATAGTTCCCTCTGATTTCATAATTTCATTAATTTCTTTCGAGCTTTGGTTTTTTTCAAAAAACTTACGTGGTTATGTTTCTTTTGAACTTTTCATTTTCTTTTCCAAACTCCTACAGAGATAAAAATTGCGAGGAAGTTGACCCGAAGAGACAAATAGGTCTGGCAATTATTCGCGCTGACCTCGACTGAACTGTTTATAACAAAAGAGGCTCGCCAGATCCTCATCGTGTGCCAAACCAAAACACGCAAAAAGGGTGCATAGAACTATGAACGAAATCAAAGTAGAAAAAGTTCCGCTATTATCGAATTCATTCTTGTTTACAAGTATTTTCCCACTTTCGCACCTTAAACTGTTTTACTGAGTTTTTCAGCATGCTTGATGTTGGACCATCCGACTATGGGCGTCCACTACACCTGCCACACTCGCGGAATGAAAAACGGCAGCTGCCACAATAGGTAAACCTCAGGAAAATTCCACATTTATCATATCAACTTACTTCAGGACATCGAAAAGCGGCGTTTCTGTAAAAATTTGCGGTTGCAACGGCCCTGACTTCTGCAATTACTCCATGTGGCCTGACAAGTTCGTTTATTATACCTTTACACAAATATCCGGATTGATACTTGCTTGGATAGCGGGTGCTACTGGATACTTGAAATTTTTAAGCGAAATTAATTGATGTTTTTTTAGATTTCAATAAACTAAAAACAAAGTCCGAGAGTCATTTTTAAATTTGAAAAAGGAAAAATGAGTTCTTCGTAGAGATATCTAGAAAAAAGTCTGAAAGATCTTTGATTTTCATACTTCCAAGAATGAGGGCATTCCGTCTTTCTTGCCCCTTCTTTACGAAAAATTATTTTCCTTCCTTTTTCTAACATTAATTCATCTTGTGTAAAGGATCTTCCCAACGAAAAAAAGGAGAAATACTCTATGAAGGACTTTTTCGAAAACTCATTCAACTTTTTCTGTGATGGCGTCTAGAGATAAACACAAACAGCAACTTTCGAGGTCAACGAAAAAAATTTAATTTTTTTAAATATTTTTTTCTTCATCTCGACAGTATTTTTCATATTTGGATTCCAGCCTTCCGTTCTTTAAGCTGCTTATAACTTCCTTTCCAAGGCATAATCTTCCTCATGGAGATAAATATGAAAAAAGTGATTAACTGGTTAATGCGCTGGTCGGTGTGCAGAGTTGCAAAGAAGCTGTAAGTCACGGGCAAGAGAACGAAATCCGCATTTCCGGCCGCATTGTCGACGGCTTCCTGAAGCCACCGACGCGCGAGAAATCCCTCTTCCGGAGGCAGTAACCCGATGATTCGCAGTTGCGACAAACAATACCCACCCGTGACTTCCTCCGTAGAAACTCAATCTGGTTGCAAAAAAAGAGTTTGGAGTTAAATTGCGCCAAGTGAAAACTGAAAATAGCAAATTTGAATGATGAAAACCAAAGAAGGAAAAGCCGAGAGTTAAAAAATTGAAATGTTTATTAAACTTCTTACATATTTCCCGAAAGAAAAAAAAATTGACAAAAAAATTTCAGCGGCTGTTAAAAGCTAACAGTCCCTAAATTGGTACCTTTAAATTTTTTTAAAGTGAAAAACCATTATTCCTTTGCTTCTTTTTTCAATGCCATCTAACTTGGGTTTCTTCAAAATGAGAAACATGATCAAATCAAGAGTTTTTTCTCATATTTCACAAAGGTAGAATTCAAAACTCGAACAATTATAACCGTACTCGGGCTTTTCTTAACGAATACAACTTACAGAAGTGCGCAGTCCCTGCAAGAACAACGGCGGCAGCAGAACGAAGAAGAGATCAACTCAACGCGGCTAATTTCCCATATTTCACTGCTCACATTTTTCACTTTCCTACGTTACTTATTATAACGATTCCCTCAGCGCTTGACAAAATATAGGGTGTAACTATGAACACATTGCAAATAAATATTTCTTTTTAAAGTCTTTGGATAGTAATTTATTAAACACTAAAGAAGACGCGTTTCAAGACCCAGTGAGGCGATCGACAAGACAGTTATGTATTTACACGAATATGGGTGAATATAGAATAATTTTTCTCAACTTTTCTCGTCGGAGGGCAAACCCTGTTTCAAGTTTTACTTAATATTCCGTTCTTTCGATTAACCTACAATGTTAAAAAATATTTCTAGAATTTCGACATTCAAGTTTTCATGGAATAAATGTACATCAGACTTTGGCAACAATACTAAAGTGGTCCCTAGAGTTTGCTGCCACGCTGCTGCGGTTCGGCGGCGTAGGAGTCGAAGACGATTCCGCGGTCGCTCTCGACTCGTTCCGTCGAGAACCATTCCGACTGGAGGTCGATCAGCGGCTGTTCGCAGCACCACCTCAAGAATTCCTCTTGGAAGGACCATCATCCACCTCCCAAACCTGTAGGCGACGTCCACGTCTGCCGTCTGAGCTGTGCTCTTGTCTGAGGCGTGGTCGATCAGGAGAGCTCCTAAAAATTCTCACGTTTTCTTTATTTCTATTCTTTGAACCTAGTTCAGACACCAAAAAAAAGACTAACCGCAATAAATCCTAGAAATGGCAAAAGAAATATGACGAGCCACGGCGTCGATTCGAATTGAGTTGCTCAGAGCAGAATCGCCTCCCTGACATTCTCATGTTCCCAATCCCCAAAAAAAGCAAACCTTGACCAAGTGCATTTGGAGCGCTTTCAGCGCCTTTTCCACAGCTTCTTTTGCTTTGGAAAGCTTATCTTCGCCTTGAACAGTTTGCATTTTAAAAAATAGAGACGAGGTAAAACCATTTTTGACGTTGCTCGTCAGTTCAGAAACTCGCTTCTGGAAAGCCTGAAGGACGTTTTCTTTTCCCGAAAACACGCGCAGAACGTCGAGAGACAGGACGTTTGTTGTTCCTTCCCAGATCGGAGTCACCTAAACCTTCGACGGCTCATTTTCCAGTCAAAAGACGAACCTGAGCATCTCTGAGCAATGTTGGAAGTCCCGTGTCCTCCATGTACCCTTGGCCGCCGAAACATTCGATGCCTTCGGAGATCAGGGGCACGCACTTAGAAGTCAATAGGACACAACGATTGATTCTACATTACCTGCTTCCCAGCATAAAGCTTCAAAACAGGTGTGATCAAACGCAACAAGACAGCTTCTGTCGCAGAAGATTTTCCCGCCTCCTGTAACATTTTTCATGAGTTCAATTCGTTGAGTTTCTGCACTCTTTATTGATAGATTATTTTTATTCTAACATGTACGTATAATAAATGCCATTTAAATGGGAAAGTAGAATACTTTCCGGAAAAAAGAGGTGATCAAAAATTATTGAGCAAACTTCCGTGAATAAGGAGACCATTTATATTTGCGTCCTTCATCGAGTAAAGCTGCGAAGTTGAGAAGAAAGGAAATGACGCAAGACTTCATTTACGGTCTACTTCAATTTTTCTATCTTTTACCACTGATGGTTCGTTGGAGAGGAAAGGAAAGGGAAACCAATATTACTTTTCAGACAATCGTATTATTGTCATGCATGAAACAGAAGCGCACAGTGCAGAGGGAGACGTCGGCCGAGCAATCTAACTTCGGACATCACCAGATCTTGACTCAGACTCATCAGACCGACGATCTTGCCAACGTCGAATTTCTGGCGAGTTTTTGATGATTATTCTCTGAAAAACGTTGTCTAGACGCCGACATTGGGAGTCGCGTGCTGCGATGATCAGGCTTCTCATGAGGCTCAAATGCGCCACAACACTTTGACCTACCATCCCCATCTGATTCTTCAGCCAGAATCCATACGGGACAACACCACCGACGCAAGTTTTCCTATGAATCTTCCCAACCGCCGATCGAACCTTCAGGAGGAAATCAAGAAACTTCTTGCGAAGCATCCAAAGCACCCAACCCAGAAGTTCCGCGCCACACTCAACTCTGCGGCCGAAGAAAAAAGAAAGAGATTAGAAAGAGAAGCCAAGTGGAAAAAGTTTCCTTGAACTTCCTTGTAATATATAATTTTACGATTTCAGCATTCATGTAAAGTTTCACAAAGACGCACTTGTCTACATTGTAAGATCGACCGACGCCGCGAGAGCCAGGGTACTTTCATTCCTACCGCATTAAGAAAAAACCCTCTCAGGAGGATGATGGCGGCGACACAGCCGACACTCTCACAGGAAAGGAAAGAGATGCGGCTATGAACGACGAGGAGAACCAAAGAGTAAGACTGAGCAGACACAATTAGATTTAAAAAAAAAAAAAATTGATCGACAAGTACCTAATAACCAAAGGACCGTTTTTGACTGCACTGAAACAATTTCGAAAAAAAAACTCATTATTTCTCATTTTGCCAAAATCCCTATATAACTTGAAAATTTATTCCTCCATCGAAATAAACAGAACCTTTGTAAGAACACAAAAAACTTTGGTCTCTTTAATTTCTCTCGATAATTTCAAATAAAATATTTGTGCTTCAGACGCCATCGGAGATCGCGATGACGGAGCCAGAGGGAAAGGATAAGAAACTCGCAAAAGAACTTGCAAAGCTTGCAACCAACCAACCGGAAAAGACAGTCGACACGGTGGAGATTTCGATCGCCGTATGACCTGACTGAGACGACTTTTCAGACGCAACAGTCGAGTCGCAAAGAAAAGAAACGAGAAGAGATGAAGCTGCCGCCCTCGTCGAAACTGCCGGCCTCGTCGAAGATGCCGGCTTCGACGAAAATGCCGCTCTCTGGGGAAAAGGGCAACAAGACGATTCAGTCGGTTCTGAAGCAGCCGCGGTCGAACGAGGAGACTTCTGGCGAGGAGAAAAAACGAACGAAGCCTTCTCGTCACTCCAATTGAGCATGTCCTGCACGTCTATTCACGACTCGCACAACTTATTTTCGCACCTCGGTCGAATGTTCGACAATTTTTTTTTGTTCACTTCATGGAATGAACATAGTTTCCGGAGCCTTACCGAGAGTCCAAGTAGCCTGGCGGATTCCATGAGGAGCATGAAGCAGCCGCGCGTCTCCACTTCCATCTTGGCCAGGGTCGATGTGTGCAGCGGCCATTTCGCCTTCAAATTGAGCGTTTTTGATAACACGAAGAAAATTGGAAACCTTTTTCAGAACAATTTTCTAAAATCTTTACCACTAAAAATGGTGAAAAAAAAATGAGAGGAATTTCATTTCGACCATTTGATTACTCAAAGAGTTGATTGGGTCAAACAAAATTATGTCTTTAAAGTAACTTCTGGGAAACGCGAATTTATAATGATGATGATGATTAAGATTATCTCTCTCTAAAACTTCGGTACCTTTTTCCATCTCTAACGGCAATTTTGAAATTCGGCGGAACTATTTTGAGCACGATATTAATATAGATGATTCAAAAAATATTCATTTCACCTTTATTCTCAACTCTTTTGAGAAATTTTTTCACCTGAGGCTGTCCGAATACAGAGCGACGTGTAGAGTAGTCTCGAGCCAAGGCGATTATACTGAAATAGGTTTCAGAAGGCTGACAGAGGGGTTTCGGCGAACCGTCGCATGCCGGCGACGGACGCGACGGCGTTGTGGATTCGCGTGATATTGAGCATATTGGAGATGTTGGCGACGCCGCGCCCCTGGTCTCCAATACGCTCGGCCAAGGCGCCGTCCAGGAGCAATTCTGCCGTCGGCAACTCAACTTTGTCTTTGGAATTGGCTGCCTGATCACTGAGAAACCTGCCGAGTTCCCAGTTTTTGCTTCAGTCGAACCATCTGGATCCCGTTGAGGTTTCCGTCGTCGTCGCGAATCCGCAGAAGGAACATCGACAGTCCTCGAGACCCCTGAAAAGCACAATTGATAAATGTTCGACTCAAGTCTTTGAACAGAAAATATACTTCATCGTTTTTCCAGATACCAATTTAGCGTTTAATCTGCGTTCAATTTGTACTTTCTGCTCTTCCATGATATCGTAAAATGTTTCCAAACTAAAACCACTCAAATTTTTTCTATCACTTCAATACGGAGTTTTTTGTTTCAAGATTAGAAATTTTTCAGCTATGCTACAGTTCTTTCAAAACATCACCTGCAAAAAGTTTTGCGTGCGAAAGAAAGAATTGTGACACTGAGAAAATGAAAAAGAAACCTCCAAAGTGGTCCCGTCTGGGTCGACGACTCGTGCCAGGGTGAGGGCGACGTCGGAATCGATCGCCGAGCTGAACCATTTGTAGCCGTGCAGACGGTACTTGTTGTCGCCGACGTGCACGGCGTAGGTGTCGCAGCCGCCGCCGACGTCGCTCCCGCCCTTCTTCTCGGTCATCCACTGGCCAGAAGTCCACGCCGTCGCCGGATCTCGCGACCGAAGACGTTCGATGGCTTCAGTCGCCAGAGCGTTTTTTCCGTGAAGGTCGAGGGCCTGAGAGACACGGGCCCAATAAAAAACGGAATACTTCCAATATAAACACCAAATTTTTGACCCAGAGTCCATAGATAGTCAATGCAGCTTTTTGAAATATAGGTAGATGAAAACAATTTGAAGATATTAATAAATATCTATTACAGAAATTTTCGACTTCCCGTCATTTTGGAGAGCTTCTTGGAACAGATAAAAATGTCTATGATCGAAAAATTGATCACACTCCTATTTAACGCCTTTTCTCCAAGAATTCCCCCTTTTTACCACCTTTCAGCACTTTTAATTGCAGTTCAATTTTTGTTTCTCATCGAATTTCAAGAACGAACGAGCAAGGTCTTGATGGCGCCGTCGGTCATGGCCATGGGACAGGTGACAAGGCCGGCAGACGGCGAGAAGAGGAACAGTTTGGCGACTTGATGAAGACGTCGCGTGTAGGCGTCCGTCTCGTCTTCGTACCCGATCCCTACGAGAAATCGCTGTGAATGGAAGGAAGACCTCAAGGTCTACCTACAATCCCTTCCTCTGCGCACACCTGCTTCAACTTCTTCCATTCGTTGCATGTCACCAGTTGGTCTACCTGAATCACCTGTTTCGTTTCGAAATTCCCACTTGGACTGTTTAGTTCGTTCTTAGTCTCATATCATCCTTGAAACATAAAGATTTCAATTCAATTCAATCACTTTATTTCGCAAATTTCTTCAAAAAATTTGAAACTCTTGAAAGCTATCCTCTTGAAAAAGATTCTGGATATGTATAAAGATAGTTGCAAAGCTGTTTTTAAAAAAATTGCCGATTTGAATCAGAAAAGTGAAAAAAGTGCTGGAAAAAAATATTTTTTCTTCTTAATAAGAACTACTTTTTCTCGATTTTTGAGAAAACTTGTAGAAAAAATTCACACGGATGGAAACGAGGGAATTTTCTCATTCATCAAGTTTTGGATGGAAGCCTGAACGAACCCTGCGACCCCAGGCGTCGTGCTGCTCGAGTCGCGGAACTTCGACCTCAGCTTTTCTGCCCATCGCGTCGATTTCACTCACGACACGATCTCCGAAACGCACCAAGTCGTTCGCCACCTTCATCGACAGAATATTTATCGAAAAAACTGGGAGAAAACTTTGGCGTACTGTTGCTGCGGCAACAGTCGGCGCAGCACTCGGTCCAACAACGGATCGTCTCTAAAACAGTCGCTTCAATTTTCCTAATATGGTATACCAACTAGAACAACTTCCGCCGAACCAAAAAAGAAAAAAAAAAAATTAATTTTGACAAGGGCTGTGTTCGCGGTGAACATCGAGTTATGAATTGAGGCTTTCATGGTAGATAGACCTAGGGAAGAGTGCTCCAAAACAAAAGAGAAAATCTGCTAAGCGCCATAGGGTACCGAGAAAAAGCTCGTCAAATTTTTGCCGCCACGTATATCCCCGCGCTCGGAGTGCTCGGCAAGCAACATGGAGCGTGGTGAAGTGGCAGTGTTCTTGAATGGCGCTGACGCTATGCTAGGTTCGATTCCTTTTGACTTTTTTTTGCTCTTGTTTTTTCAATTCTTCTACATTCTATTCTACGGTTCTGATAATTGGTTCATGGCTTCCGAGATCACAAAAAGATGAAATCGAAGCAAAAATATAAGTGAAAAATCACTTATAATCCTGCGAAAAAAAGAAACCAAGTATGAGTACGAGCCCGAAGAGCACAGGGAGCCCTGTCAATGTATTTTCGCATTCTCCATGAAATTCATAACTCGATGTTAACCGCGCACACAGCCCTTGTGAGGTCAAACTTGAAACGCCTATCAGACTTTCGGAGAAGTTTTAAAAGAAATAGAAAATTATCATAAGTTTAAATGTTTTCATATATCCCTTTTTCTACAAGTTTATTCATAAAACGTTTCAAATTTACTCGATTTAGTAGTCTCCGATTCTCATTAACAAGAAAAAATGACTTTTATTTTTATTTTCTAGAACCTTTTTCATTGAAAATTCGCTTTAAGAGTATTCATAATATCAACAAAAAAAAAGTTGAATAACGATCTTTATGCACTTTTATTATCCGTGAAGCTAAATTTCTGAATTCCTCGAACAACCCAACTGTTAACGAATTCCGCCCACTGTTGTGGACGAATCAAAAAGTTTCTCTCTTTCGATTTTTTTGGAAGATACTCGTATAACTCAACCTTTTGGAATGAATCGAAGAACGAAAAAGCTCACTTATAGGGGTTATGGAGGACGGGGGCCGCCTGGCTGAAGCCGCCAGTTCTGGCGTGGCTGTACAACGACGTCTTCGTGGAAGCCATTCTAAACAAAAGAAGCCCAAAAAAGTGAGCAGAACTCAAAAAAAGAAAAAGAAAGAAACAACAACAAGACTAACCTGGCCGCGTTTTTTATCGTAAACGTGTTCATGACCAAGACAGAATGAGAAAGCGACAAACACAGCCTGGCTACGGTGTAGCTCAAAATATTTCGATTGTTGCTTCTATCTGAGGCCTTCAGGAGGTAATTGAAGATATCACGGTCCACAAAATTCCTAAGGGCTTGAAAAAAGGTTCTACACCTCGTACAAATTGTTTGGAGACCTTGTTTCAATTTTTCGAAATCATCTTTTTTTTTACTAAAATTTATGATTGCTACTCGTTCGGACTTTCGTGCTCATTTTCTTGGCTGTCAATGAAACTTTTGCGGATAGAATTACCTATAGTCTCTTCCAAGACCTTTCTTTTGATGAAAAAAATAATTTAATTATGATCACAAAAATTTTTTTATGCTGTTTTTTTTCGAAAGATCTCTTAGTATAAGTTTTTCATTGTGAGAAAAAAATTATATTCCACACTAAAAATATATGTTCATTCAAAAAAACTCTAACAAAAAAACCCCGCCTTAATTTCATGATTCTTCCTGATTCATTTTTTTTCATCAAATTGATAGGATAAAAATAAAAAAACTGGGGAAAAATTTCGACCGAAACACGATATCTATATATCCACATTTCTGAACCATTTACTGTCAACAACAACAGAATAAACACCCAACAACCAAAATACTAGAGTTTTAATAGCAATCACAATGCCATGGGTGGGCGGGGAACGTAAGGCCAAAGACAGCAAAAAGGCGACATGATCCAGCTGAGCAGAAGAAAAGGCAACGAAGATGTCACTAGTGTGTGTAATGTACATAACCGTATCCCAGGGGAGAATTAATGATGCTTTTCTTTGAAAATAAATGAAGTTCGTTGATAAAATGTGACACAAAATGGAAAATACTGGGAAACATTATAATGACTAGCATGGGACTTTTTACTAAAACGAAACAGATATCACAGGGAAACAGAGAACAAAGAGTCAATGAAACATCGAATGGAGACAATTTATGTTTATAAAAATCTCTGAATAAAAATTTAGGCAAAAACAAAAGAGACCTTCGATTCCTAAGACTCTGAAACGCGGAAAAAAGAAAGATTCAAAAAGTCAGGAAGGACACAATTTATTGTCGCCCACAACAAGAGTTGAATTGGTTTTGGGCTCGTTCGATAAGCCTTATCGAGCCGGTTCCGTTCGCCGTTGACGTATCGCTTTTGTACTGGTTGAACCTGGATTTACCACTTTTGGTGAAACATATTATTTCTTTCCGGATTCTGAAAAACCTCTCGTCGGTGGCCTTCATGTCGTTGGTCAACCTCGTGGCGACCTGCTCGAAAAGCTGATCTACATTGGTCGCATCCAAAGCCGACGTCTCCAAGAAATAATCGAAGTTGTTCACCTCAAAAGGAATCTATCAAAAGAAGCAAAAAATGATTCAGCACAAAGGTTGAACTTTTTTTGATTTTTGCTATCCATGACACCTTTTGAAAGCATTTGATAACTTCCACAAAATAATCCACAAAAGAAGCTTCTAAAATTTATTTTCTAAAAAGGAAAAAGCTTTTTAAGGCAATGAACTATTTGGGTATTCTAGTCAGCCTATTATTTATTGAATATACTTTCCAAAATATGTCTAATATAATTGGTTACGCCCTATGAAATCTTCCATGAAAAAAATTCAAGCAATGATTTGAACTTTTTTTCTTGTTTTTTTTTTCAAACTTCGAAAAAGATTTCAGCTTTTAAGTTGCCAGCAAAATAAACATTTAGAAATTATGAATTACTCTTCATCGATTCCCGTTTAACCGTAATTTGTATCACTTTTCTATTAAATCTTTTCTTGATTTCCTAAAACCTAATGGAGTTAATAAATGAATAAAGTTATACCTAATAAAGTTGATCCGATCCAGAAGTTAATACAAGTGAAAAATAAAGGTTAATATTTTGAAGTTACAAAAAACCACAATTTGCCTCCTCATGAAATCGATTAAACTGGTTGAAAAAATTATTGGAAACATTATTGAAAATTTTACAACTAAACCTTTCAATTAAAATCTTTTAGACCTACGAACTTGACCTTAAGCTTAAAAGGACACCAATAAACAAACTGATTTCAAAACAAAAAAGAAGAGGAAAATCAGTTCTACCTCAGAGAAATCGAGGCCTATCCTCTCGGGAACTTCCCGCTCGTCGCCTTTATCGACCTTGTTCCCTGAACGAAGAGATTTTCGAAGAAAACAGAGAAGAAGGCAAACCGACGAGGATCTTGAGAACTCTCCGGTTTGCGTAGCTCTCAATTTCGCCCAGCCATTCAGGAAGACAGTCGAAAGACGGCTGGCAAGCCACGTCGTACACCAAAACTATTGCGTGGGCGCTTCTGAAACCTTTTTTCTTTCGTAGGATTCCAGTCATTTCTGTTTGGATCATGAACAATAACTTTAATGTTTTTTTTTCTTTTTTTTTGAATATTGAAATTTAAAAGTACGAGTTATAGGAAATTATGAAGTTTCTTATGACAGGTGGAAGACCAATAATATAGTGCAAATGAATTGGAAGACAATAATTTTTTTTATTTTTTTAATATTTTTTTCTCTTTTTTTGCAATTTGTTAAGGACCTACAAGATTACAAGTTAAGTTACGTACAAGAAGTAAAAAAAGTTTTAATTTTATTAACCAAAAAAACCTAGCTTTATTACCGTAATACGACCGGTCGCCTTAAACATGCGTGGTTTGAACATAAATAAATTTAAACGTAGTAGCTTTGCGTATAACTTTTACAGTCCACAAATATAATAATGACTTGAAAGAGATGGAAGAAAAGGTTTAAAAAAAAGCGCAAAAATGTGCCAAATACGAAAGATAAGAATTAATTCTTTAAATGGACAAAATACCTGTAATAACTCTGAGTGATCGATCTGAACCTCTCTTGTCCAGCTGTGTCCCAAATTTGTAACTAGAACAATCATTTTGAGAAGGAAAATTAAATAAAACTCACCTTGATCTTATCATTTTCCACTTTGACCGTTTTGATCATAAAATCAACGCCTATCGTCGCACTTTGTCCCGGTGGAAAAATCCCCTAGAAAAAACCTTATGAAATTGATTCTGGAATAATAACAATTGATAAATAAAGAAAAAAGAAGCTTGGGATCAATGCGAGAAAATTATGTTAAAAAAATACGTTCAACTAATTAATCATGAAAATATACTTTCTATCCCCTGTTTGAAACTAAAATGACTATAAGAAAAGTATGAATTTTTTCAAAAACCTGTGTAAATTTCCGGACGAGACATGTCTTTCCGACGCCCGCATTCCCCACAAGAACTACCTTGAAAAGGTATTTGTAGTCCTCCATCCAATGATGGCGGATCTGCAAAAAAACAGAATAAAAAAATTAAATTTCTCGAAGAGAGAAATTTGACAAAGTGAAGAATTGATATAATTAATTTTTAAAAAAATCACTTTAATTGAAAAAAACTTTTCGAAAAAAAGCGTTTTTTTATTTTATTTAAATATTATAGAAGAACCAGTTTTTCTTCAAAAAGTTGTGGAAAAACTAGAACACGTGGTTTTGCGAAGTGTGAAAAAAACGATTCTAATCGATTTTTTTAGCAGAAAGCATAAACTTCCCACACAGAAAAAGTTGTTTTAAATTCTCCGTTTGCCATCCTCTCTCAAATTTTATTCTAAATTGAACTTAATTCAGCTCTTCATTTTTTTATCCGATGGACTCTTGAAAAAAATATTTCAAAATTGAAAGTCCAGAAAGCTTCTATTTATATGAAAAAAACTCAACTAATCAATTTGTTAATGATTCAAAATATTCCTTTCAGGGAGCTTTTAAAAAAAAACATGGTTAAAAAAACCAAACCTCTTTTTTTCGATACAACTTCACTTTTAGAAGAAAGCAATACAAGCTAAAATTTTTAAAAAAATAAGAGCTTACCAAATCTTTTTAGGAATAATTTTTCAGATATATAGAATAAATTTGGTTTTCACAAGATATTAACTCTCAAATAAATGCATTGAACGCTGGAAACAATTTCCAACTTAGGACAAGCATTTTTTGTTTCAACTATAAGGTTCCGGATAATAAAGAAAAAACGAAGGAAAGGGAAAAGAGACGTACAATAACGTGGGGATCGATCGCCAAGTTGCCAAAAACGGAGATTAAGCGGAGATTGGGACGGAAAATCGCTTACCAGGGAGCTGGTCACTCCAGCCGCGGACCGATTACACAAATATATCCACCTGTCCCGGCCGTCCAACAGCGCGTAATTCACTACCACAACAACTTTAACAGACTGTCAAACTTCCATCATTTTATGAGTTGCATTTTAAAAGATATTTTGGAAGACTTTTTTTCCTTTGTTAGGAGTCTATACGAAAAAAATTTTTCTTTAAATTATTTCGAAGTCAATTACAGCCAAATTCTCGTTCAAAAAAAGCTGAAAGGCTGAGAAAAAAAGGTTTGTAACTTTAAATAAATAATCAATTTGAAAGATGAAACAGACGTCTCAAAAATATCCGTGAGCTAAAGCATTTCTACATTAAATTTCTGTCATTAAACCTCTATTGAAGCCAGGAAAAGCACGAGTTTGTGAGTTTTCATAAATCACTAAAATGAAATAAAATTTCTACCATGCAATAAGGAGAATTTGAATTTGGAGTGAAATAAGCCCATGAGACGAGAAATTCGGCGACAGCCTTCAATCAAATTTCAATTTCGAGTAAGAAGCCAAGACAAGTCATCTGGGTTCTGAGAAACAACCGTGGAAATCATAAATCAACCCAAACACGTGCGCAACACTCAAAATAGAGGTCTATCGGAATTCAGAAGGTCAAGAAAGAAGCAGGGAAACTTGCGGAGATTCTAATAAGACCGGTTGTTGTTATTCGAAAGGAACACGAGAGTTTCATTTTACTCGAAATCTGGAAATCTGACGAATTCGATACTCCAATTAAAAATTCGAATCTGATTTTTTGGAAAAAAAAAAGTAAAACCTTCTGTGATTGTATAATCCGTTTAGAAGTCTTCGCTCGGGTGTTTTAAACAGTATGGATTTAGTTTATAAAGTTTTTTTTTTCAAGACTGAGAGCCATGTTCACTTACGTCTTTCAAAATTTTTTTGACTTGTGGGATATTTTAAAGACGAGAAAATTGAAAATCAAGACCTTAATCGTTAGGCGGTCGAGCTGTTTGCAAATCACAGATTTTCATGTTCACACGATTCCATAGTATCGTATTAGACAACTACATTTCATTTTACTTTTTGAAAAAGTTTCAGAGTCCATGAACGAAATTTTCAACGACGTAGTTATCTTTTGTTATATTAAAAATAATGAAAACAGAGTGAATTTTCATAGAGAAGTTTAACCTTATTAGTAGCGTAGTTGCGTTGCTGCAGCGAAGACATTTTTTAGAGAGCGCTCCGAGAATGCCAAGGACGAGGCGAATGGAGGGAAAATTTCAAAGTCGAGAAACAAAAACGTGTACTAGCCATAGGAATTCAGCGATCGACAAAACAAAAAGATGTTTCCCGCACTTAAAATTCCATTTCGTCAGGCCGTGCGAGGCATCGAATATAGGAAAAAAGCAATTTAAAAAAAAATAAAAGTTTGATAGGAAAAACTAACAAATTTCTGAACTCAAAACTGAAATAAAATGTTGTTATACAATCACTAACCTTTGGAAAACAGCCATCGGCGAAAAGTTAAACTGCTCCTCACATAATTCTGTGCAGAAACCAATCAACTTCGACATCATAACTGAAATAATAAAATTTTTAAAACTTGATAAATTCCAGAAAATGAAAACGATGACTTCCAATGAATATTTGGAAAAAGCACGGAAAAAAGCCAATAGAGTCGAAATTCTGGCGGAAGAGTTGAAAAGACTGATAAGAGACAACGAACACGACAATCAACGGCTGGAAAGGCTCACACAGAGGTGACATTCCTCAAAAAATTATGAAAAATCCGAAGAAATTTTTTTTTTCCAAGAAAACAATCTAAAAATAAAAATATATGCCGCGTTCGAAGCTGATTTGACTCGCGCAGCGAAAAAGTTTTTCTGTTACAAAAGCCGAAACGCGTCGAAACGCAGCAGGTGCACACGACGTGATTGGTTAGCTCCGCCTTTTTGGCAATTATCCAATATTAATTTATTTTCAAAATACTTTTCTTGTCAGCTGGCGGGCCCAACCAATCACGTCGTGAGAATCTGCTGCGTTTCGGCTCGTGCTTTTGAACCAGTAAAACTTTTTTGCTACGCGCGTCAAATTAGCTTTGAACGCAGCAATAATGAAAGATGAAAAATGTATTGAAAACATGTCTTAAAAAAACAGGTAGGTGGAAGTTTTTTTAAGAAAAAAATTTTATATACTTCTCTCATTTATTTCGCGGAGATCTCTCTTTTTTTTGCCGTGTTCAAAGTAATTTCCGCGAAATGCGAAATTGTCTCTGACCCTCCAAAATTTAGTTATCTTTCTCTTTCTCTGACGGCTATTTTGAATTTCGTGGAATCACTTTGAACACGGCATTATATACAAAAAAAAAGTCGTTAAATATGATGCTTCTCGTGTGTGTGCCGCCGACGAAAATTTGCATACTGCCGTTCTTTTCATGAGCTGCGCGCGCTGCGTTAATTAATTTTTTTTAAAGTTGAGTTGTAAAAATCTTCTCACAGAATTTTCTTGCATGGAACACATATTAAAACATCTGATTACTCTTTTTAGTCAACATATACAAACATATCTACAAAAAAATAAATAAGAAGCCAAAATTTTGTGATTCAACATTTTCAATCATTTCCCTAAACATTAGAGTTCTCAAAACCAAACGTTCGAACGAACGTTCGACCAAACATTTTTCGAACAAATGTTGAAACCAAACTTTTGGTTAAAGTTTGAAATGAACGTTTCGTTCAAAAAGTCATTTTATTAAAGTTTGCTTTTGAACGTTCAACCAAAATGAACGTTCATTTTTCATTTTAAAAAATTCGTTCAAGAAATGAACGTTCATTTTCCATTTCAAAAAAGTTCGTTCGAAAAATGAACGTTCATTTTTTTCGTCCGTAAAAAGTTCGTTCAAAAAAACGAACGTTCATTTTTCTTTTTAAAAAAGTTTGTTGAGAAAAATGAACGTTCATTTTTTTATGTTAAAAAGCAAACGTTCATTATTATAAGAAAACAATTTTTCGAATTTTTTTTGGTTGAACGTTTGAAAATGATCTATCCTAAACTATCGAAAATGAAAAAGTTCCTTTTTTTATAAACGGTCATTTTTTGAACGTTCGGTTTCGAGAACTCTACTATAGCTGATTCACGGCTGGTTTGAGCCGTCGAAAAAAAGGTCCTGACACGATAAGGGAAGAGACAGTGTCTGATTTGTAGAGAGCGCAGACAGGCCACGCCCCTTTGTGTCCCAAGCCAGCGGTGAATCGGCTATAACATATATTTAGTGTCGCTCCCAAAGCTTATTTGATGCGCGCGGCGAATTCCAAAGCTCTGACACAGGTCGCCCCACGATTTTAGGCAATCGCCTCGATACGCATAATCAGAAAGAAAATGTAGGAAATGAAAGAAAATGGATGAAAAAAGATGGAAAAAATTAACGAAACGAAAATAAAATGTCATGTACAAAATAATGGGCAGGAGGGGGTTTATAAATATTTCTTTCAATCATAAGGCCTCAGAAAGCCTCAAAAAAAGTTCTCTGATTTTCATAATTGAAGAAAAAATTGAAAAAAACGCGGGTATTTCGATATATTAATTAGCAATAAGAGAAAAGTTGCAGGAAAAAAACATTGGAAGAAAATCTGGAGCGTATGAGTGATATGGCAAAGCATTCTTCACTCGCTGAGAATAACAAAAAGTTGCTCGCATACATCGAAAATCCAATGGTTTATAAATTTCTCATATGTTTTTCTGTTATCGATTTCCGATAGGATTTCGACGTGATAGGCGCTGAGAAGTACCAAAGCAAAATGAGCGAGCTCAGAATCCTGATCAACGAGATTATTGTTTTCACAAGTCTGAACGAAAGAGCGATGGTGACGGTTGGTGGAATGAGAGGACAAAACCAACCGAAGAGTTGTCAGGAGATGGGACATCAGGAAGCCGAGTTCTGCGCGAGACTTTGCGACGCGATCAAGGCACGCAAGCTTCTAGCAACAGCTTCTTTGGAAGCGCAGCAAACCGTCGAGGATTTGATGAAACGACGCGCCGACCTGTGGGAGGTACCTTCACTTTTTGTTTGGCGTTTGAAGTCATTCAAAATGAATGAACTGCAGGCCGTTTCTCAACTAGAAAGTCAGGTGGAGTTCTACGAAAGTGAAACATGGCTCTGCAAGACGGAAAATCGGAGGTAAATCCGTAAAAGATTCAACTTCGTAATGTTTTTAGACTGAGCGACGCGATAAACAAAAAAACACGAGAGCCCAAAGTTTTTGACTGTGAGCAAAAGCATTTGGCTGAAAAACGCAAGGAGCCGCCTCATCAGCCCAAAGATTTCGAGCAAATCTTAAAGCCGGCCAAAACTCAAACTGGAAGTCAGAAGTCGTCGACAAGCAGAAGCCGCACGTCATCGAGTTTGCTCTCGCTTCTGGACAACAAAAGTTCAATTCCTCATTCTTCTCTTCTTTCTTACAGCGAACAGTGCTCTGTAAGTCTTTTCCGAACAGTTCCAAAAAAATTTGAGCTATACAGACATCGTGTCAGACAGAGGTTCTTTCGATGGACAGCCTGAGTCAGTTTTCATCTTATTTGCGAAGCTATGAACAAAGTTGCAGAGAAAGTCGCGGCCCGAAGCACCTGTCCTATGCATGGGAACAAGGCTTCGTCACAACCTTCAACTGTACCCTTTGACTTGATGGCCATTGTTCGAAAGGCTCTCGGAGAAGAGTTTCAAGCGTCTTTGTAAAATTCCTTGACAGTTGGATAAATTTGCTTCTCAAGTGGGAAGTTCGAAAATAATTTATTTCAGCAAACAAAAGAGTGAAATATTTACATTCTAGTGTTTGGATCAAAAAAACTGCAGTATTTACAAAGATAGATTTACATGGACCAGGTGAAGTCGTCGGAAGCGAGCTGGACGGCAGTGCTTCGCGGATGGTACAGGCTTGGCTCAAGCGAGTCGACAAGGTTGAAGCTTTGACGGCGGTCTGTTGAAAACGAAGCATCGCTACTCATTGAGTCAGAACGCACGCGGCCGTCTGAAATTCCAGAAACTGAATCGCTACTCTTTCTCGATCTAACAAAATGCCACAGTTGTGAAATTTCCAGAGCTATCCTCCTAATTAACCTAATTTGAATAATTCTTAGAGCAGAGTATGATAGATTCAAACTTTCATCATCTTTTTAAAAACTGATTGGCTTTTAAAAATTCTTTCATCCATTTTTTAAAACTTTTGCTTTGAAACTTTAAATGTTTTTTCGCCCGAGCCACATTTCTCACTGTCAGTTCTGTGAGTTTAACCAAATACACATCAAACATCAAATTAAGAACCCAACTACATTTTTTAGTTGAACTTCGTTCCAAAATCATCAGAAATTGGATAAATTAGATGTTATATGGAAATTGATAAATATTCGAAAAGACAAGAGTAAAGTTTTTCTCCTATTTCGTTTTGAAACAGTGCTTCTAATATCACTAGTCACTTTTCAATCATTTTATTCTACATCTAGCTTTCATATAAGGCAACCTATTGGTAAGTACCTGATGACTGTGGCTGGTACATTATGGGCATCTGGCGCTCGCGGATCTTCTCGAGGTTGCGTTGCGGTTGCGGCTGAGGCTCCGGAGGCTGGATGTCCATTTGCTTCTTCTTCTGAGCCTCCAACTGCTCGTCGTTGCGCTTTCCAAACATTTTTGAACATTTTGATTGGGTCTTGTAAAAAAATTTCTGAACAAATTAACATTATTAGAATGAATTTTGTAAAAGCAGAATGAAAAAGTGTAATTTGTGAGTTATAAGAGAAAAAATCGGAAGCAGTTGCTCGGTGTGCAAAATGGGACAGAAGGGGCCTATTTATAGAGAATCTTGTTGACGAAATACCCGCAAAAAGTGTATTCCGCACGTTCACGTGGTCAGAAAGAGCGGTCGGATAAACAAAAACAGAAAAGTGGCGCGGTTTTTGAGGCGCCGAATTATCTGTAAACATCTTTTGAAAAGCTTATCTCTTGAAATCCATTTCATCATTTCCCGTAAAATGATTTTCGGGCAAAACTGAAAAGCTCCCCAAGAAAAAGACAAAAAAAAGGCCTGTAAAGGGTCCCCAGCAGATCTTTTTTATATAATTTCATTTCTTTTTTTTGCATCTTTTTCACATCCTCTGACAAAAAGGATGCTAGAAAGCAACTAAGAAGATTCTAGCGGATTCAAAAAAGATCCTCTGGGCTATGAAAAAGGTGCTCAAAAGCCTTGTTTACATCATTTTAGAGCTTTTAGAGGAGCCTTTTTACCTCCCTCTCAGGATCCTTTGAGGATCCCCAACGGAACTATTTCGTTTTACTTATGTAGATCAACTAAACTGCACTAAACGCACTTTTTTTTTCGATTTTTCAATTCATTCAGTTTTCAGAGTAAGATAAGGAGAATCTCTGCTGCAAGCCAGTTCAGACCTACAGGGACCCGTACGGTTTGCACTGCGCCGTCTCCTGCGGCACGGTGTTTTTTTCATTACGCAAGGTCAAGGCTTTTCGTAAATTATGATGCTTAGGGTGTAAGCACACCGAGACGCAATATCGCATACTCAAAATGTTTTTTTTTCAATTTTAGAATTTGCGATTTCAGGATAATAGCTCCTGAAAAGTTCGAAATTTGTCAGTTTGAAGAATATGATGTGAAAAAACATTCACTTACGTTAAAAAACATTTGGGAACGATTTCGAAAGGGGAAAACTCTAAATTACTGATTACAAAGTAAAAACAAAAAATAATATGAAGGTGAATCAGCTCCCATTGAATAAGCATTTATAAATACGAAAGATATTGAAATGAGGAAAAATTTCGAGAAGCAAAATGAAAAAAACATTTTATATACCTCGAAAAACCTAGCTTCAGAAAAAAACAAATAATGGATAGAAAGCAGAAATTTTTAGAAAAAAACCTCGTATGGCGAAATTTTTTTGTTTAAATCTGAAAAAAACCATCAAAAAAACTAGAAAAAAATATATAATTTAGATGATTCATATATCGAAATCATTAAACTGCATCAGCAAATTCAATTTGGCTCTAATTTACACGAAACCGGTTTCAAACTACGTCAAAGGAACTAGATAATATCTTTTTATTATTAACTGATTAAATTAAAAACTATAGTTTCCGAAATAGAGTGACTCTTTTCATGTCGCGAAACAGATTTCAAAATTTTAAAAAATTAGGACTTTTAGAAAAATCTTCAGCTCTTTTGAGAAAAAAGTTAAAGATCTGAAACCGTTTTAGAAAAATGCGCAATTTAAAGCTCCACAAGATGTACCCATAGAGAGGCGGATCACATAAATGCAAGAAATAGAAAAAAGTAAAAAACCAATGAAAAAAGTGAAGAAATTCAATTTTTGCACCAGAAACCATGAGAAGGGCGCAATAATGCGCCATGGATAATATGCCGCTGGGACCCAAAATTTCGCATTTTTTTTTTCATTGCGCGGAACACCGTGCGGCGCGTCGCTCCAAAACGGTACTAATTTTTGTTTTAGAGCTATTTTTTTGCGTTTCGAAGCAACTTTCGTTTTGTCCGATGAACACGCCATTAAAATCTGAACATACTACTATAGCCACCTTACAAGCGGTCCCTACCATGAGACGCCATTATAGATAGCACTCCCAAAAGTCTCCTTTTGGCGCATTCCGCGTGCGTGCGCGCGCCAATTCAAATTTCGTCTCTTGGACTAGATTTACAGGCTTCCAGTATATGGTTCTTTTTGTATAATTTTTCTTGCATAAAAAAACTTCCAATTAATTTTACCCGGGTATCATATCTATGATAACTTGATATACGGGCAGAGTACCTGAAATTTTTTTGATTTCTACCGAGTAGCCTGGAAATGCTTCCCAGGTTTTTTTATTATTATTGTTTTTTTAGTCACTTCGGTTTTCTAATTTTTTTATTCATTCTGTTTTCAGACTTCCTTTGAAATTTGTATAAGCTTTTACACGTTGTTCTCCATTCGCTCATGAGAAACGAAGAATGAATTTCCAGCAGCACATTTCCTTATCATGCGAGGAGCTTTGAAAAAAATCTTATCTCCGCTCAAAAAAACTTTTCCAAAAACTTTTTTTCACGGACCTGCGCGGCATTTTTTTGAGAACAGATTTGGAAACAGCATGAAAAAAACTTCATTTAGTGAACTGGGTCTCATTCTGAAATCCAACTGCGACCAGACACCATTCCTTGGTCAGCTAGAGCTAAAATTTATGCTCGACGTCTCACGATGGACATATTATGGAATATTCAAGATTCATTTTAAGAGGTATATTTGTGGGCACATTATGGTACCTTTCCCATTTGCCTGTGCAAGTGAGTGAAGGCGAAAAATTTGAATTGGCGCTAAAACAAGAAAAAAACTTTCTTAAATAAAGTTAGATTCCCTAAATGAGTCAATATTAAATAAAAAGAAAAACTGGAAATGAATAAGTAAGAAAAAAATTATACAAAAAAAGAATTCTTTCTAGTGCCGTGTTCAAAGTAATTTCCCCGAAATGCAAAATGATCTCTGACTCTCCAAAAATTTAGTGATCTTTTTCCTTTCTCTAACGGGTATTTTTGCATTTCGCGGAATCAAATTGAACACGGCATAGAACCATATACTGGAAGCCTGTAAATCTAGTCCAAGAGACGAAATTTGAATTGGCGCGCGCACGCACGCGGAATGCGCCAAGAGGAGACTTTTGGGAGTGCTATCTATAATGGCGTCTCCCTACCATGTCTTAAAATGAGTGTCGTTAATTATCGTGAAACTTCGAATAACCATTTTATTCACAAAAAAAATGATTTGATCATCAAGTTGTGGCCCTAAAGAGGGCCGTTGGGTTCGGTTGCGCAAGTAAAACCTCAAACGTGAGAATTTACTTGCTAGAAGTGTACTTGGTGACGGCTTTGGTGCCCTCGGACACGGCGTGCTTCGCCAATTCTCCAGGAAGAATCAGACGGACTGCCGTTTGAATTTCACGTGAAGAGATGGTCGACCGTTTGTTGTACTGAGCAAGGCGTGAAGCTTCGGCGGCGATTCGCTCGAACACGTCGTTCACGAACGAATTCATGATTGACATAGCCTTCGAGGAAACTCCGGTATCAGGGTGCACCTGAAATTAATTTAATGAACAGTTTTTCTATAAATTTTTTCATAATATAAGGAAAAAATAATGGAACCTTTTTTTCCGTTTCTAAACAAATTTTTTTTCTGTTAAAATGAAAACCATACAACAACGTATTAGTTAAAAGTACCTGCTTCAGGACTCGGTAAATGTAGACGGAGTAGGACTCCTTGCGCTTGTGATGGCGTTTCTTGGTTCCGGAGGAGACTTTCTGAGTCTTGGCGGCTTTCTTAGCTCCCTTGGCGGACGGCTTCGGAGGCATGATGAAGGATCACTGGCGGTTGCAAGTGGGGTGGTGCAATCGATGTCGAGTGTTTTTATACATGGACACGGCAGAAGGTGTGGCTTGAGAGGCGTGGCCTGCCGAGTAGTAGTATTTAACCTTCGCGCGCGTCGAAATCCAATCTCGTGAGTGCTTCTCGCAGTTTATCATTCGACATGTCCGGACGTGGAAAGGGAGGAAAAGCCAAGACCGGCGGAAAGGCCAAATCGCGTTCGTCGCGTGCTGGGCTCCAGTTCCCAGTCGGTCGACTTCACCGTCTTCTTCGCAAAGGAAACTACGCTCAACGCGTTGGTGCTGGAGCCCCAGTTAGTTTTTTCTTTCTTTCAATTTCATTCTCTAAATACACGGTGTATCCCATTCCACGCTAGTTTTTCGCGTTTTTTTTTTGCTAGAAAGACCTTATACCAAGTTAGCTCAAATTCGACCCACTTCAAGTCCATTGTTTTAGATTTTTTTTTTTTTTAAAGTTTACTGTTTTTTCAAAATAGGGCCGTCTCGCGCGGTACGAAGCAGTAGATATGATTTTGTTTTGCAGGTCTACTTGGCTGCTGTGCTCGAGTACCTCGCCGCCGAAGTTCTGGAGTTGGCCGGCAACGCCGCTCGTGATAACAAGAAGACGCGTATCAATCCGCGTCATTTGCAGCTCGCTGTCCGTAACGACGAAGAACTAAACAAGCTGTTGAGCGGCGTGACCATCGCTCAAGGAGGTGTTCTTCCTAACATCCAGGCCAGCCTTCTGCCCAAGAAGACTGCCGGAGACAAGGAATAATTTTCTTGCACTCTCAAGCTAACCGAACCCAACGGCCCTCTTTAGGGCCACATCTTATAAACAAGTCCCTTATTTATTGTGTACCTTGAATAAAATATGTGAATTTTTTCATAAACCTGTCTACAACGCTGCATTTTTTGTTTTGGAGGAAATTTATGCCCTGTAAACATGGTATAGTCTGTTCAGATTTTGAATGTCAAGCAGCTAACTCCACCCCCAAGGCTACAATATCTTTCGCGTCTTTCGTGTTTTATCTACATATGCCAATGGCCCTTTAATAAGGCTGCTTTTTTGACTTCTTTTTCTATCTTTTAGATCGAAAAAGATCAAAAGGAATAATCCGACGTTACCAACATGTTTGATTTTGTAGTATAACCATTCGATTTGTCTCATTGAGACTTCCTCAGAATAATCACTCGATTGAAAACTGATAAAGTTCATCTTAATTTTTTCTAAGTGGTCAGCGCCGAATAATTTTATAATATTCGTACGTATCTCGACGAGACGGATCGAATGGTTATACTTTTATGCTGAAAATCAAACATGTTGGTAACGTCGGATCATACCGATCAAAATTAGTCCCGCGCGGTGAAACATCGACGCAAAAAGATACTGTGGCGGCAGCGGCGGAGTGAGCTTCTTGACATTCAAAATCTGAACAGACTTTAGCCGTTTGTAAAGTTCTCGGAGCATGATTCCTGTCGAATAGTATAGCCTATTCCGCGCCAGCTTGTCACATTTTTCTTTCCGCCAAAAAGACCGTATTAGATTAGATCAAATTTCTGCTTTTATAACGGCAAGAAACAAAAGGTCTAACGGCAAGAAACAAAATCGAAAGTTAGTTAAATTTGACCTGGCCTTTTGGTGTGAAGAAAAGCGCGGAATGGCCTATACAACAAACAATTTTGAGATTGCGGGGGCTTGGAAAAAATTCAGGTTTCATTAAACGAATTTTCACCGAACTGTTTTTGTTACTCAGTGTGAAAAGAAAAAGCAACATGTTCGCAATGACACTTTATACAAATACATTGGGATTCGATTACTGATTGTGGCCCTAAAGAGGGCCGTTGGGTTCGGTTGAGTTAAACTAGCTATTTAAGCTCGTTCTCCTCGGATGCGTCGAGCCAACTGGATGTCCTTGGGCATGATGGTGACTCGCTTGGCGTGGATGGCGCACAGGTTGGTGTCTTCGAAAAGACCAACGAGGTACGCCTCAGCGGCTTCTTGGAGAGCCATCACTGCCGATGACTGGAAGCGAAGGTCAGTCTTGAAGTCCTGAGCGATCTCGCGGACAAGGCGTTGGAACGGCAGCTTGCGAATCAAAAGCTCCGTAGATTTCTGGTAGCGTCGGATCTCTCGGAGAGCGACAGTTCCAGGACGGTATCTGTGGGGCTTCTTGACTCCGCCTGTAGCCGGGGCTGACTTGCGGGCAGCCTAAACACAATAAATATAGCTGACTGACCATTCAAAAAAAAAAAACGACCGCTTAAGGCAACCGGTTGCGGGACGTTACGAGTGATAAAAAAAAATAAATACCTTGGTGGCCAGCTGCTTGCGAGGGGCCTTTCCTCCAGTGGATTTACGAGCGGTTTGCTTGGTACGAGCCATGGCGATGCACTTTGAGAATTTTCTCGATAGGAGATTACAGTTTTTGTGTTCTTTTATAGTGTCGCCGGAGGGGCGGAGCTAACTTTCCGACCTGCCGTTGACTGCAGATTGGAGTCCCCGCATGGTGACACGGAGGCAGAGACTATAAAAACGATGTTTCGCGCTCAAAACCTTATCTCAAGCGTGAGTTTCGTTCTACTTAATCATGTCCGGCCGTGGAAAAGGAGGAAAAGGACTTGGCAAAGGAGGTGCCAAGCGCCATCGTAAAGTGCTTCGCGACAATATTCAGGGAATTACCAAGGTAAGAGTGTAGTTCCGATTGTCTCTTTTTCGAGTCAGTTTTCTATTTTTCAAACAATTTTTTTTCATTTTCAGCCTGCCATTCGTCGCCTTGCTCGACGTGGTGGTGTGAAGCGCATCTCAGGTCTCATCTACGAAGAGACTCGAGGAGTGCTGAAGGTGTTCCTTGAGAATGTGATCCGTGACGCTGTAACTTACTGCGAGCACGCCAAAAGAAAGACTGTCACCGCCATGGACGTCGTCTACGCCCTCAAGCGCCAAGGACGTACTCTTTATGGCTTCGGCGGATAACTGTTGAACTTCTGAGATTCTTCTCAAAAACCGAACCCAACGGTCCTCTTTAGGACCACAAATTCAAAAATCCTAACCTTATTTTTTTTCAATAAACCTATATTTTCATCATGAACTCTCTTAAATCTATTGTTTGCACTGGCTTGTTATTTTTTTTCTTCCTAAAAAGAATCAAATTTCACCCTCGTTTTTTCCAGGTTTTTTTTTTGCAGTGTTGTGAAGTGCAAAAAAAAAGCTGCTTTTTTCTGCTGTGATTATAAAAAGTGACCGCATATGTAGGTAAGACGAAAAAGTTCCTTTGAGGATCCTGGTTCTTCTGGTTCTTCTGAAAGCTCATAAAATGATGTAAAGAAAAAGCTTTTGAACCTTTTTTATATATAGCCTCAGCGGATCCTTTTTGATTCCGCGCGAATATTTTTAGTTGCATTCCAGCATCCTTTCTGTTCAAAGATGTGAAAAAGATGCAAAAATGAAATAAAATGAGATAAAAAAGGTCTGTTGGGGGCCATTTCAAGGTCTTTTTTTTTCCTGAGAAACGCTTTTGAGGAGCTTTCCAACTTCACCCGAGCGCGCAACACATTAACCGCTGCTCCGGTTAACTTACACGAGAATAACGATGTGCCATTTTTAAAGTAACTTTCCGCGAAATTGGATTTCTCTCTGAATTTCACTTTGAACACTAGAAAAATGTATTGAAATCCTTCGAGTTCATATGTGTAATATTTTCATATAATCAAGCGATAAAGCAATATAATAAAAGGAGGAAGAAACATGAAAAGAACGACAGAATAGAGGGCTCCATGAGTTGGAATTGAAAGAGTTGACGGTTAATTGAGAGACAATATAAAACAATTATAAGGCTCAAAAGGTCCTAAAAAAACAAAAAAAAAACTCAATCAACCAATCAAAATGTTCTCTAACCTGTACTAAAGGATCGTAATAGGCGAGTGGACACGCAAAAATCATTAAAGCAATTTAGGATATTGAAAAAAGGAGAAACCATTGAGAATTCGCTTTTTTTTTTCTCATTCCCTTTGCGTAGATTCATTCTTTACTTTTCGCCAAGGAAATTATATACTCTATTTAACGATATATCGTAGATAGAAATAACACACAAGCACAAAAGAATGAACAACGCTTCGAAGTAAAGCACCTAGTGTGGAAGTCTACATTGAATTGAACAATCTCATGGCGTTAATCATATAATTTGATAATTTGTACGAGTAAGTTTGCAGCTTAACAATATTAAGATTATAAGAACTTTTTTGAAAAGGTATGTCTCGGATATTTTCTAGTTTTGTTTTTCAGTTAATATAACTGATTGGTGACAGTTTCGAAACTGCTTCAACAAAATTTGAAGATTATAAAATGGAAGAAATCTATTGAATTATGTAAAAAATTAGGGTCGGTCACGGAACTGCTTGTAGAAGGACTGGACGTAGGTGAAGACACACTTCCAGTCTGGCCGGTCGCCCATCATTATCATGTCGTCGACCTCTAGTAAGGGGAAAATGCCGTTTTGCCTGCAATTCGCGTGTAAAGACATAGCTTCTCATTGGTTTCAGTTGACAAAACCATTTAGACGAACTTCATACTCTGAATTCATTCACACTTACGATCTGAGAATCAGTTCAATGATCAAAGTAATTATGAAAATGAACCTGCCGAACAAGCGTGTAGTCTTACTTAGACACATGAAATACAAACCTTTTTTTTTTGATTTTCCATAATTTCGTAAATAAAGATTTTTGATAATGTTTCTTATATAATAGATGTTTTTTAACGTTCTCTATCCGAAGCTTTTCATTGAGAAATCGAAAACTTTCTGCGTACGACTAACTCACGAAAAATACCTTTTTTTTGGATATGATTGAACAGTGCAAGATTTTTACGCTTCTTGCTAAGTATTCTCGTTTCACTGCGTATATGAACCTTGTAAAAAAATTCATGGAAAAATTTTTTTGATTTTGTGAAATACTTTTTAAAAAAATTGTACCTTAACTTTACAACTGCTGCGAACCCGCATACTTAAAACTAATGATTGGAAAAATGAGTAAAAAGCTGCAGAGCAAGTTTTTCTCTTTGCGACCCACGTGAACTAAAATAATCTCTTGAAGAAACTAAAATATCATCTGATCTATTTTTCTAAGAACTATGCTGCTTTCGATTCGAAAAAGTAAATTGTATTTATTTCAAAATCGCACTCACTCGGAGACGTTGAAGGCGAGTTCAAAGTTCTGCCTCCGATTGACGGGATTGAGCTTCTCGAAATCGAAGGCGTGGGGCGCGAAACGATGTATCAAGGCACAGAAAGCCATGCCGTCGGCCCACGACGACGAGAAATTCGTCACGTTGACGTTCTGAACCAAAAAACGTCGAAATCCGTGAGAATAATATCTTTTCGTCTCAGTTTTCACGCTTCGAAATGAGAATAAACATTGCAAAAAATGAAAAGAAAACTCGAAAAAGCTTCTGTCTTTTAAAAAATGTTTTCTGGAATTTTTAAAGGTGCAGTGAATTCACATGAACCGAACAAAAACACTATAAATGGCTCTATGTCTAAACCGTCGTTGAGATTTTGAGATTTTTAATAGGAATTTTAAACTTTTTTTCAAACACGCTAGGAAAAAAACGATGTCTTGAAGTATCAAAAATTTTTTTTATCTTTTTCGAATCAAAATTTTCTGTTTTTCACTAGTATTCTTTTTCAATAAAAACAAGAAAAATCAATTCGATTTTTTTAACGCTTAATTTTTTTGTTGTACGCCTGGCCTTCTTTTGATAAGACATAAAGAACGAACAGGGTATCCAGCCACGCGGTTTTGGACCCATCGAAGCAACGCGTCTTTGATGGAGTTTGGATTGAGAACGCGTGGGACGGCGGCGTTTCTGAAACGCAACAAAATTTATGGGAACAACGGCTTCCTGGTTACACTTCCAGCCATCTTAACTCGATTATCAAAGCCATTCAGTTTAATCAAACTGCTTTGAAAAAAGAACAGAGAATGGAACCCTCTTTGCGCTTTATCAAGTTCTCTTCAACGAGGGCAAAAAGTGTCTCGCGAAGCGATAGACAATGTGAAAAGTTGCAGGCCAGAGGGCGAAGTTGTTAGCAGGAAGCAAATGTTCACAGTCAATGGTTCGAACGACGCGAAAGGGCAAACATTCGGAAGAATCGTTAGGTTACACTGGACGATGGCTTCTTCCATAAAAGGCGGCCGGGGAAGCGAAAAAGACAAGCGAGCAGCGCCGGAAGCGTCTCGGAACCGAATCATGGAAGACCAAGTCCGCCTCAAGGCCTACCGATACGTCGCTTATTCGGCTATCACGTTCTCCGCCGTCGCCGTCTTCTCGGTCAGTTTTTTTTTCTATTACTTCAGAATTAATTTTTCAATATCCTCATTTAGGTTTGCGTGACGCTGCCAATGGTGTACAACTACGTACATGGCGTGAAAAGCCAGATCAACCACGAGATCAGCTTCTGCAGAAGCTCCGCCAAAGACATCTGGTCGGAGGTCAACCACATCCGAGCTTCACCAAGAAACGGCACTCGCCATGCTCGTCAGGCCGGTTATGCTGCCGATGAAGGCGTCGCTTCTTTCGGCGGAGCTTCTGGAGGATCTTGCGACGGTTGCTGTCTTCCAGGAGCTGCAGGCCCAGCCGGAGTTCCTGGAAAGCCAGGTCGTCCAGGACGGCCAGGTGCTGCCGGACATCCAGGAGCATCTGGAAAAGGCGGCTCTACGCCTTGCGAGCCAGTGACTCCTCCACCATGCAAACCCTGTCCTGCCGGACCAGCCGGGCCACCAGGAGCTCCAGGACCAGCCGGAGACGCTGGGCGACCAGGAGCGCCAGGAGTCGGCGGAGGATCAGGAGCGCCAGGACCAGCTGGACCTAAAGGACCTTCTGGACAGCCAGGAAACCCGGGAGCTCCTGGACAGCCAGGTCAGCCAGGAGAGGACGCGTCAAACGAGCAAGCTGGACCAGGAGCTCCTGGAGCGCCAGGACCTCAAGGACCACCTGGAGCCCCAGGACGACCAGGACAGCCAGGATCTGGCAGCGGAGCTGGTGAGTTTACTCAATTACTCTGATACTTTTTCAAAACTTTCTAATCTAAAAATGTTCGAATTGCAGGAGCACCAGGACCGAAGGGACCACCAGGAGCACCAGGACAGCCAGGAGCCGACGGAAACCGAGGAGCTCCAGGAGAGCCAGGCCAATCAGGAGGTTCTGGAGAGAAAGGAATCTGCCCCAAGTACTGCGCCGTCGATGGCGGTGTCTTCTTCGAGGACGGAACTCGTCGCTAATCGCCTGCTCGCCAACCTTTACAGCCCATTTCGCTACCCAATAAAAGCTTTAAGCTCAACACTTTTCATGCAAATCACCCGGAAACTCACCCAGCGCCGACTTTCTCCATCTGCTTGAACATATTCGGCCTCGACATCTTCGGCTCAGCTGCAAAAAGATTTCTCAAAAGCTTTGTGAAAAAAAGTTAACACTTTAAGAAGCAGACATTTCAAGAAAAATATTCTTCGAGCTGGTGTTCATGCTTTTGCCAAAAATATGTTTCCAGTGTAAAAGAGAAAGTAAAAAAATGTGCCACATTGAGAGAAATTTGACCACCGAACATTTTGAATATAATCTAGTTTCAACTAACGTGGATAGATATGAAACACATAAACCTTCTCGAACACAGCTACTAAATAAAAAAATAACTTCAACAAAATATGAAGTTATTTTTGAAAAAAAAAACTTGAGAAGTAATTTTTTAACAATCCATTTCAAGAATGAATTTGAAAATTTTCCAGTGTAAAGGTTGATTTTTGAGCGCGGAAATTTCTATGACTTCAACACATGAAATGGACCTTGAAGCATCCGAACAGTTTTTGATGTTGTGAGTGGCAGAAAAACGATAAAAGGCGAACACGGTGGGCAGTCGAGGACCACGTGAACTGCGGCAAAACGAAAGAGCAGCCGAGGGGCACTTTGTAATAACGGGCGGCTCGAATCTCGAGAGCCGATCCATCGAAATCGCTCCTGCCACTCACAACAACACGCAAAGACGGCGACTTCTCGTTTACCTAACCGATTTTCTGAAGGAAATTCGCTGAATTTTCTTTTTGGAGTTGTTGCGTCAACATGTGATTGGTCAGGTAATAAAGTCAAGAACACAGATTCAATTTGAAATAGTAAAAAATTCGCAGAAAACTTCGAGTAGCGGTGACTTCAAAATTACTGACAATTTCAGAAAAAGGTTTTTCGGTCACCTCCAACTTTACATCTACACTGATCAATATTCAAAATTTCGCTGATTGCAGACGGCAGCTCCAAAAAAGAAAACGCTGGATATGTCGAAAAAATGAGCGAGAATTGACTTAACATATTCTTCTCTAAAATAGATTTCAATTTGAAGCATAAAATAATTTTTAAAAGAAAAAATTCAAGATCCTCGATACGCTTGAAAATTGTGAATTTCTCAGCATCCAGTATATTTCGAAACCACCGATATATTGGAATTCAGGTACTTGAAAGATGAGCGGCTAGAGATAAAGAAAGAAACAACAAACTGAGATTCGACAAAATCGGCACTTTCTTTTTTTTCTTTTTTTACAGCGCTGTACTATTACATATCGGCTTCATTTCAAGACGAAACTGACCACCTTTTCTTCTAGATTTTTTTTTCACACTAAACAACAACAGGTAATAAAGGACAACCACAACTCACATTTGATGGTCAGACTTGCGATCCCACCAATTGGACGAACAGGAAGCGGCGCTAAAACAAAAAACTTCATTGGGATGACCATAAAATTGAAAATAAAACGAATAGAACGTCAAAACAACAACTTTTCTTGGGTAACGTGATTATTTGATCAACGCGCGGAACGCCCACTAAACCTTTTTTCAGCATGATTTTCTTCGTGTTTTCTTTGCCGTCGAGAAGTGAAGTGCGCGATTTGTGGAGGTCGTTTTCCTGCGAATAAAAGCATGATAAGTAAACATACATGAAAAAAGACGAAAAAAGACGACTTCTTAGGCGCAGACTTGTTCTGCTCCATTTATGTTTAGGCTGGGTTGAAAAACTGAGGACGTTATGATAAATTTTTTTCTAAATCAAATATTTTTCCAATTTAACTTGAGAATCGTCTATCGTCCTTTTTGAGGGAAGAATTTAACGTACGCTAGCTGCGCATAATTTTTCTAAAAAAAAGTTTGAATTTGGGAAAAAGCTTTCACGTGCAACCTCTCAAAAATTGATATCTCCAGGACTGTAGCCACTGAACAGGTAGCAAGTTCAAGCAATTTTATCTAACGTATGTCTGTTTATACAGTTTTTAGGCAAGCGTTTCGAAAGGTTTCTAATAAATTGAATAAATTTTCCTTCTTTGTTAGATTGGCTCTCAAGAACAAATACGATCATCTTATTTTTTTATTTTTATTTTTTCGAGTTCTGAAACCTGTGCAGCTGAGATTTCGCCAAACTTTCGCGCAAGTTGCATGACGGAGTCAGGACGGGACATTCCACGGATTTCCATTCCCACGTGCTCGCCGGTGTCCTGAAAAACTCAGGATTAAAACTGGGATACTGAATAAATGCAAAACGCGTCGAGAAAAATCTCCTTTCAGCTGAAAAAATCGAGTCATTTTCTCAAAAAGGGAGAAGCCAATTTTAAAACTTAAAAGTGATTTCACAACCTGAAATTAAATTTTACCTACGATGAACTTCGCTCATGTCATCCCGATGTTGCGAAAATAAAGTGATTAATTGAATTGAATGGAAGTTTTTCTTTATAATCTTCGAATGCTTTGAGGCATCCACAGTCCAGAAAAATGTACAGTCAAAAAAATTTTTAATCGAATCAAAAATTTTTTTATACTTCCCTTCTTCCTCATCATGAGAAGGAATGAATCTGCAAAGACAGAAAAAATATTAACCGAAATTTTTCAAAACAGTTTTGCGACTTATTTTCAAAAAAACACTTTCCTTTAAGATATTGTTCGTCGTTTCCTCGCGAATCAGATAAAAAAACTAGGAAAAATTAAACAAAGCGCTCGAGAAACATTCTAACAAGGGCTTTTTATATTATTGGAAAAAAAGGAAAGTCCAAAGCAACGGGAAAAAAAAAACCGCGGATGGGTGATAACGTATTAGCGAGTCTTTCCTTTTCGCTTAGCCGCCCTTTTTTGAGGTCAGACTTTTTCGACAAGTGAAAGGATAAATAAACTTCTTTTTTCCTTCCAGGCGAAAAAAAATGAGTTCAAAGCTGTATAAATTGTCAGGAACCTCCAAAAAAGTATAATACCTCTGTCTCTGTGCCGAAACAACGTGGTTAAAAGACCATTGTCGTGAGAAAACCCTCGAGGTTAAAACCGAAAAAAGGGCGAGAAAAAGTTAATTCAAAAAGTTTGTGGGAGTCCCCTGGCTAGAAAAGTTTTCAAAAGTCAAATTATTTCGGTTCTGAACCAAGAGGACAAAGCAACACTTGTGGAACTAACTGAGCATAAAAACAAGATTTTCAACGGCCAAATGAGACGAAAACTGAAAAATAGTAAGACCGTACTAGAACAATTCGAAATTTGATTTTACAGTTCCCCAGTTCAAGAAGAAATGAAATGGCCAAAGGGAAAAATAGAAGAAGAAGAAAGTGAAAGGTGGATGAAGCTGATCTAGTATAAATAACAACAATAGCCACGGCGACCACAACATTTTTGGCGGTAGAGGCGGAAATCTAGTCGCGGCGGCCTCTGTTACACTCGCGCGTACAGGTTGACAGATTAATTTGGGCGATTAGGGACATCTCGCCCAAAATGGCAGACTGCCTATCTATCGCCGAGTTCTCCGGACTCATTATCGTGCACCAGCGCCGCCATCAATGGCGCTTGCTTCCAAGTTTCGATCCATGAGGCAGTCGAACCGGTCAAACTTTCAAAAACATCCTGCAGGAGTTGAAAAAACTAAGGGATTTTTTGTCGTGTTTGATGTTTTTACAAAGAGTATTTTTTATATAACGAATCAGTTTTCCCGTTTTCTCATTCAAAAAATCTTGAAAATAAGAAAAGTTACATCAAAATTATAGATCGTCTATGCACCCTTATAAAAATCAAAAATGTGGTCTAGTACGTTCAGCAACGCTGGCTGGGATTTTAAAGGCCCAAAAATTCATTTTTTTTTCAAAGTTATGGTGAGTTTTTATTTTCAATGACTAGAAGATGCAGATTCAATAATTTCATCATTACTACATCAACCTAAAAAAATCTTAGACTTTGAAAACTTTTTTCAAATTAAATATACGAATGATGTCAGGACGCAGTTGAGCAGAAGCCTAGCTATATGGTTAGCCAGAGCTCCAGTTTTTTAATTGTTGGAGCCAGAGCTCTAAAGTGCTTGTAACCTAGTACCTAAAAATAGAACTAGAGACCAGAAAAAACAAGTAGAGAGAATGGCATTATTACCAGTACAAAATGTCTTATTTTGCCTTGTTTCTGGGAAACTCGTGAAGCGTTCTGTTCGAAATATCTTCGTTGGGTCATTATCGAGAAGCTTAACAAGTAGCGCAACGCTATCACAAACTTCGATAAGGGACAGACTATTTTCAAGGGGACACGGACTTTGGCATTTTCTTGCAAAACAATTTTTCTCTTCGCAGCGTAGACGCTTCGGCGACAAGATATGCTTTCAAACTGGGAAAAATGATACGCAACGGAAAAGTTAGAGAACAGAAAATTCTGTACGGGATTTCTTGCTTTGAAATTATTTTGAACATTTTCCTTATAAAGAATAGCGCTCAAGACCCAAGAGAAAATTCAAAAAAGAGAGTTAAATTTAGTTTTGAAAGAAAGCAGATGAAAACAAAATCCTCCAAATTCTGACGAATCAAAACGTTTCCCACGCGACGCCGCAATCACAACGGTGATATATGTTTGCTCGAAGAAGAGAAAGCGCGAAAAATGACAAGGAAAAAGAACAGACAGAAGAACAGGAGCCGACATCTGTGAAACGTGAAGCCTTCCGGTTCTTCCGGTCGAATCGCTCACTCGAAAAAGAATCGAAAAAGTTGACTATCAGCTGATCATAGGTGGAACAGTACATTCGAATTTTTTATACTTCTGAAAACAAAAAAATTACAAAAAAGAAGGAAAGGCCATTAAATATTTTGAGAAAACAGCTTGCTTGAGGTTACCGAGAACCAATCAACGGTCAAGTCATATAAGTTTTTCCTCAATAAATGTTATAATAAATCGAAAAGTTAGCTTCAAATACTAGAAAATCTGCTTCAAAAGTTTTTTTTTTCTACTTTTGCTAGAAGGCGAGGAACAGGATAAGGGTTGTAAGGCAAGAATCCAACGACGGCATTTTTTAATGAAAGGCAGCGGTAACGATACCATCAATGACGAATAAATCACCTGGCAAAACCGCAATTAAATACTTTTTGATTGAGGAGAGACATTAGGCGCTTTTGACAGTCTTACCGGTTCTTGATCGTCTGCCTTCTGGACAACCCAATGTTCGGCAAACACTTGGCGCCCGATTGTATAACCTTCGAAGCGAGAAAATTGATGAGAAAGACGGGATAATGGCCGCTTTTGTAGAAAACGAGTGTCAGAGTGAGGCCGTTAATGAAAGGGCCAAAGTTGGACGGAAGAAACAGTCTTATACAATACAATACAAAATTTATTGGTTGTTTTAGTCAGATGGTATCGACTAGGCGGTGAAAAATTGCTCTTTTGAGCGGCACTAACACCGCCTTTGGCGAAAAAGAAGTCAAAACGTGTAGTCGATCGAATTGAAAGCATGGTCTTACGGTCCTTCTCCTCGCTCTTCCACAAGTTGATCCCTCAGTTTTGCGGGTACGGGCACGGCGATGATGGTGGGGCTCGGGCACGGACACCGTGTACACTCTAGGGTAGCCTCGGCCGACTGAGAGAGCTACCACTTCGAGTGAAGAAAATAAACGGAATCTTGCACAAAAATATTTACGATTTCTTCGAAGTGAGGAAAAAAGGTCTCATAGTGAAAAACACACCTCATGAACTTGAGAGCATAAATTGAGACAAAAAAATGATTTAAAGTGATAAACTTTTATGCCGTGTTCAGAGTGATTTCGCGAAATCCAGAAGAATCATCAGAGAAAGAAAAATATATCAAAATTTCGGAGAGTCAGAGATAATTTAGCATTTCGCGCGAACTACTTTGAACTCGGCATTGTTTGTTTTGAATGAAATGTGCTTTTGAGGCATCAAACTTGTTCTACCAAGAAGACTATGAAAATTTGCGCAGTGTTTGAAAGCGCAACGTTTCCAATTAACCCTGGATTTTCAAAAATAGCGAGCATTTTCGAACAGATTATAAAAGGAAGCCTTTGTGGAAAGAAGGAAATTGGATCCGGAGACAACTCTAGAAGTTGATAATATTTCATGAGCATTACTTTTCGCTTTTGAGCCTCACCAAACTGTCCTTGGGAGAAAGAACAAAGATAAAGATTTAAAATAGCTAAACAAACTCGGAACTGAGAATAATTCGAAAACGTATGGACGACCTTTCAAGTTTCTTCGAACAGCGAAAAGTAACCTAAACTGAGGAAGTCGACTGCAACAAAAAGAGAAAAGAGAGCCGTTGGGAAGTCACTAGAGATATATAGCCAAGTGTTGTGACAGAAGAAAAGGCGCGACATTTCCGACGGTTATGACTGTTATGAAGCCTAATAAGGGTCGGCTGTTTGTCCTTCGGCTTCTGTCGGCTACCTGCTGCGGCTTGTCTCTTCGTTATCTCTGGTCCGTTCTAACTCGTCAACAGCTGGGATTTGGGGCCTTTCTCCGACTTCATTCCATTACTTTCGAGTGCAAAAAAATCGTGAAATCTTTTGCGACCGACTTCTTTACAGTTTTTGCCCCGAGGACACCTTCAAAATACTTCCTGACGAAGAAAAAAAAAATAAAGAAAAAAAAGATTTTTCCCGAATAATGTGAAAAAAGAACAAGAAAAAAGAAAATCTAGAAGCAGTGGCGATTGGGATGGAAATATGATAAAAAGTGGAATCACAAGAAAACTTTTCGCCGTCGCTGAATCATTTTGTTTTTGTTCGTCTTTTCTTTTCTGTTCTTTTCGCATTTAAAACTGCAATATGTTTCGCGTTGAATGTTTTTAGCTCAAAAATTCTCGCGAACTTTCCGTTTTATAAGAAAATGAAAAACAAAAAAGAAGCCTTCCTAGCTTTAAACATGGTATATACTTGAAAAATGTTTCAATTCAGTGTGTTTAATCAATATGAAGGGTGAGAAAGTAAATATGAAGAGGACATTACTATGACAAGGTTTTCAGGATTTCTGAAATTTCTTAGAGGAGAAAGGGTTTAAAGATGAGAATATTTTATATCGCGCACCTGTTTCGGGTCCCAAAAATGGACGGCTTAGAGGGTGACCCATCGTCAGCTAGGACTTTTTATAAAGTAAAGCCAAAGTAAAAGTCATCGTTAAAATTAAAAAAAATTTTTTTTTAAATAAAAGTTTTACGAATCAAATCTTTTTAAACAATATTTGAGAAAATAAGCAATTTCGGTTTACTTCATTCATTTTTCAGCTTTCTGGACATTTCTCCCAGTCCGAAAAAGCTTAGATTTAATTGCAGATAAAAAAATGCTACTCAAAAAATAAAAAATAGGATAAAACTCAATTCAAAAAAAAAAAAAACGTAAACATACAACGTCAGTCTCATAGTTGACGTGTCCTTCGCGACACAGAACCCGGAGAAAGTCGGTTGCATAATAGGCCCGATACATCAACGGCGGCATGCTCCGTCGACGCATCGATACTTCCTGCAAGTGAATCCATTGATATCATGGATTAGAGTCCGTATCGGAGAACAAATCAATCAAAGTGTCTTTTTTCCTTCTCATCCAGAAAAAAGGATTTAAAATTGAACTTTGACCAAAAAATATGAAAAATAAAGCTCGTTGGGAAAAATTCAAATTACAAAAAATAGTTTTTTTAAAAAATCGATACAAAGATTTTTCGAAAAAGTAGACAAAAACGTCGGGGAACGAACGAAAAAGAGATGAACACCAACACAAAAATGATGTGTAATGCGAGAAATTGACGAACAAGAGATACCTGTAGTTTGTTTTCATTGAAAAAAAAACCAGTTGACATCAAACTGGGGATGAAAAGATGTTATTAATTGCACCGGTTCACTTAAAGCGACCCGACTTCGTAGTCGGATTGACAGGCCGTCGGAAGAGCAAATAGCAAAGCAAGAAGTTGACAAGGAATTGGACTGCATTTATTATCGTGCAGGGATTCCGGAAGCGAAACCGACTAGGTGAGACCGAATCAAAGTGCAGCGAGGAGGAAACTTCGCAAGAATATCCTGTTGCAGCCACGAACTTCTCTTTTGGCCTTGTTCCTGTGTCGCGACCGGCAGCTCCGCAGCTTCACGTCGTCGCTGTGCATCGACAGCTGCAACCGTCTTTCTCTCCTTTCATTTATGACAGAAACTCTTTTTTTTTTGTCACGATTTGAAACGCCGTGATGCGACTCTGACATTGAGCGCCAAAAGGGCGCCACAACTCTTTCTCTGACACACACTATTTCGTCGTTATCTACGAGACTGCGAGAAAACGACGAAATAGTGTGTGTCAGAGAAGGAGTTGTCCAATTCAGAGGTCACATAAAACTGCGAGGCTTACAACCGCATTCTACAGTCCCGGAAAAACTTTCAAAACAATTCAATAAAAAAAATTTCGAACTTCAGTTTCAAAAAATTCTGAAAAATACTCATCTTCTGAGAAAACATTGAAAGGAATTCAAACATCTAAAATTTGAAAGAAGGGTTCTGCTGTCGGGTGAATTGTCTCCCCATTCATTGAAAAAGGTGTTTTATTTGTATTTTAGTCTTTCAAATTAACAAAACCCTCAAAAAAATGCCCACATTTCTTCAAAACCATCAAAAAGATCCAATTGTTTTGTCTTAAGATAATTTCTTTGTTTCTGAGTTTCAATTTAAAGTAAAATGTCCTTCAAAAATCAATCATTGAACCACCAAAAAAGCTTGTCAAACCTGATCCTGATCGCTTTCGCTCCCAGCCGAGCCATAGCCGGAAGAGGCCGACTCCTTCTTTCGGATGATGACCGCCTCGAAGTCGGGCTGAACAGCAAGTATGAAACGTCTCTGAAGTTGCTCCCCACCGAGCAGAGGTCGACGTCATCCTCCGGAGAACAGAGTGGCGGCGTGTCCGAAATGCAGAACATTGGCCTGAAACTGTACTCCGACGACACGCTGCAGTACATCGAGTTGAACACGCCTGAAAGCTCTTTGTTCTTATGGCCTTTGAAGAGATCCGCAAGCACCGACGCAGGAGTTGGGCGACAACGGCTCTTCCTCGCCGAACGGGTGGAACGTCGTCTCGCCAGTCTTTACCTGAACTTGGGGGGTTATATTAATTATTATCCCGACTTTTTCACCTTTGTGATGGATCCCAAATAGGCCGAGAAGGAGGGGAAAGGAGAGGCCGAGTAGTGCGACAGGCTGGAAGCTTCAGTGATGAGATATCTTTCTAGTTCCAGGCAAACCTCGACAGACTTCGATTTCGAGACCGACGTCTTTCTTCTAAAGAAATCGAAGACGGACGAGCCCTGTGCGACGGCGAGAGCATGCCTTCAAAGTAAAACCTGGAGAAATTATCAAATCGCACGGCATTTGGAAGAAAAACCACAATGGAAAGACAAGAGGTATGAAAACTTCGACTCCATTCAAATGAAAACGGATGGAGAGGCAATAAAAAGGACAGTCGTTAAACTTAATTCTAGTGAACGTCACTTCCACATATTTCAGTTCGAGCGATCCATTTTTCTTTGATGGCCATTGAGACAGAGCTTCCAGAAATGGGGCTGCAGGAAAAAAAAAGCCGCGTTTCTTGTTAACCCCGGGAGAAACTTGGATTTGGCCGCCAAATAGAATTAACCGCTCAAAGTTGTTTCCCAAATGTTGGCACCTCGCCGTTAGGCCTCCAAATCGTATTCCGAGAAAACTTTCGAGAGATTCCCTTTATACATTTCCCTCATTTTTTTCACGCTTGCAGGCTGTCGGACAAACTCCCTGGGGCAATTCGAAAACCTTTTCTCGAAAAAACGTATAGTTGAGAGAAAAAACTCAGTTTTTGTTTTTGAAAGTGTTATTATTATTATGCAAGTTCACTGTGTCAAACTTTTTTTCACTTTTTTTGAAAAAAATTTCAATACTATTATTCTACGAAAGATAAGAATACTTTTTGAAATGTTTCTTAAAATTTCCTCATCTATTATTTGAAACGAGATTTTTTTTAAAATATAAACTGAACAGGCAAAAGACCTGTATTGCAAAAAAAAGAAAAATAAACTGACATTTCTTCATCAAACAGTGTTCTTAGATTGTTTTATCAGAAAATCATGAAGCAAAAAAAAACTTGGACAAAAAATAGAATTTAGAGTTTTGGCAGCAGTCCTCGATCTCTAAGCAGAGCACGGAAAAATTTGAGTGTTTTACGACAAACGGAAGTTTTCAACTGATGTTTTGCCAATCACCCATTCACATCATCAAGCTCCAATGGTGACGCGAGAGCTCAATTATTTAGAAGAGTGGGCGGAGCGAAGAGAGCCTGGCACGGAGCCCGACACGGCCATCTTCTGCCTTTTCCTAACGTTTCAAAGGGTCGCAGACGTTCTTTGGGCGATAACACAATTCCACTAATGAGTCTGCAGCATCCGCTTTTTCTGAAGGATTTTTTTAAGATTCAAAAGATGTTGTACTTCAGACTCGTTCGCTTCTACAGGGGCTTTGTGAAAATAAAGTACTCTTTCTATTCAAGTCTCATTTCTCTCTGTTCGTTTTCGTTGAAGTATTAAGTTTAAAACTTTTAAAATTTTCCAGACTTCTGAGCTGAAAAAATTGTGAATAGCTCAGTTTCTCGAATCACTGATCAATCTAAACTTGAAAAACTTTTTGAGAATAAAAAAATTGAAAAATATTAGTCCGTAAATAACTTCTTTTTTTCAAAAATATGCTTTTTGATTACGAGCCGTCTCAGTAAACATGAAAAAAACTCTCACAAAATTAAAAAAATAAAAAAAGCAAATTTCAGATTACTTTTTCAAATTTCCTAATTCTTTCTACACCACAGACATAATGGGAGTCAAAAAACCTCACAAAAAAAAACAAAAAAAAAAATGAAGTTTAGCCTTTTGCATGAAAACTGGTTGCGTGAGAAGCCAACGTCCAAAACTTCAAGAAAACTTGAGAAAAATTATTTGGAAAGGTTGAAAAAAACTGAACAGCCACACTCGAACGAAGGTCAGATTTTTCCTATCAAAACTTGTTTAAGAAAAAAGATATTTTCTGAGGTACTTGCACAGGACCAAATGTACGGAGGAATTTCAGAATCTCCCAGGGGATATGCTGACTGAAACTTCCTCGTCTAGAAAAAGAGAAATTTTTGATTTGATACTTCGAAATATATATAAGATAAAATACATTCAAAAGATCTTCTGATCAGTTTTTGTTTTTTTTTCATATCTGAAAAAAAAAACTCAGTTATAAAGAAGAAAGTGACAGCTAATTAACGCACACTGACACAAACTATTACTAAAGTGAGGATCTAAACCTATTGAAACTTCAAGAACACAAGCAGCGTGAAAAAAAATGAAGAAGTATGTTGACAGGATGGTTGCGGCTAGTTCTCAAAAGCTGAGGACGTCGAAAACAGTAATATTCTTTCATACACAATGAGTTTCCGTATATTTTGCATCTTGAACGAGAACATCAGACGATAGAGCCTCAAATACGAAAAGCTTATTAAGAAGCTTATAAACTGTACTTGAAAAGAAGAGTCTAAAATCCTGCGACTGGAAGAACTGAAGAAATTTTTTTAAGAGATTCACGCTTTTAAATTTTTAGAAAGAATGGGAAGCGGAACTCTTGAAATTCACTGGAACAAAGGAAAGCCTCGACAGAAGGAAAGGAAATAGCCAAGAGCAAGAGAGTTAATGGGTTCGTTCTGAATGCTGAAACATTCTCGAACGGAAGGATGGGCGGCGCGGAAATGCGAGGAGCGTCGCGCCAGATTTGTCCCGCGACGATTTACGAGCTTCGACGACTTCATATCAGCTGTATCCCCTCGAACTTTTCGTATAGTTGGTGCAAACAATAACAACAACAGAAAAACAGTTCGGAGCCAATGAGGCTTTTTTCGAGATGCTCCAGAACTCAAATACCTACTGTCCACCTAAATTTCAAAAGTATAAAACTTTTGATTTTTCTAACGATAAGAATTTTTTTCTAACGAGATGATATATTCATAATGTTAATGCTAATATGAATTTCACAGAAAAAAACGCTCAAGAAACTGAACTGTGAAAAATTTTTTTGTTGAATTTCTTCGAGGATATCAAACCCATTTGCTTGGCTAGAAATGCAAAAAAATGAGGAAGCCTGAAACTCTTACGAAAAACCAATGAATATGTAAAAAAACAAACTTTGTTGGTTCGTTAAAAAAGAACAGGAAGTCAAAACTTCAAGTAATAAGGCTTTCTTCATCTCTTCAGTAAGAAGAATCATTGCGAAAAAAAAAATCCGGCCTTTGAAGGATGATATCGCGCCTTGTCGGGAGCCTCCAACCGAAAAAAAAGTAAAAGTTCACCGACCGCGTCCCACTCTCTTCCAATTTTGGGACAATTTCACTGGAGCGACTTTTCAAAACTTTATCGCGGCCAAAACAAACCGACGGACATCAAATTCACGCCTCGGCAAGTTCCTAGGGCGTAAAGCTTTTTTGGAGCAGATGTACGAAGTTTTTTTTTCTCGCGCAAACTTTTATTCTTTTCAAAAAAGCACCTGACTAGAAGAAGATTGATACAAAAACGAAGCTGATTGGAAAGTTGAGAAAACGAAGATTTCCATCCCACAGATTCATCTGAAAAAAAACAGGTCTAAAACATACTCTGTTCGATGTAAGCTCGAAAAAAAAGAAGCTAAACTACAACAAACGTCTTTTTTTTGTAATATGGACAAATGAAGAAGTTTACTAGGAGTTCAGGAACTAATGGAGAGTGAAATTCAAAACCTCTAGGAATGTTTTGCTCTACGCCAAATAGAGAATTACTCGTTTGCCTTTGCTTCGTGCGTTCTTCTAGCTTTTTTTTGATTCTCTGAGAGTTGAAAAAACCGCTCATAGAAAGATAAAAGCTAGAAACTCGAACAAAGAATCTCTATAAGGTGAGATATTATGGATGCACGGTGTTCCGCGCAATGAAAAAAAATGCGAAATTTTGGGTCCCAGCGGCATATTATCCGTGGCGCATTATTGCGCCCTTCTCATGGTTTCTGATGCAAAAATTGAATTTCTTCACTTTTTTCATTGGTTTTTTACTTTTTTCTATTTCTTGCATTTATGTGATCCGCCTCTCTATGGGTACATCTTGTGAAGCTTTTAAATTGCGCATTTTTTTCTAAACCGGTTTCAGATCTTTAACTTTTTTTCTCAAAAAGAGCTGAAGATTTTTTTCTAAAAAGTCCTAATTTTTTTCAAAAATTTTTGAAATCTGTTTCGCGACATGAAAAATAATCACTCTATTTCGGAAACTATAGTTTTTTTAATTTAATCAGTTAATAATAAAAAAAGTTATTATCTAGTTCATTTGACGTAGTTTAAAAACCGGTATCGCGTAAATTAGAGCCAAATTGAATTTGCTGATGCAGTTTAATGATTTTGATATATGAATCATCTAAATTATTTTTTTCTAGTTTTTTTTGATGGTTTTTTTCGGATTTAAACAAAAAAATTTCGCCATACGAGGTTTTTTTTCTAAAAATTTCTGCTTTCTATCCATTATTTGTTTTTTTCTGAAGCTAGGTTTTCGAGGTATATAAAAATGTTTTTTCATTTGCTCCTCGAATTTTCCTCATTTCAATATTTTTTTCGTATTTATAAATGCTTATTCAATGGGAGCTGATTCATTTTCATAATATTTTTTTGTTTTTTTATTTTGTAATCAGTAATTTAGAGTTTTCCCCTTTTCGAAATCGTTCCTAAATGTTTTTTTTAACGTAAGTGAATGTTTTTTTCACATCATATTCTTCAAAATGACAAATTTCGAACATTTCAGGAGCTATTATCCTGAAATCGCAAATTCTAAAATTGAAAAAAAGTATTTTGAGTATGCGATAGTGCGTCTCGGTGTGCTTACACCCTAAGCATCATAATTTACGAAAAGTCTTGACCTTGCGTAATGAAAAAAACACCGTGGATGAGCTAAAAGCCATGACCATGAATAAAATAGTGGTAATTGTAATACGTGCGGTCATCGCTTTCGCGCTCCATTTCACACGATCCGATTACAACTTGAAGCTTCTACTCAATAGGGCATTTAAAAAAGTAGTCCTCTGCTGGACACATTTTCAAGAAAAAATATAAATCTTGGTATAATACATAAATTCGAAACTAGTATTGGAAAATTTGTGAAAAAAATCATATTTTTGAACCCCCTTCAAGTTATAACTTAATTTTTCGTTAAAAAAAAACTTGAACGCAAATTTTCCAAAAGTCGTTCGGAACTTTTACTATCATGAAAAACAATTCATACAAATGATGGAAAAAATTTTAAAGAAAAATTCAAAAAAATAAGAAGACGAAGTGCACTTGTGCGCAAAAGAGTGTACGAAATGCGCGCCATCGCGTTTGTCATTGGCTTCGGGGGTTCCCGGAAAACTGCTCGAACCTCTGTAACGCAAGCCGGACGTGCTCCGAACGTTTCTGGGCAATTCTAGGGATCAATTAAGAGCGCATGAGGCTACTAAAGTGGTCACTAGAAATGCTGCGACACGTCCGATTCGCGTCTAGTTCGCTCCAAGGAGTTTTTTTGATGAATATTTAATAATTTTATTTGAAATTTTATAATATTTGAAATCTTCATGAGAACTTGAATAAGATTTTCATAAGTTTTCAGTATAAAAAAATTCGTAAAATAATTCTAATCAAACCCGATTGAGAGACTTTTAATCATCAAACCAAAGATTTAATATACAAACTATAAAGCTATTAGGAGAAAATGACAAGAAATCCAAAAAAAAAAACTGCGAAGAAGAGTGATTTATCGCGCGAGCGTTGGTTGAGGAGCGTAAGCCAACGAGAAAAAATTGAGAGCAAAAAAGAAAAGAACAAAGAAAGCCGAATGTTTCAAGAGGATAAGAGATACATCGCAGGAGTCCAGAAAAACTACTCGGGGATAGCCCTTTTTTGAAAAAAAAAAAAGCCCAGCTTTTCCTATCTTTTTCTTGCGGTTGTCACATTGAAGTAATTTTTGTCTTCACTGGAGATATATAACAACTTCACAGCGAACTCTTCTCGAACCAGGAAAACAAAAAAGGTGCAGAATCCACTTCCGCGAAAACTACGAAAACAGGAAAAAAGTTGATGAAGTTTTCTGTTTTCGCGCGAGATTTCGAGAAAAAGGATGGAAAGTTCTGCAAAACGTGTCAAACTAATATAACAAAATGATGTTTTTTCAATGAATAAGAATTCGTTGCTTATATATAAATAGACGGGAAATTGGGCCGAATCGTGAGTGCTGCAACTGCCAATTATCGAGGTTGACGACCGAACGGCCGGCCCACTAAGCGCTTGGAAATATGGTCGATTTGTTTGAAACTTTTTTGTTATTCTGAATTTTTATAACACTTTTTTTTAGGGGCAGCTGAATTTATTGATAAATGCGCTTGTTTTCAGAAAAAAAAACACACAATTTTATTGACACACGTGTTGAATGACTAGCTGTGCTACATATTAGGAACTTTCAATTTGAAATACTCCGTAGGTGAGAGAAAAACGAGGCGAGATACTTGACTCGAATAATGTATAAAAAAACACCCGAGCTATACAAGGCAGATATGGAAATAAATATTAAATGCTAGATTAAGATCTAAAAAGACGAGCTCATGGTGAGGTTGGGCTTCCTTCTCCTGCAAGGAAAGCGATTAAAAAGAGGTTCTCGATCACAGGATCTCACCTGAAGCTCTTGATGAATGACTTGATGGGATTCTTCTTCTTGCCGAGTTTCTTCATTAGCTTTCTTTCCTCTTCCTCTTCCGTTATTTCTTCCATTCTAAAAGTTGACGATTTTCATGTTTCCAATGGAGTTTCGAAAGATACCTAGCCGCACTGCCCAGATGAAACTTCAAACTGCGGGTGTCGTCAGAGTCGAGTGGCTTCACAGAAGTTCCGTTGAAAACGTCTGGCTTGATTTCAGGAACATTGCCGAAGGCGCCATCCACCGAAGCCAGTCCGATCTTCAAAGTTCACTCTGATAGATATTACCACGTTTTCTTCGACTTACAGCGAGATTTCGGTCAATCAAAAGGTTGCAGTCGAAATCATCAGCATCTTCTCCACAAGGATTTAGAAGTTCCATCGCAACCTGCAATCCTTTCAAGTCAACTAGACTTTTAATGCATAGAAGAAAATAAAAGTTTTCTGTTATAATAAATATATGGCTGGTATACTGTACACTAGCCATATACATATACGTGTCCACAATTAAATTTTGATAGGTTTTCAGAAAAGTATAGAAAAAAAAGAACACCTACCTTGAGCCAGCCGACGTAAAAGATGAACTCGATGATAGTCATGAATGGAACAATGAGGTCGATCTAAAGATCTTAGTTCTTTCAGCGGATTTTTCCATTCTTCTCACATCAGTCTTGTTTTTGGCTCCCTCGGTGATGAAAAACTGGCGTGTGAAGACACAGAGGAAGAAGTAGGTGTGGACGGCCATATTCACTAGCTGCGGATACATCAGCGGGATCGGCACCCAGTCGTACATCGAAACGATTGTCAACGAGGCTCGGAACTTGCTGATTTCCTAGAGGAACACAGATATTCTCGAAAAAGTTCCCGGATTAGAAAACCTGGGCGATGGCGTTCCTCGCGTTGTCCCCGTCAATGAACTTTTCTTTTTTAGCGATGTTCAGCAGCTCCATCGTCCAGTTGAAGCTCATCCAGTACTTGGAATATCTGACCAGAATATATGTTGTCACTCTTGATGAAGAGCAAAAAAGAAACCTGCTCTTGATGGAGTTGAACTCCTCCAACTCGTGGGGCAACATGATTCCTGCGGCGGCGACCGACTCCAAAGTCGGAAATCGCCTTCGGACCGCCACGTGGATGTCTCGGAAAACGAGCGTCTGAGATAGAACGCAGTACCTGAACTAAATTGATTCAAAATCCTATATTTTTTCCAACCTGACGATATTTCTGCGGATTTGCCGAGCTCGCTCTTCGTCTCCTCGTACATTACCCGAAACAAAAAGAGCAATACTAAAACTAAAAATTTATAATCTGAAGAATTTTGTGCAAACGAACTTGTCGATGCTTCCTAGACAAGTGAAGAGCTTGAGCCAGCGTCGGATGATTATGTTGCAAAAGAAACCCAAAACGAAATTCAGAGGCAGGTAATCCATTCGCTCATCACAGTACTTGCCGAACCTCTCGAAGTAGCTGGAAACTAGAACTTTTAATTTCCCCAAAACATTTATTAACGAACTCTTGTTGGTCTTCGCTCATGAAGCATCTGTAGCAAACGGAGACGATTGTGTAGCCAATGAGCCATATAATAAGCTCCCTGAAAAAAAAAAAATCTTTGCTCGAGGAACAGTCGCAGTTTTATTTTTATCAGCACTTTTTCAATCTAAGGCCGTGTTAGTTTTCCATTTTGGGAAGAGAACCAGGACAGGATTACCCTGAAAGCCTCCAGTTATCAAGTCACTTCTTATCTCGGAAACATGACGAGTGTCATCTTTTCGTTTACAATCATCCCAAACAGATTATTTATTGTTATCTATTTTCCAAAAATATTCAAAGTCAGGTGTTGATGGAGGATGGAGTATGATCATCTGTGAACTTTTAAGAGAGCAAACATGGTTTATTTTCGATTTTGATGAATTTTTCGTTTGCTTTCATGCTTTATGAAGCTTGCCTCAAATCTTAAAAGAAAGATTTAAACCTGCGTGTATAGATATATTCTTTTCTTCTCTACTACTTGTTGTAAATTCGAACCGTGTTCAAAGGGACTCTGCGAATTTAAAAAGCTGTCAAAGAGGGAAAAAATAACGAAATTTCAGAAACTCAGAAATAAGTTCGAATTTCGCGGGGATTACTTTGAACACCGCATAAAAGAACTTCCGAGATGTATATTTTCAGCGTTTATTTTTTCATTTTTAATCACCTTATCGTATTTAATTGGTTTAACTATGGTTTAACATGATTTTTAGAAAATCTCCTGATGCATTTTAGGCTTCAAAACAACGAAAAAAAAAAATGGAAATAATTTAACTTTTTGAAGTTCTTTCAGCTCAACAAATATTGAAAAAGTTCTATGAATCATTGTGTGAAAAGTTCAAAATGCGACGAAATTCGTAACTATCGGAAATGTTTACCCTTTCTCACGCCCCCAAGAGTTCTGCTGAAGCTCGTAAAAAATAAAAGAGGCATGAGTGATTGATAAAGAATCAGATATCAGTTCATAACACTAGAAAAGACGTCAAAAGATCGTGTGACAAGGCTCCCACGGCTTTTTTAATTGTTTCCGCTTGAGGTTTATGGCAAGGGAGAGCTTGTGAAATTAATATTCCGTGATGACCAACGTTAAGGTCGAATGATTTCTTGGGAGAGCTCAAAAATCGAGAGTTGCTCGGCAGTTGTTTTCGCAGACGACTCTTGTTGATTTGATTTTGTACAGTATCCAGGACGCTTCATTGTCTCCCGTTAAGACGCGCTAAGACGATAACCAGGCGTCTTTTTTGTTGAAAGGTTAAAAATAATGACGACGGCTATAGATGTCCGAAATCGGGAATGACAATGATCTTGCTCCAGAAGACTGAATTGACACGTGCTCGTACAGTTGCGGGAAAGCTTTCAGATTAACTAATCGGTATTTAGAAATTCGAACTTCGACTAGTTCATTTAAAAAAAAGTCGCGTGATATAGTAGAGGCTACACTGTTTTCAGCGGCGTTGGATGGAAATTGTGAATTGTAGGAGGAGAATATTTGACTTCGTGAGTTCTGGTACACAAACATAACTTTTCGAAACACGTTGTTATGAACAAAAAAAAGCGATTGCGTCCGTATGAGAAGCCAAAATTTAACAGTTTTCATATCTATTTTCGGTACTTTTATTTTAGAAAAAACTTCGAAGATCCAAACGAAACTGACTTGTAAACGGCTTGCCAGAGTGAACCTCGCCATTTGAACAACATCTTCATGACGGTCGATCCTTGAGAAGTCGCCAAATCATAGTTGTAATTGTAGGAAAGGGGTTTTCTCTGAAGAAAGAAGAAATTTCGTCTCGAAATCTAGAAAAAAAAGTCAACCTTAAAAATCTCAGGCTTTGGAATGGTTGTAGATCCTCTGGCACCTTCGCTTGTTCCATTCATGTCCACGTTAATCTGCACATCTTTGTCATTGATCTGATCGGTTTGAATCGGCATCGTCATCAACTAAAAAGGTTTAGATGGAAAAATAAGAGTGAAATTGAAAAAAGAACGAAGAAGCGGAGAAAAAGGTATTTTCTCCCGGCTTCCATTCATACACAAAGAAATGATTTGAATATTCCGTTTCAGATTTACCAAAAACCCCATCCCCATTTTGCCATCTTTCGAAACAAAATCGATAAAAAAAGAGAAGTATAACCAGTGGAAAAATAAGACAGATGGTTACGGTAGAGTTCAGAAGTTGATACCGGAGCGCTGAACGGCCATATCAAACTTCGGCGAGATGCTTTTATCGTCCTCACGCCCCCAGGGCAATAGTTTACAACTGACCTGCTGCTCGTGTCGATCTCTGATAACGTCTATTGAACAGTTTTTTTGTTAAAAACAATCCGCTTAAAGTCCTGCACTTCTCTTTCTTGAATAATTTCAGATATAATTAAACTGAAAAAAATCCTGAAGTATTAAAAATTTAGGGGTCAAAGCTATGAGAACAAGAAAAAAACTCTCTAAAGATTCGCAGAAATCAAACGTCATTAAGAAATTCTGTAAAAAAATATTTTTTTAAGTTGAATAAAAAAAGTAGATGAAACTTGAACCTAAAAAAATTATAAGAAAATTTATATATTGAGATGGATGATTGACGTTCCTAAATTTTGAAAAATCAAGAATTCGTCAATTTTTACATCGAGATCAGAAATACCTTTTTCTCATTTTTTTTTTTCAGAAGATTTCTCTTAAGGTTTTTCAGAAGATTTTTCTTACGCTCTTATTTTTTCTTCTGGTAATTTTCTATTTGTTTTATGTACTTTATGTTAGATATTCCAGGTCTTTCTGATAAAATTAATGATTTTGGTGAATTGTTTCGGAAAACTTTTTTAGAGTCCAGGGAAAGTCAAGCCATCGATTCGATCCTGCTTCTTGTTAAAGAGCTTCTATCTTTTATATTCGTTTTTTTTGCTGGAAGTAATTTCATCTATTGAGTAAAAAGATGAAAAAAAGCTCGCCTACAGGGGTCAAAGTTTCAAAACTGCCAATTTTCTACGTAGGTTTTTCTTCGGCAATTCCGGTCTGATAATCCGTTTTATACAGATTAAATGAATTTTTCGTTGTTTACAAGCCTTCTACACTTTTAATATGAAAAGTGTTCGCGAAGTTAAAACATTTATTTAGCTATCGAGAGCGAGACATTCAGATGAAGAGCTTGGCTTTTTCGCGGTCTTATATCTCGTGATCGAAATTTTCCCAACAACTAGGTTATTGATTTTTTTCATCAGTTTAAGTACTGCTGCAAATATTTTGAGTATGAAAATTGTCTCAATAATTTCGCCTTTCCGCGTGAACTCGAAAAACGAAATGATGCAAAATCGCAACTTTCTATTCAAATTTTGAAAGAAATGACTCAATTTTTTGAAAAATCTATCCCAGACAATTTGAAGAGCGGAAGCTTCAAAAGGATAAATAACAATCAAGGAACATAAAAAAAATTTCGTCCTCAACAGTTTGTCAAAATCGAAATGTCGAAAACGAAATCGGTTTCTTGACAACCAAATAATACCCTTGTGAACGTTTCAGCTTTTAACTTCAAGTATTTTTCAGAATGATGTGAAATCAAAAAGTTATCTTTTGGAAAGACGCACTAGTACTCCGAAATAGTAAGTTTAGTACAGGTTCTTTTTTTCAGTATCCAATCCCCTTTTTTTCTAGTTATTTTAATAATCTTTCAGAAAAAAATTGATGTCACTTATACCGGACACAGTATAACTAATCGGCTCATAGAATAACTCCATGAGACATTTTCCAGGACAAAAGTCCCCGATTAAAGGGTCCGTACAGTCAAATCTATTCTTAGAACATTGCCTTGATAGGAATTTGTTTTCAATAAGACTCGTCTTGATAAAAGGCCGCGGGTCAAAAATTTGACGCAAATGACGATCAGCGGAAAACTTTATTACTTTATTGCCTCCCACGAAAAGTTTTTATTGCGGAAGTCCTAGTAAACACTAAAGCAATAACGATAAGTTAAAGAAAAGAAATCCCTGAAGTAAATGTTTTCTTCTTTTTTTAAAGTCTTGAAAAAAATCCAAAAAAACTGAATTCTAGACAAAAAGATTATTTATAAAGTCGTCATACCGCTTTATGATAATTTTTTTTGTTTTAATTAAGTGCGAAGTTGCGTGTTAGTCTTTCTCATTTCAAAAGACTAACCGTCAGCGGGCGACCAGCACGATGTCTGAAGAAGACTTGGACGACGACATCGGCCTTAAGCCCGTCTGATTGAACTTTCACGTTCTTTCAAAAATTGATGAATTGTAGGGAGTGATTGTGGAAAGTTCAAAAGCCAAGTACACAATAATCAAACTTCTGGGAGAAGGGGGTTTTGGCGCCGTTTATAAGTAAGTAGGATAGATTATAAAAAAAAAAGAAAGATGCATTTTTTCCAGAGTTCATGAGACAAACAACAAAGAAAAATGCTACGCCATGAAGGTAGAACGAAAAATAGAAACAAGACGTCATTCTAAGCTCAAAATGGAAGTTTACAGACCGGAAATTGTGGTAGATTATCAAAAGAAAGTTTCAGATAATGATCCTGAAAGTAGTGTCGGCGGAAAGGAAACAGTCGCACTTCACCACGATAGCCGACCGCGGAAAAAAGGAAAAAGAAGGATTCTTTTTCCTGGTGATGGAACTAGTCGGCAAGAGCCTGGCTGATCTGAAGGGAGCCCGACCAGATAAGGTGTTTTCGCCGCCGACAGGTCTCAGCGTCGCGCAGCAGTGCCTTGAGGCCTGCGAAGACCTCCACAAGTACGGCTTCATACATCGTGATCTGAAGCCGGCGAACTACGCCTGTGGCATAAAGGATAAACACATCGTTAGTCTTTCCCCGATGGATCTCACTTCGGAGGTAATACAGATTTACATACTTGACTTCGGAATCGCTCGCAAAATTTTGAACGAGAAGAATGAGCTGAGAGCACCTCGGGAATCGGTTCGATTTAAGGTTCTCTATGCAATTTGAATGCTGAAAGCTGATCTTGGATAGGGAACAGTAAAATTCGCCTCTATATCGTGTCACAAGAACGTAGAACTCGGATGGAAAGATGACTGCGAGAGTTGGTTCTATCTACTACTTGATCTTGTCGTCGCATCAGGTCAATAATTATTTGAATCTTTTTAGATTTCTGCAGTTCAGGTCTTCCTTGGAGACGATTAAGCGATAAACACGAGGTCCAAAAAGTCAAGGAGGAGTGCCGAACATCAAAAAGAGTAGAGTTCACTTTGAAATTACTCCTCTACACCGCAAATTTCCACAGAATCGGTGCTAAAAGACAGTTGGAGAGTTCATATAAACTTTTATAATCTAGAGTTCATACCGCTGTGAGACCTTTTGACTTAATCTAAAGCTTCTTCTTGTTCTTAAGATAAAAGTGTCGATTTTTTCATTTGGAAAACCAGAAATGATGTTAGGGAAGACGACTTAAAACCCATTTGCATAATCAAACGAAATTGTGCCGTTGCAAAGAATGGACACGATTTTATCTGGTAAGAAATTGAGAGAAATTTTTGCCTTTTCAAAAAAAAAAATCATTTATTTTTGCAGGTTTTGGCTGAACTCATAGATTAGAAGGACAGTTTGTAACTGTCAATTTACAATGCTGATATGTATAGGGACCACAGCCCTATTTTTCGAACTTAAGCTAGCTTCTCGTTTTTGTTATAAAAATAATGATTTTAACATTTAGTATGCGAAAAACAGAAAAAGAAAAAAACGAAAAATATTAAGAATAAGAGGAGAAAACAATATTTAAAAGTAATCGAAAAGCAAAATTTTTTGCACTGAAAATTTGGATTTGCGAATTCTCATGCAATCTGCGCGCACTCTTATTTGCAAGGGCGGCACGGTTTCAGGAGCCAAAAGAGAAGGTTTTACGAGCTGTAATTCCACTTTACCTTCACTTTCGTCTCAGTGACTGCACAAATACCGCCTACAGTGCTTTTTGAGTCACATGAAAATGCGATTTCGCCCACTTTTATTCACCTTTTTTGTTGAAAAAATTTTTTCGGCGATCTTGAATTTTCGATTTTTTTGCTTTTTTGTTTGAAAATTAAAAGCTCTTATGAATGAGTAAGAAAAAACGCGTGTCTTCGACCGGGAAATGTTTCAAAACAACTCGCAAAAAATTCTCCAGCTTTTTTACCACTCAAAAACAGTACATTTTCTTGTAGTTGTCAACGAGTATTATTTGAGCAATGTTTTTCTCAATATGAAAAAAGCATAAAAACCTTCTAATACTGCATTGCAATTGAGAAAACAATTTTTGACTTTGCGTGCCTCTCAATTTTTTCGGCGATCATAGAACTTTCATTTTTTCGGCTTAAAAAATTTCATTTGCTGTTTATAAGTCGTTTTCAAAAAATTAACTTTGTCCGCGACCTACATGAATATCAAAACGCAAAACTAAGTTTATTTTTCGAACTAGCATCACTATTCCGTACGACACTCCGTTGAAACACATGGAAAGTACCTAAAAACCTTTTCAACGGAAAGAGGAACCTTTGCTACATGTATGCTGAAATTTTTATCATTTGTCATTTTATTTTTGTTTCTATCGGCTGTACGAAACAATCAAAGACGAAACACCGAAAAAATGGCCTTTTTTCATCTCGAAAAGGGGCGGGGCTTTGCGGTCGCTAGATATATATTCTCATACTATCCTTTCCATCTGGAACGAAAATTGGAAAATGAAAGATATTTGAAAGAAAATTTCGTTATTTGTTTATCTACACATTTTTACGAGAGAATTGTCCAAGATTTCTGAGTATTTGAGCTGGCAATGACTCGAACCAGTTTCATAAAATAGAAACCATTTTGTTAGGCACCACAAGCCATTTCTCGAAAAAAGTAATGCGTAGTCGAATCTTACACCATCTGATAGAACATGCTTTCCAAAAATCAAATCAATTTAGCTTTTCGAAAAATTTTGATCTTGAGCCGAGTTATGAAGCTTTTAGTGACGCGCGAGAAAGCCGAAAAATCTGGCGTTTTCCGAGATTTCGGCTGCCGCCGCATTGTTTTGACTCGTTTTCCATTCATATTCAACCGTTTTTGAATCTGTTTTTGTTGAAAACTGATGAAAATGCTTCTCTGAGTTTTATTCGCATAGTTTAGGGTTTTTACAAAAACAATTAGTTCGAAAAATAAGAAAAAAGGATCCTCGGCACCAACGGAAAAAAACTTATATGATATTTTCTGTTCGATCATCAAGATAAGGCACTCTTACAGTTACATAAACAAGATAATGACAAATAATATCAATTATCATAGAAAAACACAAATTTTTAATTTCGGATTTCCCATTTTTCGCCCGTAAAACGATTATTTTCCTTCAGAACGGCGCAATATCACGCACACGACACGCTTCGACACGCAAAAATAAAATAAAAAATTGACCGTTCTCGGTCATTCAAAATGCTCATTCTTTTTTCGGCACCGCCAGATTTTTTAAAATTTTTTTCTAAAAATGTGAAATTGTAAAGGCAAAAACATATCCAAAAAGAAAACGTGAAACGATATTGCTCTTGTGAAACGCTCCAAAAAACGTAATTCATTTTTGCGTGCGTTTTTGTAAATACAAATTTAAACTTATTTTGCTCGGTTTTTTGATGCCTTTTTTCTGTTTTCACGTTATTTAGACTTTTTTTTTCAATTTTTAAACAAAGAAAATCACTAGGTTGTCGCGGAATTTTTTTCGCATTTTTGCTCCAAACTTTTGTATTTTTTGAGTGTAACTTTACAAGCTTCGTTCTTTTTTCGGCACCGCCAGAATTTTTTTGTTTTAATATATTTTTTGAAGGATGTCATAATGAATAAGATATCCAAAATTCAGATGTGAACCGCATGTAGTTTCGTGAAACGAGTTTTTTTTGTGAACTGTATCGACTTTTTGTGGAAATTTCCTTTTTTTTTGGGTTACATTTCGAAAATTGCTGGATTTGAAAGTCATCTAGTTTTGTAGAGCGATGTCGATTACATAGGAAAGTAAGAAGTATGAATTTTTCAACTTGCGCTTTGCTCACTAAAATAGCTTCAAACCAGTTTTTCACCCGAATTGTCGTTAATTTTGGTGCGATGAAGGGGCGAGGCTTTGCCGCAAAGCCTTTGCGCTCCCTACATTTTGTGAACTATTTGTCTATAGAGTTTCCATAATGATACCACTGTATAGTCTCTGTGTACCACGACTTGGAATTTCACCGAACGACATTCCGCTGTTCCGCTGCGTGCCTCTGATTTATCGTTTTATTTAAGAACTCGACCAGCCCGTGTTCCTAGTTGAACAGTCCTTCTATGAGGAATGAGAACGAATCCAAAGCGAGACCGAGGACGCTGTTTCGCTGCCTCGCAAAGACGCTTCGCGACGCAGCGAAACAGCGGAATGTCGTTCGGTGAAATTTCAAGTCGTGGCACACAGACCATACAACGTAAATTATTTGGGGTGAAAAAAGCTTTGTTCCCCGATTTTCGATATTTTCGACTTTGAAAATTCGAAGCTAAAGATATAGTAAAAATCTTGAAAGAGTTACTTTTTAGGAGTCAATGATCGGATCACTGAAGTGCAAAGAAGAACTCGGGAAAATTATGGATTACATCGACTCGTTGAAGTATCCTGATAGGGTTGATTATCACTACGTCTACAAACTCCTTGAAGAAGTCTTTTTATCCTGTGTTCTATTTAAAACCCTCAATTTAAGGGAGCAATTGTTTGTGGCGGTTCAATCTCCGCTCCCTACGACTGGGAATGACGACACATCAGTGATTTTATTCTAAGAAACTAATAAAGTGCTTTTCTAACTTATTTGACTCACTGAATCTGGAAAATTACAAGCTATTCGGAAACTTGAAGCAGATGGCTTCTGATGCTCCATTTAAATTTCTAATAGGATTTCTTTTGCAATTTCGGTTGGAAAATAATATTAAGATGATTTCTATTATAAAACATTATGAATGAATGAATGAAATGTTTATTTCGCTATTATATCAAAAAAAAAAGATTTTTCCGCCTCTATTCATGTGATTACATGTATGTATATAAAAAGTAATATAAACATATAAAAACTAGATGAAAATCAACATAAGAAAGCTGAAATCTCGACATCTTTTATTTTCATCTCTACTCGAAGCTTATTCAGATACCATTTCACGTCCAATTCGTGTATCTAATTTAGTGAAAAAACTTGCGTTAGACCAAACAGAAATATTGTGAAATGAGCAAGTTAAACTTTTCACGTTATTCAAACAACCCGTGCAGGAAATAGTTATTTCAAAAGACTAATCGTCAGCGAGCGGCCAGCACGATGTCTGAAGAAGACGTGGACGATGAAATCGGCCTTAAGCCCGTCTGATTGAACTTCCACGTTCTTTCAAAAATTGATGAATTGTAGGGAGTGATTGTGGAAAGTTCAAAAGCCAAGTACACAATAATCAAACTTCTGGGAGAAGGGGGTTTTGGCGCCGTTTATAAGTAGGATAGATTATGAAAAAAAAGAAAGATGCATTTTTTTCAGGGTTCATGAGACAAACAACAAAGAAAAATGCTACGCCATGAAGGTAGAACGAAAAATGGAGGCAAGACGTCATTCTAAGCTCAAAATGGAAGTTTACAGACCGGAAATAGTTGTAGATTATCAAAAGAAAGTTTCAGATAATGATCCTGAAAGTAGTGTCGGCGGAACGGAAACAGTCGCACTTCACGACGATAGCCGACCGTGGGAAAAGAGAAAAGGAAGGATTCTTTTTCTTGGTGATGGAACTAGTCGGCAAGAGCCTGGCTGATCTGAAGGGAGCCCGGCCAGATAAGGTGTTTTCGCCGCCGACAGGCCTCGGCGTCGCTCAGCAGTGCCTTGAGGCCTGTGAAGACCTCCACAAGTACGGCTTCATACATCGTGATCTGAAGCCGGCGAACTACGCCTGCGGCATAAAGGATAAACACATCGTTAGTCTTTCCCCGATGGATCTCACTTCAGAGGTAATACAGATTTACATACTTGACTTCGGAATCGCTCGCAAAATTTTGAACGAGAAGAATGAGCTGAGAGCACCTCGGGAATCGGTTCGATTCAAGGTTAATATAATATGCTGACTTTCTTGAAAAGATATTCAAGGGAACTGTGAGGTTCGCTTCGTTGTCGTGTCACAGAAACGTCGAGCTCGGATGGAAGGATGACTGCGAGAGTTGGTTCTATCTACTCATCGACCTTCTTAATCCTGGCGGTATGCTTCTTTATAGCGGTTCAAGGTTTTTTTTTTGGGTCTTCCTTGGAAGCGTATGAACGACAAAAATGAGGTGCAAAAAATAAAAGAAGACTGCCGCACGACTAAAAGAGTAACGCAACAGCTTTGATGACTTTCAAAACATGATTATCAGGATACGTTGTTGGGAGCTCTGAAATGTAAAGAAGAATTAGGGAAAATCATTGACTATTTTGACTCGCTTAATTATCCTGATCGAGTCGACTATCACTACATCTACAAGCTTCTAGAAGAGGTTCGTCACCCAAAATATTAAAAAACTCTTCTTTTTCCAGGGAGCAGTCAATTGCGGAGGATCCGTGTCCGCTCCGTATGATTGGGAGTGAATGGAAAAAATATCGTCATATATTTTTTCAATAAAAGATTGGAATACGCGTCAGAGTGGTTCACTCTCTTTTTCATTTTCGCAAAAAGACATCTCAATAGGGACTGTTTTTTCTCGGTGTTTTCTCTGAAGTGGACCAAGCAAAGAAAGGCTCTCGAGAAAGGGTGTGTTGAGAAACGGCGTAGAATCTGGATGTGGGAAGTAGATTTCTCAAAATGAACTGACTTACCCAGAGCAAGATTGTCGCGACTCGATTCTCATGACTTGTGGTCTATCGCGTGGATTCACTCCAACGCTCAAATTGTGTTCGTGTTCTTTCAAACTCGACTTGCGGGATATATATCTTTGATAGTCGTAGATATGATCTGTGAAAAAACAGTTGATCATCTTCTCAATCTGTTTGAATTACCCGAAAACAAAGTTTCGTAGAACCTTGAGGCCGTCGGATTCCCTCGCAAGAGATTCGCAACTTCTTCATCGAAATATTCCTCATTGATGCTATCGCTGTGTTTTTTGGACATTCGCCACGTCTTTTCGATGATTTTTGTGGGACATGAACTCATTTTTAGAACGCTCAACGCAATTTCTCGAGGAACGTCTTGAAAGGAAAGGAATTGTTAAAGTCAGATAAAAACCGAAGAGTGACCTTTTGAAAAAGAAATGAGATCTCCACATGATTCGAAGTCATCTTTCGTGAAAATTTCAAAAAGGTTCTTTCGAAGTGTTGAAAAATATTGGTTTTTGAGGACAGCCGTTGATTTCGATTGGGAATCGAGAGATGAATAAATGACTGTGACCCCGAGCTTTGCCAGTATTTCGAACGAAACTTCAGAGCCTGTGAATCCCTGCAGAAATACTTTTTTTCGTATTGAAAGCGAATCTCACATCTTCCATGATGGTCTCCAGGTCAGTCGATGAGTCAACCACCTCGAAAATGGCTCTCGTCCCCATCAGAAAGAAATACATGCGATACTGCTGCGAAATGGGGCCTGAGGATTTTTTTTTTCTTGATCGTTTTGGACTCCTTCTTACCGTTTTTAACCACGATGTAATTGGAAGCGGCTGCCTCATGGAGCAAGGCTACGGCAGGGACGTCGAAATGTTTCGCATCGATTATAGCGATGTTAGAATCGGCCATTTTCCAGACGTTGAGAAGCGGACTGCGGCTGAAGGCCTGGACGTTGTGGCACTGAGGATCAAGCTCAGACGAGAGATTGATGACGTCGATAGTTTTTGCCGTTGGTTTGACAACACTAACAAATAGATTATTGTTCTAGAGCGATAAGGTACCTCATATCGTTTATCAGGTAGAAGTGGGTATCACTTCGGATGAAAGGGGCGTCGAAAGTGGATATGAGAATATTTGTGGACAATATTGACGGCTCCCTTTTTAACTCTTTGAAGCCATTTTTTTCTAATAACTTCCACAAAAAATGGTCGAAAATGTTCATTCTCAGATCGTTCTTCTTCCACAATATGCGCGGAGTCTTGGCTACTAAATGAAGAAAGTTAATGAATGAAGCAGAGATTCAAACGTACTTTCTTCGAAAACCCAAAAAATTTCGAAGCAGAAACCCGGATCGAAAGCATAGATAAAGTTATTCAAAAGGTTTCCATCAACTTGAGACTTCAGAGTCCCTCTCCCAGAAAAGGTTGAAACCCGGCCAATTGATTTTAAGTGGAAGTTTTCTAAATATTATACAAAAATGTGAGAAACGGAGCTGGAGCTAACCCAGAGTAGAAATTTGCTGTAGTGGATCTCGCATTGTCAGAGCTACAAAAGCTGTAGCCATTTTCGTCTTCCACTCGACATCCGAAGGAGGAATCGGATCGCTGACCATTGACAAAGAAGTTCTTTCAAACTCTCGTAGCATCTCCTGAAAAGTCGTTTCGAAATCTACAAACTGAAAGAAAAAACAAACCGAGTACCACATCGCTAAACAGTCACACTCTTCAAGAAACGAAGCGCAAATTATTTTTTCCAGCAAGGTGTGACTTTTATCGAACATGTCGAAATGGTCAGCGAGCATAGATTGGTGATTTGTGCCGAGCAAACTTGGAAATTCGTCAAAGAACATGGACAAAGCTTGCTGTCTTTCTGAGTAAATCATTCATCTATGTTTCTGAGAGTTTCAGTACCTTTGGGTGGAAGATTTGTCAAATCTATTTGCTTCCTGAAGCTCCAGTTTGTTCTAACTTTAACTTTGCGCACAAAAACACTGCTGTCCGTAGACATTAATCGCATAGGAACCACAGGGAAATCTTCCCAATATTCTAGAATGACTGAGACTTTTTGCCAGTTTTGAAGGCGACAAGATATGATCAGCTGCGCCAGTTTAGATTCACTGCAACCGTTCGCGAAACAAGAGAGGTCGATATCCAGCTCTGGAAGGTCCAGCAGCTGCACAGCTGTCAGCAGAGCGATACAAGAAACGAATGTGGGCAGCAATTGAACTTGGTTCAACAGTAGAACTATTTTCTCTTTATCCTTGTCTTCAGACAAGTCGAAAATCGCCCTTTGAATCAGCCAAATCGACATGTCAACAGAAGAACTTGAAAACAACAAGGAAGCGTCCAGTAGGAGAGTGTACTGAAAAACATGATTATCAGAAAGATTCCAATATTTCCATACCCTTTCGTTTGGAGGCAGTTTCTCCAGGAGTGGCCGCAGTATTAAGAAAATCCTGAGAAGACCGAAAGACCGCGGACGTCGCAGCTCGTATCGGCACAAGTCGAGCAGAGAACGGCACTTGTCCAAGACGTTTTCCTCGTATTCGAACAGCGAAATATGTCTCCTCACGCTCTCCATCACCTGGAGCGGCTAAAAAATCCTAAGATTCTTCGAAAACCAACCATCTCCTCATCTTGGCTGTTTTTCGAGTAGACGTCAGCAATCAAACGATATCCGGTGGCCAGGAATCGGTTGGAGTCGCACTCCTCGGCAAGACTGATAGCCTTCTCTAAGGCCGTCATCGCCACGTCCAAGTTGTCTCTTTTGTTCTCTGTTCTGGATAGAAGCATGAGCATTTCGATGCGACCTTCGTTGTCACGGATCATTTTGAACAGAGTGAGGCCGCTCCGAGAGTGTTCAGCCGCATCGGCGTACTTGCAGAGGGCCAAATTTGCTCTGCGGAACAAAACATTTAGGAAATTGACTTACGAAAAAACCTGGCGAGGTTTCTGTGAGAGTCAGCCATGGCGCGAGCACTGCGCAACTGCCTGGCAACTTCCAATTGCTGTTTGAAGTATCCTTCCGCTTGCCTAAAATTCATTTTCAAAAAAGTGATTCGTACAGACCTGTGTTTTCCTAGTTCAAACAGAGCGTCGCCCAACTGCCCAAGCATTTGCATCTCTCGTTTGCTGTCGTTGCCGTCTTGCGCCTTGAAAGTTCATTCGTTTTCTCGCGAGAAGGTCAGAAAAGTTAATGAACCTCCGTTAAACTCTGTTCCAACGGATGAATTATGTCGAGACTCGTTCCTTGTTGCTTGTCCCACAACGCGACGTCTTCAAAAATCAGGGAACGCAGATTGGAATCTGACAGTTCCCTTCAGTTCTGTTAACATTTCTTTTTTGATACCCAAGTCATTTTCGAGAAGCGCTTTCATTTTCTCAATGTCTTCGGAGGCAGTGGACTGCTTGCCGACTTGCAAACTCCACTTGAAACGAGCCGAGAGGCACGGAACTCGCAGAGTCACGTCGCAAGATCTGAAACACGCAAACTACAGCCTAAAGAGAGGAATAATTCGGTCGAAACTCTAGAATCGGATGAATTTGATCACTTTTTTTTATTTGATTATTTGGTGTACTAATGCAACACTCTGGTGTTCTCAACTTCCAACAATCCCTACTTTGTTTTTCCTTTTCATGAAATTATCTATTCGACATAGAGGATTATTTGGCAAATTTTCAGTTTTTTTTTTTGAGACTGATGTAGAAGAAAAGCCTCCAGCAACAGTACCTCTCTGCTAGCCGTACTGCTTCTTTCAAAAAGATTTCTGGACATTCCGGATTGGACTCGTCTTCACTCAAACGAGCGAGAGACAATAGAGCCTGAGAAAAATCTTCAGAATGCGAATAATTTCTACCAAAGGCACTTCAATCTTTTTCTTTTCCGCTTTATCCACGACTGAAATGAATCTTTTCCAAAGAACAATCGCCGAAGTGATGTCTCTCTGATTCTCATATATCATAGCGAGAAGTCTGTAGGCGTCACCTTCATAAGAGTTTTCTTTGTTGCCCCTACAAAAATTTATGTTTACGAATAAAAAAAGTTTCACCTCGAAAATTTCAATATCCGTTTAGCCAGTTTCAAAGCGATTGGCAGGTTTCCAGCGACAATTTGAGATTGACAAAGCAAATAACAGCAATGGAGAAACTAAAAACATTGAATTCAAAAAAAAAAACGCCAAAATACCAGACAAGGTTTGTTGTACTTGGTCGCAGCACACAATGAAGAATTGAGGAACTCAATCGACGAGTTCAGGTCTTTCTCAGCGACAAAAGTTTGGTTAACGGCGTCTATGATCCGAATTCTTATGACGACTTCAGATTCCTTCGGCGGACCCGACAACAGAGGCAAAAGCAGCTCTCTGGCGATTTCGTGCCTTCCCTACCAAAAAAGACGATTTGGTTCAAAAAGCAGCCCAACCATTTCAGCGTTCGCGATTCCGCGGATTCGTTGGATATTTTTGACGTCTTCGACGTCGCAAACGGGCGACTGGCATTCGTCCAGAAGAAGGATAGCTTCTTCGAACTGCTTCAGATTCAAATAATTCTCCGCAATCTTCATTTTTTCATCCAGCTTTTCTCGTGCGCTCAACACCTGTCGAAACCTGTCGCATTTCTTTCTTGAAGATTGAGCCTACGTTCGAGCTTAAACGGTGCGATCTCTGCAAACAAGCCAGATGGAAATTGCCCCACAATTCAGCGGCAATCGCGATATTTTCCCTTGTGGCGTCCGAATTTCCACCCAAAACAAAACTGTTCAGAAAAAAAAACCGAGCAGAATGAACTCACCGAGTTCCTGGCAGAGCTCAAGCTGTTGCTCATAGTAGTCGACAGCACGCGCGTAGTTGCCACAATGACAATGAGCCGCCGCCAGAGAGCTCAACGTCGATTCCCGTAGTTTCAGAGAGCGCGGCTCCAGTCCCTCCGCCCAGCCAAGGACAGTTATCGCTTCTGTGTAGCCATTTCAGAAGCCAAATCGAACACCTCTCAAACCATGGAAATCCCCTCGATGGATCATCGATTGTCCCACAGTCGAAAGCACCGTCGACCGGTCAACCTCCAGGTCCAGCGACTTCAGCTGATTGAATGGGAAATCTTCTGGAAAAGAAAATATTGAAGGAAAACAAGATGAAATATGAGATTGAAAATATGGGAGGTTGTAGTCCAGTAATTATTTTATGTACGAAAATTTTTTTGCAACTAGTACAATAATATACGTCTTTTTCGCGACTTGAAACTGTTTCATGTCTCGGCGTCCTCCGCGTCCTCCTCGTCTTTCTCATTTTGACGTTCTGTTCTTATGTTTCTTTGATCTCATCGGTGAGTGAGCAGAGAGACGCAGACATTCGAAAAACGTTAAGTCGCGAGAAACGGACTACACCATTATAATTTTTTCAACGAAAAAAGTTAATTCTTCTTTGACCATAGTTATATTCCAGAAAAACAACAAAATAAGCAACACTCTTTCAATTTTAAATATCGTTTTTGCAGAATAAAATTTATTTCGGAAAAAAAAAAGAAACAACTCCCCATAAACTGAACGGGCCAAATCCAAGAGGGACTTCAGAATTTGACAATTGGAAGGGTCCAATCGTGCTCCGTTGCACAAGGAAACAAGCGCGTTCTTTGTATCTCCGACTTTTTTCAAAGCTTCTCCTTTTCGGTAGTGTGCCTTGGCCCACGTCGGACTGATTTGAACAGCTCGCTCGGCTTGTTTCAGCGCATCTGCCACGTTGTTCAGCTTCAAGAGAATTGCCGACAAGTTAGAGTAAAGAATTCCATTAGTTGGGTGACTGAGAATCGCCTTCTCGTACAAAATCTGCGCGTCTTCGTAGCGACCTTCGGAGTAGGCAGTTCCTGGATTTAACAGTGATTATAACTGCAGATCAAAAACTTTATTGATAATATAGTTGTCATCTCATTCGTTAGCCACATGAAGTCTGAATCTCCTTTAGAAAAATCGTATGCTGTTGAGCTAGAAATTGTGTCTTAATTCTGTATAATCTATGAAATTTTGTTATTTTATGTATTATCGTTTACATACATGGCGCAGTTTGTTTTCGAGGTTCACTCTTCTTCAATTTATTGATTCCAAACCATTTAAAAAGGTTCATCTATGCGCAAATTTGATCCAATTTCTTTGTGAATTATATTTAATACGAAAGCAATTTTTCAAAACATAATTTTTGGCTTTTTGAAAAGGCGCCAATCTGTCAAAGAAAAAAAGCAAACCTGCTTCATGAACAATCTTTTCAAGGTCGCCGCTCATCACAGTCCATGAAACTACCTAAAAAATTTTTTTTTGAAAATCCGAACCTAACGGAAAACGGCGAAGAATAGAAGAAGAACGCGGCCTAAATGTTGAAGATTGGCTTAGTAGGACGGTCAAGAAGACAAATTGCTCCGATTGGCCGTAATTAAACTTTAAATGAGAACTGGAAAGACGGTATAATTGCTTCGCAGTTTTGCACCATCTTGAAAACGTAAGAGCGTTTACTTTTGACGGGGTTTTTTTTCAATAAGGAATTTGAAGAAGAGTCTAACAGGGAAAAACCGCAATGCTATATGACGAATGCGGAAAGATCCTGTCCTTGAACGCATTTCTCCGCTCTCCCACTTTCTTCCACTTTCGGTCAATCCCCTAATCGATTTATCCGTGTGAATATATATCGACCGCTGTTCTATTTATAGCATCGTTATTCACACTTCCCTGTTTCTTTCTTCGAATTTCCGATGAACTTCAGAAAGACGCTGATTTAATCTTCATAGTTTATTGGAGAATTGAAAATAAAACTATCTAAACAACAACAAACCTGTAGTGGCAGAGAATATAGCATAACAATCAAGATAAACAATAGAAATTGAACTAGTCTAAAAAGTAGAACAAATAACAAAAAAAAAACGTACTCAATGAGACCGAAAGAAAGGAATTTTCACGAAATTATTCTATTCAATGGAAGACACCGAGAAGGTCGGATTCACGGAAGATCGAGTATTCCTTGTTGTCGACAATAACCTGGAACAACACATTTAGACCATGTTGACTTTGAACAGAAAAACAAAATTCAATATAAACAGAATTTTTTTTTCTACAGTACGAAAATTTAGTTTTTGCAAAATTCTCGGAAAAACAACAAGATTTGGATTGAAAATTCAGGATTGAGATCAAAGTTTTAAAAAAACCTTTGTGCCTCCGTATTCGGGGAGAAGGACGCGATCCCCAGGCTTCACAGAAAGAGCGACGACCTCACCTTTCTCGTTGCGAGCACCTGCTCCAGCAGCTACAACAGTAGCTTCCAAAACCTGTGAAAAAAAGAAAAAAATTATTTTTCACACAGATAGTAAAAAATTTTCTCTCTTGAAGTGGAGCAAAGAACGAAGCAAAGTTGAATAGTATTGCAGGGCAAAAAAAATTTTTGATGATGACACTAATTTGCCCTTCGATGTTCAAAAAATTCGGTGATTGAAATAAAAGCCAGCAAATTTTCGAACGGCGACTTTTCCGATTCTTTTTAACATCGCTAGGGAGCTTTCCGACTTTTTTTCTATTGCATTTTTCGGATTATAAAAGATCTTTTAACATTGTTTTCCTTTTTCTTTATGTTTTTATCATGAATAAAGTACCTGTTTGATAGAGGAAAATTAAAAAAAAAAAAGTTTATCGAGAGAAAAAGTCGGAAACTTTGCAATGTTCCCTAGCGGTATGAAATCGGAAAAAGTGGTCGTTCGAAACTTTGCTATTTTTATTTCATACCACCAAAAAAATTCGACTTTTTTAGTTTTTTTGTTTCTGGCTCTTCTTTCATAAGAAAAAAATCGCTTGAAAAAAAGTGTTTTTTTCATATTAAACTTTTAATTCGCGATTATTCTATTACCTTAAAAAAAAAAATAAGAAAGAGGGCAGATAACTAATAATCGCAAAGCCTCACTATAATCCAAAATATTAACTTTATTTCGAGGAAATATAAATAGATGTTCGCGTAAGAATTATCACCATGAAACATTGACCCTTTACTATTTCACCATTCGCAAAAAAAAACACAAAAGAAAACTTTGAAACTGAAAGAAATTTTTTGTCCTTTCATCTAGCATAAGTTAAATAAAAGTTCGATGAGTAAAAAAAAAAGCTTCATTGGGATAATATATCCAAATGGGGATTTTCGCGGAATATTTGGAAAAATTTATAAACGCTGAAAATTCAATAAACAACTTCTTTCAAAAATCGAACTATTTTCAAACAAAAAAAACGTACTTTTCCTTGAGACTTTTCTGGAAGCATGATCCCGCCCTTCGTTTTCGTTTCAGCAGCTACTCGTTCGACTAATACGCGGTCATGGAGAGGCTTGAAAGAATTCAAGATAGAACTCTGAAAAATATAATAAAAGAAAGAAATACAACTAAAAACCATTTTTCTGAAAATTGCATCACATTCTTTAGAAAAGTTTGAATTTTCAAAAAATAAGTAGAAATGAAAGATCAAAACCCACCGATCGACGGAGAGCTGTCAGGAACATGATTCAGGTTGCCTGAAAAAAAGAGAAAAGTTGCAAATTAATGAATAAAATAGGAAGAAAAAATAGAAAAAATCAAGGCGATTCTGGCGGTTTCATGAACCAATCGTGGGCGGAGTCAAAGGCTATCAACCAATCAGCGTCTAGTTCGCGAACCTTCTCGATGGGTACATCTGCGCTCCACTGACAATTTTTTTCAAATCCCCGCGGTAAAAATGATGCAAAAACTCATTTCCCTTCTTCTCATCATTTGTTTCCTTTTTCTTTACTGTCATTTAATTGCTTCGTATTTTTTTACCAATAGATTTGAATAAGAAAAAAACAAATAGGTTTGAATATCACGAAATTCTCGTTTTTTTCAAAAATAATTTTTTTAATGAAAATTTTTTTCCAAATGCAAATCAGTTTTTTTCAGAGATTAGTTTTTTTATTCAATATAATGATAAGATAATCGTTCTCATTCATCAGAAAAAAAGGTAAATTATAGTTTATTTTACAAAAATTCCCACAGAAGACTTGCTAAATTTCAACTTATTTTCTAATGCCGTGTTCAATTTGATTCCGGGAAATGCAAAATTTTCTCTGACTCTCCAAAATTTAGTGATCATTTCGTTTCTCTAACGGGTATTTTGCATTTCGCGGAATCCAATTGAACACGGCATAAAATATTCTCATCGCTTTTTTTTGGTGGTTCAGAACACATTCATTTTTAACCTAGAAATCTGATTTTTTCCAGTTTTTTCATATGGCCGATTGATCTGTTCATAAAAAAAAATAATTTTTGAAGGTAAAATGCTCCGTCTGGCCAGAAAGGGATTCGCGCAAAATATTGCACGTGCATACGCCAAGGATGTGAAGTTCGGAGGAGAAGGGCGACAAGCCATGATCGCCGGTGTCAATCTTCTTGCCGACGCTGTTTCGGTCACAATGGGTCCTAAGGTATAGCAGATAAATACATTTTTCAATTTTATGTGATAAACTTTTTTTCAGGGACGAAACGTTATCATTGAGCAATCGTGGGGCAGTCCTAAGATTACCAAGGATGGAGTAACTGTTGCTAAGTCTATCGATCTCAAGGACAAATACCAGAACATGGGAGCTAAACTAATTCAGGTATGATAATAACTCAAAAAAGTGGCAGAAAATTGAGGTTTTCGATTCAATAGTATGAGAAAGTTTTGTTACTACAAATAGTTGAATTATTATAAAACTACTCTATCCATTTTGCTATGAAAAGGTATTTGACATCGTTTACTACAGATGCTTCAGCTCATCATCAAAAAGCTCTGAAAATAATATTATCAGTACTTTTTTTACCAATATAGAAAAGAGGAAGCTTGATTCAATAGGGAAAAAAATTTCAGTATTTGAGTCGGTTTTGATAAAATTATGTTATCTGTAATATTTCAAGAAAATAACGTCTTTTTTCTCTTCAAACAATTTTTCAGGATGTTGCCAACAAAGCCAACGAAGAGGCTGGCGATGGAACGACTTGTGCCACCGTTCTCGCCCGTGCTATCGCTAAAGAGGTATCTTTGAAATAATTTAGGCTTTGAATAATCGATACCGAATAGGGCTTCGAGAGCATCAGACAGGGAGGAAACGCTGTTGAAATTCGCCGTGGAGTTATGAGTGCCGTTGAAATCGTTGTCAAAGAGTTGAAGAATCTCAGCAAAAAAGTTACTAGTTTTTTTTTTTGAATCGATACATTTAGAAATATTAAGGTCACTACTCCTGAAGAAATCGCCCAAGTAGCCACTATTTCTGCTAACGGGGACACCAACATTGGAAGCTTGATTTCTGACGCTATGAAAAAAGTCTGTATTTTTCGCGATTGAGGTAATTTTCAATTTTCGTTTTAGGTTGGAAACAAGGGAGTCATCACCGTCAAGGACGGAAAGACCCTTCATGACGAATTGGAGCTTATTGAGGGAATGAAGTTCGATCGTGGATACATTTCACCTTATTTTATCAACACCTCCAAAGGGGCAAAGGTAAGTTGAGCAAGGACAAGAAATAATTTTTCGAAAAACTCATTCCCTTAAATTTATAATTTTTGAAGGTCGAATACGAAAAGGCTCTCGTTTTGTTGAGCGAAAAAAAGATCAGCCAGGTTCAAGACATCGTCCCAGCTCTTGAACTCGCGAATAAACTTCGTAGACCGCTTGTTATCATCGCTGAAGACGTTGATGGCGAAGCACTCACTACTTTGGTCCTCAACAGACTGAAGGTTCGGTTTATTTCCGAATTATTTATGTTTATCATTTAAAATTTCAGGTCGGTCTTCAAGTTGTTGCTGTCAAAGCACCAGGATTCGGTGATAACCGTAAGAACACCCTTCGCGATATGGCCGTCGCTACTGGCGGAACGGTCTTTGGCGACGATTCCAACCTTGTGAAACTGGAAGACGTCACTACCGACGATTTGGGAGAGGTCGACGAAGTCAACATCACGAAAGACGACACTCTCTTGTTGCGTGGTCGTGGAGACCACAAGGAAATCGAGAAGCGTATCGAGCAAATCTCAGATGAAATCGAACAATCCACTAGCGAGTATGAAAAGGTTAAACTTTGTCTTTCTTAAATTTTTGTACCCTTCGATTAAATATTATCAAAATATTTTAGGAAAAACTCAATGAGCGTCTTGCCAAGCTTTCTCGTGGTGTTGCCGTTCTCAAGATTGGAGGAGCTTCGGAGGTTGAGGTCGGAGAGAAGAAAGATCGTGTCACTGACGCCCTCTGTGCCACACGCGCGGCAGTCGAAGAAGGAATTGTTCCTGGCGGTGGAGTCGCTCTTATTCGAGCTCTCCGCGCTCTCCAGAACTTCACGGCTCCCAATGAAGATCAGAAGATTGGCGTCAACATTGTGAAGAAGGCTCTTGTTCAACCTATTTCCACGATCATCCGGAACGCTGGACTGGATCCCTCTTCGATCGTTGACCAGGTTTCTGCTAACGAGAATGCTGCCTACGGATACGACGCCCTGAACAACAAATTTGTCAATATGTTCGAAGCCGGAATCATTGATCCTACTAAGGTATTTAATTTTCTTTTTCAAGCTTTATTTGAATAAATCGACGAACATTTAGGTTGTTCGCACCGCTCTGCAAGATGCTGCCGGAGTTGCCTCTTTGTTGGCGACAACGGAGTGCGTAGTTGTGGAGCTTCCGAAGGAAGAGCCTGCTCCAGGAGCTGGTGGAATGGGAGGCATGGGCGGAATGGGAGGAATGGGCGGCATGGGAGGCATGGGTTTCTAAATGTCAACTTTCCGCTATTCCAAAATCTCATTGATCCTCTCATTTGAACTGGTATTTCACATGAATTTTATTTTAACTTTGATCATTAACTACGGCTCAACTTCCTTGAAGTTGTGATGCAAATCACATCTTTTTTGATAGTTTTCAAAGCTCGATCATGTCCTTGTTTGCCAAATCGTGTTCGATTCTTTTTATCAGCAAATTGTTAATTGTTATGTTTGCTCTGCTTGAAACTCCACCTCAGCAAAAATTCCTTTAGGTTAGTTTTATATAGAATGTTTTTTTGTTTTTGTTACCTTTTTTCCAATTTGTAATTTTTTGAAAAAACATAGTAAATATATTTGTCCCTTAACTTTCAATCTCGTGGTACGAATCCTTTATAAAATGATTAGTCAAGACTCATGTAAGCATTTGAAGTGGGGGGTAACTCTTTTTTAGGAGTATTCGAAGATTCAATCGTATCTTCAAGGTAGTCGCCGCATTCTGAACTTCTATATTCCCGATGATACGATTTGTCAACAACTGAACAGCTGGCATTTCTTTCAAGTTGTTCCCATGAGCTTACTTTCCAACCAATGTACTTTGGAGTTAGATCGGACATCGAAGCAATCGTCAAAGAACAACAATGGAAAAAGACCAATCGTTGAGCCAATTAGAAGGCCGACAATCTGGGAATTCTATAAATTGTTCTTAGAAGAGAAATAAAGTACCCGAGCCCATTGAATAACATTGAGTCCGTCAGGATTGTTCATCTGCTCCGGTGTGAGTACTGGTCTTCTGAAGTTATCTTCTCCCTTGGTCCAACTCATTCAATGTTTTCGTTCACAGAACTTATCAGTCAAAACGGTTTTCTTTTATCTTATCTTTGACTATCAACCAACGCATCTCAAAGTTTTTAGCCTCTCTTTGAGAAGAGAAAATCAAAAAAAAAAAAACTGGTTGAAGCAAAGACTTACTGAATGTTCAAGTAACCTAATAAGCGGACAGCGTGGTCTTGTGATCGTTGCAGCAACAAATTCGACACGACGTTGGCTAAGGCGGCTGATGTGAGCACCGACAACCCGTAGAGTTCAGCAAAGTTTCTGTATTTAGTAATTTTTTCAGTCTCATCAGGCTAATTACATGCTGATTCCTTTACCACCTATGATAAGGAGGGCTGAGTCGAGGATTCCAAAGATAAAAGACGGTATGAAGTAGATTTTCCTGAAAGATAGTTTTGTTGGTTTCCAGAATACCTTCTATACTTAATCAATGTCCAGAAAGATGCCATATAAAAGGAAAACATATTATGGGAGAACTAAATGACGGACTCGGACCTTGGTAACGCGAACGGGACGCGAATAGGACGTGTCGGGGAATTTCTAGTGGCTACTTTAGTAGCCTCAGCGCTCTTAAGTGAACCCTAGAATTGCCTAGAAACGTCCGGAGCACGTCCGTTTCGCGTTACCAATGTCCGAGGGAAATGTTTGTTTCTCCTAAAAGCGCAAAAAACACCCTTTCCTCCCATCAATTATTTTTCGACTTTTTGCAAACTCTATTCGAAGTTTTGTTTTTCTCTATGGTTGTGGACAGAGCTAAAATCTGATATTCGAATAGCCTAATAAAAATTTCATTCTTACAAATTTCTCATTCAGAATAGGAAATTTGTAAGACTGAAGTTTTTCCCACTAGACTTCCCGGACTTTTTTCACGTACCAAAGCTTGACGAGATCATCAATATGAATGGTGGCATTGCCGAGTCGTTTGTGCTCCAGGTACTGGTCGGCCACTAAAAATTTGCAATTTTGAAGATTATCGAGTTGAAAAACGACTTATTTTGCGAAGCGCGTCGAAGAGAAGCTTCCGTTCGCCGGCGTGGAGCTCGTGGACCACGACACGAGCGTCTTTGGCGTCGCGAACTCCAACCGGAAGAAAGGAACTGTCGAAAAGTCGCCGCGCTCTGAGCAGATTCCGCAGTAAGTCGCTTTCTTTTCACAGTTTATTTTCGTTGATAGTTGCCCCATTTTTATCTTTCTGATAGATTGCTGATTTTTAGTGTAGGAAGTTGATAGCTGTACTTGGATCCTAGAAATATTCGTTTGTACTTTTCTTAAGTATTAATTAAGTTCTGGAAAACCCTCTCTATGGTCGTGGACGGCGCTACAGTCTGATTTTTTTGAACAGGAAATTTGTGAGATTAAAATTTTTTTCAAGAAATTCAAATTTTTTTGCGTTCAAATGTTTCAACAGTAATTAATAAAGAAGCAACTTGAAGGGAATTTATTAAAACATTCCCTGAAATTTTTTGAAAGTTAACTTCAAAATCCTCCTAGAAATAAGACGTTGACCAGTCATTTTTTTCCGATTATTTTTGAAAGGTTTTTCTCTTACGTGTTTAATACAGTGTCAAAGGGGACTGTTGGCCGGTCATTAGTGCGCCGTCTGTTCCAGAGCCAAGGAATTTTTAAAAATTTTTTCCCTCTCCGCAATTTGTATAGGATCTGTCTCTAGAGGTGGGGGACGCAAGCCTCTTTTTCATAATGATTCGAAAAAGATGTTTTTCACACTTTTCAATAGAGGAGACTGTCAATTTTCATAATCCGTCCATTTTTTGAAAAACGGTTCGCTAAGAAAAAAAATTATAGCCAAAAAACTAGCGCGCGGCGTTCAACAAGGAGGCTCAAAATCACTGTTTACCCGCTGCCGCACGCTTTCTTTCAAATTAATTGTGCGCATTTCTTAACCATTTTTGAATCAAGTTTTTTTACAATTTTCATAAGCAGTTTTGATGAAATCATAAAAAATTACTTAAAAAAAGTTCAGGAGGAAGTTTTTTTGCTTATTTCTCTTTTTTTCTAATTGGGAAAAATTATTATCGTTTGACTTGGAAAAAAAGAAAAAAAAAAAAAAAATCTTAATTCGAGATAAAATAGAAAAAGTGAAATTTGATGACGAAAAACGGCTCCGGCATCATTTAAAAACGTAGGTCGGTTCGCTTGACGCAAACACTGCTACGGACACTTGCACGAATTTTTCCTACGTACCAAAAAAATAGGCCATTTTTCGGGGTTTTCAAAGCCGTTATTTTTTTCGCGTCGTTAGGTTTTTTTTATTATTTTTTCATTGATAGAGTTTTGAACGCTTAATAACATAATCAAAAAGATAAACGCGTTCCTATTGTCTCACGCGTCATCGAGGCAGACGAAAAAAATGAGGTTTTTGGTAAAAAAATCAAATATAATTTGATTCGCTGTCCCAATGATTATTTTTTTGAATTTTCTTTTTTTAAACACACTTTGAGTTATTATATTGAATAAAAAAAGTATACCATGTCGCTGAAATTTTTTTTCGCATGCAGCTTCAAAGTTTGGTGTCACTTTAAAAGCTTCAACTTTTTTTCGCGTCGCTAGAATTTTTTTATTTTCATTCATAAAGTTTAAAAATATGTTAATGTATAAAAATACTAAAAAATTTAGAAGCGTTCCTCACTTGGTTTTCTGAAACGCGACGATTTTGTGATTCGTTAATTTTTTTCGCGATTAATCTTATTTTTTTCGCATATTCATAACAAATACATGGTTTCAAAGATAATCAGTTTTGTAGAACGTTGTTGATTACATATGTTAACATGAACGATCAGTTTTTAAAGTCGAACTTTAGCCAGTAGAAACGCCTCAAAACCGTTTTTGCAAGAAAAAATCGTCTATCTAGAGGTAACAAAAGTAGTCTTGTATCGATAAGAGCATGATATTAGCGTGACCTAGCCTGAAAAGTTGCTAGAAAGCTGTAACACCTTTTTGCATCCATGAGAGCTAGTTCCTCGCTTTCCTCCTTTTTCTCATTCCTCTCAATTTTCGGCTCGCCCTTCTTTCTCGAAGGCGCTTTGGTTGTGGTCGGTGGCTCGCCAATGTAGGGGCACCCTCGCCTGCTATTCGTTCTCAGCGAGTTTATCGTCAATTTCTTCAGGAAATATCTGGCAATTTCGAGTTTCTCATAGTGAGTCTTTTTTCGATTCGTTTTTATAAAATATTTAACGCCTAGGTATGAGCATGATTTAAAATCAACAAAAAAATATATAGTGAAACATCTAAAAAAAAGTTACAGTCTGTTCAGATCCTGAATGTCAACCAGAGGACTCCGCTTCTGCGGCCAAAGTAGCTCTCCGCACTTAATCACGCGGGACGATTTTTTTATTTCTTTTTGTTCTAAAAAGTTAGAAAAAGAAGTCAATAAATGCAGTCATAGCAAAGATTAATCGTCATCTGCAATGAAACATTGATGCGAAAGATATAGTAGCCTAGGGGGCGGAGTAAGCTGCTTGATAATCTGAACGGACTATATTTTCAATATGATTCATATCATTTCCTTGTAGATTACATGTCATCTTAACTTTTTAAATCAATGGCACCAACAGTTTTTGATGAATATTGCAGTTCATAGGCAGTGCAGCCGACAACACGCCGCTTTTAAAAATGTCTTTTATTGCTTTATTCTTCACGTCAATTATTTACAATATTAAAAACAAATGCGAGAACAAGTTACAAACAAGTAGATTTCCCCAGTTTTCAGGAAACCCGTTAAGCTTCGGAGAAAAAATTAAATTTGCATGTGAGATCGGAGATAGATTTATGATGGAGGAAAGGTACTACGAATTGCACAAAATGCAAACAATTCAGTATGGAAATGAGAGAAAGTAAAAAAAAAAGAAACCCGGATTAGTATACGATAAAATGATCGAAACCGGTGAGAATTTCACTCTTCAAATTCGGGAAAACATGTTTTGACTATAAAAACACTGTAAAAACGGAAAAATAAGCATTTGGAAAAATTATTTTATGACTTTTTTCATATATTTTTTTTTATTTCTTTTTTTTTCTGAAGTCTCCTGAGCATTTTGAAGATAACTGGACTACTATCGACTTTTTTTCGGATAATTTTTCTACATCAAACTTCGAAGCATTTTGCACCAAGGAAAATATAAAAGAGAAGTCGAAATTCTCATACATTTTCGAAGATACTGCATATCGAAAATTTTTAAATAATATGTTTTCCTGGCTCGAAAAAGACGAAGTTACTTTATCAACAGACTAGATTTTTTGAGAGATTTGAGACAGAAGCACTCAACAAAAGCTCTAAAAGCTGATTCAGAAAGAGGCGCAGAAGTTAGCAATGTGTTAGAGGAAGCTCATTCCACGGCGGAACTCGCGAAGCGGCTGCCGTTCGAGCATCGACTGGCTGCTGAGAGCTCGCTGTTTGGAGCCACGAGTCTCAACCCGACTCATTTCGATGGCGACACTGCGACTTCGACGCTTGTCGATGACCGACGCAGCGGATTCAAGCAGCGTCGAGCCGGTCATCGTCGATATCGTCCTGCAACTCCAGCCACCCCTGAGGTTATTTTCAACGCCAACTAGAGAACGTCAGACATGCCTCGGTGTTGGTCGCACATCAGCGAGTAAGCTTGAAAATACAGCAAAAGCAGAGAATATTAGTTTAAGACAGAGTTTTAGAGTCAGCGAAGCTAAAGAAAAGGTGGCGTGTTCAGAAAAAAAAACTGATGCAGATTGATTTTTTAATGCATTTTCTAGCGGCAAAAGTACGAAAGTATCAGCCAGAGAAAAACGCTGAAAAATAAAAACCTGAAATTTTTTTCCGGTCATGTCTTCTTCAAGTAAAATTTACATGAATATGAAAATATTCAACGTACTACAAAAAAACAAAAAAGTTATTAGTATCTTTGTACTACTTGAAGCTACCAAAGTGAAAAAACTTCCGAAGCTAACGATTTCCATTTTTCAATCATTTTGCTCTGGGCTGATTAAATTATTCAACATACAACAGTCAGAGCTAAAGAGCCTTATAAACGAAATTACAACAGGTAAAGCACAGGAAAAATGCGATTGATATAATTAGGAAAAAAAATGATGTACTCGTAATCTCGAAAGTAAGTGAGCGTGCTGTGGAAAGGAATCGCTACAGAAGCCGGACACAGGTTAATAATTATTCAAAAATCAAAAATTCTCAATGAAAATAAGTTCCTACTTGACAAAGGTGCGACGCCAAACGTGAAAAAAACATGCGTAAAAAGGAAAAGATTGGAAAAAAAGAATGAAGATCGAGTTCATTCGCCGACAACCGTGGAATACCTCGTCGACTTGCGCAGAATACCCTGCTTGGTCTGGCTGAACAGTCGCTGTCGGAACGTCCGTGACGAAAGACAGAACAGCACGAAATTGAGCGCTTTCCCCAGAACTACCAGCGTCGTCACCACGGCCGTCTGAAATCTCAAGGTAGTCCAAAAGTCTGAAGATGAACTCACCAGAGCAACTTGCCAGTCTTGATCCGAGTAGTTGAACGACATGACCGTCACGAAGGCTGATGGTCCCTTAGAATATGGTAAACTAGATTTGCCTTTGAGGAAGCCCTATGTGCGCATTTGGAATGGCTCGACGGCTTGGTGGATTGCTTCGAGAGGGGAAGCCTCTTCGAGCCATTCCACGGCGTTTCAAGTTAAGAAGAGTGGATATGATAAACCTTTCAAAAATCATTCAATCAAATTTTGGACATTAATGAAACAGATAATTGAAATTTTTCTTTCAAAAAACCAGCGTGTAACTTGAAAAAAAAATTCTTTATTATTTTTATTCACTCATATTATTATGTAAAAAAAACCTGGGTTATTGTAAAGCTGGTGACGATTGCTGTTACCGTAATCGTGACCTGTAAACGTCATGTCAATCAATTCAAACTGGATATGTATACAAATTTTGGAGAACCGGATTTTTTTTTCTCTGAATTTATAGAAAGAATAAGCATTCGAGACTGGGAAAAATTCTTTTGAACTTTTTCTTTTAAAGAGCTTTTCTCTCTGAAATGAATAACTAGCCATTTCTCAACGCGAATAGAAAATTACCAAGCGTTCAGTAAAACTTTATTATTTTAAAACCTTGTGTTCAGTACGAGCTTGGCTTCCACTGAACTGCGATTCTCCTTTAACGGATTTTTGAGCTGGAATGAAGAGCTTTTGTCTGAAATATCAAAATTACAAGTCCAAAAAATGATGACTTGTATTTTTTTTCTGAATCACCTTTTCCTCAACGTGAAAATAAGCATTACATTGGAGACGGCAACGAGCAAAATTGGCGCGAAAATGACCAAAATGGCGTTTACCCTGGGTCCATACCAAGCTATCGCCTTCACAAAGTCACTGTTGGGATTTTTTGTGTTTCGAAACCACCTTAATTTTTTTGAAAAATAAACTTTTTTTCATTCAAAAAGGCTATAAAACCACTCGGAATCGACTCGTAGGCACATAGCGTGGAACTGAGTTCCGTTGCAGAAGTATTTCGTCACGCAAATGTAACTGTAATTATTAATATTTGATTATGATGAATGAAAAAAAAAGCTGATAATTGTAAATTTTTAATTGTCTGAAATTTCATTCATGTACTAGGTTGAGCAGATGAAGGCTTCACGCTTTCTATTTTTCGAGAACGGGAGATTCAAAGTTGTAGTTTCTTGCATATGTGGTTAGACAAGCGACTTTTCGTAAGCGTAGATTATTCAAAATTGAAAAGTTCATCATAACCAGAAACTTCAACGAAAGGTAGATTGAAAAAGGTCACCTGAAATGATAATATGCTGTCAGTATTCCTGTCATCACCACCACAAACGATACAACCACCATTGGCGTCAGAAGCTGCAAATGAAAAAGAAATGACCTTTTTCAGATGATAAAAGTACCTTCTTATGTTTCCGAACGGATAAAGGATATTTGATGCCCATCAGCCTCTCAAGACAAATCACGAGTATCAACCTGAATTATCGGAAGTTATACAGTAAATATCAACAACAGTAACCAGATAGCAGCGGCAGACGCCCAGTTAAGAATGGCTAAGAGGTGCATTTTGTTGCCCAGATAGAGTAACCGGAACCAAAAAGTCGTTGAGAAGAGACTATAGTGAGCGAGAGAATGGGGCAACATGCAAACCAGAAACACGATGTCTGCCACGGCGAGACAAGCCAACAGTTGGTTCGACCTCAAGTCCAATCCATTATCAAAAAAGGGCAGAAGACATAACAAAAAGGAAAGTCTAGTCTTCAGGGTAACCTAGTTCGCATGTTGGGAGCCATGAGGACGGTCAGGTTGAGGATGTTGCCGGAGATTCCGAAGAGGATGAGGACGGGGACGACGGTTCCGATAAAGATCCGCTCGATGACGTTCACCGCCAACATCATCTGCCGGTCCGTCAGACACAGCTCTGCCGACGTCGTGTTGTTCGGCATCGCTTTTGCTTCTCTCCTTCGTCTGATACAATCTTCAGCTCCAAAGATATCGCACTGAAAAATTTCAGGAAACTTTGAAAGAAAAAATGAAATAAAATGAGACGAATTAAAAAACGTAAAAGAACAGATTAAAAGTGGAATTCCAAGATTAAAAAAAGTGAGGCGGTCTAAAAATTGATATAAAGAAAGTCATTATTAGATAAAATCAAGTGTTATAAAGATATAAAAGCAATTAGAGAAAGTAGTAAACTTATGATCTTATAAAACCGGTGAAATAAAAATTTTGGTGAGAATATTTTTCAAAGAAAAAAGGCGAGGCAGGAGGACAAAAAGTCTATTTTGGAGGATTTGTGACCTTTCCATCGGATTTGAATATTCTCGAACTTGTTTTCGTTTTACGTACGAGGAGATGAAAAAAAAGAAAGACTTCGAAGGGGAGTAGATCTGTCTGAAAACTTTATATCTAGGACATCATCATTCAAGTCCCTGGAGAAAACATCTTCACTGAAAGCTTGAGAAATGATAAATATGTAAGTGTACAAATTTCCCAAAAATTTATTCTATAAAACTTTACGAGAAAAAAAAAACAATTTTAAACTATACAAATTTTTTAGTTACATTCGGATACAACCCATTTTCTAATGGCGTCTGAAAATTCACCTTTAAAGTACGGTAGTATTTTCGAAAATTAGTTCTATTCATTAAACGAGAAAAGTAGTCATACCAATTTGGAAGAAACTGGATAATGAACCATAATTGAACACGACATTGTCAAGTTTCGGAGTCTGGTTCGAATCAACAGAGCGTATATTAAATCACTGGAAACTAGTAGGAGGATCACGCTATCGAAATATAAACTCTGTCTTCATTTCTTAATAAAATTATTTACAGAACTAATACGATGGTAACCATTTTAACAAAAAAAGACATCGTTTCCTCCAGCCATTTCCACAGATCAGCTGTTAGATTTAAATGTTTTTGGAAGTGTAATTTATTTCGTGTACAGATTGCAGAATGGAGAAGAAACATTTCAAAAATAAAAAAATTGAATGAATTTAATATTTCTTTTTGTGGAAAAAAATTTGAATACGAAGTTTGAAAAAAATGAACACGTCTCGATAAGTTTACGCATATATACCGTATACCTGTACGGTAGTGTAGTGAGATTGATCTGCGCTTGGAAGTATATGACGAGAGTTCAACCATTTACATAATTTATTAATGTCATGGAAACGATCAGTAAACGCTGTAATTGCCATTTCGAAACAGTTTATCATGTTTTAACTTATCAGAAACACAAGAAGAACTGTTTAAATACTTCTGAATTCCTACTCTACAAAACATTTCGAAACAATAAAAAGGGAAATTCAAAGCAGAAGATTGGCCGGAACAACTGGAAAGTCGCCAAGTGAAATACGGCCGTGGGGTGTGTGCTCTCGCAAAACATTTGCTCACATAAACTCGAATCAAAAAAGACATTAAACGGGTCCGCTATTTTTTTTTTCTTCCCACACCCGAACGTCTTCGCCCACTCATTATTTCCAAAGGTAATTGGACAAGAAATCGCCCCGTTCACTTCGTCTTCAACGAGGAAACTTCAAATGTTCGTGATTCATCCTTTTTTGGAAATATGAAAATAGGACGCGAAGAAAACAAAATTTTTAGAAAGGAGAGCACAGAGAAAGCGAACCTTTTCAAATTGCTGCGAATGATGTATCAGCCAAAATTTTTGCGATTTTTTTTTTCAAATCAGATTACAGAATAGGTTTTTCTCTGAAAAAAAATTGACTTCTCAGTTCGAAGTTTTCGTAGTATGTTTATCTGCATTTGAACTAATTTTTCTTGTAGTTATTGTGGTTAATCTTATGAAACCACTTGCCATCTTTAAGTAACGTTAGAATTTTTATACAAATCAAAGCCATGACCGTGTTTGGAAGTTTTGGAGCTATTCAATAAGTCAAAAACAAAAATCGATGTGTAAATAATACAAAATAGAAATCGGACATCCTAGCCGACGATCCTCTCATTGATCATCAAAATGAGAACTTATAACGTGACCGAAAGAGGTTATACTGATAAAAGGGAACAAAGTCCGATACCATAAAAATCGCATAAAACTGGCAACACCAAAAAACTTTTTGACAAGTCGATTTGAATAAAAAAGGAGTGTGAGAAACGGTACAGACTTATTTATGGCGTAGTAGGTTTTTTTTTCCAAGTATATTTTTAAGTTTCTCAAATAGTAATAAAATTTGGCAGGAAGCGAAACATATTATTTGATAAAGAAAAAGCTCGCTTCTCACTTTGAAAGCAGTGAAACAATTGTTTTGATATTGAGTAAATTTAAACTGAGGCTACCTATCAATGGCAAACACCGGCATCAACGCGGCTCTCCAGTGCACTTTTAGTTAAACTGGATTAGATCGCTACTCTGCTGACAGGTTGTCTGAATTTGTTAATGAAGGAAAAATAGAACTGAATCAAACCTGAAGAGATAGCCTGTTATTCGAAAGTGTCCATGGCAAGGTTGTTTTTTTTAAATGCTGTTAGCCTCTTCTGAAATGTAAAAAACTAATTTTTGAATACAAAATTTAGAAAAAATGTATGACTTTTAAACCCGCAAGACCATTATTCCGCCATCAAAAACTGAGAAGGTTTGAACTTTTTTGGTTTTATTTTCTCAACTGCCTCCCAGCAAAAACAAAAAAAGAAGAAAAGAACAGCTGAATGTTTGACGGAACGCGGTAATTCGTGCCGAGATTGACTTATGCCAGCGCGTGACCCTCTGTTGGATTCCGACTTTTCATTAGTCCTGAAACGCTCTGAAAAGATGAAGCCGGCGGAATCGGCTCCTCTTACAATCAAACCCGTTTTTCGGTTTTTCAACTCCAACTTACAGCTTTATTCAACGTAAAACGATAGATAGAATGAAATCGTGTTCAGTCGGAGATTTTACATCTCATTCCAAAATATCCGCATTTTTGACGCAACACTCGAGTCATTTGTCTTATCTTTGCGCGTTATTATGAAGACTCCCACCTATTGGGATAAAAACTCAGAGAAAAGGTGAGCGTTCAGAGGAATAGATAATTAAAAATTCATGAATTCAAAAGACAAGGATAAATAATTTCATTTTACCCCAGTGGAGTGAAAAAGCAAAAAAAAAAGAAGAGAGAGGTGACAAACTAACGAGGGCTTTCATCAGAAAGCCGAGAATCGTTCAAAAGAAAACGTCAACCTTTACAAGATCTCCATATTTTTTATTTCTCAGATTGACAAAAATGTAAATTGTCAAAATAAAAACCGCAGAAAAAACTTTCAAAAAACTGAAGCGCAACAGAAAAACTATCGAAAAATCACAATTATTAATTTCTGAAACTTTTAAACTGTGCATGTGGGAATGTTTGTATTGGTAAGGGAAGCTGGAAAGGAGTAGGAGACAAATTTGGAATATTGTAGGATGACGGCAGGAGGTGTATGGGCTGAACAAAACAAACGACGAAACATGAGCGCGGAAATGAGCTCGGTTTGGTCGGATCGCCGTTTCTCCCAAGATCTTCCCTTCTTCGGAAACCAAAGGCCTTGCTTCTATATTAAGACGCTCAAAATGTGATTTTTGATTTTTTCAATCCACAAATATATATCTTTTTTTTTTTAAATTTCAAATTGGAGCAATGGAGAAAAAAAAAGTTCGAAAAAAACAATGATATCAAGAAGAAGAGAAGCGCTACGAAGAAGAGTGAAACATGGAACTAATATTTAAATTGTTCGAGGCTCTTTTTACTCGCAATTAAAACGCTCCAAAAAGACAGCTTCCCAAGGTCGAAAAAAAAGAATACTTTGAGATTCATTTTCATGTTTTATTTATCAGAAAATCGAATTATAAATGTTTTTGAATCCTAGAAAAGTTCTGAAGTGTTTTTTAGCACGAAATTCAAGTAATTTCAGTAAGAGACTTGAAGTCAATATGAAGCACCTGCCACATCCATACCATTGGAAACTTTCTGATGCTTTGAAATAGGAATTAGACAGCTTCTGTCCTTCCTCTTGAGTCAATATGAAGAACGAAAACTTTCATTTATCCGTGGGTCGAAAAAGAAGATGATTTTCGTAAGCCTGACGGCTTTTTTTCTCCTGGATAGTGGCCAATTGTGCTGGAATGGCCTGCCGAAATTGGGCAATTTTGAAAGGCACAACAGCGATGAACAAATAAAGAGCCACACCCTGGGCCTCGAATGAATGACGAAACATTTTTTGAGCTTCTTGCAGACAGAAGGGTGCAAGATAACTCCAGATTTAGCTGGCTGATAGAAGTTGTGGGTAGATACCACTAGCTTACAAATAATCTAATTTAGAGAAACCCATTCCTCATTTTCAAAACATTTCGAAATTTTTTTCCGTTCAAAAATGAAAACTAAAACTTGATGAAAAACGAAGAGAGAATGGTTTATTCTGCGCAAATTCATTTAAATCTTCGGCTCATGTCCTGCAAAAAATTAACGAGAAAAAGAAAAAACTCATAATTGGGCTATGCGAGGAATAATAAGATAAGTCAGCCAAGCCTCCTCATCTTGAGAGAAAAGACGCACTGACCCACTTTTGCAAGTATCAACTGTAATATTTATGTATTTGGCAGCAAGGAGAAAAAGACGGAATATCAAGCGTGAAACCCGATCGCAATAGACAAAAAGTCCTTCAGAAGCACTCATTAGCCCTAAAATTCGCCGTTTCGATCCAAGGAAAGCGTCGACGTCACTTAGGATTTTATGGGTGAAACGCTAATAAGCTCTCTTGTGAGATACATAAAGTTCTGATGACGCCTTCAAAGGGAGTCCGCGGAGTTCAATAAGCCGCCAGGAAGGTAAAAAGTAACTAGATTTTAAAGAGTCCAAGACATTTTTGAATTTTGCGTAGATCCTTTTCGACACAACCCAGCCAAAAAATGAAAAGCTACTAACTTATAAGTTGTGGCGCCCAAATTTGGCGCTCCATTTCCGAGT